TTACGGTTGATTTTCGGTGATGATTCACAGTGTTGAACTTTTTTTCGTCTGCATATACCGCGATCGAGATGAACTAGAGGGATGCGGGCGCGCACAGTGCGTTCTCTATATTTGAATTGAATTTTATGTGTGTGAAATGCATGAGTGCCAAAATGCTAACGTCAATTTTGTGGGTGTTGATGAATCTGTGTGACCCTCGAAAGTCACAAGAAGAATTGAAGATAGAGAAGAAAAAAAAAAGAACAGCACTAAAAACAACAATATAAAAATAAATAAAAAGCGGAAAGGACAACAAAAAAGCACCATACCTAACGAGAAAGAGGGACGGGGGGAGGAGGAAGGGAAAGAGGAAAAATAGTAGCAACAAAACACATCTAATATCCCAAATGTTAACTGTGATTGTTTCTAGCATTGTATGCGCAAGTCAGATGACGATGTAGCTAATGTTGTCTTTTTTTGTTGTTGTTGTGTGAACTCGTTTACCTTTTTTTGCTGCGTCGTTGGTTTCTTTTTTCACTTTTTGCCTTTGGGATGATGTCGATGGCAGTGTGGAAGATGTGGGCTCTAATTCTCTATCTCTCTTTTTGTTTTTTTTTTTTGTTTTCGGCATACGAAGAGCAAAAGAAATTCGGAAACGTGGTTAGAAGGTATATCACAGTCGTCACATAAAAATGGAATGAAATCGAAAACAAATATAAGCGTTTTCTTTTCGCTGTTGATATTTTCTCTCGTCGACTATGTGATTATATATGTTTACATTATTCTTGTTTTCTCTCTCTCTCCATATACAGGGCATCGGAAGATCTAAACAATTTTATTTATATGAATCGCTCACACACAATGTTTTTATTCTCAAAAGAATATGTGAATTGACTTACAGTTCGTTTCTCTATTCTGTCATGTTCACCACTTTTTCCGTCATAAACACACTGTACAGCATACCGCTGCCATTCTGAATTTCTATTTAGTTTCATCGTTTTCGCCGTTTTTTTTTTGTTATGTGTTTCTTTATCTATTTTATTAGATATTACTATTTGAATATGTTTGCTGATTTCATATAACATCACGCGCGCTCGACCATTGCTTCTTTCGCTGCTTTGGATTTTCATCGTTTTTTTTACTTCATCTTTTCATTCATGCACATGTCATGTATTATTTATATGCACACTGAAATATGCTTTGTACTATCAAACCAACAGAATACTTTTGAATCTAATAAATATTTGAGAACACATTCTGTTTTTTTTTTTCATTCACAATGGTGTAATAAACACACATATTTCCACAATTTCACATACATAATAAGTTCATGTATCCGTTAAATGTTTCTTTGTCAGGAAGTATTTGTGTGTGTGTGTAAATATGTTGTTCTGAGCATGGTGGAATGTTGTTTAGATGCGCGCGTGTGTGAGTTGCTTTACGCTTTTTTGTGTGTGGAACGTGAATGTCGGGTCCCGGCTGTGGGGTGACTGTGTGTTGTGTTACACCATACGATGTTTTGTATTGTATGTTGCCATAGAAAAAGTTGTAAAAGATAAGAAGTGAATTACTTGCCACCTGTCAAACCGAGACAAAGCAAAAATACCGAATGTGCACCAAAAGCGCAACCATTCAGTTTATGTACGCGCGCTCGTTCCTTCTTGCGCTCGTCTATTTCTCATACAACCGGAATCCAAAATGAAATGAACACAACGCACTGATGAATGTGCTGCGACAAACATCCTTATTGGGACAGTGACAAAAAGAGACACCGAGACACACACAAAGAGAGAGGGAGAGAGAGAGAGAGATGCTTCATTCGAAATTTACCGGATATTTCATTACATAAAAATTAATAGGTTCAAAAGCATTTAAAAAAAGCGGATTGCGAAAAGGTATTTTTATTTTTCAAAGATGTTTTATGAAATTGTCTGTGTTCAACGGCATTTTACTGCAAAGACGATTCAACTTCACATAAAATGCAAGCGAAAAACTCTTATATTATCTATCCCTCAATTCCCGTCTCTCGCGCTCGTTCATGTTTTTTGTTGTTGTTGTCTCTTTTCATTGCACTCGCTTGAACTTTCATTCTATTTCGTTCGATGTCAAAGAAACCGGTTTGTGATATTACAATAATACAAGTCGCTTTGTCGACTTTCGTCGAATAGTTTGAGAATGAAAGAGACAGAAAATGAGAAAGATAGAAAGCATACAAGCAAGAGAAGAAAAAAACGCCAGCTTCAACAAAATGCATTTTCTTTAATCACACAGTGTAAACACGATGAATCCACAAATGCAACAGACCAAGTCAACTTGCGACCACTTGCATTTGAAAGCTAACGAAAGTCATTTAGTTTAGTTGGCTTGCCATTGCTGTGTGCATCATCCGATAAAATGTGCCCATAGAGAAAGGGAAGTGCAGAGTGAGTGGAGTGAGTAAACGAAGCGAGAAAAAAAAGCAGAGATATACAGCGGAAGAGTGAGAGAGTATTAGAGAAAGAGAGTCAAAATCAACATTATATAGCATTGGGGATGCTGGACCTTTGCTATATTTTAGATACGTTCACATTGTATACACAGTCTGATATTGTTGTTAAAAGGTCGACATATGTGTTTTTCATACGTTTTGTCCATGAAGCGGAAGCTCAATGTGCTCACTGTATTGAATACAATGCACATTGAATGTACAATTCACAATTCACTATGCGAATACTTGTTATTCGACGATCTGGTCGTCGCTTGGTGTTTTTTTTTTATTCGCTCACTCGTTCCTCTGCATTGTGTGTATTCTATTCGTAATACACCGCTTCATTCAGTTCTCTGTCTGATTTTCATTCTCTCATTTTGCCATCAATAAATTGTTCGTTTTTGCTTCTTCAGAAAGTCACATACACAATAGTTTCGGGATGAATTCAGTTGTTCAGTGTCGCTTCTTATGAATATGAATGCAAACAATCAAAAGAGGAAACATAGCAATCGTTTGTTGCTTTCGTAAGTTGCAACCATATTGTTTCGTACATTGATGATGTGAAGTGGACAAAAAACTATGCCGATTTGCTGGTGTGACATTTTGTCTTTTTTTCTCTCCCTCTCTCTCTCTCTCTCTCTCTCTCTCTCTCTCTCTCTCTCTCTAAGTCACACATACACATTCTCTTTATGTCTCTCGTTCAATTCTCAACCATTTTTTGAAATGTAGATCCGTCGTCGCCTTTTATTCTTTCACTCAAAATCCGATTGAGATATAAAGAGAGAGAGATGGTGAGGTGGTGGTGGAGGAAAACTGCATATTTCGACACAACGAGCAAAAGGATGGGGCTAAAACTTCATTTAATTGAATTTAGATTGCTGTGAAAACGTCGGATTTACTTAGGAACAAACTATAAACTAAAGTTCTTAGAACATAAAAGCAAGCTGAGAGAGAGATAAACACAAATAAAAGCAGAAGGAAATAATTCAGACACACAATTTAAGTAGAACAAAAAGTTAAAAATAGGAAACGACATAAACACAGAGAAACATACAAGATAGAATATATACAGATATGCTTGTATGGCTACCGGATACGAGACTGCCATTGATTTGGCTAATGAAAATAAGCAGCAGGTGAAGTAATCTAACAGTCCCAATCTGTACCCATTCCACCCCTCGCACACCAACAAAAGTCATTGGCAGGACCTGAAAACAATAGAACATCCTTTCTCTCTCTCTCTCTCTCTCTCTCTCTTTCTCATGAATCTCAACATGTTTCATTATGGGCGACACTTTTGTTTGTTGTTTTCCGTATTGAGAAAGAGTCAATTTCCACAATTTTCCAAACAATCGGCATTTACATAATAAATTTGCGTGCACTCCATTTCACATGTTTTGCTCACTCACACACACATACACAATTATACACCAGAGTAAGATTGTCTAGAGACAGATAAATAGTTGTTTTGCATCAAAATACAAGACGAAGATATTTTTGTTAATTTTGTCGCCACAAAACTGCGAATGTGTATCTGTTTATGTGTGCACTGTGCATAAAACCCAAACACTGTGTATGCCGTAGAACTTAGTCAAAATGTTATAAAATGATGTTATCTTTCACTCTTCGCCTCTCAATTAATCTTATCGCTTCTAATGAACAACTTATTTATTGATTCAATGAACTTAATTTATATTCGCACTGAGAGAAATCAAAAGAATATCAAACACAGAAACAATGTACAACGCAAATGTGTAAATTCATCGTGGAAAAGAAATCAAAGCCACTCAAAAATACCCCCTTATAAATTTAACTTTTCTTCAAAAGCAACGAATGAATAACAAACATAAAACAAAGAATGGGGGAAAAAATAAAAAAGGCGACCATAATGAAAACTTTGCAATGGGAGCGAGAAAAAAATGTGCAGATTTGTAAAGTGAAACGCACGCTAGAAAAACCAACGGACAAAATAAAATTGTATAAATATGAAAAGTCGAATCAAAGCATGCTTTTTTCATCTTTCTCTCTGTTTAGTCATTCGCAATTTTTCATTATACACTTTTACAGCTCTCTCTGTGTATATTCATTTTGTGCACATCATAATTTTTCCAACTGCAACTTGAGCAGCAAAATAAGTCTATTCACACGCACACAACAACAAACCAGCAATAGTATATTCGAAAAAAAATGTTTTGAGGCACGCTTGCACGCGCGCATCATCGCAAGACCCACCAAAATAGATGAACGAACAAACTGAGCGTTTGTTTCATAATTGTTTTTGAAATGCCTTTGAAGGAAAGTTTCACTCAATTTTCAAGCAACGTCAAAGTTCCCTTATTGAAAATTATTCTGGTTATATTAACTGTAAAACGAGCAATAACAACAACGACGATGAAGACGACGATGACGACGACAGAAGCAGATACAGTAGCGGCGTTGGCAGCGGTGATGGCATCCAACACCATCATTCGATCCAGCTAGCTACCATCATTTTTACCAATTTTCAAATTAATTCGATTTTGTTTTGTGCAAATAAATGAAAAACGGTTCGAAATAGTTTTTGATGGTGTGTTTTATTTTAAGCGAAAAATATCTTCAACTTAACAAACTCGCTTGTTCGCTCAATATCTTTCTTTTTTTAGAGCGATTCTTTTATTTTTCGTTTTTAAATTTCTATTTAGCCCCGTGATGGTGATGTTGTTGTGGAAATGTTTTTGAACGATGAGCGCGAAAATTGCCATGGCATGTGATACTTTTGTGGTGGCATGCAGTGAATGCGAACAGTGCAGTTAAAATGTTTAGTTTTCGTATGTGTGTCTGTGTGTGTGTGTGTTTGTGGGGTGTATTTGCCATAAAATTGAAGAAAAAGAAAACAATGTTCAAATAAAACAAAGAGCCACTAATTGGCACTGTAATCAATGGCAGACAACGAAGAAGATGCATTCATGTTTCTTGTTGCAAGTTAGTCAATGTCATTTGGCGATTTTCCGTTGTGATGTCTTCACTGGCATCCATCTTCAATCGTTGTCGTAAATCCAATGCTCGAATATCCGTGTCGAGCGTGTGCTGTTTCTTTTTCAAATCGGCGTCGAGTTGTTTCAAATTCAATTCAAGTTGGTTGTACGATGCTTTCGATATGCTAAGTTTTTCATTGAGTTGATGTTGTGCAAATTGAAGCTGTTTAATTTCATCACATAGACCGTTGTACACGCCATCCATGCATAATTCCATGCCAGGCCGTTGGCATCTATTTTCTAATCGCGTTTCAGCCAACTTTGTTGCTTTTGCATTCGATTCGAGTGCGCTTTCAATTTGTTCAATTTCATTTAACAATATTTTCATTTCATTTTTGTTCTGCTTTTTTTTCGGGTGGTGTATTGTGTGTAAAAAGTCAGTCGCATTTGGATCACACACACACAGAGAGAGACGAACAGCACGTATATGCGCGTGAAAAATGCACAAAATGAAGAAAGACCGAGAGAGAAAAAAAAAAGAAAATGAGGAAAAAAATGGGTTCAGTACACTTTGAAAACAAACCAAATGTACGCAGCAGAAAAACACTGATTCTCGTTCAAATACATATATGAGCTTTATCAAAAATAATGAATTTTTCCAGTGTTTTTTTGCAAAAAAAAAAATCGAAAACATTCTATCTTTACCTTGATAATTTGCCATTCGAATTCATTTCGTGCACGTTGTGTATCGAAAATTCGTTTGCGAAGCGTGTGCTCGGTGAGTTCTTGTTGATTTTCTAATGAATTTTTTGTCTTTTCACGAGCCACAAACAATGACTCTCGCATTCGACATGAACTCTCCATTTCGTTTTCAGCAATATGTTTGATTTGCTTGGTATGCTCTAGCCAACCGTCGTAAGTGCAGCAGCTAATAAAATCAGAAACAAACAGCATTGAGATAGATAAAGATAAAAAAAGGGGCGAAACAAAACAAAACGTTGAAATGTGAAATGTAATGAAATGAGAAACAAAGTGACGGTGACGGGTAAAAGAGGGTGTGTGGTGGTAAAATACAACAAGCAACTACATGGATTAGCACATGGATAATATTTATTCACTTTCTTGGATTACGCATTGGGTCCGTTTTAAAGGTAATATTCGAGCACACTTCGTTAGTAAAACGCTGTTGATTGTCACAATCTCTGGCCTCATTCTTGTGCATTAGTTCCAAGTTTAATTTCATCTTGACTTCATTCAAGCGATTCAATTGTTCCCATGCTCGTTGGCACTGATCAGCTAACATTTTAACACTGCTTTCAACGGTGGCAAGTTCACGTTTTAGTTCAACATTTGCATCGTCTTGTGTTAGTTCACCATGCACACGATGGTCTCGCATCGACAAACACTCGGTGGCCACTGACAATCGTAAGCTCAATGCATCCAAAGTGCTTTCGGTTAAACTTTTTTCCAAACGCAGCAAATTGATTTCCTTAAGCAAATGGTCAAGACATAATCGTATTTCTGCATACCATCGATCCAATTCTTGTACTCTGATAAACATAGAAAACTTTTTTGAGTTGAATGAAAAACATATCAAACAGAACAGAAGACACAGAACAAAAACAAATCGAAATTTAACTTTACCGATTTGCTAGACGAATGGTGTTGTTGGTCGTATTGAAGTGAGCCTGCACTTGATTCTCATCTCGGACACTTCGACTAGTTTGTATCAAATCAAGTGCATTTGTTCGATGAACAGATGCCAAATTGCACAAGTGATTGGTACGTGTACGCCAATCATCAATTCCCAAATGTTGAAGTGGCTTCTCAAATGGTCGATAATAATTACTATTTGACATAATTCACCATGTATATATGCTTTATTTGGTTTATTTCATTTGATAGAAACAAAAAAAACGAATTTAACTTCTTATGGGCAAGACGTCTACTGAATACCGAATATTTTACACTGAAAAAACTACCACCAAATCGAAATAGACATATTCATGAATTATTGATTAAACACAAATACACGGTTCGTATAGAAACGAAACCAACTTCCAACAGGAATCAACTTGTGCATTTCCGCTGTCTTGCTTCTCTACTTTTCTTTGTATGTGTATGGGGTGTGTGTGAGCGAGAGAGAGAGAGATAGAGAGAGAATAAGTGTATTGAAACAAGGCAAAAAACACACTGCACAACGCTCTCGAATTACATTTACATAAAATTGCAAGACTTATGAGCAATTGAAAACGACGAATTGAAGAACCGAAATGCATGCGATTCGATTCGCAAAGCGAAAGGAAAGGGAGAATGAAGAGAGTGAGATAGAATATTTGCTTTTCCCGAAGTCAATCCGCCAACGAGCAATATCAACGAAATCTTGTGATTGTGAACGAGAAATGCTCATCTAGGTCACACACTTACTTAGTAAATATTACTTAGCAATTTGTGAGTGAAGCAAATTTTCAGTGTCACACAAAATGGTGTATCTAACGGAATCAGATGAACATTTTTCGCAAGAATTTTTACCAAGCTTTTTTTTATAACTTTCTTTTTTCATATATTCACCTTCAACAGTCTCTTACTCTTGTGCCATAAGTTCGTCTCGCATTTTTTTCACGCTATCTTTTTACCACTCACAATCTCACAAACTCCCTTGCTATCACAAATTTTTCTTGCATTTGTCTCATACTCTGCACATATCTCTTAAAATACTTTCACTATACGACATAAGTTGTATAAAGATCATTGCATTCTCTCGCTTTTATGCCATTCCTTTGGCAACTTCATTCAGCAATGTGATCCAAAATTGTGAGCAAGATGAGACGAGATAAAAAAAAGCAAAAAAAAAAGAATAAGAAAACACACGAATAGTACATACATACACAGAAAAAAAACGGAAACTGTGTAGAAACTCTTTTGATAGGAACATTAAAATCTTCGATTGAAAATCGTGTGTGTGGAACCTTTTACATTTCACATTTCTTCACTTCCTTACACTCATTTTCCCTCTTTCCCTTTATCTTTTTTCGTGTGTTTTAAGCTCTATAGCCATTGAATGGCATTTCTTTTACGTTCACATTTCGAAATGTTATAAACAAGGATATTCCATCAAAAGGACGGAGAAGCTTGAATTGCTTTAGTTCTTTATTTTGTTGAAAGTTTTTTTTTGTTATTCATTCAGTTTTGAGCTAAAAATTGTATAAAATAGGAGAAACGACAGATTAACAAAAACAATATAACACAACTGTGTGGCATATGCCAAAAACTTATCGCCTAATGAATCGAATATTTTTTCAGCTTTCCAAACAATCGAAATTGATTATTGAAACCGAAAAAAAAAGAACAGAAAGAGAGAGCAAACAAGGTCGTTCGTTGTTGTTTTTTTGTTCATGGTTTTTTTTTCTTTTGTTTGTGTATATAAATCTAAAGGTGGGTGAGCATTGTATTATTCTTCTTTTTGGTTGAGTGAGTATGGTGACGACGATTTGGTTTTTATGAAAAATCGGCCAGGTATTCGAGCACTATGAATTCCAAGGCGATCCGTAACGTCTGTGCATGACTGTCGCAAGAATGTTCGCTTTAAAAATAATTTAAACGAACCGCTGCATTTTTCGGCAATAAATTTATTGGATGGATCAAGTGATTCTTCGAAGAATTCGTGCGCTAACGAATGACTGCAGAGCACAGAAAAACAGCCGGGTTGGATGTAGCCACCTAAAAACGACTTCAATTTAGCTAAGTTTAAGTAAGCATGAATGCAGTAGAGTATGTAGCCACCATTCATTATGAAATTCGCGTGCCCGCAATCTTTCATTGTGCCTAGAGTGCCACGAGACGTGAGTACACATTGGACATACTGAGCATCAGATGGGTCAAGTCGCGTCGATTTTCCCAAATCAAATGGCCATGTAAAACCCGGTCCTACAAATTGGTGTGAAAGAAAAGTGAGAGATGGAGAGAGAGAGAGAAAAAAAATAACGAAAATGGAACACACACATTTACTTTGCACCAGTTTAAATTTATACTTATTAACATAAGAATTCAAATGAAAATCGGCCATACTAACCGGCTGGATCCAAGCCTAAGTGTTGGTAAGAAGTGCGAAGAAAAAAAAATTCAAATAAAATCGCTTTGCACCAGTTTCAAAGATATTAGCATAAAAATGTAAATGAACATCGGACTATACCATAAATCGAATCGATGTCCCCTTGAAATTTCTCCCCAATGTAACCGGCTAGAATAGAAATTGAAGCAATTTTCTATTTAATTATTGTATTGAAGTCGAAACCAATTTGTGCTTAAAATTCATGTGTTTTTTTTTTTGTTTTAAATTCAGACCAATTTGAGCTCCCAAACTATGGCCGGCAATCGAAACTTGTGTAATTTCCATTTCGTTGTCGATCAAAAATTGCATAAAATACTCAAGGGCATCGGTGACCATTTTAGTATGTCGCATTGCTGCTATCGAATAATCATAGTTTGCAAGTCGGCTCCAATCCACAGCACATACATTACAATCGGCAAATTTGGCCCAACTCTGAGCTGTCGACCGCATCCAGCCTAATGTATACATGTACAATGTACACCAATCAGAATGCTTAAATTTCATCTTTTCTTTTTTTATTCATTTCAGTTTCATTTTTGATTCCATTTCAGTTATGATTTGAGAGTGAAAGAGAGATAGAGAGAGAATGAACCAATGAATGTTCAATACCATTTTTCGGACGAACATCGGGTGGAAGATAAATGTTGCCTCCATTCAATCCGCCCATCCAGCCGTGAATCAGAAAATTGACGGGTTTTGTAAAATCGATTTTTGACTTGATATCTGGATCGTTGAGAAAAGTTTGCTTCAAATCAGTCTGCTTACTTCCATTCGATTGCATTTTATAGCGATACATACATGAGATATATAAATACATTATTTATTAAAATGGTGTCGAAAAAAAAGAAACTATTGGGAAAAATATCAGGCAACATTGGAAAACTTACGGTTTTAGGCACCAAAATGTAACATCTTGATCGATCGGAGGATAGCTTTGTCCCAGTGAAAATGTGTAAACAGCCGTTAGTTGAATTCCAGCCATAATAACAGCAATAAAATGATCAATGCTATCGATCACATCCGTCGATGCAAACACTTTTTTGTTGTTTTTGTTGTTGTTGGTTCGGTTAGGTGAATTGAAATTCATTGTAAATACGTTATTTATATATGTCATTTGCGAAAAATTTCCAACGAGAGAAATGACTCTTTGCAATAAAATTTAAAATGCATGTCATTTTTGTATATTTACCACTTGCTGCTAGCAAAGTCAATAAAAAATGCACCATTCGCATGCCAAACATCACCATTTTTTCGACACAAGTAAACAAAATCGAAAATATAAACTAAAATAAAATGACGTTGAATGAACCACCACGAACATTTTTCAAATAAAAGCTTCCAAATAAAACGATTATGTATTCAGAGCAATTTTTTTTATAAATGCCAACAAAATATGAGAAAGAGAAATATATACACCGATATATTGTACAAATGTTAATGTTTTATTGAAATTGTTGTCGCGTTTGTACATATTTTTGGTTGATGGATTTTGAATGAAATGGAATTTAAAAAAAGTACACATACATTCGTACATTCGTACATTCGTTCAATGAAATTGATTAGCATGAGAAACAATACGATATGGTGTGAAACATCTGGTAAACGACCTTATTGACTTCAAATGTCGTCGATCGTAATTCAACAAAACCACATTTTGTAAATACATATTGAAATCAAGTAAAGTGGTACCTTAGTAGCAAACAACAACGATGACGACGGCGGCGGCGAAAATTTCAAAATTGAAACAAAGTATGTTTACACCTTTAAAATTATGTTTAAATTGTTTCCATTTTGTATGTGCGTGTGTCGTATATTTTATTGAGTGTATGTGCGCGTTCGCTATTGCTATGTGCGCGTCCGCACTCCCGTCATTGTACTAATCTACATTTTTGGTGCGGAGTAATTAAAAATCGATTCAATTCATCTTAATTGTCGTTATAAATCTGTTATTAAATGAGAAAGTATCTAAATGAGTTTTCAGGCAAATAACTTACCTAATAACAACGCAATATGTTTACATTCAATAAAATATTGAAATAGCCTCGATATATTTCAATGCTTGTATAGAGAGAGAGAGCGTGAGTTTAATCGGTTGTTTAAGTTTTTGCTCATTAACGGCGTTTATTTTATCTCTCGCGCTCTTTTTATCTCTCTCTCACTCTCTATCTTCTCGCCCCCCCCCTACAGTCTCCCACGCTATTTTAGTTCATCGTTCGCTACAAAATGGCGATGCAGATATGAATGCAGATAAATTGTACATTCATTTTTTGGGGATACATGTGCGCGACCGGGCATCATACACCCCTGCCAATGCCGTTGCATTCACCAATCATGCCCACGTGATACACGTTTAGATTCGATGATGCGACATCATGTGATTGCTAATAAACAGTAAAATTATCTATTATGAGTGCAAATCCCATATAATTACTCTTAATATTTGTCCAATTAAATACGGATCAATATTGATTGCCAATGAAAATGCTAATTTTCGTAATCATACTGTTAATTTGGTGTGAACGCGCATAACTTTAGCAGCTCAATCGACATTTTGACTTATACTCTTGATCACATACACCGCACTTCCGTCGTCAGAACCCACATCGTAAATTGGCGCTAGTGCTGATGCTGACGTTTTGGGTACATGAGTATTTGAATTTTAATTGGATACATTACATTTCGTTTATGTGAAATTAAATAAAACGTAAGGCTCCCTCCCCTCCTCCCAAACACACGCGCACACACCATAACGCCCAGTTAAATAAAGTATCAACAGCATCAACAGCGGCGAGAATAAGCGAACCAAAACGAGTGCTATTTTAAAATGCAAATCCTATATCCTCTTAAACTCTTTTTCGGAAATGCGAATGGAATGTTTTTCTTTTGTCATTGCTGCTGCTGCTGCTGGCGCTATCGCTTTTACAAAACATTTTTCAAAATGTCGATTGTAACCGGATGAAAAATGGTTAGGTATAAGGAATGCGGTAAATTTTTGGTGTTATTGCTTGCATGCCTCAATTAATTTTATACAATTGTCATTGAACAATAATAATCTATTAATCGGGCTGAAAATTTTATTTATGTCAATCCCTTTTGGATACAAAGCTGACATGAATACACCATGCAATAGAAGCAGAAGCAGAAGCAGCAGCACCAACACCATCAAGGGTAACAATGACAACAGCTTCACGAACAATAGCATTTTCAGTTTTGGGCATTTTTAAGTTGATGCTTGTATGTTCGGTTTCTCTCCCTCTCCTTATTCATTGTTTTCAAATGCATTAAGTCTTACCACTGTGAAACGATAAATCCAGCTATTATTTACCACAATCTTCGCATTTGCCGTATTTTACCGTCTGCAGTCGCTTGACCAAACCCAAAAATGGTTATTTCTACATTTGTTCATAATTATTATTGTTGCAATTTTCTCATTCATACACAATGCACAGGCACATACACACATACTTAATGATACATGTAGCTATAGAAAGATATAGATACGCGCAATTTTAGTGTGCTCAATGTATTTTAGAATGAATATGCTTTTATCGTCGTTTGTATTGTCAATTGCATATTTTGTATGTGCAAAATGAGCGATTCACACAAAGTATTTTCATAATGTGAGTTTACGTCATTGTTAATCTGTTAAAATTTCTCAAATGACGATGACGATGATGACGACGACAACGACGACGTTAGCATGCATTGCAGACGACCAATACCGCACAAACACCGCCACTCACACCATGTGATGTTATTTCTCTCTGTTGATGGCCGAAGTAGTGGAGTGGTATGAGATTGGGCATAAACTAACTCGAGAAATTGAAAAAGAAACAACAAAATGAATAGACAAATGCGAGCAACAATGAGAACCATAATAATAATAACAATAATAACAACAATAATATTTGAAAAGGAAGAGGAAAAAAAAGCATAGACAACACGAAATGGGACGACAACGACCGACAAGAAGATATGGCTCAAGACAGATATAGAAAAGCGCCAAGTCGACGAACGAAACATTTACAGGACATACACATATAATGTACATTGAAAGAGACAGACGAGATTTTCTATCTCATTTGCTCGTTTGAATGCACTGTGTGCGTTTCTCGCATCCTTTCTCGCTCTTTTAACACACAAAATACTTACATTTAAATGATAAAATGGAATTGAAAATAATTTCGAAGCAGTTAAAACGAAAAGTTAGTCTTACGAATAAAATTTAAAGCAATTTTAATGGCTACACAACGTTTCCGTCATTAAAACTTTGTGTGTGCGCCTATGGGTGTATGAGTGTATGTATGTGTGGAGGCGATCAGAAGGGAGCGGTAAAAAGGTAGCGAAAATGTTTTGTTTCGCTGTGAAAATGTACATTTAGTCGGCAACCATACACATTGAATGCCGGAAAAATTTGCCCATCTTCATTTTTACTTAGTGCGATGAAAATGGGAGAATGAGCAAGCCAGCAGCAGCTTGTGTTGCATCCACAAAAATGATGATAGCGAAAAACGATAATACACGCACACAACACCAATGAATAAATGAACGAACCAACGAAAAATTATGATTGAAATAGTGGAGGATCCACGAGAGGAGCAAGCAAAAATAAAAAAAAAAGAAACAAGAATATTTAAGCCGACTTAAAATTGAATGCAAACACATTTTGAGAGTCACAAAATTGTTACAAAATAAATATAGCAACGGCGTTCATATTTTCGAATCGTCCATTTCCAATGAAAGGACAGAAAGGCATGGCATATCGCAACAACATAACAAAATGTCTTTATTTATATTATAATGTATTTTCACCAGCAAAAGTCCAACATTTACCAATGAGAGATTATTTAAATCGGTTGAATTGTGTTTTGGTCATTTTCCCTATCAGCTTCCTACTTCTCTCATATTCTCTTTGACACTTTTTCGTTTGTAAGACTAACTTTCAAGCAGAATATTGTCAAAGTTTGTATACTTAGTTATGCGTCGAATGGTTGAAATGAATAAAGTTGATGCACGGTCGCTGCGCTAAAAAACATACGCGCACACACCGAGAGAGACAGAGAGAATTTATTTGTCGAAGTGATGAAATTCTCATTTATTGATTTTATGCCAACAAAAACAGAGAAACATTATTATTATTATTATATATGAATGACCCATGAATAATGTTTGTTTTGCTAAGGGTTTTTGAGTGTTTTTCTTATTGAATTTACGTAAACATTGACTGACCCATTCCCATGCGCACCCAATTAGTTTTGAATACTTTATACACACAACATATATATACACACACATACATTTGTATAGATAGCATAGACAATCGGTTTATGACTACGGCATTATATTAATTGATGAAGTAAAGTAACTAATTTACCACATTTGGGTGTAGTTATTGCAAGACAATGCTGATATTTTTGATATATGTACTACGGAAAAAGCAACGGGTGGGTGGTGGTGGTGCTGGGCATAACAATGTGAACAAAGAAGATCAAATGCATATATTATACCGATGGGACTGCACCACAGCAACCGATAATTGTCAATTTGATGACTGATTTCATTATTTCAGGCAATTAAGAAGTTACTTTCGGTAAAAATCAAGTGATGCCCAATTCTTGGAACAATGCCTACCAGAAACATAACCGACTTTCCAACAATGAATAGCCATGCAAAACTTTTTCTTCACCCATACTCCGTTCCATCAATTTTCGGTTCCTATGGTCCGCGTGTGAATATGTGTATTTTCATCTGTGTCCAACCGGTCATATACTCATTCAGGCTGAGGCAATAAAATCAATGCCACATGTACTACACACAATACTCACGCATACATTTTTGGTCAATGTCTATTATTCAGATCGGTCTGGTTGTCGATGGTAACTGGAAAAAAGATGAAAAAAACATTAACTTTGATTGTTTGTGTTGTGCTTATTGACAGCCATTCAGCGTGCAAAAGTCGCTTATTGCTCTCCAGAGGCCCGAAAATTGTCGACGGGGTTATATTTGAAAAAAAAAAAAGTTATAAAAAAGAAGAAAGCGAATTTATATTGACTATTGTGTGAGTTAGGTGTGGGCCTCAAATTTTTGCATTTATACGCAGCCTTTGAATGAATAAAAAAAAAGATTGTGTGGAAAGTATGAGCCGTTATCAATCTTGTTTCGAGAGTGAGCTTTCAACAGAAGACTGATTTTGTTGCTTTTGAAATTTGGTGATGCCCAACGAATGTGTACATGTTTATATATAAACTTCGGCACTTATTAGATAAGTCAAACTAGGCAACATACACACACAAACAGACACGGTACGATCATTTGAGAATACGAAAAATTGTATAAAATCGTCGTGGTACACTTGAACAAAAATATTTATTGACAACAGCACTTGGACGAAATAAATTAAAGCAAAGAAATGAAGTGTACGGGAGAATGAATGGGAGAAAAGTTTTTTTTCTCTTTCGTTTCATTGGCGCTGAGTTAATTGGCCATCAGATTAGAACATCAATGTTGGAACAATGCAACAGCAATCAGAGTCAAGCATGAAAAAACCGAGAATGAGACAAACGAAATAGAAATAAAAAAAGGCGCAAAAATACATACTCTCTCACTCTCTTGCACACACACACACATACAGGGAATAGAAAGAAGTAACCATTTAAAAAGGGATGTTCATTTGTTCAATATTCTTGGCAAGTTTTGTGCTTGTTCTTCTTGTTCGGTATGATTTTTTTTCTCGGCTTTGTCATCTCTTCCTCTCTCTCTGTCGCTCTTTCTCTCGTTTGCTTGTTCATTTCGAAATATCGAGTCGAAATTTTTGTGTTCGAATTGCTCAAGTTTTCAACATTATTTCTAACTGCTGTAATTTTAAAACGTGCGCACATGCACACACAATTTCGAAGTTCGAAACTTTTGACAACAAATACAATACTATGTAATGGCTGTAGCTCGCGTGCTTATGGAATTGACTAAAGTCATTAATTCCTGTCTACAGTGTCTTCTGCAACGTAAGCCAGAGCTTTTTGCCGTACACAAAATATACATATAAACATATAATATACATGACTCTGTTCATGTTTGTGTGTTTCATGGAACGAGATATGCTTAATCTATTCTAATACAAAATATAATATAGTCCATATAGTATACAAATCTCGTTTTACATAATAATAATGGATTATGATACGATCCGATATTTGACAATCAACCTTTTAAACGTGATGATTGTAAATAAAATTGTGTCTTTAATAAAGCCGATGCCGACCAATTTCACTCTTTTTGCATTATGCTCGGATCAAATCATCCGTTTTGGCCTCAATTTGCTTTCAACGTACGCTTTAACCATTTTCACATACATTTTGTGGAAATGAAAACGTGCGTTATATGGATATACGTTGTGTGTTTGGACTTTCAGTTAGAGCAACGTCTGTTTAATTAAGTGTATGCACGAATTGAGCGAAAGGCAGAGTATGCACTAGCGGCCCATTTAACTGTATCAATATCGAAATGAAAGAGAACGAACGAATTCGTGTGGTGTCAAAATTAATGTGATGACACTCTTTTACTTATATTACATTTACCACCGAAATTGATCTAGATGAGACAAGTGACACAAAACACATACACATTATGGGTATGCAACCAAAATTCAAAGTCAAAGTTTAAAAAAAAAGAGGAGAAAAGAAAAACTAACGCATTTTGCTTGGGCATTTTTGAAAAAATTTCGGTCGTGACATGATCTCTTTCGTATCGGTTCGTCGAAGCAAAAGACGGACCCCGTTCGCATAATAAGAGCTTAATTCTCATAATGAAAGAAGTGTCATCTTAATGCCATTAGTAAATATATACATATATATAGATTGTGTATATTAATGCCAGGATCCCAAATGTCAACGCAACACAAGAGGGTTTCATTTCGAAACGTACATGCAAAACTTCTAATTTCTTATATTGCCCAGAAATGGCGCAATTTGTTTGCGTTGCTATTACTGTTGTTGTTGTTGTTTGATCGATAAATTTAGTTCAAACAAATTATTTGTTTGAACTAAAAAAAACCTACGGACTGTTTTAGATTGGCTTCAGTTTCTTCAGTTCGGGTTCATTGGTGTTGGTGAACGCCTTTTGGCTTCCCTTCATTTCACTCTCTCTCCCTGTGTGTGTGTCTGTCTCTGCCTTTCTGTTGTGCTGATAACGACCTTTGTCGAGCAACAATTTTGTGTCGCAAAATAACGCGGCCACTTTTCAACTTCCATTTCTCATACATCTCAACAATGTTTCGTATGTATTGCAACAGTCATTCGAAACTAGTGTGACCGATGCGTGTGAAAACAAGAAAGAGAGAGAAAAAAAAGATTTTATAAAATTGTGGTGTACATACGGTTGGTCGACGACGACGACGACGGTGAAGGACGAACGACGACGACGATAACATCACACATACACATTTTTCATCCGATAATTCAAATTAAAAACTTTTCAAAGCCCATCGCTTGACGCCAAAAGAAGATAAACATAATTATGGCAGATTTAATTTCTGAGGTAACATTAATTAATGTAAGGACTGACATAGAGACGACCGAGGGGAAGAGCAAGCGGTAAATATGGGGGCGGTCGAACGAAGATAACCATAAATATTAATTTGATCGACGCGCTCGGTAGCTCGGCAAAATTTAAATAACAAAAACACCACATGCATAAACCCCATACATTTATATACATCATACAGACTAAACACCATACACGAACACATGACATGGTTCGGTTCGGTTGAATGTGAATAGCGAAACTTGTCACCGAATCATAGAAATGAGATTGACTTTTGTACTTTTTTCTTCTCTTATTTTTTGGATCGTTTTCAAATGCTACAATGTTTTTATATATATATGTGTGTATGTCTATCTCATTTCATTTGGAGCAGCAGACGTTAGACGAGACCTCACAATCACTGGATAACAATGTAAATGCAACAGAAACAAGCCAAAGTGAAGCAAATAAAGCGTCAGTACAGCCGCCGCCATCGAATGAATTGGAAAATGTAAACATTTTTGAGCAGCTACCATCGCAACCTGCACCAACGCCTACACCATTGGCGAGTGCATCGCTTTTCATGAAAATTAGATTGAGAGAGTCTGATGACTTACTATTGTTCGAAAACAATAGTTATACGATGCTTCGCGACACAACAACACCAACATCAACAGTGGCTGCATCAGAAAGCGTCAATAATGCACAAGAGAATGCCGATGACAAACGGGACGCTCAACTCATGTTGATGGACAAAGAAAAACACCGAAAAACAAACAACGTGGAAACACAAACAGTTGATGCACACTATAAAACACGTGCCATCAACACAAATCACATTGAAAAATCAATGGCCGGAACATTTGTATCGAATTACGATATGCATGATACGTATACGAATTTAGAGCATACAACCGAATGCATTCAAATCGACTATGACGATCGACACGAGCAATTAGATATAACCACATATACTAGAGATGGCTGCGACGATTTAAGTCAAGAGCTCGAAACGAGCAAATCATTTCAATTGTCATCAATGATATTGCAACGAGTTTTAGCTGGTAATATATATCATGAGTATCAGCGACGATTTCGAAATATGCACACACCAACATCATTGGAACCAGTTGTGAATTATTTGTATCGCTTGCAATTCCTCTATCGTTACAAATATCATGAAACATCTGGCAACGCTGTATCGTGCATGTCATGGTGCCCGAGAAACACCGACATTCTAGCTATTGGATACGGTGTATTCAAATTTTCACCATGTAAAGAACGTGAACGCAGTGCTGTTTGTTTATGGAATATTAAAGTATGGAAACCGTTATTTTTCGTATTTGTTGTTATTGTTAATGGTGTTTGTCGTTTGAAAAACGAACACACGCACCAACCATTTTCAATGTTTTAATAAATTTTTTGGGTTTTGTCAAACTTTCAATTGGATGCCACAGTATTTTCAGTAAATACAATAATCTATTGGATAAATAGTGCAAAGCATTGGCTAAATTATGCCCAAATATACTCATAAATGGCATTTTATCGTACCAACAAAACACAACTGCTTCAATCATATCGTACGTTGTATCATTTAAAAATTCAAATAAAATATCAGAGAAATTATTGCGAGCATGAACAAACCAAACCGGCATATTGTATGATTGTGCATCGAATACTGAAAATGATGTGGTGACAAATCATTGGTGGTAGAGATGACATGGTAAAATGTTTTGTGCTAATATATTTTCATTTTGTGAACTTTTAACATAGAATCCAGTGAATCCGGAACGATGTTTCAAGTATACCGTACCCGTTACAGCCGTTTCATTCTCGCATGAAAATTCACAGTTGTTGGCGATCGGTTTTTATGATGGTAGCATTCGTATCATTGATATAACAATGAATGATGCATCCAATTTGGTGGCGATTAGTGAACGAAAAACGTCACCACCGATCGAACCAGTTTGGCAAATGAAATGGATCAAATGTAAGTGGCAATAAGGCACAACCGAACCAATGAACGTTTGAGCGACCGTACAAGAGATAGTAAATTTCAAACAGATGTTTTGCATAAAATAGCGTTAACCAAAGCATCCCAAGACCGTGATATTTCCCTTTACATCCATTCTGAATGAGTTTGTTTGTTTTTATTGTTTTCTATTGTTATTTTGCAGTTCGAAACTCTGACGAAGAACTTCTGACCATTTCACAAGATGGTTTTGTCATGTTGTACACATTAACGAGCAATACATCCCTGATTGGATCTCGTCAAATGCAGATTTTCTTAAATGAAACCAAAACTATTCACATCCCAGCCAATAGGTATGCACACGTATATTTTTCTATCCACTGTATTCACACCATAATCCATTCACTTCTATCTACTGCATATTTATTTCTTGAGAAACATTTACTGCATTATCGGGCCAATTGTTTTTGTGGTTTATTGTTGTTATATACTATATCTTTAGATTTGCACCGTTGCTAACTATTGAGATGCATCCAATTAAATCGAATGTGTATTTTGTTGGAACGGGTGAGGGTATCATTCATGAATGTTCCATCTATGATTCGTTTCAACATAAAAGCTTCAAGCATGTTCATAAACATGGCATTTATTCAATGGAATTTTCACCATGGAGCCCGAAAATTTTTTTAACCTGTGGATTTGATTGGTTCGTATCGTGTGATGATGATGATGATGATAATGTTATTATTGCAATTATTTTTTTGTTTTTCTTCATCCATTTAATATTTTCACGGAAAATTGCAAAACATGTGCGACGCAATTTAATCGTTGTATGTGTTGATTGCATGTTGATGTTTTCATTTTCGTACAGGTATGTTCGTATCTGGATTGAAGATATTGAAGAGCCAATTATTGAATTACGAAGCGGCTTCGAGCCCATCAAATGTGCATCATGGTCACCGGCAAATTCAACGATAATTGCTTGTACAACCGCATCTTCGCTAAATATTTGGGATATAAAAACAAATTGTCTTTTACCGGCGGCAATACATCGCCTCAATCAATGTTTTGGTGACACAAATAGCAACAACAATACCACCACCACAACAGCCTTTACTACCGCCAATGCTAGCAACAACAGTAGCAGCAACATCAATAGCACAAACACCGGATCTGAATTGACGATTTGCTATTTTACGAACTGTGGCCAATCTATTGTGGTGGGTACCGATGATGGGACAGCGTTTGTATTTGCACTTGAAGACATGCCATTTTCACCACATCTTCAATATGATGCATTAGAAGAAGCTATTATACGAAGTTTAGTATCGAAACCGGAACTTAAGCGTAAAATAAAACAATTAGGTTTTTTAGGCTATTAACCGTTTTCGGATTTTATGTTAGTTGCTTTTGTGTTAAACAGTTTAGATGTATACTCTGTCTATGTGTGTGTGTATTTTATTTTGCGTGCCAGTCGGATTGGGTTGGGTTAGTCAAAGACAATTTAAATCATTTTTGTTGACTGTCACTCATCATTTTCATTTTGATGCGCTGTGACAAGCGTAAATGTCACAAACACTTTTCACTCTTGCTGCCGATCTATCTATTTGAATAGACATCATTTCGATTCTGTTTTCTTTGGCATTGTCATTCCTTTGTATTGTGATTCAAATTCAGATGACGATGATGATGCTTTTGCTATTGCTGTTGTACGGTTGCTGCTGCTCTGATATATTCTCGCATAACTTTCAGCACAAACATATTATATTTTATTTTATCTACGATAGTATACATGATTTTCTGTTGTCGGTCCCCTCGAAAATAGGAAATTTTATGTAAATGGTAGCGCGCAAATAATTTATAATTTTCTTTTACGATGTGAACGACACAATGCGTGGCCCAACTACGATCATATATATGTATGAACCGAATGTAAGATGTATATATGCGAATGAGCATGATGTAAAGGATATGACGCGCAAGATGTGACGCATCGCATTGCGTGACTTTTTCCAGTGGAAAATTCACAAAATTTACGTCGAACATTGTATTCAATTCTTGTTCTATCCCATACCGGTGGATTGGCTTACACATTTTATACATCTCAGTACAGCAAAAAAGCGTTTTCCATGCAGCTATTCGAATCTATGGTACTATGTATGTGCTGAACTGGATTGTAAACGGTGATAAGCAACAACACATCAACATGCCGCAACAGCATCACAGCAACAGAAGCACCTCCACCATCAGCAGCAGCAGCAGCAGCAGCAGTAGCGGCAACAGCATCATCTGAAACACTTTGGCACAACATAAACCCACTACGAAATTCCAATATAAAATAAATGTTCCAGACCAAATATGGTTCAGTTTGTGTTGGATGTTTGTATCGTCTTGACGCTCTCTCGTGAGAAGCTTGAGCATTATTCCAATGCCTAAAATTGAATGAATTGCACAGAAAATCGAAATCATTGAATCGGTCATTCAAATCAGAGTGTGGTGTGCGTACAAAAGTTAAATTGAATAAATCGCGTTTAAAACAAGAATGAATAAATCGCATTGATAATATTCAATTATTACATGTATTATATTGAAAATCAAATGAAAATATTACTATTTTTTGTTGATGTTGAACAGCGAAGAGCTTTTGTAATGAGAGTATAAAACAAAATAAATAAATACAATAATAACACAAAAAAACGATGACGTTGTGAAATAAAAAAAAACCGTGTCGAACGATTTGTTTTCGAATTTACAAAACACTGATTTCATAATTCGATTGTGTTTTTGGCATAAATGTTTCAACTTGATTTGATGTGATTTGATTAAATACATTTGCATTGCGCTCGAAGAATTCCACAAAATCACACAAAGAGATAGAGACACAGACCAACAGTGTGTGTTTGTTTTGTAAAACTTTTCTGTCCATGCATACAATCAGATTGAGAGCAAAAGAAAGAGATATATATATATATATAGAGAGAGAGAGAGAAAGAGAGAGTGAGTGCAGTGTCTGCTCATTTAAGTCGTTAGCTCTGCTTGATTTTACGAGGATTTGATTGTTTTTGTCCTTGTTGTATGCAAATTTGCAGATAAATAAAGAGTTGTTTGTTTCCATCGGTCAGATGTAGTTTAGAGAAATGTTTCTTAATTCAATTCAATGAAAGAGTGAGAAGAAAATAAACATTAAAGCAAACGAGAAAAATATAGAAAACCGACGAACACTACATAGTTAACTACTCGAACGTCCAGAAAATGCAATAAGATATAAAGAATGTTTCGTATTTAAATTAGTTTTGGTGTTGGTATTTGTTTCTGTGGCGCTTCAATTAAATTCGAACAATGAATGCAAAGAAAAACGCAAACCAAATTACAAATTGCTGTCCAACTGGATCTAATACAACATTTGGGCGAAAAAGTACTTCAAGAAAACTTTTTTTCTAAAAAAAAAAAACAATTTTCATCGTGAAGAAAAGACAAACTGGTGCGTGTCGCATACAAAGACAAATAAATAGACAGTAAGGAGTCCACAAATTAGACAAAATAAAATGCAAAATTCAAGAAAGTGAAGAGAAAGTGAGATGTTTAAATTTCGATAACAAATGCCAAGTTTTGGAGACAAACAAAACTGCAGAAAAAAAAGAGAACAACTTAATTTATCTGAATGAAAATGTACCAAAAATAAATCTGTTGTACATCAAATATGGTTAAATATTAACACAATAATAGAATAGACACATACACGGAAGTATAATGCATTTTACGTACCACATTATAAAAGAGGTGGGAAAAAAATATTAAAACAGATGTCGACCGAGTCAGCACACTGACCACATAGTTTCGTGTGAATGAAGCATAAATTGTGTGTATGTGCGTTAGTGGTTGGTTGTTTTCTTTGGAACGCTTAGTATGAAAAGTCACACAAAAGCATACCGCATACCATTTTATGAATGGAGCAACGAAACCAGTTGAACCAAACAAAATCTACAAGAACTTAAAGGAGCCGCAAACGAGACAACAACAAAAAATTGTCGTTTTTTTCGCTGTTTATGCACTCCATGCATGAGCATTACAAATAGTTGGGATATTATTAGTTGAATCAAGTTAATGCAACCGTAACAGAGAAAAAAGAAAGAAAGCACAGAAACAAAAGCGTGTTTTTGTGATTAAGAAGCATTTCCGAGAAATTCATTTAATAAGTGAAAACAACTAACTGTTTTCTTTATTAAAAAAGAGCGCGCGCACAACCTAACTTGGTAATAAGCTTGTTATTGTGTTTATGAACGGTAACGAAAGCGCGCAAAAAAAGGAGAGATAGAACAGCAAAACGTGACAGCAAAGCATAAAATATTCGTTGAAAAGAGGAAATAATTGCTTTGAATAAAGGCGAATACACACACACACTGGCTGGTGTGCATTCTCGTAACACATCGAACTAAAATATAGCACAATACAGCAACAGCATCAAAACATCCAACAACGAAACAACATGAAAACGCACAAAATGAGAACGAACACGGTAATTGAGTGCGCCATCATATTGCTAACTGGGTTGAGTATTGTTCGCGGTCAAAGTCTGACAGAAAAAATTCCATTAGGTAAGTCAATACTTCAAATAGCATAGAAATATATTCAATGGGATAAGAGAGAGAAAGAGAGAGAAAGGTAGATATAACGAGATAAAGAGAATCAGAGAGCCAGAAAGCCAGATAGAGAGACAGAGGAGGTTGAAATAAAAAATTTAGTATGAGTTCGGTTGCACAGTGTATTGCAATTCGAAAACGGATTTGTGGCTCCTTTATTTCCCCCCTCTTGCTCACGCTTTTTCACTCTCGATCGAAAGTATTATATTCGATCTATATGGTCATAAAAACAATTGCCGAATCATATAACAATGGCTTAAATGAATATGCATGTGCTATGGATATCACAGATACATACAGACACAATATGATATCCCATTAGCAGCGTATAATTATTTTCACTGCAGAGACACACTGAGCTCATTTCGCTCCATGGCTAAAACAAAAGCTCTTCGCCTCGCTTCTCGGTTACTGAATCACCAAATTCATTGCATGTGTGTATTATTATTGTATTTATGTCTCTCTCTCTCTGTGTGTATGATTCGTTCGCATTTTTATTCGAGAATGTACTGGGAACACCAACATTTGCCCATCACCACAAATGCCTATCGCCATTTGGTTGAATTCAGCGAGAGATTTTCATTCGGTCGCAACTTATATTTGCACAGTAAAACCTCCAAATAGTGGAACCATGAAATAGTGGAACGTATCTCCAATAAAAATTGTTACAAGCACTGAATATTGCCGATATTCGAGATAGTCTCGAAAATAAAACGTTTGTCTCCGCGTGTGAATCTGCTATTGGTTTGGTTTTTCTGTAATACAACAAAATATAGCATATCAATCACTTTTCCCATTAATAATTGCAATGATTGGATGCGAAATAAAATTTTCAAGACTTACAAGCTTTATTGCCGGTAAATCTGCCTGGATTTTCGAAATACAAAAGTCATTTCGCTTGCTGTTATATTGTAACATCGTCATACAATTGGGCCATCACCAACCCTCCAACGAAATCCATTGCATTCACATCAAGCATAGTGTAATGATATTACCGTTTAACATTGGCACAATGTGCGCTTTATTTTGATTGTGGTTTTTGTTTTCATACTCATATATCCCAAATACCGAAAATACAATATAGCAACAGCACATAAATTCGAATCGATATGCGTGGTAATTGCGTAATACGAACGATGGAGGCGCGAATCTAAAGCATCGATGTAAATTTGGATTTTTGTCACTGCGGCAACAATCAGTAAATCGATTGATATGAGAACATGAATGATATCGCAGAAAAAAATATTGTCAAAAAAAAACCAGTCAAAGTGAAAGAAAGAGTGATAGACGCTGCAGAAAATAAGGGAAAAAACAAGCGAGAGGCGAATGCAAAAATGAGAAGAAGAAAAAAAAAAAGTGAAAGAAGACAAAAAATATCGCTTAGGCATCGGAAATAAAGGCGAATTTCGGAAGCAAGGGTGATGTATGATTGCGATCGAAAATAAATTGCAAATAAATAATGATTAATGATTTTGGTTCCTTGTTTCGGTCGCACACGCATCTTCGCGCCATTTAATACTCAATCGGATTAGACTAAGCAACACATAAACAATCGATTTGACTATACGACAACCGAGCGATGTTTTGCTGCCGCACTTTTATAATTCAATGCTCCTTTTTTTTGCTTTTCTTCATCATCATCATCATCGTCGTCGTAGTCGTCGTCATCATCGAGAGCAGCAGTAACAGCAGCATCAGCATCTTGCACAGCACCGAAGCCTTTTTTCCAACAAAAAGCTGTACATCGCATTTCAAAATAATGTTTGTTTTGTTTTATATTTTGCATTGAAGACTTTTAGCGATGTAATCCCAACAACATGAGCAGTCAAGAATAATTCTGATACACATTTTTTTGGTTCGCTCGCTCATCGTTGAATCTGGAGTTGTTTTCATTGTTGCTTTCCTTTGATCTATGCACCAATAAGAAGGTTATGTGGCGACAGAGTGCAAGCAAGAGAAAGTGAATGAACGCAACGGGTTTTTTTTTCGTTCTCTCACAATTTTATGAAAACACAAGCCATGGAGCAAATATACACAAAACTTGGCAACGAAAATTGTTTGTTTATAGAAACGATAAATCGATTTGTAAAACGAAACGATAAACAACGGTTTCGATGGTGCTGCGAACTGAAAGTTCATCTCTTTTTTTATACCCGTTTAATAAATCCATTGCAAAAATACATGCGATATGAAAGCAGATTTTTTTGTAGTTGTTGTTGTGTGTGGTTTTTTGTTTGAAACAACATTTTGATATATGTCAATCATGCAAACATGTGAGTGCGTGTGAGTAGCCAAAATCAAACTTTTGCTCTTAAAAGCAAACTCAAGCTCTTCATATTATGGCCATACGATTGTACAAGCGGATACTGCTTAGCCAAAACGATACACTTTCGTATGCGTACTCTTTATACACACGCTCGAATATAAAATATGATGTGTGCTTCGAAAAATTGTAACAACAAGCATCGACTGAAAAAGAAAACTTTGAAAAAATAAATAATATATAAACCTATTATCCATTAGTGTTATGTTAGTGTTATGTTTGCCCTCTTTCAACAATTCGACTTCGCTCCACCCCCTCACTCCCCAGTCTCTGTCTTTATGCTATGCGTTGAGTTTGTTTTCATAGCGAAATGGGAAAATGATATATTGTTGACGACCAAACAGAATTATTTCCTGGGAAATATTTGTTATTCAGATGGTAGCTTGGAACACATGGTTTGTTATTTTATTAGATGTTGCCGTCGGGGGAGGATGAACACTATTCGTATTCATCCTTAATATTTTATCATAATTTTCAATTTTAGATCATATTTAAAATTGTGATTTAAATTTTCATTCGGTCGACATTCTCGTTGCCATCCCAATTGAGTCCAAATTTTTAATTCAAAATATGCAATTGTTCGTCCTACGTATGTTGCATTGCAAACTCAGATGGATACGAAATGCATACACAATCCTTTCACTGTTCCATTGCTGGTTGTTCGATGAAACGACCGAAAAGTTTCTTTCTATTCGAATTGTATGTAATCGATTTAAACACTATATTACTAAAGATTAACAGCGTAAATCTGGAAAATGGCAAATAAATGAAAAGTTTATTGTGTGGCAAAAAGAAAATGACTCAAAGGAAAAGAAAAATCAACAAAACTTTGGTCATCATTTCCACACCTTTTTTTGTCCACTTCGCTCTCATACTCAAACACACAACGATAAAGAATATATTTATATGTGTAGTGTATTGAATGATTCTCAAATGGAAACTTTTCAAATTGAAATTGATACATTCAGGCTGGGAATAAAAAAAGGAAACTGTTTACTTTTTACAATACTTTTTTTCGCCCTCGTTTTCTCTTACTACTTATCACAACTCTCTTCATTTGGTGATGATAGTGATGATATGAGAATGGATTTTGTTTGTTTTATGGATTCAGAGTGCGACCAAGAGACACACACACACACACACACAGAGAGAGAGAGAGAGAGAGAGAGAGAGAGAGAGAGAGAGAGAGATTGAGTTGAAGCTTGGCTTACTTTTGAAACAATGCCAGACGCATTAATAAGTGTTGTCATCCACTAAATCTCAAACTACTATCACGCAATTTCAATGCTAACTAACATCAAAAACGCAATTGATGGCAAACGAACAATAAAAAAATGAAGACAGAATGGCTGGATGAGTTTCTGATATTGAGCATGTAATATAGCCGCTTCGCGAAACAAATTTATGTGTCTGTGAAATGAGCTTTGCTTCGTCCAGTTTTTTGTTGTTCTTCATCGCTCTCGTTTTTTTTTATTTTTAACATTCCAACATGAAAAATATTTTCCATTAAAAAAAAACACGATGAAGGCGAAGAAAAAAAAACCATAGCAAGACACAGCGAAAGCGGATATTAAGAAGCGTTTGCAATTCCCACATTGTCGAGATTCTATCGCAAAAATGGATGATGTCTACACGCAATAGTCGTAATAATGGCCGATGTGAATATACTGTATAGGCGAAATAAATGAAAACGAGCGCATAAATGAATGAGCTCGCAAAAAAGCTCCGTTTTTATTTCGATGCCGAACAACAAAAAACACCAAGAGAGAAACATAGTGTAGTTAAATCCAGTTTTAATGCAATATGTTGAACACTATCACGTCATTGTTATGGTGTACACATTTGGTCTGTCTCGTGCCACTCTCCATCTCATTTTCTTTGGCTCTCCGTTGACGATCTCTATATCTTGATCTCTCCATTTCTTTTAAAAATTGTTTATTCATGAATTGTTCATATTCTTCTCTTTTTTTCGCCTCTCTACTTTCTCCATTTCCATCGTTTTATATATATGTAACTGTATTCGTGTGCTATATCTTTTCATTTTCAGGTGCAATATTTGAACAAGGAACAGATGAAGTGCAATCAGCATTTAAATTTGCTATGCTAAATCACAACCTGAATGTGACATCGAGAAGATTTGAATTACAAGCATTCGTTGATGTTATCAATACTGCAGATGCCTTTAAGCTATCACGATTGAGTAAGTATTGCGACACTGTTTTGCAAAAACTTCACATTTACACACAGAATGCGCACAACTAGACAACATGATGTTGATGAAGGCGCTATGCGCTATGTTGGTACATCAAGCTCAGAAAGTCAACAAAATCAAAATGTAGAATAAGAAAAAGAAGAAGAAGTAGAACATGGACGGGAAAATTGAATGGAATAAAGCGGCACTTAAACAGCGTTGCGTATCGTTTTCGCAAAAGTGACGGGCTGACAAACATGCAAAAGAAATTGCCAAAAATTGTTTGAGATCGCTGATAATTGCGCTCATTCACATTGATAAGTTGCTTTGGTGAAGAATACCAAGAGCCAAAGCAAACAAATATATACTTTGCACAAATCCAATGAATGAATGACTCAAACTAAACGAAGCCTGTCATACCTCGACACCAGCACTCTCACTTCACAACTTGGTTTTTTTCTTATTCTTCTTCTTATTTGCTTGGCGTGTGCATATATCCGTGGAATAGGCGCTAAGTTTGAAAAAACAGTGAAGAAAAAAAAAGTTTTGCTCTCGTTTCTCTTTCCAACCACATTTATTTTCAAGGCGATGTGTGTGTGTGTTGTAGAAACGAGCAGCTTTTGTCCAAAGTGTGTGTGCCTTTCGAGAGCAAGAGACTTACAAATGGTGTAGAATCGAAATCCCTTACCAGCCTTATTCATCGGCGTAGTGCAATACACCATTTCTATACGCTGTCACGATATTCTTACGCCTTTATATTTAATACATTTCATCCCCTTTTTTGCTCTATGCTTGTTTTTTTCATGTGATTCCTTCACTTTTTCCTCTCTCATTCTTTTTGTGTTGTTGCTTGATTTCTGCCATTTATTGCTGCTTTTTCGTTACTTCGTTTTGTTTTCTTATAATTTTTTTTCTTGTGTTGTTGCCACTTTTTTTCCCATGCTCAGTTTACAGAAGTGACATTTATTAAATATACATTCAGAATGCTTCGAAGAACGATGCTTGACAGCCTATTGTTCACATTGGGATTTGTTTCGAATCAAATAGCAAAAAAAAGCGAGAGAGAGAGAGAGAGAAAAGCATCGAAAAAGAAGAAGTGATTTTAGTCAAATTTTTGTTCGTTTTGCTCCTCTTTCTTCTCCATTCACTTGCATAACGGACGATGTCGCGTGATCTTTTTTATTGTTGCTGCTATTATTACTGGCCATTCTATCGTCTGTGTGCTTGTTCAATTTTAATATGATTTTCGTTTTAGATGTTTGACAGTGCAATGAACAATGGAAAAAAATATATGAAAGAAATGGCAAAAAGTTTTTTTATTTTCGTGTACCCATGGCGAGATAGGGAAATTCCTTATGACAAAATACGATAATAATTCGCGACGTTTTGTTCATTTTTCCATTTGAAATGTTGTTGAAATACATTTTATTGTTCGTTCTCCGTTTCTTCAATTGGCTTTGGTAACTCAAATATAATTGCACTTTCTTTTTGCTGTATGTGCAACGACAGAGATTCATGCACTTTTGAGCGTCTTTCGTTTATCCGTTTGCAATGAACAAGCATATGGCTGTAGTCCATTTCAATTGCAATTTGTTTTTCCCATTGCACGCCATAGTTTCTAATTACTCGCCTTTTGCCATCAAACAATTTTTTTCCCATTTTCGTTGTTGTCGACTCCAAGTCGCTTGAATAAAAAAAACAACAACAACACTTCGGCTACAGCATTTCAACAAGTTGTCTTTATTCACACTTACGAAACGCGCAAAATATCAACGTTGTGCAATTCTTTGTCGTCGATCCGGCATAAAATTTTATTTATCATTTTGCAGTTTGCAATCAATTTTCCCGAGGCGTTTTTTCCATGCTTGGCGCAGTATCACCGGAATCATTTGATACACTACACTCCTACAGCAACACATTTCAAATGCCATTTGTTACACCATGGTTCCCGGAAAAGGTATGCATACATATTTATATATACGTAGAGTAGAGACTTTAATAGCTAGAATTTAAGAAATTTACGAAAAAAAGTACACGAAAAGCTTTTAATCTAGCTTTATGCAGTGTATACTGTTTTTTATTACTTTATTTTGTAAAGCATTAGTCGAGTCTTTAGTTTCTAATAGCAATCAGTGGAAATTGGAGTGAGAAAAATACGAAAAGCGATTTTTTTTATAATATTATTTTCCTCAAATAGCATCACAGGGTTAAAGAAGTTTATTTGTAATTTTTTTTTCGTTCGATTTTTATTTGGTTGAAAATGGAATTGAATAGTGGAGGTAGGCAGGAATTTGATACTGAAAAAATGTATCTATTCTATTTTCATTGTCTACTATATCATTTGCATAGATAACATTTACTTAGAAATAAGATGTTCATTTATATATATATGTGTAAATCGATTGAATTGGGTTCGGGTTGTTTCTTTTTTTGTTTGTTTGGTTCGTTCAATTTGGAGGGGCAGTCGTTTATTCCAATTTCATGCCAGTCATTTTATACCGTCAAAATGACGCAAAGAATGAAAAAAAGAGAGAGAAAGACTGACGCCAAAGCAATCGTTTATTGATATTTGACGATTTGCACCGAAATTGAAATGAGATATAAACAATATTTTCCTTTCATTCAAACCGAACATTTCAAGAGGAGGCAACAAATGACGACCAATTCAAGAGAAGAATAAAAAAAAACCACCGAGTACAACTCGATTTTGCTTCCTTTTAACCCCAAAAGATTTATGTATTTTTCTATCTTCTTTTGCTTTTCACAACCTTCGATTTACTTGAACATTTTCTCTCTTTTTCACATATATTTACTCATCGACATCGATACACAATACACCACGTAACAACCATTTGCAACCCCGCAGGTACTAACACCATCATCCGGTTTTTTAGATTTCGCTATTAGTATGCGACCCGATTATCATAAGGCTATTATTGATACCATTAGATATTATGGCTGGAAAAAGATTATGTATTTGTATGATTCGCATGACGGTGAGTATCTCAATATAAAGTATAAATGCTTTTTTGCATTGGCATTTTTCATATTTACATTTTATACATTTGGCGTGCGCTATCGCCACGATATGATATAGTCATCAGAAGAAATGGATGAGGTGAAGGCATGATACAAAATGAGCACACGTACAAAGAGTATATTTTTCATTTAATTTATTCGATGTATTCAAGTAATTTCGTTTTCGAATCATCATCAACAAAATTTGTTTAAACGAACCAACGAATGAACGAACACCAACAAAGTAAATCCATGACAAAAATGATTTGACCAAAAAACCTACAGCCACAATCAAACAAACGCAAAACACATGGGCACTTTAAATTAACCAGAGAGTAAAAAACGCTACCGAGATAGTAATAACGAAGCCTATTAATACTATTTTAGATGTCTACATTCAGAGAAAGCATCGCTGGAATTCAGCAAAATTGTTGTGACCACTATCGAAATGTGTGCACATTGTAACATATTACTGTTAATATAGTATTTCAAAGGCGGTAGCGTTTTCTACTGTCTGAAATGAACTATAGAAAAAAGTAAAAATTGAATTTATTATGACGGCAGCACATTGACATTATCCACTTCGTTTTTTTGTGTGTGCAGGAAATGTATATGTGTGCGTGCGTGTCTCGAATGATGTTGAGGTAAAATGCTGAAGGAAGTAGATATTGCCTACGGCATAAAGTTGCTAATATCATTCTCATTGCCGCTAGCGCACAAAAGGAATGGTACAATGAGGAAAAAAGGATTCCAAGTCGAATAAAGAATTTGCGCAACGATAAAGCGCGCTTTTACTCACTCTTTCTCTTTGCCGCACAAACTTTAAGACACATTTTCGATGAACAAACTAAAATATGGAAATTTGGATGTGTACGAGTGTGGGAAAGAGAGCAAAAGAGAGAGAGAGAAAGAGCAAACGCATTTGCATGACGAAAGCCGAGACCGAATATGGCTGTAATCGAATTTCAAGTTTTCACATTATTTATTAAAATATTCGACATTCACTTGTGCCGCCTATATTTTATTTTCAACAAGAATTCGCTATCATGTGCACAAAACGGAAAATACATACAGCCACAAGACGTGCACACATTACAATCTCATAATCACACAATCGCAATCACATTCTCTGTCTTTCGAATTCAATACTGAAAACGAGAAATGTCTTGCTCTATCTCATTCCATTTTATTCGTTTTTTGCTGGCGGTGTTCATGTTCACACAAAATTTAATCCTTTTAACGAACAAACCTCTCTCTCGTTGACTGTGAAACGCGCGCGCTGACGGATATCAAATAAAAGAAACACAGAGACAGAGAGAGAGGGAGAGAGAGAGAGATAAAGTGAAAAGGGTTTCGAAATTAAAATGGAATTATTAAAAACGTCATTCCGCTATCGATATATAATTGTCTTATTGCCATTTACCGAGATAACATTTCACTTTGAATATAAAATGTAGAGGATAGCATCGGCGGGCACAAGAGAATGGTCTATTTAATTTTCTGTTTTAATATTCCTGCGAAAAATGCGATCGGCATTGATATAATCTGATTAAAACAGAGGAAAAATATTATTATCCTCTCATGCAACGCTGGAAGATGTTGAGTTATTGGAATTTCACGAAAAAAAAGCATCACATCAACAACGAAAAAGAATCTGAATGGAATTTTATTCGGTTTTTTCAAAATATGAATGAAAAGCTAATTCGAATCGCTTGGTTTCATAATCAGATCTTGAATTTCAGTTTTTGTTAAATTGCAAATTGACCGGTTTTTATCCGCAGAAATTGCGGATAAATCATAAAAATTACTATAGGTAAATGAAGTTGTTCATCAGTTTAAATGCGTCGATTGTTATAATATGTGATGAAATAAACAGTCCATTCAATCCACCCAACCCATCAAGATATTAATATTTTTAAACCATAGAACCATAACCTTCACCCGAATGGAAACATGATTGAATTCCGGAAAATCAAGAGATGGTTGAGGTTTGAAATGGATACTGTTTTGTTCGCTTCGTTCATATCTAAATCGTTTTGATGGAATAATCGAGAGCATAAGAGTATTTTTCCGGTTTGTTTGATCCTCAAGAATTCACAGAATGAATGCATTATAAGTTGAGCTCTTGAAAAACGGTTCTGAACAAAAAAGCAATAATATCCAACGCTCGCCCGTTTATTCGTTCGTTCGCTTGTTCGTGTTGCTCTTGTCCGTTTACCAAACGGAAAATATGAAGTTGATAACTTATTTTTATGATTCATTTCAAATCAGCATTGACGTGCGCACATGCCCAACACACACACACACACACAGGTGCAAGATTGTGTGCAAAAAGTCGGCCCGTTGTATTATAGAAGAGAGAAAAAAAGAGTGCGAAAAAAGCAAAATTCTATTTTTTTGTGCTACCATTTTTTTATGACTTTGTATTGCATGCGATAAATTAAAACGTTTTAATTGAACACGTTTGTTTCGTTTGTCCTCTATCCTTTTCATATATTTTATGCACGCGCTGTTCATCGCTATATATTTTCCTGTATGCTGTATGGAATGGTAAAATACACGCAAATGTACACGCTATCGCAATCAAAATCGTTCGATTCGGCTGGTTACATACATTTTGCTTGCATTTGCAACGGGGCGATCCAAACTCACTGACTTACACACATTCGCATTTACGTATACACACATGCCATCTAACACACACCAGGTTTATTGCGTCTACAGCAAATCTACCAAGGCTTGCGACCGGGCAATGAATCATTTCAAGTAGAAACGGTTAAGCGTATTGCGAACGTATCAAATGCAATAAATTTTTTGCGAACACTTGAAACATTAAATCGCTTCTCACGAAAATTCATTGTGCTCGACTGTCCGATGGAGATGGCAAAGGAAATTATTATCAATCATGTTCGTGATATTTCATTGGGAAGAAGAACCTACCATTACCTCCTAACTTCGTTGGTTTGTATTGATCTTGGCCACTTTTTTTCATCTTTGTCGTCATCATTTTCTTCTCTTATTTTTACTGTTTCTGTGTTCGGTTTCTTTGGGTGCTTTTTTCGGAAGGGGGGGAGGTGAGGCGATTTTCTGTATTCGGTTAGTGTGTGTATACACTCTTTTTTTTATATGTTATTTTTATTCGTAGCGCAATAAAAATGCATCGTTTGCACACAGGCTTTTGGGGTGGTTGGAGAGCAATAAATAGAAGAAACAAATTAAACTCCTTCGATTACGGGGCGTATAACGAGCAAAAATATCGTTTCGAATTTCTTGCTAACAAAGCAAAAGTATAAAATCCAGGACATTCATTTCTTCTCTTTGCTTTTGCGTAATTTTTTTTTCTTCTTCTTCTTTTCTCCTTCGTCTTCGGCGTATACATATGGGTCTATATAATGTTGGTTGGGTCTCGATGTCGTGCATTCTTTTTCCATTTGAAAACAATAGGATGGACACGGTTACTAGACTAAAAGAGTGGAAGAAGAGATGGAGTGAAAACAGTTTTCGTAACCACAATCAACACCACATATGTGATGCCATCTGAAACTAAAATTTAATGCTGAATATGCATCTTTTCGTTCACAACGCCAAAAGTTAAAGTGTTTCTTCGGTTTCATAACGTAAAATGCCATCCATTTGCAATTTATTTGCAATTTACCGAACGAAATCGTGTATGGAAAGAGAGGAAAGAGTACAATCAACAGTGAATCGAAAAAAAAAAGAGTCGCCAGCACCAAAAGCGACATCAGCCGCGTACAGTTATAGAGAAACAGAGCATGATGCACGGAACACAGAAACAGAGAAAAAGAGAATGTGAAAGAGAGAGAGAGACGAACCTTGCTCTCGTGCACAAAACGATTTATGTTGAGAGCTTTTGAATTGCAGTGACATTTAATACTATTTGTTATGGTTTATGGTCGTAAAACAGGTAATGGATGATCGATGGGAAGCGGAAGTAAGTGAATTCGGTGCAATTAACATAACTGGATTTCGTATCATTGACGACAATCGACGATATGTGCAAGAATTTTTAGACGGATGGAAAAATCTTGATCCAAACACATCAATCGGTGCTGGCAAAGAATCTATTTCGGTGAGTTTGTACTTCTATCATTTTCTATCTGATCTGAGTATATTTTCAAAGCAACATTTTCTCGTTGGAGATGCGCTTTGGAAAAAAAACCTCTAAATTCAAATTAGTTTTAAAACACAAAAAAAATTCAACAGGCTCAAGCAGCACTGATGTATGATGCGGTTTTCGTTCTGGTCGAAGCATTCAATAAATTACTTCGAAAGAAACCCGATCAATTTCGTAGCTATACGATGCGTAATCGTATGGGACTACTACTTTCGCCCGTAACAAATGTATCCAATGCAAATGCAACCAACAATACAAATGTGAATCGTGTGCTCGATTGCAACACTTCAAAAGGTTGGGTTAATCCATGGGAGCACGGCGACAAGATATCTCGATATTTACGCAAGGTATGCTTATAAACACAAATATATACAGAGCTATAGTGATGTGCATGTATGTTTTTCGCATTGAATCAATATTTCGGTGCAATAATTTACGAATTTCGAAATTCGCATGTTTTTTGTTTGTTTGTTTATTTTCAAAAAGGTCGAAATCGAAGGCTTGACTGGCGATATTCGCTTCAATGAAGATGGTCGCCGTGAAAACTATACGCTCAATGTTATGGAAATGACGGTGGATAGTGGCATGGTCAAAGTAGCCGATTGGTCGGATCAATTTGGTTTTGTATCGACAAAACAACACGGTGCTGGCGATCGTGTACAAGCACGTATTGATTACGAACGGAATCGCACTTATGTTGTTACAGCAATCATCGAAGAGCCATATTTAATGTTACGCAAGGGAAAACCCGGCAAAGTACTCGAAGGCAATGAATTATATGAGGGCTATTGCAGAGACTTAGCCGATTTAATTGCACACAAATTGGGAATCAATTGTATGTATCGTTGATTGTTGAATTGAGCTTCAGTTCTGATTATAAAGTCGAAAATTCAAGCATTTTCTTTGTTTTTCTTTTTTTTGTTTTTTTTTTTCATTCAATTGGTCATAAATTCCAAAAAAAAAACAAGATGTGCTGCGTACGGTAAAAGATGGTTCATATGGCAGCGAAAATCCAAACGAGGTCGGCGGCTGGGATGGCATAGTTGGTGAATTGGTTCGACGAGTATGTTATCGTTTCCGTTGTTGCAAAGCGTTCAACAAAAATTCAATCTCTTTTAATGATAAAACCTGATTAATTTTGTCTATTTTAAGGAGGCTGACATAGCCATCGCCCCACTGACGATAACATCCGAACGCGAACGGGTGATTGACTTTAGTACGCCCTTTATGAATCATGGCATTTCAATAATGATCAAAAAGCCAGTGAAACAAAACGAATCGTTTTTCAGTTTTATGAGTCCATTGTCAAAGGAAATTTGGGTAAGAGTGCTTTATTTAAATGAAATTCACCAATTGATGCCCCGAAAGCTAAAACAGTAAATTGATATCCTTTTTGTACAAATCACGAAATTCCTTTAGACACTCATTTTCCGCTGCTTTTTTCAAACTCCTTTTCTCATTCTTCTGCCATTTTCTCTTTCAATTTTCTTTTGTCGTGTTGCCGCTGCTGCTGCTCGTGTGCGCTCGTAAATTTATCGGTGTGCTGCTACATTGTGTGAATGGGTTTTGGTTGAATTTGGCCAAAAATCAGGTTTGCATTTTATTCAGTTATGTCGGCGTCAGCATTGTTTTGTATATTGTTAGCCGGTTTTCGCAAAGTGAATGGAGACCAGTGCAAATAAAAGGTATGTATGTCGATTGTGGTTGAACATTGTCTACAACCAAATTATATAAAATGAATTTAAAGTTGGTATTGCACGCAAAACTGCAAAAACGCATTATATGCCAAACAAAAAGCTCTGCAACCAAAATGAAGTTCATTTGACTATATTTTATTCATATTAAATCAAGAAAATTAATTTATTTCATCTGAAAATAAATTCGGAAAATGTCATATAAATTTGAGCATCATGGTTCCACCACACGTTGTTCACTTTGATCTCTCTCACAAATAATTACACCCCTCCCACACACAAACACACACACACATGCAATTCATGTTTGTTTGCATTTTTTTTTCTTGTTTGATTTTGATAGGAGATTCATCGATTACCATACCACCATTGTCGACAACAGCATCGTCGCACGTAATGGCCAAAATGCCAAACAAATTCAGTTTATTGAATTCATTTTGGTTTGCATTCAGTTCGTTGATGCAACAAGCAACCTATGCATCACCATTGAGTTTGTCCGGCCGAATAGTTAGCGCCGTTTGGTGGTTTTTCACATTCATTTTAATATCGTCATACACAGCTAATTTTGCGGCATTGTTAACAATCGAACGAATGACAACACCAATTAATTCAGTCGAAGAGTTGGCTGCACAGCGTTCCATTCAATTTGGCACATTGCACGGCAGTTCAACCATGGCATTTTTTAAGGTAAACAAATATAGATTTTTTTTTTCTTCGATAAAATTTAGTGTGTTTTCATTTTGATGTCAATTTGGTTATTTTATGTCAAATATTTTGTTGATGCTTACGATTTTACTGTGAATGTGAATATGTGTAATATATTGAGCGCAATGAATTTTGATAATATGCTGGTCGGATCGAAATTCGTCTGCTTTTGACGTTGATACCATGACGGCAGCCTTTGCCGCTTGACTTTTTGGTGATAGTCGCTAAATTTCTGTGTCAAAGCGAATACATCGTTATTCGCTATTTATTTCTGTTCTTGTTATTCTTATTTTTACTACTGTTGTTGTTGTTGTACGTTACAGTTTACTATTTGCCGTCATTGCTTCCCTTGTAGCTGATTAATTGTGCTCTTTTTCGTCGACAAAAGAGCGCACCATTTCGCAGCCAATAGATTGAGTAGATAGCAAAGTTTTGTCGTTTTTCAAATGCAACGACTACGAAATATTTCATTTCCATCTGCCTCCCTACTATGTGCTTATCCCATATTTTTCGTTATTCGTTGATTGTACTGCTGTTGACACCTTATTTATTTTACGCAATTTTTTCCCTCTTCAGCACACTGTTCATTTCTTTTGCACACTCTCTTTATGCCTATTTTTATTTGCTCTTTTCTGCATTTCATATTTGTTTGCGCCTATGTTTACCATGCACAAATAAAACCTCTCATCCTCTCTCTTTTTTTTGCACACATACAAGTGCTGAAAAATCCAATGCCGATCATCTGACATACCGGATAGCAGAAATGAGACAAAAACAAAACAACAACAAAATGTCAGAGAAAAAGACGAAAAAAATTCAAATGAAAAAAGTTTCTGCATATAAATTTGGTCGAGATGAAGTCTTTCCATCGGTATGTTTGTGGTGTTTGATGTGTCATTGCAGGCATTTTATATCGACGCGCCCGCTATCCAACGACCGAGAAGAAATATAACTGTAGTTTGTTGTTTTTGTGACTTGGCTTCATTGCTCTATCTACTTCTCTTTCCCTGAACTTTTTTTTCATCACACTCTATTTGTTTGTTACGATTGTATTTTTCTCTAACTTTCTTTGCCGCAATAATAAATTGAAATATGGACTGTTCTTGTTTCGCCAGCAAAGAATTCAAAGTAACAAACAAAACTGGGAGAGAAAATGAAAATTAGGTAGCATGCATACATTACTGGCTGGAATTGAATCGTTTCTCTTTGCGCCGTTTGTACAGTGCAGGCCAAAAAAATATCCTTTCTACACTTTTTCACTAACTAAAGCTTGAAAATTGATGAAAATGTTGAATTTAGTTGGGTTTTTTCTTGTTCGAGCAAATGTCTCAATATACTGTTCTTTTGTATTTGAAAAAATAAAATCAAATCAAATTCGGCAATTTGCTTATAACTTTTTCGGCAAGAGAGTAAATCACATATTCCGAAATAAATGCTGAAACTTTTAGTCTGTAGTATACATTTTTGTGTAGACGTCGCTGAACAATTCATATTAGCTTCCGTCTAATGAAATTCTTTGGACGCGCATTCGTCACGTTTTTTTGGCATTTGTTTTTGCAACAGCATCAACATCGTCAGCAACAAAAAGAAACAAAACAAAATAATAAATTTTTATTGATGTTGTCACCTGAAATTCGTTACATACCAAAATAAAAACCAGTCTGATTCACATTTATTTATTTGTCGTGTCTCTTTTTTTCTCCGTACATTTGCCATTATAAAAACAAATATTATTTTCTCAACAGAAATCAACGATTCCAACATATTCGAAAATATACGAATACATGGAAAAACATCCTGAAGTAATGGTGCATTCGTACGATGAGGGTGTACATCGTGTGCGAAATAGCAACGGAAACTACGCGCTTTTGATTGAATCACCGAAAAACGATTACATCAACGAGCGTGAGCCTTGCGATACAATTAAAGTTGGCCAAAATTTGGATAGTCAAGGCTTTGGAATTGCCACCCCACTCGGCTCTCCACTGAGGTAGGCATATTATTCATTGTTTTTCTCATCAAAATACTGTTTCAAAAACAAAACGAAAATAAGATGATGCGAAACAATGTTGACCGAAAATTCGGTCGATATGTTATGACTTAGATTAAGTTTGAAGACTATCAACAAAATAGAATGCTAAAAGAACAAAACGAATTTCGCTCTCTTTTTTTCTCTGTCTCTCTCTTGCTCTCGTTCACTATCGTCGGTTATAGAATGCCAATCAACTACATAATTTTATCTTTGATGGAATCGGGCGAATTAACTAAATTGCAAAATAAATGGTGGCACGAACAAGCCAGATGCAGTGCAAATAAAAAGACAACGCATGATATATACACCAGCGACGGTTTGGCACTGAACAATTTGGCTGGCATCTTTTTCGTGTTGATCGTTGGTTTGATATTGTCGCTATTTGTGGCAACGATTGAATTTTGCTTTAAGCAACACGATCCCATGAAGCAACATCAAAAATTCAAAACAAAACCGGCCACAACGACCGCAATGAACACAATACAGGGTAAACCAAAGCTAACCATTCAAGAGCAACGCGATTTTGATAATGGACGTGTAACGGTAAGTAGAATCGAAGCCGCGTGTCTCACATTACCATAGACCATACAAAATCATACGCGTTTCACAAATCAACTCACTGAAATCACCATGGATTTTCGTTTTATTTTTTTATTTTATTTTATTTTTTTTTGTTACTTTCGGCTCTTTTGACGTTTTCATCATTTTTTTAAGCTGACTGTGGCTTAAGCGCATTTACGTTGCTTCATCCCCAGTCTTCATCGAAATTTTCATATTTTCCTTTTATTATACAATACAATATATTTCATAGTCTCATTTTGCCGTTGACGACCGTTCATCTCTCGTAATTTTTATTTATTCTCGCCTTTTAGTATTATCCATCGAATAATCAGGCTACACATTTTGAGCCTGATGTGATGCAAATCAACAGTCACGCAACACTGCCGCCACCACCACCATCTGGTCATCAAGGTCATCAAGATCCACGTATAGTTCGGCCATCATGCGCCAACAATACAATACGTCGCATCATGACAAATAGTCGTCAAGAAATGGAAAAAGTACTCAACGATACGTGATAAGCATAGGTCAGCAGTGTAGATAAAGTGAACGGCAGCAATATTTCTTTTTCAACATTGTTTCATTAGCAGAAGCGTCTTTCTTCTTTTTCATTCGCTCTCTTTCTTTATTTTTCTTACATTCTTTTTCATTTACTGCTATTTCATTTTGAAATGCGATACATTTAGCACTTTAACTGTGGAACTCTCTCTCTCTCTCTCATTCTCTCTCCCCCTTTATAACTTTTGCTCCTCACTTTCTCTCTCACTCACTCACTCACTCTGTCTGTCTGTGCATCTTGCTCGATCTCATGCAACACCGGTTGTTTGTCGGTGGATTTGGTAGCGCGGACACGAGCGCGAGTATGCAATAATAACGCACAATGGCAAAAGCTATAAAAGAAAGTTAACTTGAAACCGGAACAGGCTTGTGTATCTGACTCTATATTGCTTTCTAGCTATCTCTCTTTCTCTCTATCCCGTTTATTGTTTTCGTTCTTCTTCTGTCGCATTATTTTCATTGCTCGCTCCTTTTGCCCGTTCGTCTGCATTCTTCTTCTCCTTCAATTTTTATTTGTTCCTATATATTTTTTTGTGTCGCTTCTATCCGAACGGATGTTTACGTAATTTCATTTGAAAATGATCCGTAGACATCTATCTCGTTTTATTTTGTTTGTTCATCCGTTGTTTTATTAAATTTTCGACAAGTGATCCAAGGTGTCTCCTACACTTTTTTTTTACTTCTCTTCGCCGCACTTCAATATAATCACAACTTGAAAACTCGATGCTCTCTATCCTTATTAACTAAAAATAGCTACAATTTAATAAAAAAAAAGTAAAACCGTTTCGATGGCACAGCATACACACTCGACAAACACACACACACACATACGCAATTCAAGCAGCACCACTCAAGTCGCGGTCTTCTTGCAAATATTGAACTGATTTTTCGTTGTGTGTTTGTCTCTTTTTTTTCAGCTCAGATGATAAAATGAGAAAAGAAAGAGAAAACAAAATAAGAGAAAAAAAAATTAAACGAAACTGTGATAAATCAATTGTGTAATAATTATTATCAAAGCTCCATAGTTAATTAAAGTGTATTAAGAATGATTTTAGTTTCATTTGTCGTCATAAACACGCAATTTATCATACATTTACACACATTCACAATACACATGCATTTATAAACGGCCATTGACTTGATTGATTTGAGAGAATATGTCTAAAAATATGATTTTGCTAACAAGATTAATTGTTAACAATTTATAAAGTGAAAATTATTTATTATATCGATGAGAATAAGTATTGTATATTCATATTCAAAATATTGAGCATTAAATTTGCAGCAGAGAGTACTTATTCACACGCACATTTCTTGATTGAATGCCAAATGGTTTGGCATGAGAAGATGCAAAATTACGACAAAAACAATGTTTGCAAGTATGCACGGTGCATGCTGTACATTGCCCCACATTAAATTTGGTGTGTCGTATTCGTTGGATTTCAGACAAAACCATGATGAGAATAAACAATAACTTTAAGTCTTTGATATGCACGTAAGGTTATTTCAAAAGTGAGCGACACCCCGCGCGCGCACATACACACACGCATACATGCACTGATTCATCGGGGTGCATTTTTATGAAGTCAGTTTTTGTTTTTTTTCTTTATATATCGATGTTTAGCTACGTATTTCTGTGTGTTCTTTCCCATCATCGCCGATACGTATCAGCCATGTAAACACAGAAATATGCAGCTTTATTTCATGTCATACATTAACGGGAAAAAAAAAAACAAAAATATCAAGTAAAAAAAACATAAGAACGAGGAAAAAACGTATTAGATTAAGAGTCACTTTTCTTCTTTAAACCGTCTTAAACTTAACCTGCATTTGTTAAACTTACCAATAGTGTAGTCGTCGAATAAGGGAAAAAATCACACCAGAACGACGTACAACCGATTTTCAGACATTTGATGCAGAAACTTAGAAAAACACATAGTTGATGGGAAAACTAACAAGCTAAATACGAAAAAAATTTCATGTAGTAAGAATCAGTCCACAGTCAATAGACAGTTAGACACACATTGAATCGATGCAATTAGCGAAAGAGAGTGAACGCAAAAGAAAATCACAACCAAAAACAAGATGTTGAACATTATTCTTAGCTCTGAAAATAAATGTTGTCTAATTGATGATTAAGAGAGTTAAAAAAAACCGATAAGACATAAGAATATGAAATTACTAAAACATAATTATGTATGTAATGTATTGATATCATAAAAACGACAACTGAAGTCACCATTCGTCATAAATAAATATAAAATTATTGATGAAAAACATATAACAATTGGTTTTGATTTTACGAGTTTTGAACATGTTTATGACCCAGGTAAAATATAAAATACGTTGATATTTTCATTAAATTTTATTTTTAACATTCTTCAGTTTGGAAAAGTCACAAATTATTACGATTCTGTTAACACGTTTTAACAGGGGCTCAGAAGTATTTTTTTTATTTGTGTTTAACCACGGATATTTACACATTTTTGATAGTACTGTAAATATTCGTGATTATCGTAAATATACAATAATTTGAATGGCTGTAAATTCCATTTGCAAAATCAAATTGATTCAAGTTATTAAATAAATATACATTTTTTCCTATGAAATATTAAAAACAATTATTAATTTTATTTTGTGTTATATGTGTTGTATATTCACAAATAATCAGCGCTGTTATAGGCATTACGGAGGTGCGAGCACTTTTCTTGTAAGTGCTTCTCTTTCTTGTATTCAGGTGCGTCACTTGAAATATTAAATGGAATAAGTGCCGTCACACAATAGTATCCGCACTTCTTCGGTGCCAATGACAGCTCTGCAAATGATCACATAAATTTTGGAAAATTTGCCGTCATAGACTCAAATCATTAAAAAAAAACTGTCTTCATTTGAAGATTTCTTTTGAATTCCCAAGCCCTTTCATTTGTTTTATGGAATGAAATCAATTAGGACGATGGATAACATTAACCCGTCTATGGATTGAATTCAACAGTTTAGTTAGTGCTTTCTAATTTATATTTATGATCTATGGCGCCATCTAGCGAAATGCAATTCATCCGGTTTTTTCACATAAATTTTGGTTTCATGCCGTGATTTCAACTCCAGTTTTGAATTATTGAATTGCAATCATTTTTAATTTTTAATCATTTTTCTTTACTAACGATAAAAAAAAGCTTATCGAAACCAAATTAAAAATCATTTTGTTTCTATATGATTTTTTCAGCTTTCAAATCAACACAAGTTTCAAAGTCAATAAGTAAACAATTTTGTTATTCATTTTCGTAAATTAAAAAATCGAATGCATCAATTGTGACTTCATAATGAATTCATGAAAAATGTGGCCAAAAAGGATAGAAACTCGAAGTAAAAAAGAAGGCTTCAATATCAAGAGACATTTTTTTATCGTCTAGATTTTTACCCTTTTTATGTCTGAAGATAAAATCTCATCATAACATTTAATTGAGAGTTTTCCAAGAAAATTTGAACCAAAGTACTTCGTAATATTCGTATTCGTTTGAAGTAAGGTTTTGGTTTTCGTCGAAAATAACTCGATTGATGTTATATTTAATAAAGTTGTAAGTATGAAGGCAAAAAAACAACACTTTTGAGTTGCATTGACGAAGCTTGGGTCCGACACCGTATGAGAAAAAAACCGAGACAACCCAAATGCTTCATTGGCATTCGAAAAGTCAAAGAACTTTAAGATAAGATGCATGATGAATATCAAGATGTGAAATATTTAAATAATTTTTCTTCATTTTTTTTTTTATTTAATAAAATTATGATAATAGTTGAGTGGTTTTAATAATCAATTACATTCAAACTTATATCGATTATTTCATATAATTTGCTTTGTGTTTTCATTTCTCTTTTTGCTTTCATTCGCTTCACTTATTTAGATATTTATATATAGATTTATATTGATTTCATACAAGCAGTACAATGGTTTTGCTTATTGCTAAGAAAAACCTTAACTACTATGTTCTGCTCATTAGACATTCATTCAATTTATTAAACATTGATTATCTTCCGTTTTCTCGCCTTCTTTAAACGATCAATGCCATTTTACGCGCTTTACTTAGTTTCCTAATTGTAATGCTATCATTTTATGTATAATTAGATAATCTTCAATATAATATATATTTTATAAAATTTTCTCTGGTTTTTCTACACTTTTCTTCATTTTTTTTTTTAGTTAGTTTTGTGTTGAGTGTTTCGTCGAGTTGCGATGAGCAGCGAAAAGGATAGGTGTGGTGTTAATGGTGACGGTCGTTTGATCGAAACGATCCACAAATTAAAATTATTATTTTTTTAAAATTTTGTATTTTATTTTTGTACAAAAAAAAGCGAAAAATTTTTTTTCCTTCCATTGAATTTCTTTAAAAATATAATAACAAATGAAATCGTTTGGGGCGCAACAAAATGATGCAATCATTGGATTGCAATAAATGATTGGAACAAAGATAAACACATTCCTATTTGGGCTTTTTTGCAACAATATTGGTAATTCAACAATTTTTCGTTACTCTTATTCATTTATTATAAGAAAAGAAGAAAAAAAAAACGGTAGCCTTGGGCATTATAATAGTGTGCACTGTTTAAAATTAAAAGAGAAAAAAAAATCTTTTCATAAAATGAGATTGTGAGTAAGCAAACGAGAAAGATGGAATAGAAGACATACGACACGTAGAAGGGTGAAACGCCACAAATCAATGCCCTAAAAATGTACACTTTAAAATCCAACACGATACGATTTATAATCAAACAAAAGCAAAACCCTTTCACTTTGTACAACAAATTCACCAATAAAACATATTTTATATATTATAGTGTGTGTATTTTACATGCTAATAAACGTCGCTTCAATTTCCATCCATTCGATATGAAGAGATGATGTTTAGTATGTGTGTGTGTTTTTTTTTTGGCTCTTATGTAAAGCGCATTTAATTTAAATGAACGGCAGATGAAAATCGCGGCAACCGTCTATTAGCAGGCATATTTAAAATGATGACCGAAAAAAGTGTGTAATAAAATATAGCTAATTAAAATTAAAAACAACAAAAAATTATACACATATGATAAAATAAATAAATAGGTTATTAAATTGTCAGGATCATTTCAAAACATTAACAGAACCATTGCACGAATTTGCCCACATGCACTTTGAAATCAATAAATAATCATTTTTTACAACATTTTTTTTTGTGTGTGTGTAAATGCACTCACAGTGCATATAAATGGAATTTCATTGTAATGTGAAAAAAATTCTCTATGTATTTGCAGTTATGTTCTGCTTGTGTTTTTTGTTTGTGTGCCCGAAATGTCCTGCAATATTTTTTCTTTTGTTTTTAGAATGCTCCTCCCCTATTGTTTTTCTACCGTAATACTTCAACTATAAAAAAAAGAGACATTTGGTATAATGGTTACATGGTTTTTCTTCGAATGCCTGCTAACCACAGCGGCTATTGTGTAAGCGTGCCGATATGGTGTGTATAAACATGTGTTTTATATTGAAAGAGAAAGAGAGATGAAAAAAAAATACAGCGAATGGTGAAAAATGAATATTGCTTGCAAGCTGTTGATTTTTTTTCTATGAAAATGCTCCTACGTTAAACGTTATACGAGTTTTATTTTTTTTTTAATATAAAATTGTAAAATATGAATTTCAACTTAAACAAAAATAATTGCCAAAAAAATACAATTTAAAAAAAATATAGATATCCCAAGAAAACAAATGTTAGATTAGTTTTATGTGTAAAAGCAAGCCAATAAGCTACGATGTGTTTGAATTTGGGTGGTGTTTTTTTGTCATAAAATGTTTGTTTTTCTTTTCTCGTTTGATTAAGCCTTATAAATTCATATTTAACATCTTCATTTTGAAACCTAATCTCTTAAAAATGCTTGGCATTTTGTTTAGTTTTGTGAAATAAAATGTAAATCGTTATCGATTCATCTTAGAATTTTGGTTGTTTTATCTCTGTGGAAAAAATTTACTAACTACAAATTCTTGGTCATAACTTTTTTTTTCTTCGAGAGCACGAAATCGTACTTTTAAAGTAACATGCGACGGCTTAGCTTGCGCTTTACTTCAGAAGCCGCTTTGCCAACCGCCACTCCTGAATTCATATTAGTACATTTCTCACACCAAATCAAACTACAGTAATTTCGACAGGAGCTGGTCTGTCAGTAGCGATTTCATGCTCGATTTTTTTCTTTTTCTTTTCTACAAATAACGTGTTAATTGAATATGTTGTTGTGTATTGCAATGTAGTTGTGTTGGTGTGAGTTGTTTATGTTTATGGCCATTGGCATTTAATAAAATCAAAAATTGAATATAATAGAAGCGTATCGCCCTGAATCGAAATCAAAAAGATCAATTGGACTGAAACTTAAGTTAAGATGAGTTCAGTTAAGGATAAACGAAAAAAAAAACGCGAAAACATAAATGAATGCATTTGTTGGTGTGGTGCTGCAACATTTTCTCAATCCTCGAAACGTGTTTATTTGTCAGCAATGTCAGCGCTTGAATTTGGTGTTGCACTTTGTGATGTACTGTCAAATGAACGATCGGCATTATTGTTTGCGCTATACTTTAATTTAACACCAAGATTTTCACGCAGTTCCGAAATTTCGGCCGTGCCTTGCATCAAACGTTTTACGCCACGCGGCAAACCACGACACGATGATAAATTAATTGAATTTAAATATCGACAATTGCTTAATATCTCTTTAACTGCCTCCAGTGAAACCGATGAACCGCACAAATTTAAATGACTGCAATTTTAAACGGAAAATTTATACGTTAAGAAGCGATCAATGAACAAATGAATTGAATTAATACACAGAAAATACATACTTTAGTGGAGATTCATCACCTTTCTCAGCAATGGCCTTGATTGCATTGTCCAATGGCTCTTGCACATTTGCCCATGCCAAATCTAATTCAGTTAAACTATGAGCCCATTTAGATGCGATCAATTCCAAACCCGAACTACATGAGAACAACAACAACAACAAAAAACCATTACATTTTCACTTATCGATGTGAAGCGGTCCAAAATAATTTACCCAATATCTCGTGTAACCGAACATCCGGATAAAAATAGATGCTTCAAATCCCATGTTGGTAATCGAATCAATGTGTCATGTGTCAAACGGGCACAACCTCTAACATCTAACAACTTTAATTTTGTACTTGTCTTTAAAATTCGCTGCAAAAATTCATCGTTCATGAGTCGCGATTCATCGGCTAGCGATGCAACTGATAACTCTTCCAATTCTGGAAAACCCAGCGATTCCATCTAGTTTTTTTTTTAAAAAGAAAGTCAAAATAAAATATATAAATATAATATTATGAATTTAGACACTAATTAGAGATAAATTTCATGTTTTTCGGGAGGAGGGGAGGTAAATGACTGGGTATATGATGGTTATAAATTTGCACTAACCTGTTCAACAAGCGTTGCTGCACTCAGACTAATTTGTGAATTGGTTATTCTCAATACTTTCAGATGTGAACATCCTTCTTGCAATTTTTCGATGTGCAGAACTCCATGAGATGCAGCAACTGTGCTCACATTCGATAAATCCAATAAGCTCAAGTTCGGACAATGTGTCTGAAATTCGAATGGAATGAACACATTTTAAATTATTCCAAAAGAAGTTTTTCAATTTGAAAAACACAATCAAACAAGAATTTGATACATACCGATAGTGCTGTGATAAGTTGAGGTATTCCAGCTAGGCGATTATGTGCCAAATTTAAATGTGTTAAACGACCTCCAAGCGATTGTATTGCACTGCATAATGATTGTGGACCCACAGCCGATCTATTTGGATTCAATTCCAACTAAAATAGCAAATTGTAGGAAAAATTTCATTTTTTTTCTATTGTCGATTCGAAAATATCATTTGTAAGCTAAATTGAATAAAAAAACCATACTTACATTTACTGAGCTTAAATCGATTCGTTGCAATGACTTGAACTCTTCAACCAAATAGGCTAAATGATCACCCGTAAATTCCTTCCAACCGGCAAGCGAAATGGCCTCTAGATTCGGACAAGCATCTAACAAATGATCTAATACACACTCAATATTTGTCACCTTCCAATTGGCTAAACAAAAAATTAAGGAACATAAAAAATAAATAACATAATTTGAAATTCAATAAATCAAGGAGCCTTAAAAAATTTCGATCATACCTAAATTAACATCTTTGCACCATGTTAGATGTGTGGCAATGATTTGTTTCAAGTTGATTTCGCTGCGATCCTTTGCCCAGTTCGACAAGTCCAATGTATGCCAGAGTTGTGATGATTGTGAAACGCGCCTCCACAGTGTGCACACCCTGCTAACATTCACCATAATTGGTAATGTGCCATATTGATTGACAGCTTCTTCGAAAATTTTCAATAGAACATGTTCGGGTATATTATTGCCCCATTGGCTTTGCTCATCTGGTTCGGTATAATCGGTGGCCGTGTTCGTTGTTTGCTTTCGATTTCTATGCTTTTCGGTGGTTGTATTATTGTTCTTTCGTCGTTTCTCATAGTCCGAATCATCACTATCGCTGGTATCCTTGGCCCTTGATTTCCTTTGTCTTTTGCGCGTTGTTTTTGTTGATGTGCCAGTAGCTAGTGGTGACGCAATGCCAGCCGTACCAGGAGATCCAATTGCTGGAATCGATGTAATTGATTGTTTTTTCTTTGTAGATCCAGTACCACTACTGCTCAATGCCATTGAAATTGGCGCTTCAAGTGATTTCTTTAGGCGAATTTTAATACCTAGGCATGGTTAGAAGAAAAACAATGGAATGTAATGGCAAAATTATCGAAGGAATGGAATTTTATATATACCCATCGTATTTTCACTCAGCTGACTTTGATACATTGCCACAAGAGCTTTGCGCTTCGGTCGTCCCCTTGAAGTTTTTGTTGCCGTTGATGCGGACGATTTTTTACTCGATTCAATGGCCATTGCAAATGATTTTGGTTTTCCGCCCGATGGTGATTTCTTGACGATTGATGTCGGTGACATGGATGATTGATCTAGTTTAATAATAACATCGAAAATGTAATAACCAAACAATTTATTTGATTTCAAAAAGTCAGATCGAATGATAAAAAAAGTTTACCAATTTGTGCACTTCCGTTTGATTTTTGTGTTTGAGAATTAGATTCGTCGGAGAACGGTGACAAAGGTACCGGCGAACAAAATGATTGTAACGGTGAACAGGATGGCGTTGTTGAATAGTTTGTGGCTTGTGTTGGTGTTTTCTTGCGATCGTTACGCGGTGAAACCGATGATGATGACACCTTCTTTTTGCTATACGTTCGAATGCTTTCTTTAAGCGCAAAGTTTCGTGTATCGTTCAAATTTTTATCGGAGGTTGGTGAATAATTCGAATTCATAACGGTTGAACCTAAGCGACTGCCATATTTGCTATCCATAAAGTCAGATTCATCATTTGAAAATGTATAGATACTGTCTACTGTAAGCAAAACAAAAACATTCAAAATATCGATGTATTGTGATATTGAATTATTTTAAATTACCGTCTTTATCTTCGGTATGTAATGGGGTTAGTGTTGATGTGGTTGTTGTTGTTGATGTTCGGCTTTGGCCGAGGTTCATTAAACTGGTCGGCAATAGTTCTGGTCTTTCCGTATGAAGATTCATCTTTTCTTTGTTTGTTAATATTGTTGATTTTTCTCGAAATTATTTGTATTTCGTTCAAACGTCACAGACGTGTCGATTTATTTGTTGCTGTTTTCTGCGCAGTATGTTTCATGTGCAAAAAGCACCTGATGTAACTTTTCAATTTTAACCCCTTTTTGTGAATTAAAATTGTCAACTTTTGCTATGTAGATTGTGGTTGAATGATTTTTCATTCAATAAATATTCGGTTCAGTTGGCATACAATTAACAGCTTTTATGAATGCATCAAATGGATTGAATGTATCCATTTTTGTGACGGTGATTGGAATCTGATTTCGTTTTTGAAGTGGAAAAAAAACAATTGGCTTTTGTTTTTTTTTTGTCTTCAAGTTCACTTTCACTCGTCGTTAAATCGTATACCGGACAAAAGTTTTGGTATTTCGAAAGTAACTGTTGACAGTTCTTTCTGTCTGTTTATTTTATTTCGCGTGTTATTCGTTTCCTTTCTTTTGAAATGTTTTGTTCGGTTTTGTACGGGTTGCATTAACCACTCACTCTCACTCACACACAAACAAACACTCACTAAAGCTCCTCAAACGTCAATTGCTCAAGGCTTTTACTTGGAATTTGACAGAGCGTTTGATGATGTATTTTAAATGGTTTATCCGCGCGCGCTCTATATGCACCCACACCGATTTATTGAAAAAAAGAAAATTAACACTTTTTATGCTTGGACCGGGCGCATCCGCGAAAAAAATACTCCAATAGAAAGCTCACGAATTGTTATTTTTCATTCGATTGATGCAGTTTCTGGTATAAAAACTCTTTCACTTTTCGCATATATTCTATTCACGTTTCAACAATTTATTGTGACTCCCGTTGAGAGTTTTTTGTTGTTGTTTTTGGTTCGGTTAGTTTGTTGAGGGAAAGGAACTTATACATACAAATCTTTCATACGCACACGATTATCATGATGCACATGAGTGTTTTGTTTACTTGTTTATTTGTTTGTAATTTCAAATATTGCAACAGAGAACTTTTTTTATCTACATTACCACTGTAGCGCCTTTTTTGTTATTTTCACTACGTACGATTGCACTATGTATTTGTGTTTTTTTTTTCTTATTTGTTATTTCAGCAAGTTTTTTTATTGATCCGGATGGGTCGGCGACAAATATTAACAATTGCACATTCTTTTCGTTATAAAGTGCGCTAAAATAAAGTGAAAATAGACGGAATAGATTAAAATACAGTTAAAGAGAAGCAACACAAATTAAAATAAACGAATAATATCACACACGCACATATATATAAAACATCATATTATATGCACGCACACGCGAAATTCACAAATCAAGCATGTGTGTTTGTGTGCATGTATATGCGACCGTGTGATGGTATGCATGTCAATACAAATGAAAGACACGAGAGAGTTAAACTACTTTTTGATTAGTTGCCACCGTCAATTCGTAAAACACTTGGAACACTTTGGTCTTATTTTTAATAGACCTTCTTCAGTCACCTTTAAGCACTAGCAATGTATATGGAAATGATTTTTGAATTGAGCGAGAAAAAGATCAAACCGTGTCCAAATCGTTATCAGAATACAATATTATTACTTCAATGTTATCGACTGCGTATTTTCGGGATTGGCTGCATCTCTCTCTCTCTCTCCACCCCCACTCTCGCTCTTTCTCTTTCACTTCTTTCTACCTACTTCATAAGTAGTTTTGCACTTGGCCATAAATTTTGTAAACATACATACATTCTCATATGCTCATACATTCACACAGAGTCCATTGCACGCACACACACATACACTTGTACGCAAACACATGTGTGCATGTGATATCAAACATCATTGTTGGACAACAACAAAAACATTTTATTCGAAAAACCGTGTATCGATGTACGTGTAAAATTGATAAAACAGTGCATGAACGAAACGGTGATGGGTAGTAGTGTTGCTTTTCGGCAACAATTTAATCAGCGCACGAATTGAAACGAATCAAAACCGAGACACACTGATGTTATTTATTGACCACATACATGTAGATTCGTGATAAACACGGCGTTTCTGTGGTGCTGTTGTCGCTTTTTTGTTACTTCATACTTTTCTCTCTACACGTCTTCTCATATATGCATAATGTACCGACAACAAATGATAAACAACAACATTGCATCTCAACCAAACCATATCAATACCAAACCTCATTCTGATAAATTCAATATATTGGTATTTTCGGTTGTTGTTTTTTTGTTTGTTTCAAACACATGATGATGATAAATTCCGTTGAATAGTTTCTTGTCGACTATCAACATTTCAGTATAGACTGTAACATTAAGTTTTTAGAATTCGATTTGGGAATTTCATTTGTTTTGTTTGAAGGTTACAAGAGTTTAACATGAAAAATGTGTCATTAAACTCTTCTTTATCTTGGATTTTGTTGTCTTGTCTTGACGACTTTTGAGCCCTTGAGCAATATGAACGATTCATGACAATTTGAAGTTCAAATTTTAAAATTATTTGTTATCTCACTCTGGGCTCAATTCTTGTGATACATTTCAATTGTTTGCATTCAAACGATTCAAAAAGCATGCCACTTTGTCGCGCACATATCATACGCATCTCTTTTTACATTTCGGCATTGGCTAGAATGTGCAATGTTCGATGAAAGTAAAAATAAAAACAGAATTGTTTGTTTGAAGGAAACGAAAAATGTATATATTGAAATTTAGACATCGCCGACACCGCGATAAAAATACATAGATAATTTCGGACAACCGTGCGCGAACATACACAAGACAACACAGTACTTGGGATTCAAAAGTCAGCAAGCACTTTAAGAACCAGCACTATTGAATCACGTAAACAACGGCACGTACACATGCAGGACACTGTCACACTCGCGCTCCAACACTCGATTCGATATCAACACACACACACGCACATACACATTCATACTGCACACATCCATGACACACACACACAAAAATTCACCTCTCGATAAATACATATACACGTCTATACATGTATAGTTGTTGTTTTTAGTTTACAGTTGACTCGAGAGGAGCAGCAGTAGCAGAGGCAAATAATAAAAAAAAAAAACTTGTACAAAATTTTCCATTTTGTAGGTCACTTCATTTAATCACCTGTATGTATTAGATATTTGGCTTTTGGCTCTTTTTTTCTCTTCCCTTCTCTTCTGATCTTGAATCATTGTCGATCGAATTCGAATTGGCTCTTTTTCCATCAAATGAAATGTTTGTTTACAAAATTCCCTTACATTGTTTTGTCATACTTTACATGAATATTGTTTTATTTCCTCATTGATGCGTTTGAATGTGTTGAATCAATATATGATTATCAGTGTGCATTCCAGTGCATGTACGAATGTTTCTTGGTGATGTTGCAATTGACTTTTATTGATTCAGATCAATTTTCAATAAATCGAACAAACGAAATGTGTTGAAGAAATGAAATAATATCGAAATTTAAAACAAAAATCGCGTCCGCATCAAACATCAAAATGAAAATATCACCAAAATATCGTTTTACACACGTAAACACACACGCACACATATATATGTGATAGACACACAATGACATATACATACACTCAACTCGTTGTCAATTCACATTAGAATAATTGTACATTTTAAAATCTACACAAACTAAAAATTTTTTATTCACTCTCATCGTTTTTCATTCGGATTTTATTTGCTTCAACCAAAATTTTATCCACACCAGGCTAACAATAATTTTTATGATTTTTATTGGATTGTCGCTTTCCGCCATGTTCAATGAAATTCAAAAAATCATTGAAGATGAAAAAAAGACAACGATAATTTCGATTGTTTTCTTTTGTTACGATTGTTGTTTTGATGTGAATGAATGGGTTTGCAAACACCGTCTTTTTCATTCAATTCCTATTGACTGTCGCGTAATTCCACTTGTAACAATTTTTACTGAACAAAATTTGCGTTTTCTTTACTTCAAATGGTTTTTATTATATCATTTTCACATTCTTTCATTTTTATTCTTTTTTTTAAACAATTATTTAATTATTTCAACACTTTTCCAATCACATTGCGCTCATACACATGCACACACACACACCAAATTCAAAACTTTCTATTTAAAAAAATACCTACCCGATGAATTATTGTTTTGGTCCAGAATATATTCTAATGCGGTTCTTCTTCTTCTTTCGAACGTATAATTCTTATAAGTATTTTCTTAAAAATTGAAGTCATTGAAGATTCACGATTTGTTCTGTATGAAACTTTGCTTCGCAACAGAAAACAAATTCTCGACTAAACGAACACGACTCTATTTACGTTATACATTCGTATTCATTGTAAAATGCAGAGCGATGTGATGAGAAAGGAAAAAAACATACATGTAAACCAAAATATTTGCTTGTTTTGCGCTTCGCATGTGTGTTAGAGTGACACAATCAAATGCATGGAAGTGGGTTGCAATGGCGCACTTATTGAAAAACAAGAAATTCATTTCGTTGAAAATCCACATTAAAAATGAAATGATTTGTCAATTAAAGCAAATAAATTTCGATGTATTATCTTTTTTCGGTGAAATATGTGTATATTTTTTCATTTTAGACGAAATAAAAAAGTCACATCACTTTTATCGGTGAAAAAATGTGAACAGAGGCACCCTAATATGTGTAACCGATATTTGTTTGTTTGTGTTTCGTCCGTAAATGGTCACTAATGTGTTCGGTTATCAGTGTGGTTGTGTGCGCAGGCTCTTGTAGTTGTATTACTCTCAATGTGTGTCGTTTTATTGTATGTTCGCTTTTATCTCTATCTTTCACATAAATCCGTCTCTTTCACTGGATCAACTGCATCTCTATCCCATATTTACTTGTACAGTCTTGATTCTTTAATTCTACTTTGTACAAGACAGATTTCGCGCTCTTTTTTCCAACTAAATGATTTGTTTTTAAAACCAAAAATATGGAAAATTTATGTTGAACGAAATTATAGAATTTTTTTTTGCAATACGTGATATAGTATTTTGTCTCGCATTTTTTTTCTATCTGCTTATATTCAAAATGCGACTTTTTCGTTTAATTTAATTTCAACCGGAATTCCCCTTCCATCCGATGACCAACAATAAATTGATTGGCGCAAATTAAAATACCGGAGGTTTTCAACTCAACAGCATTTCGCTCACAGTTCTTTTTTTTTTTTTGAAGTCACAATTTTATCATTGAATTAGTGAAACAAAATGATATCGTCAACACGTTTTGATTTTATTTAATTTGATTTTTTTGACACTTGCAAAAAAGAACATAATTTGGAAAAAATGAAAATAAAGTTTCAATAGAAAATACAATGTTTTCAAATGAAAAATATATTTATATATATATTAATGTTGGACAACATTTTTTTATATCATGCACGTAATATCATTTTTTATAAGATAAAAATGTAAATATTAATATCAATAATAAATGGTTTGAACTAAATTTCTACTAAATGTTGATACATATAATTTTGGTTTTGTGACACCGAAAAAAACCGCATCAATCCCAATTTTCTTCGGAAAAATGAACGCTTCCATTGAGACTATTGGTGTCATTTTCCTTGTTCGCATCATAATCATAATCATAGTCGCTGATTTCGGAGTCGTCGTTTTCGGGTAGTGCTTTTTCAACACAGTCATTTTCATTTACCACAAATTCTGCTCGAATGATGGTCCGAAGTTCATCGATATTGGCGACATCACGAACACAATGAAATATCTCCGTGATCGGAAATTCGCAAATGTTCCGTTCTTCATTCAAATATGTGTCCAAATTTCGATTTATAAAATAGTGAACATCGTCTATGATTTTTTCTTCATAGCTACGATCATCCTCATCATATGGAAATTTCTTACTAAATAGTAGTTTGTAATCAAACTTTTCAATCGGGAACACAACTTCTGAGTCGGTTACAACGAGTGGCGGTGCGATTCCGTCGGGTGTGTCTTCATTTAACAATTCCAACATATCTTTGCGAACAAATATCGCTGCTTGAGAACACTGTCCCAATGATTTATCGGCAACTTCAAATGGCAATTCACCTGCTCCAAATAAGCCAAAACGGTAGTTTGGATAACGGCAGCAAATATTGTGCGCCCTGTAAATGACAATATAATCGACACATTACAATAAAAAAATAATGGAAAAATATATTTTTGTTAATATTTACCAGTCTTTAAACTGTTGTTGTGTCCATTCAAATTTGTGATCTTCATGTCGAAATCCATTGCTAAATTTTGGCCTGCCAAACAAAGTGTTGAAGTCAGCGTTTGGTGTGGTGAACACAGCTATCTTTGGATTTATGAAACCAAAAATATTTTGCACCAAATTTTGCTCCGTTTCTGGATATACGTGTTCAATGCTAAAATAAATTTTAGATTTAAAAAAAAATTATTTTTGGAAATTTCATGAAAAAAATTGAGATTTGATTTTTAATTTAAATTTTTCAAAATTTTAATTTTCCAACGAATATTTTTGAAATAGATTTTTAAACTTCTTTTTCAAACTTACATTTCAATGCAAACAACGACGTCAGTAGAATGAAGACTTTCGTGAGGTGAGTCAACACTGCCACGATATACATCTATTACGAGCGGATATTTTCGCCTCGATAAATAGTCCCATGCCAGTGGAGAGGCCCGATCTTCGAATCTTTTCAGAAGTTCCTCGTCGATGTCAATCTATGATAATTATTAAAATACGTGAGGGTTTTTTTTTGTCTTGAAGTCGAATTTTTTTATAAAATATAAAGTAAAATTGAAATTAAACGCATATTGTTTTTTCTTCTTCAAATTAATAAAAAATAATTTATTTCATTTTCTCTTCTGACTTTTTTTTACTCAAAATGATTATAGATAACAATGGTAAAATTTCTTATTTTGTTGTGAAATTTTACAATTTGAAATTAATTCTTTTTTACTAATCGTTTGTTACATCACAGTGCATGTTTTGTTTTTTATTTTTTAATTCAATTGTTCTGATCTATTTTCTTATTTAATTTTATTCTTATTCTGTTCCAAACCAAAATCGCTCTGATTTTCTATACACAATGGTTCTGAGTACGGTTTGAATGTGTGGACTGATTTGGTAGTTTGGTTTCCATGTATTTAAATATTGATAAATACGTGCGACTCCAAATCGGCTCAGTTGACAAATGGCTAAAACGGCTGCTTCCTGAATCGATTTCCGTTGTGTTGCATTTAAACAGGTCACAAAAATGTTGATATATCCACTGATGTCTTCTTCAATTGGAAACGTTTTTACAATCGATCCAATGGTAAAAAGAATTGTGCAAATTGTCTCATCATGTTCAACGGTTGCATTTAAATTCATTGAAAATAGTTGATGTAACATTGGTAGAAGATGCTTTTCGATAATTTGTTTCGTGGCATATTCGTAATCTTTGCGCTTGGCAATCAAAATCAATGCATAGTCAACGTGTTGAAGACGTTTCATTCGAATGCATTCCATGCAATGATCGACAACACCATCAATTGGAAATAGTTTATCGGCAAAGAATCCATAGCGACGCTTCAGTGTGTGATACATTTCATTTTTCTTCAAAAATGGTTTGTCTTTTGCATTATCTGTGTATATAATGTTTGACAATGTACTCATTATGGCCCGAATCAATGGATCATTGTTGTGCTCAATTTCATTTGCATGCGGCAATACAAATGGATGTGCCATTATTGCAATAAATACCAATGGAATCGATGAAATTTTATAGTAGTAAAGACATTTGTACATGAAAAGTCTCACTTTGTCACGATTACTTGGCTGTTCGATGTCGACGATGGCAATATAGAAATGTGCCAAATTTGTTAAAATTGTAATTGGTTTCTCTCTTTCGAATGTGAATAAGCGACGTTCCAATTCAAATTGAATATATTTATTGAATGTTGGCATCAGTTTTGTAAGTCGTGACACCAGCAGCACACATTTTTGTAACGATGGCGGCAACATCGGTGCTGGCGGCGTACATTCAAATGTTAGATCTTCTCTTGTGTCTTCGACCACTTCTAAGATCGAAGTGACCAAATGCTTTGGCAATTGACTTAAACTTAATAATTTATCAATACACTCGGTTGCTGTTGATGATGACCATTCTTTTGCGAGGCAATACTTTTCGATGGCATTTCTTAAGCTGGCCAAGAGGTAACATTCGGCATTGGTAAAATTTGGCATCATCACCTCGTGCCGTGTGCTAAGCGTATAATTGTAAATAATTTGATCGAATGCTGATTCGGTGGAAATGTCATTGCCATCGTCGCTCTCTATGACCTCGTTGGCAAGTGTATCGAGTGGAATCATTGGTGGATTCAATGTCGATGTGTTCTCCTCGGGTTTTGGTGATGCTGGTGAATAATCATCAAAGTCAGGAATTTCATCGGCGTTGGACTCGGAGATTGGTAGGTCTTGTTGGTTGACATCACAATTATCTGTATTTCGATCGTTTAGAGTATTGTTGACTTCGGTCAATGTAGGCAAGGTCAAACACTCTATTGACTCTGATTCAGTGGGCTGAAGTTCATTATCTATCGGCAATTTGGGTTCACTTGGTGATTCTAAAAATTGGTGTAACGGCTCTTCTGGCTCTTCCGAATTTGGTTCTTTGCTATCAAATATTTCGCTGCTTTCATGCGACTCAATTTCCTTTGGTTGACTAGCCGATTGATGTGTCGGATCATGCGAAATATCACCATCGATCTCATTCGTATCGTCCATTGGCATAAGAGGTGCTGTTGATTTTGGTTCATACTCCAAATCCTTTATTGGTGACAACATTTCTGGTACCCGAAAAGACTCCAAAATTTCTTCGATTTGTTCATCTTCGTCGCTTGAATCGCCAAAAAGTGATTTCATCTGTTCGGCATTTTCGGCCTTCACCTGAAAATAGACAATGAATTTAACAAAATGTTCAAGAACAACATTTACCCTATTATTTACCTTGTTCGTTTTCTTCTTTTTAACCGCTAAATCTTGGTTGGTGGTCTCGATTTTCCGCTTTGGTACTTTGAACTGAACATCATCACTGTCGTTAAATACTGAACTGCTGCGATTATTTAAATGTAAATACTCTCGATGCGCTAACGGTCGTTTAAAAGTTGTTTTCAATTGATTATTGTTGGTTTTCTTTTCACATTTATTCGAGATGATTGGTTCGTTTGGTGTTTCTTTTTCGATTCGTTTCACTTGTGACTCGATTTTGGATTGGCAGTTTTCTATAGTTTGTGATACCATATCCACTTTTTCAATTGGCGTAAAGACGTTTTGTTTTTTCGCACCCATTGAACAACTGCTATTTTCATCAGGTAACGGCGAATAATTGCTTAAATTTCGAATTTGACTAAATACAATTTTATCACTATTATAGCTCTCCATTGAATGCATTGAGTCACGACTGTGGTCATCATTGCAATCGATGCCTTTTGCACAATGCACATCATTCAAGTCATTATTTTCAATTGGTTTGCGATACATTCCTTTTTCCGTGATTAGATTTTGTATCATCCGGATATGGTCGAATTGTTGTTCGTCAACACTTAGCATATTTCCTTGTCCAGCAAGCATTCGGCACAGAACATCGCCGATAATTTGCCAATAATGATGAAATTGTGAATTTAATTGAACTGTATCATCTGGTATCTGTGACAATGGACAAAATGGGCTCGGCGATGCACATGGTGATGGATTTTCTTCCTTTTTCACTTCATAAAATTGTTCCGATTTCGTTCGTGCCCGTACGTAATTAACACGTTTCCGTACATTATGGATGTGCGTAAGTGTTCCTTGTGTTCGACAGTTTTTGGCCGTCGTTTGTGTACCGGCTGTTGTGACTTTTGACGCATTTGCTTCGCGAATTGGTGATAAAAGCAATGGATGCGGAAGCATTCTGTTCAATGCCGATTCAATACACAATGTGCTTTGTTCGTTGTCCGAATCCATATCGGTGTTTGTAGATGATTCGGTTGTCTGTATAAAGGTTGATGTGCACGTGGATCTTGTTGTTTTCGATTGTTGATATTGTGTACCTTTTTCACATGTGATTGGTTTCGGTGTGGCATCACATTCGAATGGATCGGTTTGTGTTGCAAATGTTCGTGTTGTTTTTGTTGTTTTGCTTTTATTATCCGCACCAGATTTTCGACGTTGTTTCGATGGGCTCTTCCAATCGAATAGTACACCATTTGTTAGTAAATATTCTTTGACTGCTGTGCATTTTCGTGTTAATGCAGTATTTGATAATTGATTTATACAAATAATATTTGCTTGTTCCACATACGATTCACATAGGTCCAAATATTTCTTGTTGCTTTTCTCAATTTGATCTTCAAATTCAGCAATTCTTTGATTATTTAATGTGCTCATATTTATATGCACATTTTCTAATTCATTCAATCGCCCTTGAACGCGATTCAATTTAGCAATCAAATCCGCATTTTCGACCTGCAATTTGGCTCGTTGTTCTTTTTCTTTTGTATACAATTCTTGAATTTGATTGGCCGTTTCGGTGAATGATTTGAAATTTTGTTGAATTTGATTTGTTTCCGCACATTTTTCGTGATAGCTTCGCACCAATGTGTCATTGTTGACGATCGATGACATCAAAATTTCCATGTTGAATGGGCTCAATGACGGTGGCGATGCACTGAAATCATTCATTGCCAAAAACACTGACGGATCTGATTCCATTTTATTAATCAATTCTGATCAAATCGCCTTCACATTGAAATTTTTCGATGAAGATTTTTCCGAAACGAAAAACACCGCTCACTAACGATGAGGTTATGCTCACTAAAACACGAACCCTTTTTTTCTCAATTTTATTTGAATTTTATCAATTTTTAATCACAACATCTTTACAAATTGACATTTATTTCTACGCAATTTAAAATGCGGTTCACGTGTTAATTTTATTTACAAAATAAAATCGCAATCAAATTCAACGATGTAAAATACAACGCTGCCTCTTCTCCATAAATACGACACACAATAAACAATTCAATACGTTTTCAACATAACCTCAATTATGGATCCGCTTACGTTTTTCCCATTCTCGCATTTCTAAGCGAGAGCTCCTGTCATTCAATTATATATCAGCCAAATGTCATATGGTTTGACAATGGCAAAACGCACCAACATCTAAACGAAACACATGAACGCATTTCAACTGTCAACATTTAGTTTGGAACATCTCTTATCGGTGAATATTTTTCTTTGTACTTCTGTTCGCAAAATGTAAATACATTTTTAAACCATTGTTTACCGCCAAAAATTTCGTTTTCGCTTGATATGCAAAAAGAGATATTTTTTTCATAACATTTATCATTTTTATCGATAGGGAAGATTTTTCGGTAAAAAAATCTCATTCAATTCGAATAGATGTAGAAAAATGTTCGTACTGACACAAGTGGTCAAAAATATTTAAATATATCATTTTCTTTGTAATTTATATCAACCTGTAAAATATGTGTGAGGTGTTCAATACGTCGCATCAACATCACAAGATTCATGTCCGCACACCCGAATTCGGTCACCTATAAAAATGATTGGGCAGAAATGTCTTTTAAATATTTATCGCCAAAAGATCTTTAATTTATTGTAATTAAGTACCTTCTTAATGTGCGGAATCCATTCTTTCTTCTTCAAAATGGAAGTGACGACCGAATAGCGTGATTGATAAACGGGTGGATCGAATCTCAACTGTTGTACACCATCCTCATCGGTTACATAGTACGATAGCGATCGAAATATATCAGACAAAGTCAAGTCAATTTGAAATTCACTAATTTCATTTGATTCCATTTGTAGTTGATTGCAGTGATTTCTTCTTTTTCTTCACAAAATAAATTCAAACCGAAATACAATAGATCATTAAACAAATGAAACAAAACAAAAACTACAATAATAGTTGAGAAACTTTTTTGGTGTGTCGAATGCGGTGCTTTTGTTTTGAATATTCAACAAATCTGTGAAATAGTGCATTGCTATTAGGAAATTGTAAGCATTGTAACCCGTTCACATTTCCAACATTTCTTTTGCATTTGAAAATGACATGTAATGTAAACCGAACTGTCAACCTAAAAGTTGTGTGCATTTTTGAACAGAAATAGTGAGTATGGTATTTTTGCATACTTAGACATTTTCAATTGACTTCGGTTGATTGTATGCGTCAAAAGCTTGAAAATGACGGAATTAATTTGCCGCGCTCGCCTTCGTCTGTATGCTCATATATTTTATTGGAACATGATTGAAAGTCGATACAACAATCATGACAATAAGCGGCGTATGCTCAATGTTAATTTAATAAATAGTGAGATTGTAATTTGTTGTGTGTAGTTCATGTGATAATAATGTTCATGCATAAAACACGTCATCAATATTCAACAAACTAAATTAAGAGTCGACACAAATGAGTAGAGAGAAAGAGAGAGAGAGTTACTTCACGCATACACACAATCGTCAATTCGTTTGGTCGTCATTTATGTACATATGCACAACCACTTCAACGACCACTTTAGCGGCCGTACCACACAGTGCACACACATTGTCATACAATCGTACGGCTGGAAGTAGATGAAGTTCACAATAATCACTTTGGTGCGATTGATTTGATGATTATTTTTGTTTTCCGTCTTTTTCTTTCAATTCATGCATACAGCATATCGAAAACTTTAATTTTGTTTCATTTTTCTGTTGTTGTTACTGCTGGTGTGTATATGTGTTGTGTTGATATTCCCAACAATTTATTTTAATGTCGTGTCTATTTCATTCCATTCGGAATATTAGTACTATTATATTACGAATTAGTCGTGAATAACTTTAGTCATTTTTTTTTTTCATTTTTTTCGTGTGTTAAACTTTTCTCACTACGTATTATCGCCTGTCTGTGTTCGACACTCTAGCACATTTGATTCTTGTGCACATTCGCGATCGAACACCGCTCTGCTAAAAACGCAACAAATCCAACCTCCAGAGAAACAGAAAACCAGAGATTTTGTTTAAATAATTTTTTTTTCTTCACAAATTCGGTAAATTTATTGCTTTTTAGCCATTTTTTCATTTTCATTTTTGATCAAACTTCTTTTTATCTGATCTGATCGGGAGGGCAAAAAAAAGCTTGATCAAAAATATGATGTGCTGTGTGCGTGTTATGAGCCAATGACTTTGCGATTACCATTTATTTTAATTTGTAATTTAAGTTGATTATTTTAAGTGATATATTTCGGCTGAAATAGAATGATTAAATTTTATTGATTCATTTAAAAGAAGGAAAAGTGTCTATGGTTTACAGTATACAGTTTTATTCGTGTCTGATACTTTTATCAAAAAAAAAAAAACACACACACACAAAATCCAAAATGAAATAAATTTATTACGGTTGGAAAGGATTTTTTCTTTCGCTTTATCCATTTTTATCGCCATTAAATTTTTATCAAATAAAAAATGTGTTAGATTTCGAAACATTCAACGCGTGTATAACAATTCAATCTTTTCTTTTTTCATTTCCAGAAAATAGACATACAAAATGACTGAATCAGAAACAACTGTAAAAACCTACTCATTGGCCGAAATTGCAAAACACAATTCAAACCAAACGACCTGGATTGTTATTCATAACAACATTTATGATGTGACGAAATTTTTAAACGAGGTAAGTTTTTGTTTTTCTTTGCAATTTCATTTTACTTTTTGTTCATCATCACCCATCACCGTTGACCACGTAAATCGGAATATATGGCGCATGATATCATCAATTTTGTAATTGATTGGCACTTGCTCATAGATGCACACAGTGATTTAGAGAGAACATGTGCACTGAGTGACTTTTATTCATTGTTGTTGTTGTGATTGAGTATTAAGTGATTTCCGGTTGAAGAAAATAAAAGAAAGAACTAGAAAAGTAACATGCACAAAGAGAAGAAGAAAACGGGCTTATATTTGATGTCGTTGTAATTGTTATCATCTCATCGCTTTGCGATAGAGTTTAAATTGAAATTGCACTTTCTATCTTTATATTGAATTTTGCCTCATGCGATGAAATAAAAGAGTGCATTGATGATGTGTAGGTCGAATTTGTATGTGTGTGTTTTTTTCTTCTTCATTTATTTAGTCCATATTTGCTAATCGCAAACACAAACGAGAAACGTGCGTTCGATTTTACAGTAGGATTGCCATTTTTTAACATTTGATTCCGCATTAAATGCTATCACATCCACTCACACACATTGATTTCTTGATGCGTAAAGAAATGCTTCAACGAAATCAGCTGAAGTGAATGAACGCATTTCAATTGATTTGAAAAAAAAAAAAAAAACATTATTGTTTCACGCCAATTGTTTGGTTTTTTTTTTCGACGCTATCGTCGGTCTGCTTTTATTCGCAGATCGCACGCCGTTCATTTGTAAACAAATAATTATCTAATATGACAATGGACGGCATAATTTCACCAGAATCTCTATTTACCCGAATGCATTCTAATTTTGGGCATCATGGATATTTTTTAAGCCTCGAACTGTCCAGATATTTTGTTTTTTTATCTTTCGCCGAAGCGATACTTTTAAATGTATAAGTGTGTGTTATTTTGTGTTTTTCTCTTTCATGGCTTAATCACATTGTCACACATTTAAGTTGAGGATTTCAAACCTTCTCGAATGTGGTAAGACGCAATGGCGTTGGGAACTCACAAATTGCTGACTCTTTTGATTTTTCGTTGAATAACGATGATTTAAGAAAAAGTCACGATCACAGTGACTTAGTTGAAATATCAGGTTTTTTCATCGTTGTCTTTGTATCAATGTTACCGAAACAACGCCAAGGCTAACCTGTGTGTAATGACAACGTAGCTTTTTCGCCTCTTTGCTTATAATAAATTGTAATCAACTGTGTGTACTGGGCCGAAGATAACGGATAGAAGCACCATTGAATATTTCATTGATATAAACACACAAACACACACACACACGGACGTTTCTATAGTTTAATTTTATGTAACCTTTTCCGTTGATGCTGTGTCGATATTTTTTTACCCACCAAAATCTGTTGCTATTTTTGGTGACAAAATTAATGATATTTCGACTTTGTTCTTCTTCTTCTGGTGATTAAAAAAAAAAAACATTGATTAATTTCCGTAATTGCTTGCCGAAAGCTTAGTCGCAAAAAGAAACGAGAGATGCGAAAATTAACAAAAACCGATTTGTATCCGTATCGTTCTCATTATTCTCATTTTCATGTAAATGAATGAAATTGGCAAATGCAGCATTTACATTATTATTGTTCATAATCGACCCAAAAGGTTACACCTTTATAAATATTAAATATACGCATTGAAGACATGCGTTAACAAATCATCAGCTATAACATATAGAAAACAATTATACGAACGCCCTAACCGGCCCATTCGTTCAACACGGTCGCCTTTTCGGTAGAATATTTGAATCGGCTATTTTGCGTAACAACGGGTGTCTCCGTTAAATTCGAGTCAGTGTGAGTAAAATGGTTTTTGAACTAGTTTAAAATCTCATGCCATTTGATAAGAAGTCGGCCGGTCGTGTACGATTTGTATATATATAATTATACAAATGTGTGTTTATTGTGTTCCGTTTTTTACTGCTTGTTCAGCGAACTTTCGAGAGATCAATCAGCCACTTAATGTGCGCGCTCACATATTGAAACCTTGGATGAGAAAACCTATAATGCACACGTGTATTTGTGATTGTTTCTTCTTTTTTTTTTTTTTTTTTTTTTTGTCAAAATATTTCATACGAATGCTAGTACGAATGATAAGATCGAATTTAATGCGTTATATTCTTTGAAATGGTTGAATTGTACTATTTGTTCAATTAGTTGTAATTTACTTAAAATAGTTACTGTGAAAAGTGGTTATTTTTTGCTTGACAAACATGCAACGTCGATCAGCATGACATAGTATATTTTTTGCTGTGAATACTGTTTCCATGACGAATTTCTTTTCATCAATTTAATCGACCGACGGCTCGTTATCTTCGAGCTGCAAAAAAGAAGACGAAGACGTAGAATAGAAAACAATTGTATTTAATCATTTTGATAAGCGTTGTCCACTCTACTTTCTCAATCTTCAACGTGTACATTTCACACAAAATATTCTACTTCGATCTCTGTTTATATAAAAAAAAAAGTTATTTTTTTTTGTTATTTCGTTTGATTGAAACGTTTTGTCTTACATTGTTTTAAGGCAATAATAATACGACGAATTTTATGGCCATCAATAAAAAAAATTGTGAATAAAATTGATTCTCATTACGTTTATTATATTTAGCGGTCAAAGTGTGTACCGTGTTGAGTACACAGGCAAACAATGTGTTGTTTTTGTGTTCAGAATATCAAAGATCGGCGCCATGGCTTATTGAAATGCATTTTTTACAACCGACTGTTGCATAAATGCAATTCGAAAGAGTGCATTTCGATTTGAAACTACGCACACATCAATATTTTAATGTTAAACTGAATACATTTTACATGATTTTTCCGAGTGCATGTTCACAAGATAAATTCAAGACAATGCGTGTGCGATACGAATTTATGAATTTGTAGCGCATATTTTTCTTTGATACATACTCTGGCAGGACTGAAATAATAAAAAATTCGTTCGATTTGCATTGATTTTCATGTTAACACATCGAGAGGCAAATGAACCTTTTTTGCAAATGATTTTTACGTACATTTTCTCGCAAAAAATATTGATTCTCTAATAGTAGATGGCCAAATCTGGTACTAGTATCTTGAAGATAATAAAACGGTTAAAATTCTTGTAAAATCGTTCCAACGATCACACTAATGGATTTTTTTTACGAAACAATGATATTGCGATGCAGCTCATTCAGGGCATTTCAAAAAAGATTTCAATAATATAATCTTGCTATTATCGACAACTAAATATAATTAATTTTCCATATAATCATTTTCTCGTATATTCTAAATGACATGGCAAATATCTACTCGATTTATCATCAAACTTATCAATGAACACACAATATAACAATGGAAATGCACACTAACTGAGCTATAAATAAATTCGAGAAGAGTATAGATATTTTAATGCTTGAGATTTTAGCAACTGCAACTAATGATTGTACAGTTAGACAGATCACTTGAAATCCGTTTTGACACTGAATTTTAAATTGCACTTATGTATATAGTATTGCTCAATTATCTGTCAAAATCAGTAAAAAATACAAGTAAATCAGCAAAACAGCCAGTTATATAGCAATATTAAGAGCTGTAATTAACATAAATGTAAATTAAATACTTGTCAATGAATATGCGTTTAATAATAGTGAACTTTGTATTGTCCGAGACTAAATTGTCGTCAATCTTTTATGGATAATTTCAAGATGTTTTCAACGATCGCACACATTCAATCCGATAAAATCTACATTTTTATGAAGAAAGCATTATGTTTACAGTGTACATGTTTGTTTCAAGCATCATAAACTTGAATTACTTCAATTATTTGATTTTGTCCTAATTTGATTTTGAAATTGTTCTTCTTTTACAGCATCCTGGTGGTGAAGAGGTGCTTTTGGAGCAAGCCGGCAAAGATGCATCCGAATCATTTGAAGATGTTGGCCACAGTACCGACGCACGTGAAATGATGAAACGCTACAAAGTCGGCGAGGTTATCGAATCGGAACGGACAGCCGTACAAGAGAAAACACCCCAATACTGGAACAACGAAACATCATCCACCGAAGATGAATCGTAAGTTCAATCAACTCTTAATACATATTTCAAACATGACGATCGATTTTAAATTAATTTTTTTCTTTCTTTTTTTTCACTCCCACAGAGCATACAAACAATGGTTGATTCCTTTGGTATTGGGAATTCTAGCAACAATTATTTATCGCTATCTCTTTTTGTAATCGGCAATTGAACAACATTTTATTTCAAAACAAATAAATCGAATGCATACTAGCTTTTTAAAAACACAGAAATAAAAAACAAAACAAATATATGAAACAATGAGTGAAATAAGGAGTGTAGTCTAGACATTTTATAAAATTAAACAAGCAAACAAATATTTTTACGCCGTACAAAATATTTTTTCGTCTAGTTAAAAATGAGGGGAAAAAGATGATAAATAAATTGTTAACTTTTTTAATTCTATTTTGCTAAGCACACAAAATCACTCGTAACGGATTTATTGAATGCACAGAAAACAAATGGTTAAATACAAATACACAAATAAACACAAATTGTTTTTTTTTTTTCAATAACGATGATTTGCATACAATCTTTACCTATTCCATCAACGATTTAGAATACACCTACACATAAAAATCCCAGTTGCATTCCAAAATCGTTTTTTTACACCGAAATATATATTTGTATTTAATGAAAATGTAATTGAAATAAATGGTAACACATATGTTTCGGTTTTTTTTTCGTCAAATTTGTCCTTTTTCTTCGATATATTATGAATATTGGGCATGATGACCCGAGTTCATTAACTTGTATACTTAGGTGAATAGTTTTGCTGGCCTTTTTTTTCCTAGTTCGTAATCCAGACAAACACATATTTCAACACAGCTTAACCGCATGAAATATGATTTGGTAATTTTCATATAAACCATTCAGCCCAAAATTTATTGAGTGTCTTACAACAAATTACCGATCATTTAGAATTTGACAGTGGCACTCTTTAAAATGCTAATGCTGTAGAAAAGTAATTTGTAAAATGCGCTAACACATTAATAAATTTTCTGGATTTTTTTGGAATTCAATTTCGAAGTGATGCGCCCATTTAGGGACGGAGACAGTGAAAGAGAGAATGGGAAAAATCGGCTTTTTTTCACTTTGAAAGAGAATTCTTACGTACAAAGTATCCGATTACACAGTTCAGCAGTGCTAGAGAAATTTCATCGGTTTTCTTTCGGACATGGTTTCGTAAAATTTATGGCTATTTTTCTTGGCTTTTATGCACAATTGCGTGAATGCATTGCAATGATGTGAAACCGAAAATTAATTTTACCAAGAAAACCCAACCAATTTGTAATAAATTATTGATTGAACGTTCGCACGACACTTTCAAAGGACGACACTTGATGACATAGTACCAACAACCAAATTGCTCCACATTCACATTGATCGAAAACATATTGTTTTCGTTTGCGGTCAGGCTCGATTTGTCATTTAACAAATATTTACGATCAATTTACGCATGTTCTTACACCGCCCATTAACAACATTTCAATTAGTTTTATTTTTATCACTGCAATTCTTCCCGCATTTTCTTAAAGAAGACAACTTACGTTGTGATAATATGCGTTATTAATTTATGCAGACACTAAAAACAGTATCAAAGCTGGCGATAGATTTTTAAGGATAAAAAAAAGAAAACCTTATGATGAGTAAATAATAATAGTTTGTTGAGATCCTCAAAATTTGAAGCTCAAATCAAATGTATATTTAATAAAAATGCCTTGATGGTAATAACTTTCAATCCTGAATTCGAGATGTGATAAGCGCATATTTCGACTAGGTTCGTCCTTTTTGCAGCATTTGTAAGTACCCGCCCAGTCAAATGTGTATCGGTTGTTTATATTTATCGACGTTTAGTATTCAATCATCATTACTCATCTCTTAATTTTCTTTACTCTCTTTCGCTATTTACGCCCGAGCGTAATTTAAATATGTGATGTACAGTGGATCTAGAGTAGAAATAAAAGGCATATGTGCTATAAGTACCGCCCACTCAAAGCAACCTAAAACACCAAAAGTGTACAATGGCAATTGAAGAAAAATAGTATAGATCTTCTTACATCGAATCTTAGTTTTATGCTCATCCCACCGTTAACTAGTCAAATATTCTTGTTACACTTGCATCAGTTTTCACATTTTTACTCCTCGACACAGTTCTGATCGGAAAAACTACAGATCAAAAACAATTGATCGTTCTTCAGAAGTGCAAGACATTTTTTTTTCGAGAGCATTTCACCAAAGAGGACACAAAGAATGCTATCTTCATAAAATTGATTTAAATTCTTAATTAAATACGTATGAAGTGACTTTCTATCGACGACACATAACGTTTTTTTAAAAACATTTTTGCAAATTTTTCAAAGTCTGAATTTAAATTCTAATTTTTTTCTCAAAATAACATGTCGCGTAAACGTGCAGCTTCACCATCTCACATTGAAGATTTTGATGATGAATATGGCGAAGATAGTTGTTCAAGTGGTAATTGTCTGATTTTATTTATATTGAAAATTGTGATTATAAAGCCATAGAAGTGAGAATTATAATCATTGTTGTTCAACAACAAAAAAAGTTGAGAATTTATACACAAAAATTCAATTGAATTTGTTGAGGCAATACGAACTAGTTTTTGCGAATATTAAAATATATTTTCAGGCAATATAAAAAATGATAAAAAATAAACAAAAAGTTATTACCTTATTACTTGTAAAGAATTATTTTGCTATCGTCAAATTTAAATTTAGAAGATAGATTAATTGCATTTGATTAAAATAAATTGAAATTCATTGTAAATAATTATTGATGATTTGAATTCAGGTTCAAAGAGTCAAACAAATTCGTTGCCTGTCCAGAGGAATGCAGCAAATGCCCGTGAAAGAGCTCGAATGCGTGTGTTATCTAGTGCATTTTGTCGTCTCAAAACAAAATTGCCATGGGTTCCGGTAGATACGAAACTATCGAAATTAGATACCTTAAGACTGGCCACAATTTATATTCAACAATTGCGTACGTGTCTAGCAACGGGCCAAGATTTATATTACACATCAAATGAACTATCACGGTTCGACACAAACACATCAACCGGACAAAATCAAACGAGTTTGGTAAGTTGAAATAGTTTTAAGTTAAATTTCTTTATGAGGGTCTAAGATGGATGAAAATTTATTCCTTTAAGACCCTTTGAAGAGTATAGAGAAAGGGTCTAACTTTAATTTGAGTAATTACTCATTGAAATTTGTCCTTGTGGATCAATTTGACTTAGTGGCCAATCAAAGGACAATTTTGGACAGAATTATGCAATTAACACTATCAGGGAAAACAATGACATAATTGTAGCAATCGCTTAAATGCAATACCAGTTTTTATTATAAAATATGAACTGAATTCAGTCTAATCGATGACTTTTTTACTCATTTACATCTAAAAGCTGACATAACGTTTCTTTGATTCGAAGTATTAGATATGCTTGATTTCCCCGAATACCGGCACATTTCTCGAAAGTACTTTTTCCCGAAAATTTTGGAATATTTCCAAGAAGATTTACCGAATTTATCTTTATCAATCTTACATATATGCAAAAAGATAGAGTTTGACTATATAAAGTCAAAATTCTTTAATAAAACCAAAAACAACTTGTTTTAAAGAGGCTCTATTTGAGGGGTCCTTTACTTTTTTATTAAAAAAAAAAAACAATTTCCTTTCAACAGACAAGTTTTTCATCCAATTTAAAAAAAATGCCCATAAATTATGTGTAAATAATTAAACTTTTAAATTATTGAATTGTCTAACTCTCATCCTACAGAGACGTCGATATTTCTTCTGTTATGGCATTTCACTGAAGCGAGAAATATGAAAAAAAAAAAATTGAGCATTTAAAATCGTTTAAAAAAAGATAGAAAGCAGCCTGTTAAATTGCGTCCAGGTGGATTATGTCTTCGGAGGCGTCAATCTTTCGCTTTATCTCGCAATGTAAATGACCTTCTTTTTCCTTTTTATTTCTAATCGATCGTATTGCTTGGAGGAAACGAAGAAAAAGGACAGTAAGATCTTAAGGAAACAGTCATCAAACGAAAAGAAAAACTGTTGTTAGTGAATGGCTATATATGAACTTTGAAATAAAGTGTCGTCACACATTAGCATCACTCGATGGGTTGACGTAAGACACTTTTCATTTGATGCTACGAAGACGAACAGATTTCTTCCGATATATTGTTTCCCACTCTAAACGATCGTAATAATAATAGACATGGGCTTTACGCCAGTTGGAAACACTCGGTCGATCATTATTTAAAATTGTTTCACATATATCTTTAAGAGGCTGTACGTGTGCGCAATACGCATTTGATGGCCAAGCGTTAAGCAAATTGTTCGAGCGCAATGCTCGACTGTCTGTCATTGTTTACATTATTATTTTGAGTAGAAGAACGTTTTTTTTTCGACTACTGCTGTTCACTGACTTGTAACATCATGCAAAATCAGCGCTTCCTTTCTATGTTCACAAATATGATCCATTCAAATGTAAATGTTTTCTAATTGCTTTGTTTTTATTTATTTAATGAAAAAAAAAAACATACACACATCCATGCCCGATTTGGAGTTATTGTACGTACAAACGCATAGTGCGTCGTAAATGAAACAATAATAAAAAAAAAACATTTTTTAAAAACAATTCGAAAAACATTTGGCCGAACGATAACAAATCCGTAAAGTGAAAAATGATCCGTTTTCTTTTCAAGTAGGCCCTTTGTACAATATAAACAAGTGCAAAATCACAATAACACCGACCTTTTTGGGTCATTGTGAAATGGAAAGCCCGAAAAATCGTTAAATAGCAATAAAACGATATTGCGTGAGCATTTATTTGCTTTACAGTCGTTATGAATGTATTGTTTTTTTAGATATACCGCCAATGTAGTTTATTTAAATTTAAAATTATCCAAAATTTAATTATCATCATTTTTACGATTTTTGTTTTGGTCTATTTAGGTTTGGCCATTCACATTTCAACAGCAACAGCAGCAGCAGCAACAACAAAATGTATTAAAGGTACAGGAATCGATTTCATCAAATCGTCCAAAGGAATGTCCAACAGTTTGGTATGAACGTGATGCAGCCATGTCCAATCATTACAACGTAAATTTTTACTCGTCAATCAGTAATGTGACAAATTCATCATCATACGAACATGATAAATATGATTACCGGCATGACAACTCTTTGCGTACGGAACATGGATAATTTTCAGTTTTGGTGAAATTTTTTTCTCTTTTCCAAATATTTATAAATACCAAAGTAAAAGGCCAAAGCTATTAATACATATTATGTTAACGGAAAACGATAAAAAAAAAACGAGAAAAAAAACGTAAGGCCAAACCCAAATATTTTGTAATCAAAACCAAATATTTTGTAATTTTAAGATAAAATAAAACGAATAAAACAAAGAAACACATGTGTCCCATATTTTTTGTGTGGTTTGTGTGTATTCAAGTCGTGTTTTGAATTCCAGCAAAATTTGTACCAATTGATGCTTCCGAGAAACTGATACTTTGTTGGCAAAAAAAAAAAAATCGATCGGCGTGAGAAAGTAACACTCAATTTCTATTTGAAAGAGGCAAAGAATCAGAGTTTGTTGTTTTTTCCCCAAAAGTATGTCAATCAAATTTTAAAATTGTTTAAACTTTATGCAATGAACGCGTTTTTCTTTTAACTTTTCGTTTCTGTGTTAATATATTCAAAGCAAAAGAAAATCAACGGTTTTTCCTACACTCAAACAGATGTTACGGTTCAAACCGAACAATTCTATACCGAAACACGACAGCCCAATAGTTTGACGTATTTGTTCACGTGTTGTATTTGTTTTATTATGAAGAACATAACCTCAAAAAAAACTCACATTGATTTAACGACATCATACTTAAAATTCAGTGTATGTAACCAGAGTAAAATTGGACATATTTTAAGCAGAACAACGAAAAGGTCAATCAAGAAATGGATAACGAAGGATTAGAAATGGATGTAACCGATGAAGTTATGGAGGAGGATATGGAAAATAGTGATGATTCCAGTGGCGATGAAGATGGTGATGATAACAAAGTGAGTGCAGATGAAAAGGCAGAAGTGTATTTGCCTGGGAAACCGCTCGATGCAGACGAAGAATTGGTGTGCGATGAATCGGCCTATGTGATGTTGCATCAAGCCCGAACTGGTGCTCCATGCCTGAGTTTTGATATAATTCAGGATCAATTGGGCGATAATCGTGATACATATCCGTTATCTTGTTACATTGTGGCCGGTACACAAGCAGCCAAAGCACATGTCAACAAGTAAGTAAAACGTACATCAAATTAATCTCGAATACTTATTGTTTTTTGGTATTACATAGTGTTATCGTGATGAAAATGTCAAATTTACATCGAAATTCCGAGCAAAATGAATCCGATTCCGAATCAGAAATTGATGATGACGAAGATGAACATGCAGCGTCCAAACAAAAACAACCGCAAATGGATTGTGCACTGATTAAACATTCGGGTTGTATAAACCGAATACGAGCAACAAATGTGGCAAATAATGTATTGGCCGCAACATGGAGCGAATTAGGACGTGTAAATATTTGGAATTTATCCGATCAATTGTTAGCGGTCAACGATAAGGAATTGCTTAGTTCGTATCAAAAAGATGGAAAAGCAAATAAAGTCAATTGCTTGTATACGTTCAGTGGACATCAACAAGAAGGTTTTGCATTAGATTGGAGTTTAACGGTTCAAGGTTTATTGGCCACCGGTGATTGTCGACGAGACATTCATATTTGGCAACCACATGAATCAGGCACATGGAATGTTGACCAAAGACCATTGATTGGTCACACGGATTCGGTGGAAGATTTACAATGGAGCCCCAACGAGCAAAGCGTTTTGGCTTCATGCTCGGTTGATAAAAGCATTCGCATTTGGGACATTCGAGCCGCACCAACCAAAGTAAGTTATGACAAAAAATAACAATTTCAATGTTACAGATCGAAATTCGTTGTCTTTCTTTCAGGCCTGCATGTTAACATGCGACAATGCCCATAGTAACGATATTAATGTTATCAGTTGGAATAGAAATGAACCATTCATTGCTAGTGGTGGTGATGATGGTGTACTTCATATTTGGGATTTGAGACAATTCCAATCGAAAACCCCCATAGCAACATTCAAACATCACACAAAACCAATAACAACAGTTGAATGGCATCCAAGCGATTCAACGGTTTTGGCCACTGGCGGTGCTGATGATCAAGTTGCACTGTGGGATTTGGCATTAGAAAAAGATTCAGAGGCAACAGCTGGCGGTAGCAATGGAACAACTGAAGAAGATGATCTGAACGAATTACCACCACAACTGTTATTCATTCACCAAGGACAAACCGATATCAAAGAATTACATTGGCATCCACAAATGCCGGGAGTCATTCTATCGACGGCACACAGTGGATTTAATGTTTTTAAAACCATTAGTGTTTAAGAAGTTTTTACTTTTATCTTGTCATCCAAATCGGTGAGAAACTGTGGGACGAATAAATAAATTTAATTATTTTACAATATAAATCGATACAAATGATTTGTGTTATTATTTATGTATAATTGTACATTTTTTTCTTCAAAAGTTTCATTTTCTTGAAATTTGTAAAACGAAAAAGAAAAACAATTTCATAATGAGTGTGTTTTTCTTTTAAAAATACCGATGAAAAAGGTAAAAATAATAATGACAGAGTGAGCCACTGTCTAGCTTATCTTGACATTTATTTTTTTATTTTAAAATTTATGTTTGTTTTGAACCAATCAGCAGACAATTTATTTGTATACATCTCAATGGTATAACGAAATACAAACACGTCTCGTTAAGATTATATTCAAGTGTGTTTAAGCAGTGCAACGTACGCAAGCTGAGATAAACGAGCATATAAGTTCCAGTTTTAATAAGTCGATTTCAATACGTGTGATCGTTTGTTTCAATTATTGCTGGTGTTATTATTCTATTTCAATCAAACGGTCAAAAATGTCTGGGTTACCACCTACTTTTGTTAAAGGTTTTCATGATGAAGCCTCTGTTCGAAAAATGACCTACAACCGACTGGGTAAAACTGGATTATTGTTGTCACAATTGTCGATTGGAGGCGGCACACTAGCTCCATTTTACGAGTAATTCATTATCTACATATTGCTTTCAATCAATGAAATGTATTCAGTTCCATTTTTCAGAAATGATGATGAAGACGAGGCGATCCGTGCCATTCAATATGCAATTAAATCTGGTGTAAATTACATTGATACGGCACCGTATTATGGACAAGGACGTTCCGAAAAAATTATTGGCAAAGCTCTGAAAGGAATTCCCCGCCAAGCATATTATATTGCCACTAAAGTTGGACGCTATAACATGGGCAACACAATTGATGAAATGTTCGATTTTTCAGCGAAAAAAACCAAAGAATCGATTGATATCAGTTTGAACTATTTAGGTTTAGAATCAGTGGATATACTTCAAATTCATGACATTGAATTTGCTGATAGCTTAGATATTGTGGTGAATGAAACATTGCCGGTTGTTGAAGAAGCCAAAAAACAAGGCAAAGCTCGTTTTATCGGTGTGACTGGATATCCACTAGAACCTCTCAAACAAATAATATTAAAAGCACCCGGACGATTTGATGTAAGATAACTTAAAGAAAACCAGTTTTTTAACACAGAAAAATGTAATCAATGATTATTATCAATTTCAGACCGTTTTGGCCTATTCGCGCTACACAATGCTTGATGAGTCATTGGTCGACTATCTTCCATTCTTTTTGGTAAAATGTTTTGATTTGGACAAATGTTTCAATTTATCTAAAACGTGCTTCACATTTTTCCGGTTTAGGAACAAGATTTGGGGGTGATTTGTGCTGCAAATCATGCATTAGGCCTATTAACAAATCATGGTGCATTTGATTGGCATGTTGCTGGCGATGATTTGAAAAAACAAGGCCGTTTGTGTGGTGAATATTGTAAGGAGCAAGATGTAGAATTGGGAAAGTTGGCTATTTGGTATTCGGCGCAGTTAAAAGGGCCGGCTACATTCTTGGTTGGCATGGCCACAACTGATATTGTTAATATCAATTTGGACTCATTTCAAAATGGTTTAAATGAAAAAGAGTCGCTCATTTTGACCTATTGTTTGAAAAAGTACGACAAAACATTTCTTTATAACAATTATCTGTACCTTTTGTTATATTTTTTTATATCCATTTTTTTTGTTTTTATATTTGTTTACAGTTTCTGTGCAAAAAAATCACATTGGGAAGGTATTGAAATAGCAAAATTACGAGCCGCAGCAGCAAAAAAGTAATATCAAATAATACTTTTGTATCAAATTAGAATCAATAAAAAAAAATTGTTTAATATAATTGATTGTAATCTGACTTATTAGTTGTCATAATAAATGATAACAAAAATAATGGTCTCTAATTTCTCCCGATTGAGTGTTTGTTTTTCATTGTTGCCTTTTGACTCAACTATTCACTCTCTGTGCTATCACTTTGACTTTGTTCATCGGCAACCACTTTTGCAGGCAATATATGTGTATATATCTCAAGGTTATAAAGGAACACCTCGTTTAGATTAAATTAAAGTGTATTTAAGCGGTGCAATGTAGTTGATTTCAATACGTGCGATCGCTTGTTTCAATTATTGCTGGTGTTATTATTCTATTTCAATCAAACGGTCTGGATTACCACCTACTTTTGTTAAAGGTTTTCATGATGAAGCCTCTGTTCGAAAAATGACCTACAACCGACTGGGGAAAACTGGTTTATTGTTGTCACAATTGTCAATTGGAGGGGCAGCACTTGCTCCATTTTACGAGTAAATAATCGTCAAACTATTTTTTTAAACATGAAATTTGTTCGAATCAAGTGTTGCATTGAAAAACGTTTTGATTTTTTATATTATTATATAGACATAAGGACGAAGATGAAGCGATCCGCGCCATTCAATATGCAATTAAATCTGGTGTAAATTACATTGATACAGCACCGTATTATGGGCAAGGACGTTCCGAAAAAATTATTGGCAAAGCACTTAAAGGAGTTCCGCGCCAAGCATATTATATTGCTACTAAAGTTGGCCGCTATAACATGGGCAACACAATTGATGAAATATTCGATTTTTCAGCGAAAAAAACCAAAGAATCGATTGATATCAGTTTGAACTATTTAGGTTTAGAATCAGTGGATGTACTTCAAATTCATGACATCGACTTTGCTGATAGTTTGGATGTCGTTATAAATGAAACATTGCCGGTCATCGAAGAAGCCAAGAAGCAAGGCAAAACTCGTTTTCTCGGTGTCACATCCTATTCTCTGCACCTTCTTAAGGAAATTATTCTAAAAGCACCCGGACGATTTGATGTAAAAAAATATATAGCATATGAGAAAATACGGAATGAAATGTAATCAATGATTGTTAATTTCAGACCGTTTTATCCTATTCGCGCTACACCATGCTTGATAATGCGCTGCTCAACTATCTTCCATTCTTTTTGGTATTTATTTTTTTTATTTTAATTTGGTTATTTTTTCGGAATAATTAAAAGTCAGCCATATTTTTTCCGGTTTAGGAAAAAGATTTGGGGGTGATTTGCGCTGCATGTCATGCGTTGGGTCTTTTAACAAATCATGGGCCATTTGCTTGGCATTTTGCCTATGATGATTTGAAAAAGGTGGGTCGATTGTGTGGTGAATACTGTAAGTCACAGGGCGTTGAATTGGGAAAATTGGCTATTTGGTATTCGGCACAATTGAAAGGACCGGCTACATTCTTGGTTGGCATGTCGACAACAGAAATTATCAACATCAATTTAGATTCAATGCAAAATGGTTTAACAGCAAAAGAGAAGGAGATTTTGGATTATTGTTTGAAAAAGTACGACAAAACCAAACAAATTTTCACATTATTATCATGTGTGTCTTTATTGTTAATTTTTATTTTTGTATTTGTTGGCAGTTTCTGCGTGAAAAAATTAAATTGGGAAGGCAACGAAATTTCAGGATATCGAGCAGCTGCAGCAAAAAAATAATACCAAATAACATTGTTTGATTTGGTAAATAATTGAATCAGTGTTTGTACAATATATTTTTGGCAAATAAAAAATTTGCTTTTATTTAAAAATAAAATCAATATTAAGAACTTTGTTCAATATAATTGTTTTTAATCTTGACTTAATTAAATGTTAGCAAAAAAAACGGTCACTCAGTTTACTAGATTGAGTGTTTGTTTTTCATTGGTGCCTTTTAATTCGGCGAATCGTCCACTGTGCTATCATTTTGACTTTGTTCATCGGCAATTTTCAGCATTTCCAAGTTCAGCAAGTGACGAATGGTGGGGCGACCGTGTGGACAATTCTATTGGAATAAATAGACATTTTTAAGCGTTAAGAATAAAAATGTATTATAAGTAAACAATTCTCACCCATGGCTGTTCAATCGTCCCCATGTGATCAACTAAACGCCTCATATCAGTTTGGGAAAGTGACGTGCCAATCATAACAGACGATCGACACGCACGTGATGCAAACATTGCTCTAATCCTAGATGGTCGACATGTATCCAAATAGGCTGAATCGCTCGTACCTAGGGATGATCAGAAGAAAAGAATGGACATTAATCAAGAAGTAATGGAACCGAATATAAGAATGCCTTGGCTCGTACCTTCATGTAACATAAAAATTAATTCATCAATGTCTTCTTTTCCAAATTCCCAATTACGGCTGAATGGTTTGCCGATCAATTTAACACGTTTCGTCACCGGTCGATCCGCATCAATATCAAAACGGAAACCATTCGCTTCGAATACTTTCACATTATCGATCACAATAAGTTCATTGACCGCTGTCAATTCTAAATCTTGTGGCACAACCAATGGTTGATATTGTAGCACCGTTGTTTTTTGCAACGTTTCAAAATTGTATTTTTCATCAGTTGCATGTTGATCGACTATGAATAAATCTTCATCCAGTTTTACAATAATAAAACCCAAATTGAATTGTCCGATAATTTCCATACGAATAAAATCACTTTTTGAAATTTCCGTGCTCAATTCCTGTTCGGCCGATTGATTTTGTTTTGGATCGATTTTCGTTTTAAATTTCATTCGGCTCAATTTATTTGCCGTATTTGCCTTTTCGGTTAATCGAATTTCATGTTCCATGAGCTCTTTTATTTCAGCGATTGATGTTGATATTTTTGTAATGCTTTTCGACTGTGATTCGGCCACTTCATGATCGATATCATCAAAAATTATATCTTCGTCCTCCTCTTCGCTATTCTCTTCCTTTTGTTCATCTCTAATTTCGATTTTGTTTTGCATCTGCGAAAAACCACTCGTTGACGCTTCGTCCACATTATGGCGGCCAAATTCAAATCTCTTCATAGCTAGTTGAATATCAATGTTTGGTGTGATTTTTTCAGTTCTGAGCATTCGTTCGGGTGTATCAATCGCTTTTACTTTACAATCAATGCGATAGTCTTGGTTTGGCCATTGAATATTTGGTGATTCGTTTGAATCAAATGAAGCGCTTCTTTCGATTGAATCCATTTTCATCAATTCCTTTGATTGACTCGAAACGCTCTCATTGCCACTATTGACATCATTTTCTTTCGTAGACTCAGCAGGCCGAGCAGTTGAGTTCTCATCCGTGTCTGAATCCGACTCCGATTTGTAGCTCATAAACTTAGCTTCACCTTCAATAATATCTTGTGACAAATATTCGTGGATTTTTTTCATTTTGAAATTTCGTGACTGAATTTCGTCCAACGGTTCATTTTTGCGTTTCGACGTTTTTTGCGAACACGGTGCATCCGTTCTTCCTGTCGAACGCCATTGTGATAACATACTCGCAAATTTACTGGCATTTCCTTTCTCTGTATACGGAGCTTCTTCGTCAAAGTCATCGTCAGTGGTAGTTATCTGCAGGAATTTGGTTTTTATTTCGTTTTTATTTTCTGGAAATTTTGTTATTGGCTTTTAAGTTATAAAATGCATGCACAAAGCTACTACTAACGTAAATTCACATTTTAAAAATAAATTTTTTGAATACAAAACAAAATCCAAAACCGCAATCAAAACTATAAAAAAAACCAAAGACATTAAACTAACTAAACCACATGCGATCACCATGTTCACTTACTGATATGTCATTTTTCGCTTCAACATAATCATCTTCGATATTAATTTGTTGTTTGCTAGCGAAAAGACTAGGTAATGTTTGATTTTCCACTTTGAATGTGGATGGAATGTGTCCGAATGTGCTCAAAAGGCCCTTCTTTAATGCCAACCGTAAGATGATTTCATTGTTAACCATGACTTGTCGCTTATCTGGTGTAACATTAACATCAACATCTTTGCGCTCCACAATTATATTTAGCACAACAAATGGACATTGATGTTGATTAAATCGATGATAAACATCGTTAACCAATTTGGAAATTGTTTTCGGATCGCATGGTCTACCATTGATGAAGAAAAATTGTCGATCTTTGGCACTTCGGCCACATCCGTGACTGCAACTGGAAACGTATCCATCGAATTGAAATCGATTCAATCGCAAATTATCAAGTTCGTCATCGGTCACATTTATCGAGGTGTCAAGACTTTTTAGCATCTCTTGTGTGAGCACCTCATTTGGTTCGATCGGTGGTCGAATCTGTAGTAAATTTGTATTTTGTTTTGATCCAAAAATTGCGACAATATTTTCACGCAATGAATGTGAACCATTTGTTGATATAATCGTTGCTTTTCCACCTTTGGCCGTATGATTTGTCAGAATTATTCGTTTTCCATACGAAATTAGACCGTATCCCTGTAGAATTTGACACATTTTCGCAAATTCTTTGTTAATATTTCGTTGAAATTCACGTTTTCGCACCGGCAATGATGCAAATAAATTGCTTAATGTGACTGTGGTGCCGGTTTGTCTTGCACATGGTGTTCGCTTTACAATTTCACCACGGTTGTTCAACTCTAATTTTGTGGCTACATTGACCGAATGATGTTTGGTGACAATTTTCATTTCCGATAATGCACACAGTGAACTTAATGCTTCGCCACGAAAACCAAACGTCGCCACCGTTTCCAAATCAGTGAATTCACGCAATTTTGATGTATGATATTTTGCCGCTGAAAGAAGAAGAAAATGAAGAAGACAATTAAAACCAATTGGAAACATTTTGTGTATAAGTGAATTACTCAGCCCATCAAAGTTGCTCTCTTCGACACCACTGCCATTGTCTGACACCTCAATTGATTCATATCCATACTCTCGCACTTTTACCTCTACTGTTGTTGCACCAGCATCCAAAGCATTTTCAACTAATTCTTTCACAGCAATTGCCAAGCTTAGCACTACCTAAAGTCGAAGCAAAACACAAACAAACACTCATTAGACGCATTTCTTATGGTTGACAGAAGAACACAATTTCGGTGAAAATTTCATTTTTTCATACCTGACCCGAACAGATTTTATGAACTGCATCTTTATTTATGGCCTTAATCGATTTGGCAACTTCGGTTGTTGGTGCTGGCTCGTCTTGGGAACTCATTTTTTATCGATTTGTTTTTCTTCGTTTGTTTTGTTACATTTCGATTTGACTGATGTCTATTCAAAATTGTGAGTACGAAATTACGCGGTAAAATAAGACACTTGGTTCGAAATTCAACTTCGAAATGACAATACTGTAGAGTCTAATCGTTCATCTGGATTTTTTGTTGGAAAAAACAAAATTAAAAATTTAAGAAAAAAAAACTATAAAAATGTTCAAAAAATAAAATATTCGTTTATAATTTGTATTATTTAAATTCCGTACCTCATAAAATTCTGTATAAGTCAATGTAAATTCGTTTGCGGCAAAATCAATTCCAACCCTGCGACAAATAGTTCGTTTGCGGTGCGGCGATTTCGAAAAACGAAGTAAACAATCGCACATATTCACTGTCAGCTGATTGTCATGCAGCGCCATACAAACGGTTGCTATGTATATGCATTGGAATTCGCCCGATTTATGTGTGGTTTTTAATTTTGGAGGGAAAACTTACAGTTGCCATTCGTGAAAAGTAAAATGAAGGCATAAGACGCTACTTCATCTCGTCACCATTGTATCACGTTTCACATTTTTAACGAAATAGAAAAAACCCACATACTTTTCACAACCAGAAAATAGTTTTTGTCATTTTTCTTTTAATTTGTGACAGTGAAATTATATATTTTCAGTTAATTTCATTTTATAAATTGAAAATTATCGGAAAATTGCAGAGTAGAAACGAAATACCAAAAATTCCATAGACCCATAAACCGTTCTCAGTGTTAAACATATTCGTAATTAAGGAACCATTTAAAGGGATAGAAAAAAAAAAAACAACAATGGCATCACCATCGATTGCATCGTATTTTAATGTTCGAAAACGAGCGGCCGCCGATGATATTGTGAATGCACGAAATAAAGTGAGCCGTTTGGAAGCGACAACTGAATCATCCGGTCGTGCTCAAGCATTGGTTCAACGTGCAATTTTAGCCAAAAATAAATTGGTTGATGCTGATACATTTGGTGTAAATGCAAGCCCATCGCCAATTATTAACAATGCAAAAGTGATTGAGTCGGCACCAGCCAAAGCAACACCGCTTGAACGGCGTACAACTCGGCGTACAGTGAAGCGTACAACAACGACCTCAGATACGGCCGGCAAGGAATCATTGAAACAGCAAAAAATCGTAAAATTCACATTGGGCGGTTCATTGTCGCCACGTAAAAAGGCATCAAGCTCACCAGCCAAAGCATTTAAATCGATCGTTCGGAATGGAAGTAACGATGCGCTTACAACAACGCCAACAAAACAATCGAAATCGGATGAATCGAAACCATCCACGTCCGATGGATCGAACAAAGCAAACATTGTCAACAAGAATTTGACCAGTGTACGAAAAGAATTATCTTTTGATGAGATAAAAGCAAAAATCGGACGCAGTTCACGTCTTGATGATCTAAAAGCAATATTGAACAAACGACAACAGCTTGAAGAACAATATCAAGCTTGTATTAATAAACGCAATGCCAAGCAAATGGCAAACAGCTCACCAGCCAAACTCGATGGCCAGAGTCTCAAGGAATTTGACACAATTGAACTAGAAGTTTTATCAAGGTATGTGATACAATATTCCATTATTTTTTCTTTCATATTTACGAATTATTAGTTTTTGTTTAAATGCCAAAACATTTTTTTGTTGTTGCTTTTTTTCATTCGTTTGGATCCAATATCAATCCAAAACATAATAATCAAATGGTATTGTTGTTGTTGCATGCAAATGAGGAAATCAATGCAAAATATAACAATAAAAAAAATGATTTAAAATCACACATTTTTGTTTAAACAATTGAATAAAATATATAATATATTGAATAAGTCAACAAATTTTCGGCGTGGCGTACACGCATTTTATTAGGCATTAAAAAGACATAGTGAAAAAAAAATTGACCTGAATTCAATTTGCGTTCACGAATTTACATGACAAAGTGCATTTTTTTAAATTGGGTCTTAGACGTATTGCATAAATTGTTGTATTTTTACTTCTTTCTCTTTCTCTCTCCCTCGCTCTTGCTTGCTTGATTTCGTTATATTTGCATTTTTGTTGTTCAGTTGATTGATGTTTTTTGTTTTTGCATGCCATACATATGTAGCAAAATATTTTATTGAGAGCACATATGTTATTATTTGGGTGCATAAAAAACGTCGAGACCTACGTTATGGCATTTATACAGATTAAGAAAGAATTTTCTTTTTTAATTTTTTTTTTGTTTAAATTTCAAATTTTATTCTTTAGCAATCATTTTATTGTTTTTTTTTCTTCTTCTTATTTTTCCTTCTTCTTAGTCCACAAAAGGGTCTTCGAACACCAACCAAAACACCAATAAAGACAACGTTGAAAGAGCCAGGCAGCGCTGAGAAAAATCCAACGGCTCATGATGATTTGATGTCACCAAAGAAGGCTGCAACGCCTCGTCGTCTCTTCAGTCCAACCAAATCGAATGCTGTGCCAGCGTATCAACGTTTCGCAAACTTAGCAAGCGACGCAGTCAGCACATCACTTCAATTGCCATACAAATATCGTAGCCTACTGGAAACATTCCGTTGTGTCGATTCAATTTGTGCCATGTTCTATAATCGCAAAGAAACGATTACATTCAAAAAGCTCAAACCAGCCGTACAACGAATGATGCGTAAAAATTTAACCGAAAATCATTTGGCACAAATCAAATACTTGGATCCCGATGCGTACATATTTGAGCAACGAAAAATGTTAAATCCGGGTTCGCATACCAAATACGATTACTATCAATTGGTAATAACACCGAATGTTCAACCACTACCGGTCAGTGCCAGCGATGAAATCGGCGTGAAAAAACTTGACGATGATAATATTGTTCGTAAAGCCGATGCCAAAACAATGAATCCACAAATAATGATTGCACGTTATCATCGTTTCCAACAGACTCTATTGGATCGAGTTAAGCATGAACATGATCTATTCTTACGTTCATTACAACCACCGATGATGATTGCAAAGGATAAAGTACGACGCTGGCATGCGGAATTTAATTTAGAAGGTTGCCCCGAAATATTGCCGGGTGAAATACCACAACCGCCAAACATTGAAAAATTCTCATCGGCCAAAGATATTCTATCGACAGCACGAAATCTATTCAATTGTGCAACACCATCGGAACGAATGATGGAACGTTATGTGGAAGCACAAAATGCAATTAAAACACCAACGATGTCACCTGCAATTGAAAGTTCAAGCACACCAACGTCGACACAATCATCGAATTCAATACCGGCGGCCACCGATGATCCGGTTGCCAAAGTACTCAAGGGTGTTCCAAAGTCATTGCTGGAGAAAATCCGTGCAAAACAAGCGGCCAAACAACTTGACGCAATGACACGACGACCATCACAAGATGCTGAAGCCAATAAATATGCTCGTCTACCTGAACTTGCGCGATACATTCGAAATATTTTTGTGACAGAAAACAAAGGCGTCTTGGAATTGGATAAAGTCATGTCAAAGCTTGAGAACAGTTTTCGTGAAAAGATAACACGTGAAAATTTGCGTGAATTACTTGAACTGATGTCAAAAGAAGCACCGCGCAATTGGCTTACATTCCATTTCATTCGTAAAACTGATTTCATTAAAATCAATCGTCACGAGAATTTAGCCGAAGTCATCAAGGAATTGGAACGCAAAGCGGCCGAAAAAGCCGAATAAATCACGACTGAGTATTATATACGACATCGACTGAATGAAACCAAAAAAAAAATACCAGTAGAGAAAAATAATGTAGAGAATTTGAAATTTGTTTCCTTTTTTTAGCTTAGAATTAGTTAGGATCAACTGTTGGAAGTTTTTCCGTTATAGTTTGAATATCAATTATTAGATACCATGGAATGTTCCATTTGCAGAAATAATTATGAGTGCATTATAGTTTTTTTCTTAAATTTCTTCTTCAAGAATGCTATTTAAATATTGTTGACATGCCATTCTGGGATCGTGTCATTTTAACACGACGAAAATAAAACACGATTTGATCTTAATTTTCAAATTTTAATTCTTTTTGTGTGATTTTTTTATGATTTTTTTTTTTTTTGTTTAAATTGTTTTGCTTTCCGTTTTAGAAATGAGACGCAAACATTTTCGGCATGCAATTTTTTTTGCAAACGTAAGAATTTGCGTCGCCACGATAAGAGGTTGTTTTCTTTAAATATATAAAAGTTGGTAAACAATCGTGTTGAAATCGAAATGAATTGCTCTGTTTTTGTGTTCGTATTTAAATAGAAACATGCCATGTGTAAAAGAATGCCTTTTAAATGTAAACAACTCCTTGATTCATCAAGAGCAACACGTTTCATACGACAGATATATTTTTTTGTATATCTGTTGGTTGTTGTAATTTCAAACTATAATGCTATCTGTTTCTTTCTCAAGCCACTTTGTTTTCGTTGTGTCGATCGAATGCATTCAAGTATCTAAGCAAAAACCAAAATAAATGTTGACTAATTTCGTTGTTCTATTGTTATTCCTTTCTCTTTGATAAAAAAAAATAAAAACATTATTTTTCTCTCATTTGTGTTCGTGTTTTGTTTTATATTTGATTTATCGGGAAAAAGCGTCATATGTGAGTCGAAATTTCGTAACTGATAAACGCCTTGTTAAACAACAAATCATCGTTTGTACATTTATCAGGTTGGTTTTCATATATTACTTCCCGATGTGAATGAACTGTGAACAGTTTTTTAATCAAATGCGAAAGAGCCACAGATGGATTTGTGACACACAAACAATGAAAACAAAAACTACAACAACAGCCAACATCATCGAACAACAAATGAGAAACAGATAAACAAAAACAAAATGCGTGGTACGCACATATCGTTCGATGGTGGTACGCTCATATGAGGCGAGTATATCACATGATATATCTATAATACGGTGTCGCGGATATGTATACAATTTACAGTGAAAATCCAGTTTTGATATTTCACATCGCAAATCTCGTCTATTTGCTATAATTTTTTTTTGTTTGTATCGCAGAAGAGCTGTACAATTTGAATCAAAAACCATATCAACATTTTTTGAACAGAAAATACTTTTTGGAGCATTGACAGTTGATTTCTATGCGAAATTGTAGAACCATACACCAAGCACATCGTACTAATACACGTAGAACGCAGCGCAATACTCAGCAGTTGTGTGTATTTGAATGTATGCGTATTGTTCAATACTGTCATTTTACGTTTGTTTCTGCAATACAGTACGTTTCTCTTTCTCTTTCACACGCACACATGATTTCTCAATTTCAGTAAAAACCGAAGAAAAAAGGTAAAATTAAAATGAAATAGTTTTATATATGCAACATACAACATTGCAAACTATTAACCAATTTTGGAATTAAGATGATCTTATATGTATGCGTGTATGTACGCTGTATGAATGAGTAAGAGAGTGGTTTCATGTACACAATAAAATAAAAGTGTTCATTTCGTTTTGTTTGTGTGCTCAACTACATACGCAGCGCGGCTCTTTGTTTATTCGAACTCGTACGATATCGTCCGATTGATGACAGTTCTGTAGTTGCTTTTAAGTGCGTTCCGAATCGATTCAACAAAAACAGCGACGACAAACAGATAGAAAACAACAAGACAGCCAGAACGACTGGGTGCTTGCGATTCACATCGAATTATCATTATTAGTACTGTGTTACATCTATATAATTTTTGTTTAATAACGAAACACAAGGTGCTGTGCATCCAGAACACATGCATAAGCAACCGTGTACACGAATGTTGAAGCCAACACAATCAGCCAACATAGGTACATAAAGTCAATACACATAGTGCATAAAAAGTGAATAGTTGATCGTTCAAATCAAATAACCCGAATTGATAAAACGAATAATTCTATTACGACTCTCAAATTTTCGAATTTTAACTAGACATTCATCAAAATTCGGAATAACGCGAAATTAAAACAGCAAACGACGACGACAACAACAACACAACAGCAACCGAAAAGAGATAGAGAAAAAAAACGAAAAAGAAGAGAGTATTGTCTGACGACAGAGCGGCTCTCATTGTGTATTTTGTTAGAATTTAAGTGAAATTCACTGTGTTTTTTGTTGTTGCTTGTACGTTCAACAAATATCTCGCTCTTTTCCCCCATTAATTCAATGTTGTGCACTCATTGCTGCCAGTTCAAGTTTTGCGTGAATAATGTGTATATGTAAAAATAATAAATAACAACAAGAAAAATATAGTTTCGAAGCATAAAATAAACGTGAACAAACGCGTATGTTTGTGGTAAGAGCGTGAAAACACACACAAAAAAAAGAGTACAACAAAAGCAACAACAAAGATCTAGGAAAAAAAGACAAAAATCTATTTCTATTCAAAACTTGTTTATTTGATTTGGTCCCTGGTTATTTTTTTTCTCTCTGTGTTCATTCTGATTAATTATAAAGCTGTGTTGTATGTGTGCAAAAAGCATTTTCTTTGCTTCACAAAACAGATACAAAAATCAAAACAAAAAAATTATTGTTTCGTTTGCTGCTGAATAGTGTGTATCATGATACGTTTCCAATTTCAAAAAATAATGAGAATTTAAATGAGCAATTCGAAACGAGCAAATGTGTGTTTGAAAAAAGTGTGAATCAACAAAACAGCAGAGAAAAACATTAGCAGAAGAATACGAAGAAAGGCATAAACGTGACGGCGAGAAATTTTGTTATTTTTTTCTGCGTATAACGAAGGAACGGTGTAAAGTACAATTGGGAATTTCATTAGTGACGCGAAAAAAAGGAGAAACAACAATAAAGAGAATATCCTTTTGAGTATAGTGTGTCATACATCAATCACCAAACTCTCTGAGCCGTGTCGTTTCAAATGTGAATCAGATAGTGAACGTTGTTTGTTGCTGCTCACAATTACGCCACCTTCGACGTTCGGATTTCAATTTTCAACCGTCAGCGATTACAACCATCAGATAGAAACAGAAGAAGGAAAAAAAAAAGCACAAACACACACACAATCTCGAAACGTCGCGGGGCAACATTATTGGCAACGAATAATTAATAAATAATTTTTTATATTTATCTCGTCTGTCATATTCATGCTCATTGCGCTGTGCTCTCATTCGATTGATTGCTGATTTTTTAAGTTTTTTTTTTTTGGTTGGCTTCGAACCTTTTTCAATTTTTACCACATTTATGTGCCTTTTATTTCGCTAAGAAAATTGCGTGGATTGTTCAATACGCGTAATACATACAAGAATTATTATCCAATTGGTGTTTGGTGGTGTTGTTGACGCTGCTGTGCCTGTTTCCCCTTTGTAGCGTTGTATGTTGCTCAACTTTGACAAACATTCGACACAACAGAAAAAGCCGTGCAACCGAGAGCTGCAACCACCAAAGAAGGCTTATACGATATAGATTTTCAGTGAAAAAAAAAGGCTCAATCATCAACGCGTCCGACCACGACACACACAAACACAAGAAGAAGAAGAATAAGATAAAGAAAAACCGTGGATCACAATAAAACCAGGGCTCATTAGCCAAATAAAAATCACACGAAATGAATAGTCTGCTGAAAGCATTCAAAGAATTTTACAATGAAATTAATGGTGCTACATTAACGGGTGCAATCGATGTGATTGTGGTAGAAAAATCTGATGGCAGTTTTGTGTGTTCACCATTTCATGTGCGATTCGGTAAATTGGGCGTTCTTCGAAGTCGCGAAAAAATCGTAAGTACAATCCAATTTATAGTTCGTTATCAGAAGCAAACAAATTGAAAATCGAGAAAAAAAATGAAATAAAAGTCGTTGAAGTGGTGTATTTTTTTTCTCTCTCTCTCTTGAGATTTGTACATGATTGTATAGAAAGTTTGTAAGTGTTTTTTTCATTTGGATTTCCTGATTTAGCATTTTCTATCTTGAGAACATTATACGTACGTCTATTCTAACCTTATTCATTTTATGACCTTGAACTTGCCTATCCAATGCAACTTCAACAATTTCAGATTACGCATTGAATTTAATGCATTATACTCGGATGTGCAAATATGTGTGTGTGTGCTTTGTATGTTCCAAATAAAGTCGATGAGGACAAATTTAGCCCAAAACCATTATATTCATGTTTTAAAATAGAAGAATTACAATGACACATAGAGAGACGATACAATGTAATACCATTTAGCCGTCACACACCGATGTCGGCGTCGTGGAAAATTTCCACGAAGCAAAAATACTCCCTTTTCAATTGCTCCGCATTCAAAACTCAGTTTGGACTCAAACGTGCGAGAAGAAAAATGAAATACAAAAATATGTCTATATACATATTCTGATTCGAAGCCATTACTCAAACGGACGATAAATGACAGCTGAAAGTATATGTCCAAGCATACACATTCATGTCAGTTCATGCGAGCAGAGCGGCTACATATGATTTCCTTTTTCGTACATTTATTTCTTTTTTGTGTGTCATAGTTGCGCTTTTTTTCATTTTTTTTTGGCGTTCATTGCGAATGGCAAGAAAACGAAGAGAAATAAAAACCCTTCCCTAACAACGTTTATTTTTGTTTTTGAACAACGACCCGAGACGGTTAGCAGCCGCAACGCAACAGAAAGAAAACGTATGCCGAAAATGATTATATACGTGCGTATACATATACATATGTTGGTGACATCTGTGTGTTCATTTTTGCTGAACGCTCAAAGGTCAATGTATCACTTATTCATAGCACTGAATCCATGCACAAATCGAATGAATCACTTGAATTACACACTTTTTGTTTCACACATCTCCAAAATATCATTGCTAAGGTGAAAAAGTGCATTAAGTTCGGCGATAACAAACACAAAATGTAGCACAAGAAAGAGAAGAAAAAAACGACCAGACTTTGTTTTTTATTTCGATTTTCCTCACTTCCTTATATGTATTTATTTGTCAAAGCCATTGAAATGAGAGTAAAAAAAACGGTATTTTATATTGATTTCCTTTTTGGCATGTGTATTTAATTATTACATGGAAAACAGGTTGATATCGAGGTAAATGGCGAACCGGTTAACATTCACATGAAACTTGGCGAAAGCGGTGAGGCGTTTTTCGTTCAAGAATGTCCTGAAAATGATCTAGATGAACTGCCAGAAAATTTAGCCACATCACCCCTACCATCCGAAGAATATGCAAATAAATACAGTGAAAGGTATGGTTCGATCGGATTTTTTTTTGCATATTTTGTCATCATATTTGTTTACAAGAAAGTGTATATTTGAGCCCAGGACGGAAGTCATATTTGATGTTTTTTTATTGCCAATGAAAATTGCAACAACAAAAAAAAACTTTGCCGAATAAATCATTACTGTGATTATTTACGACCTGTGCAACTACTTGCCAGTAAAAACACCAATTTAAATAATTCACAAAATGAATTGCATAATTTATAGCCGTCATATATTGCTGCAATTGTTGTTGTATTTGTCGTCATCGTCTCTGACTACGACTATTTTTTTTTCTTCCTCGGCTCAATTTCTGTATTTCAAGTATGTCTTCTTTATTGATTTATTTATTCAATCTAATGTTGTTGTTGTTGTTTTTTTCTTCTAAAATTTGTTTACCTTGATCATGAATTTGCTATTGGTCAACTGTAATGCGTCCATGTTTGTGTTCACATCTATGTGCAGCAATGAAACGGACGAGAATAACACGATTGGTGTGAAAATTCGGCGAAATTCAACCGTTTTGCCGCCAAGTGAAAAGGGAAAAGTCTATGAAAATCAACAATCAGACTATACATCAAGACGGTATGTAATTTTTTGACATTTTTTCTAGATTGTGGATTTTGAAAATATTTTTTTTTTTTTTCAAAATTCTATGTCGATGCGTACAACAGATACAGTGAAAAAGTATTAAATCGTCGTAATGCAAGTGAAACAAAAGTGGAATATACGACAGAACAAATTCGTCAAGATATCGCCGAAAAAGGGGCTTTAATTAAAATTGAAATGAGCGTTTGCAATGAAACAGAGAATTCACTCAATACAGAATCGGAGGCAACAACAATTGCCGAAGAGCCACTGACGTTCGATGCGGACAAAGTTCAAGACAATAAAAAATGTGTACAAAACCATAACAATTCAGCTGAGATCTCGGCAATAGCAGACCAAAAATCAAATACCAAAGATATGGAACCACGTACAGTGTCTGACGAACAAACTGTATCCGGTTTAAAAGAGCCAACCGAATCCAAATCGAAAAAGAAGCGACGAAAGAAGTCAATGATGAAGAAAAAATCATCATTGACAACGGCATCCATATCGTCGCCCAGTTTGATTACAAATAGTAATGCATCGCGTAAAAATTCGTCAAGCAGTAGCGCTGGCTCAGCATCAATAGTACCATCGGATCAAATGGACTTTGACACCGATCCAAATCAACCATCATCAAATGCAACATCCATGTCGATTGAAGATTTAGCAAAATCCGAAACGGCCGTCACCGCAAATGATAGCCTAAATGAATCCGGTGGCAATATTCCAGATCAAACAATGGATACACCAAGAATGTGTGATTTTCATTTTTTCAGTGATACAGAGGTGGCCGCAAGTCCATACGGTTCACGGCCATCAACACCAATTCAAAGTGATAGTGAATTTGAAATATCACAACGTGAAAAGAATTCAGATCCAATGACCAGTTCGACAGCATCATGGAAATGGGGTGAATTTCCAATAACACCAAATAAAAATGATGCAGACAGTGTTGGCAATAAAGATGCCAAACAAGCCGAACGCAATTCAACATTAACTACCATGCTTAGTTTTATGAAAGAAACAATGCGAATGCGAAAGAGTACATCGGATGGCGGTGTTTATTTGTCCGATTTAATGAATACTGAAGGTTTAGATCCCGATGTGATTGAAAAATATTTTCCACCAACGAAAAATAATGCTGATTTGAATTTAAACGATGGTGACGATCATGAAAGTGGCAATGGAACATCATTGCCACACAGCCCAAGCTCCGTTGAAAATGGCATCTCGAAAAGTATTGCATTTGATTTTGATCAAGATGGAAAATTGTATGAAAAGTAAGTTGATTTCGAATCGATTCAATTTAAATTTCAAAAAAAAAAAAAAAAAATAACCAAAAATTATATTTATTCGCAGGAATGTGATTGCACTATCATTATGCGGTGGAATTGAAAATAATGGGCCAACCGATGAAGAATTTGAACAGAATCTCATCGATTATGCCGATGTTTGTCAAAATCCATCAATCTTTATGTCACCATTGTTAGTAGTTCGTTTATGTGACAAATATTACAGTTGGGCGGCAGCCTCTTCAATTGTCATGACCGCTATCGCTTATCGCAAACCATTGACGCATGTAAGTACACATGCCGTTAGTAATAAATCATCAAATATATTTGATTTCCGTGTTGTTGTTATTGCGGTTGTACATAATTCATAATTTACTTTATCAAAATGGCTTTTATATAATCAAACAAAAAAAATTGTTTCTTTATCCTATCTGTATGTAGGATGCGATTGAGCAATTGATGAACGCAAACAAATTAAACGATTCTCGAGAAAATTCGGTTACACCAAAAACCGATTTGGATGATTCGCAGCCAAAAGATGCGGCCAATCGTCGTAATGCAGGCGGTTATTCGTGGTGGAAATGGCGCCGTTCAAATGATAATGCCGATAAAAAATCACCACCAAAAGAAATAATGCAAGATAGCAAAGAATCACGACAAAGTGTTGAACGCAGTCACGATGAATTGAAAGAAATTATCAATGATTTGGACAGCATGACAATTGATGAATCAAATGAATCGGAGTTGAAAGCCCTTGATGGTCATATCGAGTCACAAGAGTTGTCAACACAAAATTTAGCCATCGACCCAATTGATGTTGGTGTCAGAAACGACGATTCAATCAGTTCGGAATTGGCCGACGTCAGTAAATCGAGTTTTCCGGGCGAAAAATATCGTAAAACTTTACGTTTGACTTCAGAACAAATTGTAAGCGACACTTTTTGATAAATGATAAAAACCGAAATGAGAACACACATTTATGTTTACTATTTAATTGACAGGAAAGCCTTAACTTAAAACCTGGAATGAATGAAGTGGAGTTTAGCGTGACAACAGCATACCAAGGTACATCACGTTGTAAATGTTACGTATTTCGATGGAAATGGACGGACAAAGTGGTGATTTCGGATATTGATGGAACCATCACCAAATCAGATGTGCTCGGCCATATTTTACCAATGGTGGGGAAAGACTGGGCACAATTGGGTGTGGCCGAACTTTTTACAAAAATCGAAAGAAACGGCTATAAATTACTGTATTTATCAGCACGAGCAATTGGTCAATCTCGTGCAACGCGTGACTATTTGCGTTCGATACAACAAGGAAATGTTAAATTGCCCGACGGCCCATTATTACTGAATCCAACATCATTAATATCGGCTTTTCATCGTGAAGTTATCGAACGTAAACCTGAACAATTTAAAATTGCCTGTTTGAGCGATATCAAAGCATTATTCCCTGAAAATCCATTCTATGCTGGTTATGGCAATCGCATTAATGTAAGTATGAGTTTTGTTTTTAGTTTTTTTTTTGTCGACATCATGACATAATTCTAATCGAAATTCGTTTCTCTCCTTTTTTGTACAGGACGTATGGGCATATTGTGCTGTTGGCATTCCGGTCATTCGTATATTTACAATAAATCCAAAGGGTGAATTAAAGCATGAATTGAATAAAACATTCCAATCGACATATCATAGTATGGCTTATATTGTCGATCAACTGTTTCCACCTGTAAACGATCGTGAAGAATCGGTCGAATTTTCAAGTTTTAATTTTTGGCGTGAACCAGTGCCCGACATAAATTGTGAGGATATTTTGGAACAGCCATCCAGTTCAACATCGAAAACAGAAGTGCCACGTGTACAACGCACACCAGCCACTCCAGTTGCCGAAATTGATTTACCAACCATTCTCGAAAAGGCATAAATAACTCTCCGTTAATATACTCTAATCACAGACCTGCGCATGTACGCAGCGAAAAATCAAACACACACACATGCTGCATACGCGAGCAAGGCTATCACAAACATTTTAAATGAAACAAAAACAAAACCAAAATGATTATGCGACATACGGTGCAAAAACTGCATCAAACACATATGGCTCAGCGCTAAAATCAAACAAACAAATGCATAGTGAGATTTCAAAATATTTTAGGCCAGTTCATTAATATTTTCGTTTTTTTTTTTGAGGGAGAATGGCAGCCAAATAAAAGAAAACGTTACAAAAATTAAATGAACGTTTCGTTCAAGTGTTGATTGATGGCATACCAACTGACACAAGTATATAAATCAATGTCGCTCGCTTATTTCAACAATGAAATGTCTTTTCAAGGTCATGATCGGTGTCATATGTATTTTCTATGTTAAGACAGAATGAATTTTTTTTTTTTTGAAAAATTACTGTGCTGTTAGTTAGTATTCTTTTTGTTCTCTATGTATAATTCTTCGGTTGCTCAATGAACCTGGTGGCTTTCTGTGAAAAAGAAAATTTAAGAAAATAGCAACCTATTTGTAAATGGCATACATTCGAATTATTGACTGTACTAAAAGCTTGAATATGGCATAATACCAATTAAATCATCTTTCGTTGAAGAAAAAAAAGAACAACAAAAAAAAATTTAAGAGAAAAAAAAACATAACAAAATCAGAAAATATATTTATACAAAATATGATATGAAATTTTTTTGTGATTTTTCAAATGAATATGTTAAACAAATTTCTTTAATAATTTACTACCCATTTTACTTTATCAGTCCCAAATATATGATAAAAATTAGGCGGCTTCTAAATTCTTGTTGATTACATGCAAAACAAAAATTAGCGGTTGATAACAAAAACATACGAATTACAATTTAGAATTCGATGATTTCTTTTTTTTAAATTATATTTTTTTTTTTCATGGGAAAATTTGGTTATTTATTTTATATAGATTTTTATCATTTATTACTTTCGTACATGAATAAAATCATTACAATTTAAATCAGGTATTTATATTTTTTTATATGCTTATATTATTTTTTTTTTTTTTGTTAAAAAGAAGAGAAGTTTAGCATAGCAAAAAAAAAAAAATACAAATTAACATATAAAAATGAAAACGAAGTAATGAAAATACAGTTTCTTGTTGCTTGTTTTGCAAATGCCTATTTGCTTTGTTTGAATGTCTTTTTTTGTTCTCAACAAAAAATGAGACGAAACAAAAATAAAAATACATTTATGCGAAATCAATTTTAAAATATAATTCAATGTTTATTTATTGATGAGATGCACGGATAAAAAAACCAAGGAGCGAGAAAGAGAGAGATATGAAGATTTCTCATTTTGATGGCTGAAATTGGAGAAATGACACTAAGTAAGTACGGACAAATAACGAATGCAAATGGCCTTACAATGTCATTGCCTTTAAAAAAAAGTGCTTTCGTTCGAAAAATTAAAATCGATGCCAATTAGATTATACGCTTGTTGGCTCTAATTTGCGTCGGAGAATGCCCGAAACGTTTTACATCATTTGAAATGTCCATCTTTTCTTTCATATTTTGGTTTTTGGCTCACTCACAGTGACATTCAGTCTATGTTGGCATCCGTCTAAACCATCTGTGAGTGAAATTTAGTACACAGCATCGATGAAATCATGTGCCATTATCGTCGTTGCCGCTGTCTCGTTTGTTGATCAGCTGATGGCTTACATGTATATAGAAAATTGTGTCGTTTTTCTTGTTTGTTCAGCACAAAAAAAAACATACATGAATATATTTTGTCAGCACACAATTTTAACACGGTTATATAATCAAATACAGCCGGTTTATATTTAGATCTCCTGTTGATTTGCAAAACAGATGCTTAAACAGTCATACTTATTTTTAATATGACTTATATTCAATCAAACTTCGATGCGCGCATGCATTTTGACTTACAAATGAAATGAGAGTGTGAAAAGCAAATTAAATAAAACGACCATTTTCATCCGATTCCGTTTTGTCTGTTTTTTTTCGATCACCCATTTTATTCATCTTATTTGCATTATTCTTATACAAATTTTTTTTTCTTTAATTTTAAAACAACAAAGTAAAAAAAAAAAACAACTCCCGTATTTGTTCATAATAATTTAAATATTTTTACATTTTAATTTTATTATTTTAAAAATGTATGTTCGCCTCTCCCCTATAAAATCAATTGCACAATTTGAGTCGAGCACTTTCGTTTAACTAACTGGAAAGGATTGATTGAAATTCATCAACTCAGGCACTTGAATTGCGCAATTGCTTCTTTTTTTTACATTTTTCTAATTTACTCTTTATTATTCTGCTTACATGGTAATCTGCTTCATTGGTATTCTTAAGATAGTTTTTTTTTGTATGGTATACAGATTTTAGCTGTATGTGGAATGGTAAAATTTACATTTTTTTGTTTTCCTTGAATGGCTTCAAGCATTCAAGTGTACTCTTAATTTGAGCCAGTTTTGCAATAAAAATGAAATAATACTAAACTATTGGGAGAGATAGAGTATCCTTTGGATTATATGCAATTTCTTAGACGATTTTTTTTTACAATATATTTAGTTGCTCATTACATTGTGAGATAATTAATTACGGACATTGGACAATTTGATTTCTTTCGATCTGCTTTAACTGTCGTCACCCTATTAGAAAAATCTATTTAACGCAAACCCTAAGCATTGGAGACAGAAACATTCTCAATGTTTTCATTGATCAGAATGTGAAAATAAGCTTAAACGTTTTCAAATAGATTTTTGATTTTCTTCGAATCGATCTAAATTTTGAGTTCACGTTGTATTATACAAATAAATTATTTTGTAAAAATGTTCTATTATTGTTTTGTCATTTAATCTGGCTGATTGATCAGTTGGTGTATGGTGTGTTGCATTGGGCATTTATTATTGACTTTGTTTACACTGTAACTAATTTTACAGTGATAAGGGCAAGTATTGAGGCAATTAGTGATGTCATTGACACTGTTTGTGTGTTTGCATTGCCGGTTAACTGTGATTCTGATGCCCTTTGAGACTATCCGGTTCAATGGCATGAAATGAAAAAAAAAAAAACAAATGTTCAACAGTTAGTTAAATTTGAATGTGAAAAAAGACACCTAACCAACATCTATTCAAATTCATTTTTTTTTAAATAATGCATTTTTAAACTTTGAAACTGGAAAACCAAAAAAAAAAAATATTTACCGTCATATTACCGCAAGGCGTTTCATTACGCACAAATTTGAACATTGATTCCACTAAATTGGCCGGAGTGGACTCTTGACATTTTTCTAGCGATTTAACAACACAGCCTTGCAACGAATCCATATCACTGTCAAAATCGAATATAAATATAAAAATCGCGTTCATTTATCGCGTAAAAACAAAAATCTCTTTAAACTTACTTGCATTGTTCCTGGCCCATAACCAGCTGTGGTAGTTCTGTTGGTACTGTTTTTGATTCAATTTCTTTTTCAGATGGTAAATAGTTAAAGAATGTTGCATTCATGCAACTGATCAATTCGTCTTTGGTCTCAGTAAAACATTGTGGCCCTTTTTCCGCAATGAACAACGCAATTTGATCGCCATCTTTGTAGCACACAAAATTCAGAAGATTTTTGAAAATTTTCACAAAAGTGCGTTTGCCTTCGATTTCTTTTGGTTCCAAGCATGGTTCGAGCACTGCCGTAAAATTCTCCAAACAACCAATGACAGTGCTACGTTTTCGACAGTATCTATATAGAGAAATTGAATATTATATATTTTATTCTGTTTCGTTTCGATTTATCGGTAAATTAAGAATTACTTATTGAAAACGGTGTCCAGTTCACCCTTTGGTTGAGCTTTGTCGATTTCATCTTGCAATGTTGGAACATCAATCAAACCACTGGTACAGTTTTGCAATTCGGCAGCACCAGTTTCAATCGCATTGTAGGCTTCCTCACCGCCAGACACTGTTTTGCATTTTTCTTTCATCATATTCTTGATATCATCAAGCTTTGGTAATGTGATATTTTTGAATGATGCAGGAATTTCCATTCCCGGTGGTAAATTCTTATTGATATCGTCCACATTGATTGATTCTCGTAGCTTATCCAAATCCAATTGCGGAGGGTCATCGCACTCAATTTGACCTGTAAAATTTTTAATCGAGAAAAAGGTGTTTATTCAATAATTTTATCAAAAAATGAACTTTTTTTCTTATTGAATAATGGTGTTTTATTTGAAAAAAAAAAAAATGATTTGTGGTGCGTATTCGGTAAGTGTATTGTAAACAATATAGTTGGGATAAGTGTTGTTATCTGTAGTTATAAAGAGTTGCAACGGCAAATGAACAAGCTCTACACTGCATTTAATCTGTCTTTGAATGTTTGCCTATTGACAGAATGGACAAAGTCCGTTAGCGATAAAACGTAGTTTTCAATCACACATTCGAATTCTGGAAAGGCATATTTTCTATTTGAACATTTTGCGAAAATAAATGTCGATTCGTTCAAGAGTAACCAAAAGATGAATCATAAAATAATCTGCCTCGACAGAAACATCCTCGACGAGATTTCAGAATTCAATTTGGTTTACATATTCAATTTACACACCTTTGCTTAGTATGGCCACATGTCAAACACGAATAAAGTCTAACAGCATTCTGTTCGGTTCTCTCTCACTCTATCAATAGCCTTATTTGCCATTTATCAATATTATATGGAGCATAACCGATACGAAATATCATGTTTCGAGATTTTATTTTGTCGCTATGTCGAAAAATCGAATTACATTCACAGTGAAGCAAACAATTTAATCGTGATTAATATCACTTGAACGATGTATTGGCAACGTCACTTTTCAATCGTTAATCAATTCACGTGTGCCATTAGGCATATTTGTATGTGTTTTCGTGATATTTTATTGTTTATAAATGCTATATTTAAAATATTGATGAAACAGCAATAATTACTGGCAACAACGAACGCGTTGTATTTAGTCGGACGAACACATACCAGATCGCCGCAAAAAGTCACCGAATTCGGGAATTTAATCGATTTCAAATTTGATACTTGAATTTAAAAGAAAAAAAAGCAGAAGACATACAAAAAACTCAATGAAAGTTTGCCGCATGGTAAGCATGAAAAAATAATTACCAAGCTCATTTGGTACGGATCAGCGCACTTACTTCAAGAAAAATTGCACAATGTAATATGTTTGGTTTTCCATTGAATTAGTAAACAAACGAATGAATTTAAAAACGAAAACAAGTATGTTTTTAATTGCAATTAAAATGACGGTGAATCCGAAACAAAGCCAGCAATTGTCTAAAGAACTTGTTTGATATGAAGAAAATATCAAGTCAAATGAATTTATTACATGTGTGACAAGAACATTATTTTGATTATGTTGTCGTCAATCCGCTAAAACAATAAAAAAAATATAGAATCCATTCCATTGTTCTTCATTCATTCAGAATGATATTGTAGTTCACACTTCAATTTCCGTTTTATGTACGCTGAACATTTAATCGTCGCATTGTGCAACAATGATTAACGGGTTTGAAAATGAAGCATACAGCCAAGTGAATCATAACGCACAGTCTCATGTAAACCTTGTACTTAATAAATAAAATATGTGGCTGTGCATTTCCTCCCTCTGTGTGGGCATGTGTATCGAACGCCAACTGAACAACATTGTCAGTTTTAGAATTTGTAGCAAATATTTGTATTTTTTTATCGTTTGTCATCCAGACTAACCCAAAAGTTGCCGTTCAAATTCCATTTTTTTTTTTTAATAAACAAACAATGATGATTCACATTTTTATGGTGTTAGTCCCGATTATGAGAAGCCAAACACAGCAGCAATGAACGAGACTCATCATAATTATGTAAAATATGAGAATGGATTTTGCGTACAATTATATAAACCACAAAATACCGGACGAGAGAGAGAGGAAGAAAAATAGAATAATGTGATGAAAAATTGAACGCGATTATTATCTAAACACTCTACGCATTTACATTGTATGCTGTGGTTGCTGCTCATGTATGGTGGCCTGTTGAAAAAGAGTAGTTTATTATTGCAATTGCGCAATCACAGTACACCAAGTCCAATACGAAATCAACACGGAGTCATGCAACATTTCCGATTCAATGGTAGTAATAAATGACCAATTGCTAAGCCGGTTGGCAAACTTGGTTCAACATTTTTTTGGGGCATTGAATCAAAGTTTTTTAGGACCCATTTTTTTCAACGGAAAAAACATTTAAAACAACAAAAAAAGAGAAATCATTGGAATGGTTTTGCATTCATCCTAATCGTAACTGACAAAATGCATTCATTGCCAAGATGAAAAAGGTATTCTTTCTTGTCTCTTGAGCTCTCTTCTTTTTATTTTACCCTTTATGAAAAAAAAAATGCAACCAAGATTTAATCAGGTTTTTAAGCGAAAAGACCGGCTTGCCTCTCAAAAAACTGGAAATTATTATCAATTTAAAGAGCAAAACAGAAACGTCAGCAAGATTTTATTCTTCGTAAAACAGCGTCGCATATTTGTGCTTCTCCGAAGTTCGTATGCTACCCAAGATTATCAGAAATTGAATGATACTTGGCATTGCGTGCTAAAGTTTCAATCAAATTAATTTTGCTGAATATTTTCTAATGCGTTTGCGGCACCTTAAAAAAATATTCAATAATAATTGTGGTTGTTGTTCGTGATTGATTATTGCCAGGGCAAATAATCCGAATCACGATTAATTAAAAACAGTCTTGCCCTATAAACTGTATCTGTAAATGTTTTCTATCTATATTATGGAAATCATTAAAACTAATCGCAATCGGTTCATAGTGTAAAACCTGAAGTGCTTGGCTTTTCAACCCATAAGTTCTGTGTAAAATGAACACAAACATATTCACTCAAATGAGAATCTGAAAACAAAAATGATAGCATACAAATATAGGGAGTGTAAAGCAACATCCAGCACGTCCACTTGCCTCTATTGACGAATTTATTTTATACTTGTCGACAACTGCAAACATAAACAAATTGCAACCTTTTTTTATTGTTTTCTCAATTGAACGGATGAGCAAGTCAATATGCATAATTTTTTTTTGCGGTTATCAAAAACTCCAAACGAGCATGATTCATTGGATTCAGTGAATTGAAATTATTGATCAATTTTTTCACTATTTAGAAAAAAACAAGCGAAATTGACCATATTTTGCGGCGCAAATATAGACTCGATGTGTTCGTGTGTACACGAAAAATAATTAACAACATTTGCATTAGCTGGAAATTGGCGTGTGAATGAGTCAAGGCCAACAATGATGCACATGGCACAGTCGCTCGTTTTATTGATTGAATGAACTGGAAAAGCATCGAAGGAAACTTGACCCCATGTACAAATTCCATTGCAGCAGATCACTCTCTCTCTCTCTCTACATATCTCTCTGCCACTCTATCTCTCTAACGCTCTGCCGCCCTATCTATTTATCTATTCAAGTAAATCGAACAACGTCCGGAGGCAATTTTAGATGATTAAAAGACGTTGACACTCACTATTATTATCATGGATATGTGTGAGGCAGATAAGCACATTCCGAGGAATCGACACCGTATTCGAATCAATTTACATAGATTTTCCAGATTTCCTTTTTTTTAATTGAAAAATATTTATATATATGCCCAGTGACATTCATTTCATAGTTATTGAATAATTCCGCACGAATGTTGACAATTGTTTAAACGTGTCAATGGCAATAATCTTTAAATAAACCACTTACAATTGACTCTTTTATTCAACAAAATGTGAAATAAACTGAACTCCTTAAAACAAAACTGATTTACAATTAAATTATGCAAATATTAATTATCAACGAATTGCAGTTTGTTTGTTTGCCTTTTTCGTAGCGAATTTTACATTTATATCAACACTTGAAATGTTTGAACGAAAACAAAGTTGTTCTTTTTTAGGATTGGAACAATACTTGAACTCGGCAAATTAGTGCAGTACGTAAATGCAGTAAATTGAATTACAAGAGTGTGAAGAAGAATAAAAAAAAGTCGTGACGGCAATTTTGGAACTGAACTTTTGATGTTTTTTTTTTTGATAATTTTTTTTTCCATCAAAAAATATTTTTAATCACTGGAAAAAAACCAACGCCAATCAAAATAATATGCAATTCATTGGTATAAAAACTGGTTCTTGAATGTTTTTTTTTTTCTTCATAAAAATGATCACATAGTCACTGGATACATTCCAATTTTTCAAAACAAAAAGTGAAACATTCAGAAAAACACGAAACATTCCATAGAAAATTGTGGAACAAAGAAAATAACCACTTACCCGACAATGCTATGGTCAGCAAAACGAGGAAAAACAGGCGATTTCGGTGAAACATATTTACTTTGGTGTGTTGAAATGTACACGCGTGTCCGATTCACTCGGCGAATTGTGTCTGAAACGGTGCACTTCAAATACAAGACGAATGATAACTGAGCCGAGCTTCACCGTGATACTACTGCTTGATGATTGCGTACGATGAGATTGTTGAAATGCTGCTTAAACAATATTTTGTTGATGCGGTCGTCAATGTGTGCAGCTGCTTTTTGTTTTATCTGTATTTACTTTTCCTATGTAAGCGTACAAAATGAAGATTAAAATGATGACAACAAAAATGCCTAATTGAAATAAACAATCCAATCGATGCAGTGAAATATTCGAAATGATGTGTGCCACACATAATCGCTTGCTCAAGTTCAGAGTTGTAACATACACTGTTTACGTGCATATATCGGTGTTAGTATGTTATTGTAAACCAACTTGTAACTGTATGGTCAATATACACTGTTTATATGCTAAATCGACAATTTACACACAAAGCATGTTTGTACACACACAAAAAATATGCGGTCAAATCAAATGAGGATGCGGTTATTATTAGGTAGTGTGCGGTTAAATTTAAACTCAATTTTCATCCATTTTACAATTCTATGTTCTAGAATTGACCGCAATTTACCGCATTCGTAGTATATTATCAAATAATATTTGTTAAATAAAATAATATTTTTGATGTAAATATTTTATAATTCTCACACGTACATTTAAATGCTTGATTTTGACGCTTTTGTGTGGTCAAATTTACTATGAATGCGGTAAATTGCGTTCAATTCTAGAACACAAAATTACAAAAAAATAACAAATAACTGCATCTTCATTTGACCGTATATTCTTTTGTGTGTAGTTTCGTTTGATATGCGATGACTTCTTCTTGTTATTTTTTTATTATTTTTTATGTTTCTGTCTCTTTTTTATATTCGTTCAGTTCAAATGGTCGAATGTATTGACGTTACTCAATAACATACAAACTAAACAGTGTTACTGTATGCTCGAGCGTCTCTTTAATAAAAAAAAACTATTCAACTGACCACACATTCTTCCACACATAACAGCAAAATCAATCGAACGAAACAGAGAGTAGAAGCGGTTTGAATGAACAAATTTACTATGTCAGGGATGTCAAATAGAAATGATGTTTTTTATGTTAAAATATTGGCACCATACACTCTTCAATTGAACTCTTATCATTTAGCTACAATAACCCAAAATGAAATTCTTAAAATTCTTTGTACAATCACCAAATAAATTGAAAATGCTTTTCAAATTTGATTAAATGTACACAAATTTTTTCAGCGATGGATTGTTATTCAGAATACACAATGACCGGGCACTTTTTTTTGCTCACCTGAATCAATAAAAAACACAATACCAAATTAATGCAAATTTTTTAGTTTGATTTCATGTAAACAAAGTGTCTTGTATCTTTGGCAGAGTGTCAAATAGACGGTTTTTTGAATGAAATTAAAATATTGCTCATCACCAATTTAATCAAATACATATTTTCAATAGTTGACAGTTCAAATTCACAAATACATGATCGATTGTTGTCTATCTAATTCTCTGTCTCTCTCTTCTTCCTCTGTACAGACGTCATTCAATCAGTCAACGATTTCACCGTGCGGTGTCGCTGCGATGTTATCCAATTCAAGTCCAAATTGAATGGGGATAAAAAAAAAACCGTTTGACTTTAACAAGTGGTCGATATATCGTGGGAAAATCGGAACTGTTTTCATTATTAAGTTCAATTTTAATTCAAAATCGACTATTTTGAGCTCAATTCATGTCAAATGATCAAACAAAGGAGAAAATTGATTTTTACCCATCCTCATCGAACAGGTTGCTTTATAAGACCTAGAAAAATTCAATTCAATTTTTTTATTTTTCACAGATTTTTTGTTTGTTATTTTTAATTGAAGTAAAAATGTCGATTACCCATGAATAGGTCTTTCAAGATTATTAAATCAATTCACAAAAAAAAAGTAAAAAAAAATATGACTGGAATGCAAATATTGAATGCCAAAACAGTTATGGGTTCTTTTAAAATTATTCGTTCAATTAAAGTCATTAGTTCATTGAGTCATTAGTTCATATTCAAATAGAAAATATTTATTGGGAATGTTCTTGTTCTAATGTCGTCAGAAAGCCCTCATTTTTTTTTCATACAAATCATTCAAAAATTAAACAACCGCATCAATGTCATTTTTGCAAAAGGTGATTTTATTAGATATCATATAGCCAGGATTGAGTTCAAATGGATAACTTTGGAATACATTGAGATGGACGGATTTTCTGATTGGGTATGAAAACCGTAAATTTTGTAATTCGTGCAAAATGTGTGTGTAAACTCATTTTATTTGTTTGTTTGAAACAAAACAAATAAAATAAAATGTTGCCATTTTGAAGATCGATACCAATTTTGGTTAGTGACTTTGGTGATGGTGTTTGGTGTAAGTGTTGATTTTATGTGGTAATATATCCCACACAATGTTTACAATTTGTATGCCTGTCGCATGAATAAGTCAAAGTATCCATCGTTATCGATTGATGCACTGACGCCAGCATAATAGTTGTAAAATTCTTCTTCGGTGACACGACCATCGACAACACCGCCAACTTCAAAGTTTGCCAAAAATCGATTCAAAATTTGCTCTTCCGTTTGTTCACCACTGCAAATGGACGAAACAACAACAACAAAAACAGTAAACGATGCATAAGTTAAGAAAAATGATTAAAAATCATGGAATTTGGCCAATTTTTTTCTGTTCGTTTCTGGACATAAATAAGAAATATAATGATCGTACCTCGTATATTGTGGATGATGAAGTACCGAATACACATTTCTGCAAATGAAAATATAAAGTTATAAATAATGCAAAATGAAAAATGCGTAGAAAAATTGGCTTTACTTCAAATCATCGATGGTAATCTGTCCGTCGCCAGTTTTATCCAACTTTTTGAATGCATCACCAATTATGCTTTGTCTACTTTGAGACATTGGAGGCTGCCAGGAAAATACACACAAAATAAATTGAACAATATAATTGAATAAGAAAATTTACTCACTCTAATTTGAATCAAAAATTCCGACATATTGATCGAACCATTTTCGTCGGTATCAAAACTATACGGAAGAAAAGAGAAAAAATGTTCTAAAAAACGTTCAACATCTTCATTAAATTTACCGTTTGAAAATATCTTCGGCTTCTTCATCGGTTACTTCCATGCCAGTGTCACGAAGTCCCTTTGCAAATTCCTCGAGTGAAAGTTGTTTGTTACCATCGTCGTCCATTCGACGAAAAGCACGACCTAGTGATAATTACGCACTTATTTAATGCGCCATTTGAAGTAAAATGGTGACTGCTGTGAGTGTGTAATACATACCCAAGCCTACAATACCCGATGCCCCACGTGCCAAACATAACAAACGCAATTTTTCAACTGGATCCCTTTCCGTTCCATCGTCCAATGCACGTTGGCATTTGTTTATTAATTCCGATTCACTTCGCGACATAGAGCTTGATGGACGATTTGCCATCTAAACGCAACGAAATGAAAGCACAAACTGGTTAAATAATTTTTCTGATAGCCATAAATGTGATATGAAATGTTCATTTCTTCGACAAAAAGATAGAAAACACGGACATACACAACCAAATGGGTTTTTAAAATTTAAAAAAAAAGAGACACAACACAAACGATAATTGACGAAATCGACACAAAACTAATTGGGTCAGTCCAATTTAAACCGGTGGTTTTTTTCTTTTCTTTTTTTCTGCATATGCACTATTTATATTTTATTTCAAGAGAACGAATGAGAGATCAGAATGTTTTGTTGTCTACCTTCAAGGTGAATCGTTTGCGGTAACGTTGGCTTAGCATATTTGGTTGAATAAATATTTAATGGATGAAAGTGAAAGAAAACAAAATTAGAAAGACACTTTTGTTGCAGATTTTGTTTTTTTTTTTTAAATTAATGTAGAGATATGTATGTTTTTTTATTCTCAATCGATCAATATTTCAAGCGAGTGATATAAAATTATCGATGACCCAGCCATGTTTTGTTGTTGTTTTTCTTTATCCCTATTCTTTACGTTGTACATGGAATATATAATTTTGGGAAATTATGTTTGAATATAAGCCCATCATTTCACGTCCATTATCACAGCGCACACACATTGTCACTATATCCGTTGAATGTCTATCTGAGAACTGTTGGTCGATTGTTCGAGAGAACCGCTTTTTGTTTGTACATATTTCGGAGCATGTCACACATTTACATCAAATCGAAAGCCAAAAAAAAAACGAGCGAACGAACACGAGATATTACAGAGAAAAAAAGAATGTAAATCAAGAATACACAGGACTAAAAATCGATTGAATCCACATTGGAACAATTGCGGGTGTATACATGCGTTACTGAACGTTAACTTAAAGTTTAGCGTGCCGATCTTGTGTCGCGTGCATCGCACAAAGCAACGTCAACAACACGACAACATGATGAGTGAACGAACTTTTACTATGACCGAAACATAATGAATTGACCATATTGGATAAATAAAATAGGACCCGCACAGACTTATTCAATTCGAAAGACACTTACTGTCAATTAAAAACGTAAACTATACGCTTACTGTGATACACTACACATACACATCGGGACGACATCCAATTAACGATTCACAATTTATGCAAATACAATTGTTTCCGTTAAACACATTATTTGTCAAGGATCGTTCACAGAGTTCAAAGCAATCGTTCAATCGTTCAAATTGACACATTACAAATCAATAGCGATGGAAATTCGAGACGCCGAATAAATATTTTGTTTTTTGTTTTTGTTTTTTTGCTCTCTTTGATAATCAGCAATGATTTATTCTAATTTTTTGATAACATTCAAATTCCGTTACAATTACTTTTGGCCAGGCTTCTCTATGATATTACACGATTTCAATTTGATTAAATGAAATTGTTTGAACATTTTCAAATAAAATCAATTTATTTGATTTGTGATTTCAAATCTAAAATTGAGAGTGCTGACATTAAATTTCCAGTTAAATTCAAATTGAATGAAAATGCTAAGGACCGCTAGAAAAAAGTGTGTCCTTCGGTTCAATAATCATCGCACACACAAAAACAGAAGTAGTAATTTGCAAATTTACCAATAGTTGTTAAAATATCTATTGGTATTTTCATACAATTGTCACTACAACAGCGAGCGCAGTTGACATTTGGTCCATCGCGCCAAAACAAGTGACAATTATGTTGTAGTCAGTATGAAAATACCAATAGATATTTTGACAACTATTGGTAGATTTGCAATATACCAATACATTCAAACATTTCTAGTACTACTGTTTTTTGTGTGTGTTGAATCACATTGATTTTTTAATGAACTTTTCATTTCTCTACAGAAGAGAATTCTAGAGAAATATATAGTCTCTTTGCATCATATGTTTTGTAAATTACTTGTCGAAGCGTGAACAATTTAGTCAAATCAATGAAATTGAACCAAAATTCATCATTCACCGGAATATTCCACATATTTTGACTTTAAATGTTATGCATGGCAGAGCACTGAACTTAAGTTGCATTGAACGTCTACTTAATAAGTTAAAGAAGTGAAGTTAATGGAATAAATATCAAAAAAAAAAATTGTGTTAAACTATGAAAAGTGAGCTCAGCAACAGACATAGTCTTTTTTTTCTAATCCAGTCTTTGCTATCACGGAATGGTTATAATTTATTCACACGTCTGACTAATTAATTAAAAAAGTCTCCATTCTTTTCTTTTCTGAGACTTTTATTCAAGTACTTCTATGATAAATTATAATAAACTGAAAAAATCGCATTTAAAAACTCACTGTTTTAATTTCAAATAGTTTCTTCTACTGCAAATGATAATTTCACTTCAAATAATCAAACTAGTTTAGAGATAGTTTTCACTCGCTCAAAAATCTTTGATATTGTGTTGTGAGTAAACACCCGTGATTCGTAAAAAGTCCAAATAGAAACTGAAATCGAAAGCCGCGTTGTTCGTTGTTTTTGTAAAAAAAGTAAACGCGATGATGATGAAATATATGACTCAACTGCATGCAATCGTAGTTTAAAGTGTGTGTCTCACGCACATACACTACAGCTGCTGATCAGTGTTTGTCATCTGATCGATATGTATCTTAGATTATTATGACGAGATATGTCTCACAAATCTTAATGAAATTCATTCGACATAAAAGTAATTGGCATGATTAAATCCCTGAATACGGTTGAGTGAGCAATCTCTGTGTGTGTGAATCATTTTGGAATTTATAATTTGTTAAATGTAAAGAGATTTTATGTAAAATTTGTAAATACTAAATTGACATTGCTGGGATTTTTTCCATTGAAATCATCATTGATATTGATTGACTTTGAAAATTGTTTTTACATAAATCAATTTTATCAAAACGCAACGAATCAAGTAATGATTGTTTCATTAGTTGAAGATTTCTTTTTATCCATTGCGGTAACTCTGATGATAAACTTTCTGATTATTATATTTGATGAATCAAAAAAATAGATTGATTTATTCGAATTTGATTGGTGACTACTGTGTTTTCGGTGATTTTGATAAATTTGGAACATAGTCGTTGTTATAGCCATTATTTCATACTTGTCCGTATACAAAAATGTGAGTGTTATATTAGAATCAAAACATTGTAGTCCAATGTCTTATCATGTATCGACACCTCATGTTCATTGGTCTATTTCCAATGTGGTGTGTTTAATGCTTTTGGCCCGATTGATTGTACCGCTGCCGACCCATCGACATACTTAATATCAAATGATGATGAGATTCTTGCATATTTTATAAACCATTGTGTATGTTGCGTGTTTTATATGTTCAACGGATGGATGCATAAAAAAACAAAAGGAAAATAATGAATTCAGATGGCAAAACCTTAAACATTGACATCCCTTTATATTCGACGATTTTTATTACCATTCATTCATCAACTAAAAAAAATCATAAGTAAATACATGCACTCGACAAGTATGAAATGCACATAAACATTGATTTTTGGTCATTCCTGAGATTTTTTTTGACTAATTTCTATAAAATATAATCTGACATGCCGTGTATTTGATTATGAATTCAAATATTATGTCATAATCATCACGTAAAGCTATGTACCTGAGTGATTCTTATAGAACAACAAATAAATTGGTAACCGCTTTTTTTCTCTCTGTAATTATCGTCTGTTGGCGACAGTATCCTAGAGCATGTGTGCGCTTCGAACAATGGACAATGCTATTCATTGTAGTAGTGTTTGTAGTAAAAAAAAAGTATATTTGTTTATTCGCTGGTGACATGTTGCGTAATTTAGCTTCCAATTTCAATTATTATGTTCATGCACAAGGTAATATTTGTCAGTGAACAATGAAAAATGGCCATTAAGTTATGGGGCGTCAACCATTGCCGCCCGTTTAATTTAATAAAATATATTCCATTTTCCGTGTCTCTTTATGAGCTCATTTTTTTTTACTAAGGGTCCACACTAAAACAAACCCCAAAAATTTATCGACGCACAGTCTCTTCAAACAGATAGAATTGGGGTCATGCAATTTGTGCGAATTTTTTTTTCTTGAAAGTAATTTCGATTTGATATAATGAAAATGGAAAACAATTTGAATTTATTCATGGAATGAAATACGCCAGCTCAATATACCATGGAAAATACTTTAAAAACCAAGCTGTAATTTATATGCAAACGTTGTGGAATTTCTTTTTATTTTTCCATACATATGAATCATGTGCAAATCAGCTGATTATTGGTCGACTGTTTCAATCAAAAGACAAACCCTTTACTTTAGAATCACCTAATACTGTTTAAGAACGCAAAAACAGAACACAGCACAGCAACGAAATCAAGGTATATTAAACGTTTTTTTATTTGTTACCTGAATATTTCCTTTGTATTTGAATCAAAATATAATGAATTAAACAAAAACGTGCACGTTTTTTGCTGAAAATGAAAAAAAAAAGAAATGAAGAAAAAGTTGGCAAAACAATTAAACACATCCAAAAATTGTATTACGTATCTACCTTAATTTATTTGCTTGAAACACAAATATTTGTCTTTTCAATTACAATTCACACAACTCAACCTATCTTGGTTGAATTGAACACTTTGTCTGTGTCAAAGAACTAGTACAAACTGAAAGTATTTCGTATTTAAAACTGCGACACTGTCCAACGAAAGAACATCATCTGAATTGGTTTTCCCTGTGACCGCATCCACTTTAACATACGAATACGTACGCACATGTGTGTATACTTGTACAATACACGCGATATCGTATGAGAAATCCCATATGACTAAAAAAATATCCATTTCAAATGTCATATCGGTTTTGCCGCATACATTCATATCTTTATCCAATAATATTAATGAGACAATTTAAAACTGAATTAATAACAGCACATTCTACAATTCAAATAGTTTTTCTTTCGATTTTTCTAACATTTTGATCGAATTCATATTTTATAAATTTTGGTATAATGATGTTTTTTTAGTCCAGAATGCTTGATTATAATATGGTTCAAGTTTGAAATACAGCTGATTACTTCTTTCTTCCACCTCGTTTGCCCTTCCCTTTCTTTTTGGCCTTTCGCTGAGCCAATAATTTTCGATAATTTCGTTGAATGATGCGTGCCACACGGTTCATCATAAATAATAAAATTCGTTCCTCGCGTCTTTTCTCTTCTTCAACCTCTTTATCGGCCAGAATTTGATTGTATAAAATTTCCTGAGTTTTGTATTTGTCATTCCATGCGTTAAGTGTATTGGTTTCCCGTTTCAAAATGAGCTTACATTCATTTAGCTTTGCATTGCGTGCACCGATTTCATGGTCATAAACTTGCAAAAAATCCTTTAGCTGATGCTCCAAGTCGATTCTATGGTGATGAATAATATTATTACATTTGAATCACTTAGAATAAATCAACATTACTAGATAAATGTCTTCAAATGCGTTACTGAAAAAAGTCAGTCAGCAAAAGCGTTATAAAATATATGGACGATGTCACGCTTTTGTTGGCGAACTGTTTTATATAACGCATTTGAAGACATTTATGTAGTAATGCTGATTTATCCTAGGCGGTTCATTTAAAGTGTTAAAAAAACATTGAACCATTTAAAATATATATACTTTTTTTGAATCGCTTCATTTTCCTCGCACATATCGTTCTTTCGTAAGGTGTCAAACATTTCTTTGGCTCGCAGTACCGATTCGGTGGCCGCATTTTGATGACATTTTCCAATTTCACATATTTCGGTCATTGCTTTATTTGAATCAATACTGAAAATGAATATTCAATTGTACAAATCGCTTCATTCTCAAAATCAATAATTAGATTTTCAATTAGAGCTATGAACTCTTGACAGAACCAAAATTCGAATGAAAAATTATCGAGTGACATTGTTATTTTTGTGAACAATTTGTTTTTCTTTTTCGTCAAGAATGTAACCTTACAAATGAAACAAAAATAAGAAAAAATAACTACATCAATCGATTAAGAATCATGCTATTCTTATGATGGAGTCGTCTCTTTTCAAACTCATATCGTTCGACTTCGTCCTGTTTCACCGTTGTAATATTGGACACTTTCAGTTGATCTTCTTCGATTTCCCGGCGCAGTTCATGAATTCGTCGTACGTTTTTGGTATTTTCCGCCCAGTGCTGATGTAATACCTTCTGTCGTGCCATTTCTGTGGCAGCGCTCATTTGAATACGATGTCGAGCGATTTTCATCAACTCACTCAAAAGTAGCATAATATTTTGACCGCTTTCTGGCATCTACAGTTCAGAAATGTTATGAATTTAAAAGAGAACAATAATCGTAACACAAACATGTATTATTTACATTCTGCCATCCATTCGCATTATTGTGTAAAATATCCAAGCATTGATTCAAAGCTATTACAAACGTATTGTTCGATGCATCAATCGACGAATGGAACCACTTTTGTGTGAACTCTTCGATTAGCTGTGCATCGTCCACTGAAAATAGCAACTTCAAATGTTCGTATTGATGTTTAATCAAATTCGAAAGATAAAAAACTAAACGAATTTTTGCGATACACAAATCTAACACTTTTTCAATGCGATGCGCATGGACTTGAAGTTCGATGTGTTTAAAATCATTTTCACTAATATTCGATTCATAGTCATTGTATAATATAATCTCCTTGCCAATTCGATTGATAAACTCAAAAACAACCTGACGAAATTGTCTCTCTTCATCAGTCACATTCGTTGATTGGCTACCAATTGGCCAAAGTGTCATCGTTCCAGACATATTATTTCATTAACTGTCGGATTTATTTCGTTTTGAATCCAGTATCCGTGAACATTGAATGGCAAACTAACGACTGTGACACATTATTTATTGAGACGTTGCCAAGGTAATCGATGCGTCGATTTCCATACTATGCACATGTCGCTGCTTATGCTTTTCCTCTTTCAATCAAACTGAATTATATGCAATAATTCACATATTCATAATGGCTTTCAACATTCGAATGAGAATATTATATTCATATCTTTGAAATGTAAATTTTTATTTTCTTTTCTATAAAAACAACAATTCTTACTTAACGGCATTTTATGGCTAAATTTATCGAAAAAACTTACATCTAAATATATTTCAATTTGCATTTTGACATAAAATACTATTCGCGATTGTGTGTGTTATTTGGCATATCCTAAAAAAACAGAAGCTGCCAAAAACAAAGCTAGGAACTAATATATTCGGATGCACGCACGCATGCATACCACGTGCGCTGTGCACATATATACACAATTTCATTTGTAAATATATATAAAATTGGTCACCGTGTCTAATGCTATCGACCAAGTATCACCTAGCACTCTTTTTTTTCAAATTACAGCATTCATTTTGATTTCAACTGAAAACTATTTTACATATATACACACGCAAACATATCTATTACTATACTATTCCTATTACTGATCCTGTATCACGAAATTTACATTATAGGTGACCTAATTTACTACTATTTGGTTTTTATTTTCAATGTAATTTCTAAAAATATTTTTTTTAAAAAATCTACAAATCACTTCATGTCGCATTAGCAATATAATTCGTTCGATTTTTATAAAAATAGGCACATCTTCAACGTCATATTTAACAAAAAAAGTTCAATAATTCAAAGTTTATATAATATGAACACATGAAAACACATACAAAATATATTTTTAGAAAAAAACACTATTGACTGCCCATTGCTATATGAAAATATGACATGAATTTTGGCATTGTTTAGGCAAGCAATAATTTTTCCTTTTCCACGGTTATCGTTTGATCATTGGCCGCTGTATTAATGTTGATATTGAAATTTGATGCCGTTTGTTTTTTTGTTTTCAATGTCGTCGATCGGCCGGAAAAGTAATCTTCGATCTCTTGTAATGTTTTTCCTCTTGTCTCTGGCAAAAAGAAATAGTAAAAGATTGTACCTGAAAAAATAAAACAGAATCATTTCATTAAAGAAAACACACGGTAAAATGAAGTTTTCGATATTTTTTTTTTTTTGAGTTCAAATTGTATAGAAAGTTCTACTAACCGACTAAAGAAATAACACCATATAAAATAAACGTTCCGTGTTGCTCTATAGTACTCATCAAAAATGGATATGTTTTCACAACTATAAATACAAATGAATGGGCCGCAAATGTAGTCATTCCACCGATGATGCCGCGTACTTTTTGTGGATACAATTCGCCTGAAATTTATAATCAATTGAAAGGTATTGACTTAAAAAATGAATCGAAAAATGTTCACATACCGATCATAACCCATGGTACGATGAGGTATCCAATGCAACTGCATATTGTAAACGTAAAAATACATGCCACTGGGAACCATTGGTATTGCGTCGGAAGACCTTCTTTATCCATAGTGAATTTATATTGAAGATAAATGCCAAGGCATATCATCGATATGCCACAACCAATTGACGATACAAATGTAAGTGGACGACGGCCATATCTACGCATTGCAATACAGCCAACGACCGTAAACAATACACGAACAATTCCAATAAAAATTGCACAATTGTTTGCATCCCACGACGGTACAGCCATTTGGAAAATTTCAACCGCATAGAATGTGATCGTATTAACGCCGCTAAATTGATACATCATGAAGTATACAACGAGTATTATGAATGGCTTCAAAGCGGTGGGACTGAGTATTGCTTTAATTGTTTCACGAAATGATGTTTTTCTGCAAGTACACATTGAAATCGATCATTTTTCTTCGACATAAATTTAAAAAATAATTATTATTATTAAAAAACTAACTTGTCTAGTTGAGATTTTTGTGCGAAATTTTGCAAATGATCCACTTCACGTTGAATATTGTATGTTGAACAGCGCAATTTTGACAAACTTTTGGTTGCCTTTTCTGGTTTTGATTGTGCCACATAGAATGTTGGCGTTTCTGGCATCATGTACATCGAAATTAATGCTATTGTTGGTATAAATCCCGATATCACTGATAACGTTTTCCACGATGCAAATTTTCCGATTGTATACTGGAGAAGTACACCGAAACTAATAAAGACGGCGGCTAAAGCACTCAACATGCCACGGAGATGGGGCTGTGTCACTTCGCTGGTGTATACACGAGCAGGTGCACCAACCATACCAGAACCAAAACCCATAAGTAAACGACCCGCATAAATCATAGGCACATCGGTGGCCATTGCAATGAGTATCCAACCAAAAATTAACGGAATTTCAGTCAATAGCAATGCCTTTTTTCGTCCAATTTTATCCATCTATTTAGAAGAATCGAATCATTACGTTAAATTCATCATTTTCAAGCAAATGCATGTGATATATTACTCACCAAAATACCACTTAAAATACATCCAACTGGTGTACTGGCCGAAGATAATGCAGCTAGAAAATAAACAAACAAACAATGATTTAAAAAAATATATTCGAAAATAAACGAAGCAAATAAAGATTTGGAAAAATTCTGATGTTTCAATAAAAAAAAACCGCCCATCATTGCCTATTTACCCTTGCATTTTGTAGTAAAAATTGTGTTTATTGTTAGATAATTTAGTATATATATATATTTTTGTTGTTTTGCTTGAAATTGTGATGTACGATGTCAAGCGGAAAGTGAACTCAAAACAAGTCACATGTTTACTACATTTTAACGTGATAAGTATATTTCTTATCATTTCGAAATGAAAAAAAAAACCAACATTTAATCAACAGAATCGAATCATTAAGTTGAATTTAACTAGAAGTTGAGTGAGCCTAAGAAAGAATGAAGAAAATCAGAGTTAAATTACAAGGTCAACCCATATGTTCATATTTGACGTTTCAATCAATGAATTGAATTTTGTTTCAATTTTACCACCATCAATAAATAGACACGTCGAATATGGATTTCATCTCGATATGAATTTTTGATTTTATGGTCAATTGACGTCAATCCATGTGTTGATTTTCATACGGTTCGGTTTGACGTTGTTGTTCTAATCTCAACGACTCATTTTTTTTCTTCTTCTTCTTTTTTCAAATGACCCTTTTTTGTTTTCATTTCCAGAATATATAGATAATCCATTTGTGCAAATTCATCATTTTTGGCAGCAGAACTCATTAAATATATACGAATTTTATCGCATAAAATAACGTGCGCGTTTAAATGATTGTAAACCGTTTGTTTTTTATTCAACGAATTGATAGCAAATTGAGAAAATTGCCATGTGACTTATCGCCTTGAGTGAGTCTGCAAGGCAACAAACTTGAATAAAGACTGAAAATATGTTCATATATTCATTTCCTCAATTTGAAAAATGAAATGACAATAAATTGTCGGTAATAAGTGCGTCTAACGCGCACATTCTATGGACAGTGTCATTCTATTGGACACACAACAATTATACATGATTTGTTGGCAAAAGTTCATTGAATTAGATTATTTTTCTGTTGTTGACATTCGATTATGTTTCATTGTCCACCGAGAAAAAACGAAATGCATTTGTAGAAATACCCATGACGAGAGTGTTAATTTCAATGGATTTGTTTACTACGAAAATAATATTACACCACACGCATCAATATAAAATTTAACGTTATTCTCACTCATAAACATAAATTTTAATTGGATTGTTAATCATTAAAGCCGAGATCTTTTGATAAAATTGTTTGTTGAAAATCATGGCAAATCACTCGTTTATTGCTGTTTTTAGATACAATTAGTGACTACACCGCGTTTTCCCCCCGCATATGCAATTTAAACGATTACTCATGTGATGTGGTTTATTATCATTTGGAAAGGGCCAAAGGTTTACTTTACCGTCTACGATAATATATTTCAGCCTGTTGTAATATATCACTTTCGTTCGCGTGCATTTATCAGAATCGATTGCATGTGATATCAACATGTTCACAAAATGCACAACGGTACAATGTCATGTGGTTAAGCAGACAGATTCAAAATCCCATTTTGGATTAAATGCTCGTTTTATAAATCATCTTCACTGAATTTTCTTTTCTTACGACGTAGATTTCCTTTGAATTTCATTTCATAACAAATAATAGAAATTGATTAAAGAAATTGATACGAGCAAAATAAAAAACAAAGCGAGTGATTCACATCATATAAATTTTATCATTCAATGCAATTATTATGAATACACACACATGTTATAAGTAATTTTTTTGTAAATCTAAACGTTTTTTTCTTAGCATGTGAATTGTTTGACGTCGTAATCTTTCTGATGATCAGAACTTTTTTGCATTCAGTGTTATTTAAATGGTATTTTTTTCTATGCAGAACCATTATGTGATAGAATAGCAAATTAGTCGATAAATTAACGGTAATTATTGTTGCTGCTGTTTGATGTGTCAAAATATATCTGTAAAATCACCACAAATGAGATATTTTATTGTGTATATTGTTTTTTTGTCCAAGAATATTGGTGCATGCGAAATTGAAATCGAATTGAAATGATCAAGTTTGAATTGGGAATTACGACTTAAACTGAAATTGGTTTCGGAAACGGTCTGGTTTTTCATGTCAGTTACATGGTTGTGTGCACTCGATTTCGATTGATTCGGCCATCAATTCGCATTATCGACAATGATGTTATCAAATTACGTCTTTTTGTTGATTACTTGCCATTTGTTTTCAAGTTTCTTTTAAACAAATCTCACATTAAAACTAAACCTGCTAAAACTGCATATTCTGTTAAATTGACTGCAATCTGCATTCTGTTCAATAGCATCTTTTATTTTTACTAATATGTTGCAGCCATTGAAATGAATAAAACAAATAAAATGTTTAAAATGTAACCTTTGAATCCATAGCAACATCTGTATAGACTTTGGACAGAACATTTGGATTGTTTGTTTTTAATTTTCGCTTTCATGCAAATTGAATCACATGAAGAAAAGCGACACAGCCAGATAATTGATAAAACTAGAGCAGGAAGCTGAGGCTTGTACAAAACAAAGAAATCAAGTTTCGTCACGAGTATGAAGCAAATCTTGGTTCCAGGCGTGGCTTTTTTTTATCGCTTAGTTACGAAAAAAATATTGTTATTTTTTTTTAAACGAGTTTGGAAGTAAATCCAATCTTCTTTTATCAAATTTAACGATATTTAAAAAACATCAACAAAAACAACAACAATCAAATCAAATTGTAGGCATCGATCTTGTTTTCTAGGTGGTGTGCACGAGCCATCAATTCTCTCGCTCTTTCATACACTTGAACGCACTGAGAGTTGAAAATAAAACGTCGTAGTGAACAAACATTGCTTCAGGAGTGATTGTAATTTCATCGATTTTCGCAAAGTTGTCAAAATGAAAGAGAAACAGGAAAACAAAACAGACCAACGTGTAAAACTAATTCAAACGTGTATACATTTTAAATGAAATATACGTAAAGTTCAGTTTTTAATATGAAAACGGAATGGCATTCGGTCGAGATTGAGTGGTTGTGGATGAATGCGTGTGTCACAACAGCGCAAAAAAAGGATAGAATAAATATTTTATGCTATAAACGCATTTAGACTGACAGCGAGAGTATAAAGTATATGTTTTCCTTGCAAATGTTTAAATTCACAATAGGTGATTTTATGCTTCCGCTATTTTATGCAAATATTTTTTTTTTATTTTAGTCCAATTGTTATGGAAATGATGATTGATCGGCTTGTTTTTCAGAAAATATTCCACTGTTCATGGTTTGCAAAACTTACCAATCCACGACTCCTGACTGCAATTGATGGGAATGAGAGAATCGGGGCGCTTGAGCTGTGGAATAACAACAGCACTAAATCCAAACATAAGACCAGTGTTAATAGTACCAAGATTGGCGACGAAAGCAGCCACAACCTGTCGGAGCGCTTTTCCACGTTCATGTTTATTTTGAAATGGATTTGCTGTTGGTGCCGCTGTTGCCGGCACCTTTATGGCCGCTTGATCTTGCATTTCGATTTGATTTTGTGATTGTTGCTGTGATTCTACAATTACTACACGCATCGGTCCACCGCTGTCATTCATCAATGTTTGAGTATCACCACTGGAAAAAAAACAACAATAGAAATAATACGCCGAATGAATTAACTGATTTTATACGTTTGACAGTGTGTGGCAACGAGAAAATCGATTACGAAATAAAATCAGTAGTAGGAAAAGGGGGATTCGTCGCCAACTTTTGCGTCAACCGCATGGTTGAATTTTTATTAGCTACATTATACAAAATTTGGAATTATATCATATCGAGCAGCACACTTCACCCTAAAAAAAATTTCAAATGCGACTTGCTTCTCTATCTTCACCATCAAAAAATTGGGTTTGGTTGTGTATTAATTTGGAATTTTACATTCCCTTGTACAATTCACTAAATGCCGTAGTAACTATTTACGTTGACGAAATACTCGATGAGTATTTAGTACCATATATTTTCTCTATAAAAAAGAAGAGTACAACAATGTACCTATGACATGAATTTGCTAATAACTGGAGTCTCAATGTGTATGGAATGAAATCGTATGAGGCGCTCTCTACGTGATGATACACTTAAAGCTGATAGAAGATGCAACCAAATACAACAATATAACAAAGATATTATTATATAGTATTGAAACGACATATGTGTCAACTACTGATTCAACAAAAAAATTCATTTGGTGATTATAATCAAATTCAATTTGAGTTTTCTTTTTTCATATAAAATATATAATATTTTGTTCATGTCATTCATATCAGTAGTAATTGAGAAATAAAGTTGAAACATTTGCAACAGACCAAAATATCCATTTGTATTGTTAAATAATTCTGGAATTGAGTTTAGACTGCAATCGAATAAAATAATTGAGCACACTCCATAGCATTTTTTTAAGGTTATTTTGGAGGACTATATGACTTTTAATAATTGAATGAATTGAGTCAGTATTTCTTCTTTTTGTCATATAAATTTTGATTTTATTGAACAGTACGATTGTTTCGACGAATGAACGTCATCATCAGCTGCATGAATACGACTTTAATGGCAATTGATTTTTTTGTCAATAAGAATATCCATACAGTTTTCATCATCGGCCAACATTTTTTGACAAATTGAAAAAAATTCACAGACTTGGAGTACAAATCATAACGAAAGACTTTTGAATAAAAAACATTTTAATTTTTCACGAGTGAAGTCGATAACATGAGTGAAGTTGGTTGCTTTTATTTTTTTGACAATTTCAGAGCGTCAAACATTTATTAATTCAATAGAAAGAACAATAAAACATTGATAAGAATGCATCAAATAATTCACATCAATTTTCTTGTTATTGCAATTTTCGCAAGTGCAAGTGCAAGAATTTACGAAGATTGTACATTCGTACCTAAGGGTAAGATTTCTGTTTGTGGTTCCGATGGTAAAACTTATACCAATATATATCATTTCTGGTGTGCCCAGAAGAGTGAGTATGGGAGAAAAATAAACCTACAACTAATACGTCATTGGCATTGTTTCATATGGGAAAAATACGGCATCGAAACCACTACATTTTTATGTGTGAGTAAATTTCGATTCGATTATTAGAATTGGTCTATAAAAATAAAATGTTTTACTATTTGATTAATTTTTCAGATTCTTTTGGGCTTAGTTATACTTAGCGTGTGCTTATGTATTTATCGAAAGAATCGAACCACTTGGAGAAAAATGAAAAACTTTAGTGAGACTGCTTGATGACTCGGTTTATTGATCAACAAATCTTGATTTAAATTAGAATATTGTCAATATATCAATGCATTAGGTATACATAACGTCGGCACTTCACCTTTAAGAAAAAATTGGCATTCAAGAAAAGTACATAGCCAAATTGAAAAGAGTATTCAAAAAAGCGAAGCCACATTTTATCATGAGCATAGTTGTCAACGTACATACTTAATATACTCATAATCACACATGCGCACGGTTTTTTGATCAGGGGGGGTCAAATTGACTTTGGTCTCGAGGGGGGGAGGGGGGTGTTTATATGGAAAACTGAAATACAAATTTTGCATGAGAGAAACAAGTAAAAATGTGTGTTGGCGAGCGAAGCGAGCCGAAATTTTTCAAGTTTGACTTCAAAATCAGTGTATTTTTGCTATTGTTTATACATTTATATTGCAAATCTGAGAAAAAAATTCTCAGAGGGGGGTCAAACCGGTAAATCTCCTAAAAATTTACCTGGGGGTAAATTTTGAAAAATTTGCCTCAGGTGGGGGTCAAACCGGAAACCCTCCCCCCAGCGCGCATGTGTGATAATAATAATGATTTTATTTACATTTCTCCGTTTAGAATTAATCAAAGTTTTTCAAAAATATGATCTCCTAATAATATTTTGAACATTATACAATTTCATACATTTATACTATAGAAAAGTGAATTTTGTGCACATGATTTGGTTACATTTGTTTGTAAAATATTATTTAGGTTTCTTGTGTCATTTTGATTGTATCTTATTCTATTAGTCAAATATTGAAGAGCACTATTTAATATTATAAATTAATAAAAATGAATATTCCGATCTTATTGGAGTTTTATAATCTGAATCGTATTTAAATTATTTTTTTTTATTTATTATTTAAATTAACCCTCCTAGGTATAGAGGTCCATTGGACCGAAATTTTTGAAAAAATTGAATAAAAATCTAAGTAAATAAAAAAAAATCAAAATTTCTCGTGCAGATTATTCGTATAGAAGTTTATAATTCATATACATATTGTTTCTTTCATAAAATAATTGTATATGTTGTGGACATTTGATAAAACCAAATCTCACCTAGAACGTATAGTGGCGGTCCATTGGACCGCCCATACCAAATGTATGAAAACCTCATATAAACATTAAAAAAATAAAACAATTAAAAACTGTTGACAATGCACATTCTGAATTTTGCGTTACAAAACGGTGCATATAGAGAAGATTCAGCAATGTAGCAAAGAATAAAAAAGAAAGAATGTGTGTATATATGTATATAAGCTAGTACACAGACATGATTCGTTCGCTGTCGATCAAAAATGTGGTTTCTGAAGCTGAAATCAACACATTATATAACAGCACAAAAGTTGGCGTTGATCAGTTAGATCAACTGTGTCACAGCTATTCATGTCAACGAGGCAGAAATCGTTGGCCTTCATTCATGAACTTGATCAATGTATGTGTACTCCACATTGTGGACTCGCTGCGTTCATTGTTTATAATGCAACACATGGAATTACACGAGATCGATATTCATTTCAACGCAAGAAATTTTTGATCGAATTATCGGAAGCATTGGTGTATGATCAAAAAGCACGCAGATCCACTTATGGATTTAATAAAGCGCATCGAGCTGTACTCAGCACAGTTCAGAAGCACCGTCAACTTCAACAACGTAAACCAAACAAGATAAAAAAAAAGTGCATGTCATTTATGTCCCACTAAAATCAATCGAAAGACGCGAACACAGTGCAGCAAATGTATGAAAAATGTTTGTGGTGAACATTCCGAAAGAATTGTGAATACGAACTGCACCAAAAAGCGTCCGTATGAAACTGCATCATCAGATTCCAATTAATTTGGTCATAAATGGTTTATTTTCAACCTTTTTTCCCATTTAAATGAAATTATAATGAAAATTTCAACCAAAAAAATATATAATTTTGTTCATTTCATAGACTTTTCATACATTTTGTATGGGCGGTCCAATGGACCGACTCTATCCGTTCAAGTTTTTTTTTACTCTATACCTAGGAGGGTTAAATATCATCGTCACCAATTGCGAATTAAAGTCGAGTAAATCGGGAAAATGAATATAAATCAAATAAAAGTTGAACTCCGCTCAATTGTCACGCCCATTGAAATGTTTGAATTTTCAAACAATTGCACATTTGAATTGTAGTTATTTTGTAATGGATGCCAATAGCTAAAGGTAAAAAAATTTCATAAGCGTTTGAAAAAGAAATTTCGAAATTTCAAGTACAACAAACATTTTATTATCATGTGCGCGTTTAATTCAATGTATACATAGCAATTCATAGTCAAAAATGTTTTCTGAATCGAATGAGTGAGCGAATAAACGATCGAATGTCTGGATGTGTGTCTAGATGATTATAAAACTTCAATAAGATCGGAAAATATTTGCAATTTATAATGAATTTGATCTTGAAATGTCATTTTGGTCAGCGAATATATGTTTTCATCCATAGGAATGACTTTCTGCACTTAGCAACATGTCATCAAGATTTTGCCGCGGCAGCGTTTTGATAATTGTGTCAACACCTATCAAAGCATCGCTGTTAGCAAAATATTGCATCGACAGTCAAATCATTGACACTGTTATCTATTGAATATTTGACGGCGGTGCAAATTATTTGCACTATATATTGGAAAGCGCCGTAATGCATTATAAGTTTGTGCATTACACGTTGAACATCGTCAAATATCTTTTCAAAAAATATTTGAGAAAATGTTTAAGTTCATAATTGCTCTTTTGGTCGTGTTCACGACAAGTTGTGAATCCACTGTTCAAATTGTGAATGGTAAAAAAACCAGCATAGAAAACTATCCGTGGACTGCATCCATAAATGTAGCATGGGGTTTTCGAGTTTTCGCAGAATTCCAGTGCGGGGCTGTTATTATAAGCGAGAGATGGCTAATTAGCAATGCGCATTGTAACATTTTTAATATATTAATCTTCTACCAGTTCGTCAGAGTGGGGTCAAATTATTCCACTTGGTATGGGGAAAAACATGATATTGAAAAATGGGTTATACATCCCGATTATGTTAAAGACACCGCGAAAAACGATGTAGCTTTGATAAAACTGGAGGAAGATCTCAAGTATTCGCAGCAAATCAAACCTATACCAATGGTGAAAGAAAACTTCATAGTATCAGAGGGTCTCATTATAAAAACAGCTGGATTCGGTGATATTGCTTATGACGTACCAAATCACGACGTACTCATGGAAGCCGTATTCTCTGCGTGTGAACCATTGTATTTCAAGAAATTGCCAAACGATAGCTTAATTTGTGCAATAGATCATTTGGAAGTAGAAACAAGTTAGTAAATGTATTCCTAATTTTCTTAATGTAATACTTCAGAAACATATGGTAGAAAATCAATGTTTCCACACATAAAAGTTGAGAATTTCTCCTAGTGCAAAACTCTATGAAGAAATGTGTATAAATTACAATTTCATACACACTGTGTCTAATTTGTTATGATTTCATGCACGAAAACATCTATCAAAACAAAATGTGCTTCTTTTAAATCAAAACTTTTACTTATTTTTATAGTTTGTGGCGGAGACTCAGGATCCGGACTGATTATCACTATAAACAAACAAAGGCTTCTACTTGGGGTGATATATCAAAGTAATGAATATTGCAATCCAGCTTTTCCATTGTTTGGTGTATCTATTCCTTGGTATAGGCATTGGATTAGGAATAATACGGGTATTTGAAAACGTATTGAGCCGCTTATTTCAGAAACGTTTTTATTATTACATACACACACACACATACAAAACATTTCTCTCAATTTGTGTAAAATAAAAATTCTTATTGAATATTCATTTGAAACACTTATTTGAAATCGCTCAAAGATGCTTAAAATAGAATAAATAAATAAACAAAAATGTTGTTGATTTGTTTGTTGTGTTTTGTTTTGTTTTTTTTTGGAATGAATAAAAATCTCCAGTACCGTTTAAACTTCAATTGGAATTGTGCGAACTAACAGCTGATATAGTGAACGATAAATTTGCTGGAATGAGAAGGAAAAAAATAATAACGATCGTAAAGTGGTGACACATACAAAGTGGGATAGTTTTTTATATTGCTTAAATGATATTTTTCCCTTCTACTTCTTTTTCATCGTACATTGAATTTTGGTTAACCGAACTTGGCGGAATTATTTTAAGCATAATGCTTTTTGTTAACTGAATTAAAATAAAAATTAATTCACGGAAATATTAACATGACATGTCTTAAAATAAAAATGAAAAAACAAATGAATATGAAAATAAAAAAAAACTATGAACGAACGGAAAATGATAACGGAAAGAAAAAACTGAATTTCACACAAATTTTTTGTTAATTCTTCGTCTATTTTTGATTGCTTGTGTAAATTGTTGCTTCTCAACAACGAAAAAAAAACATTAGAGAGGGAAAAAATGAGAATATGAACTAGATTGTTCAATGTTCATTCAAGTGCTACACATTGTATTGATCATTATATTGTTCTATTACATTAAAATTGTTGTATTTTATAACATTTCTCTCTCTCTCTCAATTGTGTGGAATTGATATCATTATTTGTTTCTGAGACTGACATTGTAATTAAATAATGACTTGCATTCTGCACTGTGGATAATGATTGGAGACAGATTTTTTTTTAAGAGAACTAGACTAACAGCAATTAAAATTTTTTTTTACGTTCTTCTGACAACATTTTGTTTTACATTTTAGTGAACATGTGTGTTTCGAACACATGTTTTGTATGTACATATGTGTTGGTACGTTCACAGTAGTATTGTTGAAGTTGTTCGTTTCAGCCAAACCGGTTTGAATAAAACCGCAAATAGTTCGATTTTAGGTTCAAATTCATGAAAAATAGTTCGATTTTTGATGTTAATTTCATAAAAATAGTTCGAATTATAGTTCAATTTCATGAAAATAGTTCGATTTGAGGTTCGATTTCATGCAAATAGTTCGATTTTAGGTTTGATTTCATGAAAATGGTTCGATTTGAGGTTTGATTATATTTAAATAACAAATATCTAGTAATACAAGTTAGTTCAAGTTGAACATTCAAGCAGTAAAGTTATCTTCATAGCTACATCATGCGTTTGAATACAGTGCAAAAGGCTGAAATTTTAGCTAAATTGAATGACGGAGTGAATGATAATCGTCTAGCAAAAGAATATGATGTTGCTAAATCAACAATTTCATTATTAAAAAAGCGCAAATTTGTTGAAATGCAGCAGTCCAGCAAAAGAAGTGGAACTTTTAATCAACCATCGAGTGCAAGCGAGAGCGATAATGCATCAAATCAATCAAACAATTCATCTAATGAGGATGAGATTGATGATGATGTTGATAATAATGAGAGAATTGAGAAAAAATCACACGCATTGCCAATGTTCCGTCAATCGCTCGAAATAGATGAGAATGAGCAAGATAACGATGATGATGATGACGAGTATGATGATGATGAGGATGAGGAATTTGAGAGAGAAGAAGATGAAGAAGATCCTAATGAAATATGTAGAAAATTGCGTCGTGTATGTAATAACTTATATGATCCGACTCAATCATTGAGTGAAATATTTGAATTATTTTTAAATTACAGAGGGGTAATTACATTAAATAATCTGAATTCGCATACTGAAAATTGTAAAAATCATGTAAAAAAAAAACGAGTAAATAAAACAAACACGATATTTTTTGACAAAAAAACAAAATCTTTTTATTTCAATTTTAGTTATATTTATGTGTGTTTATTATAATATATAAAGTAATCATGCGAAAGTTCTATTTGAAAGGTTCGATTGGATTTATAAAAAAATTTGATTTTGGAACCGATTTTGCTTCGAATTATACAGAAATTTTCGTAAATTTACCTAAAATGTTTTTCATTCATGAAAATCAATGAAAACTGTCTCATTTTTGTACCTTATTTACTATTTTTGCTTAAAATTATATGGAAATTTACATTTCACCAGCAATAATTTTTCTCAATTTCACCAATTTCATGGTGACCCCAAGCTAGTGTATCGATACCATTCGAACGAATAAGGTAACGCTTATCGTCGAACGGATTTAAGGCAATTTTTCTCTGTTTAATTGTGAATATTTGATGTGATTTCGAGCGAAGGTTATGCTGTTCACGTAAAATATTACAATTTTTCTCGATACAGTCAACATAATCGCTAAATCCAATTTTACGTTTCACTATATTCTTTTTGATACCTTTAGACTTTTTAATAACTTTAGATTTTTTATCGATGTTACAATTCTTTTCGATGCAGTCAACATATTCACTTTCTGTTATAACGCGAGGTGCGACAGCTCTTTCTGGACATGCACATTTTTCCGTTTTAGTTGTAAACGGTAGTACAGCGTAGCATTTTGCACGTATATTTCATATAATTAAAAAATGATTTTTCAAAGTCGTTGGTAGCTTGCGTACGTAGCTGTGTGTTAATATCGACGTAGGGCTTTAGCCAGCAACTTTGTTCGAATTGAAGTACTCGATGTACTTTTCTCAATACTAGACCGTGTTGTAATGCTAATTTGAGCATGCGATAATGAATGATATAATTTTCTTTATCGTATAGTGTTAACAGTAATTTATCGATTTTATTTGGTTTTATACCGATAATATCGATCGCTTCACGCGGAAGCGTTCGCTTTTCAGCACAAAATGGAAAATCATTATGTGTAGCATGTAAATTTTTTGGATATTGTAGATCAACCTCGAATATGTAGCCATATTCCGAATCGTCAGCTAATTTAGCTATTTTATATGCATTCGAAAAAGATGCCTTTACAATGTTGTCATCAATCCATTTAAAATCTCTCAGCGGTAATGGTTGCGACATTGCGTGTCCGTACAGATTATTTGTGGATGATAAAAAAAACAAAATTAGATTCTAAAAATATCATGAAATTGATTAAAGATAGACTGGACGAGTGGATGATCGACCGAAATTTACCATCTAAATACATTAAATAATTTGACGTTTCTCATTGTATACATCTCCCATGTATTTATTGTTGGCTTTGACTTGACGTTTACTGCACTGACTTATGCCACCGCGAATTCCACGTTCGATGAACAGTAACATTTCCACATCAGATAACAGTTCAATTCTCACTCCGGTATATTTGAGCATGGCATCCCACGAAAGACCTGAAGCTATATAGTAGTTTGCCGGATCCAAACTGTAAATTGTATGGCATGTATTTCGAAAAGTTTCAAATACGTCGGCCAACAGTAGCACATCCGTCTTTAGATATAGTTCAGAATAGTCTCCGAGCGTTTTACAATTGAATTTCCGCCAGATATCGTGATCAAATTGATAATCGCCATCCGATATTCCTTCTCCACTAAGTTTGCTGTAAAAATCTGCTTTTAATGGTAGATTTGTCCCCTTCAGCTGCTCCATACCGCTCACATATTCATAAGGAAAAACGCCTTTACGTTCAAGCATAGCGATTTGTTCTGGTGTGTAGCCATTTTTCTCACTTTCATTATACGTTATTTGTTTTTTATCTGCTGGTAGTAGTGATGCTAATTCAGCTAGAGATGCAGGCATGAATCTACATGAATCAATGAATTTAAATTTTACGTTTTCTCTCGTATTGAGCCCGCGTGTGCTCCCTGTCACTACTTTCGTGAAAGCGATGTATTGTTCCGCATTAGCTGGAATAATTGAGACATCTCCATTTATAATATTATTTGCTGCCAACTCTTTTATGAATAAATGCGAGTCGTAACCCGACAAATTGTGCATAATAACGGGTACAACGTGGCTATCTTGGAACTGTAAGTTGAATGCTTGATGGGCTGGACCTCTATATCGACCGGTGAGATGACAGTGATCATGTACTCTAATATCATTTGCTTCAAAAATATCACCACAAATTGTACATAATGCATTTGGATCGTGGAATGCATATCTCTCATCTTCAGTTAGCGGTAGCATTGGTATGTTTTTATCAAATAACCTTGCAACTCCATGAGCAATTTCCTTCAATTCTGCGATGAACCATTCGACGCAATCGGTACGATTGCCGCTGCCTCGGTAATATGAAAATGAGTCGTCAAATTCACATTTAAAGTAATATTCAACGCTGTACATATGATGCTGCTGATATGCGGTAGTTGCACATTCCTCACTAAATATACGTTTCTGATCTTCCATACTGAGCTCCTTCAGATACGCTTCAGTATCAGCGTATACAACAAATGGTGCTATCAGCTGATGTTTATAGTTATCAAATTTCATCCATTTCCATGTTTGATCGGGCATTTCAATGCTACACTCGTTTGTACATTTTGCAGTATGTTTCAATAATTTTTCATTTGTATCATAAAATATATGCGATCGCAAATGTATTTTCGAGATTTATGTTTATTCAGCTGACTTCTGACTAGACGGCTTAAATTTTTTATCCAGCAGTAATGAGTACGAATGGAATCATTATCGCAGATCTCCTTAATCATGTTGGAAGTGCTAGCTGTTTTATTAACACTATCTCTGTTTTTGATTAGCAGCAAATGAATATGATGCTGCTTAACTTCATTACTCACACGTAATGGACATATGCGACCCTCATTTTCATCATCGTAATAGTATAAATTTATCGATATATTGTTGTTTTGTCGAACAAATTTGTCGATTTGGTTCAAGCGAACGGGAAAATCGATTCCATCAAAATTCAATTCGTTCTCATATTGATAATAATGACGAACTCGCTCTGGATGATCAGTTACCGGGTGTAAAGCAGATAAAATAGCCCATTTGAAGCACATTTCGTCAAGTTGATTTTGTACGTTGATAACTGCATTTTTATATCATAGTTTTTTAGGACTTTGAATATACGATGAACCTTGTAATGGGTTGTATAAGTTAACGTGAACATTCAACTCGATTATGCGGGCGAGCGTAAATCCGGAACCGCGGAATGAAACTTGTTCTGCACTTTCCACTATTTCTTGAACGATTTGTTTTCGAAAATGTTCGTGTAGGTCTACGTTTAAATCAAGCTTCCGTGTTTGCGTTGGGAGATATATAGTCTCTTTCTCTGTTAACTCATGACTATGATTACCGCCAGTATCATCATCATCGTAAGAATCATTATTTTCATCTGTGTTTACAATTTTTTTTTCAAACTCTGCTACGAATACAGTCATTGACTTCACGTTAATCAAATTTTCAATATTTTTCGTAAGTTCCGAGCGATATATATGAAATAGAAATAGCTTAGAAATATTTCAATATCAATATGTCCATTGTTTACAATAGCGAAGGTGTTCGTCTATTAAATGCATTTTCACGCACTTGTAGCTCAACACTAGGGACATCTTCAATTGTATTAGAGGACGGTGACATCATTGTTAATCACATCGATATTAACGTTTTTCACGGGCGCAATTCCATTTTGGTATATCAATATGAACCGTTCCTTTCGGAACGCACCGAACAAAAATTAAAATTCGATTGATCTAGTTGTATGACTAGATGTTTGAAATTTAATTATAATGGAACCTCAAATCGAGCGTATTTACAGGAAATCGAACCTCAAATCGAACTATTTTCATGAAATTGAACCTAAAATCGAATTATTTCCATGAAATCTAAAATAAAAACCGAAATATTTGCATGAAATCGAACCTAAAATCGAATTATTTTCATTGAATCGACCCTCAAATCGAACTATTTTCATGAAATCGCACTATTTGCTTGAAATTGAACCTCAAATCGAACTATTTTACATGAAAGTGAACCTAAAGCATTTAGGTGTGAATGATTGTTTTAAGATTAAAAGAGAAAATGTGTGTGAAATATAGGTAAATTTATGCTTTAAAACTTGAATTTCAATGCGAAAAAATTGAAATTGTAGATTTTGTTTGTTGAGCATTGAAGTTCAATATATTGACCACAATATATACTGAAATTTCATCAAAATCGGTCAACTATTACTATTACAAAATGGTCCGTCAAACAAAACGCTCACTAAAATCAAATAAATTTATGAAAAAAACGTATTTTCCTAAATGCACGAATTATGACATACGAAAGCTCCAATATTTACCTTTTGAGACCGGTGTTGAGTCTCCCTCCTCCTATGTTAAAAAATATAGCATCCCAAACCGTCTGAAAAGCATTGCTAAAGCAGTGTCACCTTTTTTCTTATTCCTTTTACTTCAACTGCTTTTCAGATTGCTCACAGTCACATAAGATTAAATACAATACTTTTCCCATGTATACTTTTCATTCTCTCTCTTCCACACACAGAACTGTTAAACAACTATTTCTCATTCAAACTAGTTTTCACTCTCTTCCTCTCTCTCTCATGCCCAACTAGTATGTCAACGGATCTGCTTGCTGTATATTTTATATGGGCATCAGCTCTGCTTGTTATATGTGTATGTGGTTGTGTGTGTGTAACTATTTTGGTTTATCATATTCTTTTTTCTCTCAGATTCGTATCAACGGATTGAGTAATATAGAATGAAATTTTGAAATAATACTGTCTCTTCTTCATATAGTTAGATAGGTAAGTGAACAGAAACACTGTATTCATAGTCACAAAAACCGATTGTGTGTGCGTGTATGTATGTAATGAAATGTAATCAGTAGTAATCAAATGTAATGAATGTATGAATGTTAGAGTAATCATTTGAGTGGTGAGACGGAGAGAGAGAGTTGTAATATGCAATGGAGCAAACGATTGAATGTGTGAGTGAGCGAGTGAGCGTTTTTTTGTATTTGCTATGTATTTTGTTGTTGGATTCGTTTCGTATGTAAAGTAAAACGAAGTAAAAAAAACTACCGAGCTTTCAAAATTTAAACAAATGATCTTAAAACGCACCAATGTATTTTGTTGTTGGATAAATTTTTGAGTGTTTGATAGAGAGAATTGAACGAGAAAACAATTGAATGTGTGAGTGAGCGAGTGAGTGAATGATGTACGACGTATGGACTTCGCTCTTAGGATGACGCACGCGCTCGCACTGCTACCGCATGGGTAGCCTTGCGTCAACCATGCGGTTGACGCAAAAGTTGGCGACGAATCCCCCTTTTCCTACTACTAAAATCTCTGAAAAATATTCAAGTTCCTTATTTTACATATATGCAAAAATCTACGCATTTAATTCATGGATTTATTCAATTATTTGGAGCGATCAACTGGTTTTGGCGGCAAAAAACACATGTCAATTTTTGTAACACATAAAACATAACCGCAATATTACGACGTTTATGATAACAGAAATGTTTTAAATAATGCGTAAATTATTATTTGATTTTTTGAGACTTTCCGCGCAGAAGATTCATTAAAATGTAATGGAAACTGATGGAAGCAAACAAGGTTTTTAATTAATTGGAAGTTCAATTTTATACATATTTAAAAATGAATAAAATGATATTAAAATGTCGTTTTTTACATCAATTTATGTCCGGTGTTTTTCCATTTGAAGTTCAAAACCGAATAATAATTGTTGGGTGTGTGTCAAACATAATATTTGCTAAAAAGAAAGATGTATCACTTCGCTATATCATATTTCATATCAACTGGTGGGCAGAAAACAACAAACAAAAAAATCCGACGGAAAATTGGTGCGCACTTCAATTGTGCTTTTCTGTCGTCACACTCTCTATACATTCAAGTTTGAAGGTCAAATATGCAAATAAATGCAAATTGCACCTTTGGTTTTTTCCATCCAATCATATCATTTCTTCATTAATTTTTTATTTACTACTATTAAATCTTAATTCACCTAATTGCTATGATTCACCAAACTCGTTGGCGCTATAAACTCTCTTTCGAGGAAACAAATGTTTCCAATAGACAATTTGAATTCTTGACGGCGAGAAAAAAGATGATCAAACACTTAACGAAAAAAGAAAATTGCCTTATGAATAAAACGAGATTCAAAACATTGTCAAAAATTAATGAATTTCACAGTAAAATAAATACTTTCTGTATCTCGTACATACCCAGTCATATTGGATGTGTGTTTTCTGCAAGTCTATTTTCCGATGATCAATTTGATTCAATTCGGTGTGCTCCTTCGCTCGAATGAGTTGTGAATTCGCTTCTTTCTGGTTTATGTCAAAATTTCACCGATTTGATCGCTTTCGAACGGTTTTCTTTCTCTCTCTCTCTCTCTCTCTTGATTTTTTTGTGTGCCAACAACGAAATTTGTATAGCCTTTACAACAGATGTTTAATATTCAACACAAACAAAATACTAAGCTACTCAATGGCAATGATGTTAGATGAGAAATAGAATCACAGATGGTTTTGAGCTATATCGATTGGCTTCTTATATTCTAAGTTTTGTTTTTCCTTTTTTTTAGTTGAAATCATTAAAATTCAATGTATTTTTATTTCGTTTTGTTCTTAGGTTCCGTTTATCCTTTTGATTTCATCATATATATCGTGGCGACACAATTTCTCTTTCGGCAACTTGTTTGGAACGAATAAAAAAATCGACTAAACGGCCAAGAAGCACTAGAAATGTCTCACAATTGTGATATGCAAACGACCAAAGTTGAAAGAAGTTATATTATATAGCTACAATGGCACCGAAACAAAATGTCGATCGTTTTTTTTGTTTGAAGTGTGCGACAACAAATAAACCGTTATAGACACACTATGAAAATATAATTGTGTTTCAATAAATAGTTGCGCTTTTGTTCCGACGAGATTTTGTTGGGCCTGTATTCTCTCAATATGAGAGAGATGTGAGTTTCGTCTTTTTTTTTTAATTTTGCGATTATTCGATGATGTGCCACAGTAATTTTTTTTAATGGATTTATTATAGACTTGTTTTCAAATCGAGCGCCAATTAACAACTGACCTTATCATTTATCAAGCGGCTAAATGCTTTGGGCTTACTCTCTTTTGCACGCGAGACAGTAAAACACATGAGAAAAAAAAGTGATAGTGTTAGTGTGACAACAAACGCAACAGGCGCTACTCAACGATACCGCTTGAAAATCATATGTACAAGTAAACTTTTGTGACAGAGACGAAATGAATGTATAGTGGAGAGAGAGACAAAGAAATACGACAACAACACCAAAATCAGACAATACGAGCGATAGACACGATGAACAAAAATGCTCTATTTTCAGATCTGTGTTGCTAGAATAAAATGGTTGCCATTTTTTTCGGATGTACGGCGACGACACTTGTAGCTGTCGTTGCGCCACTAGCACAATACCCGACATGATTAGTAACAGAGCACACCGATATCGGCCCGTTTGATTTGAATATTGACGAATTTTTTGGCACGTTTATTACAAATTGAATTGCAAAGTTTGCGAAAATCTATGTAATTCTGATTAATATGGGGAAAAATTGAATGGTACATTTAAACTAAGATAAGAGTCCTATTTTTATTTTTTCCGTCGTCAGCGTTGATTTTGTCGCAGACTACGCGCTAATCGTTTGTTTATGTACATTGGTTGAGTAACCTTTTGATATATATATATATATATCATTTTTTTGCAGCATAGAGGAAGAAAAGACACGAAATCGCCTCTCTCGTAGCGATCGAAATATTTTCATTTTCACACCAATTTTTGAAATTGATTTTTCACAGATATCGCTTTCTACACCGAAATAGATTGCATGTTTTCCAAGAATTATTACTACGCTGAACCCAGTGGTTTAAATCTTAATCATTTCATAATGTAATTAATGCGTGTATCTGTGTTTGTTCGCACATCCAGACAAATAGATCAATATAGTTTGTTATCGTTGTTGAATATTTAAACATTTTTATAGACGGTTGTATAAGCGCCGATTTTAAGATAAGCGATATATTACAATTTACAATAATCAACATTGGCACGAGGCAAATCACAACAACAATAAACCAATAAACCATGCATTATACGAGTATCAAATCATTATTTGTATTGGTTTTTTTTTTCTTCTTCTCTTATTTCATTCTTGCTTTTATTCTCTCGACCAGATCAAATTGTGGTTTTAGTTTTAACCAGTTCGCTTGATGACGTCTATTTCTAAAACAATGTCCATTTCTGAATTCGATTAGGATAAGATTCTTGAGTATTTTATAATTCATCATGTCATACTTTTGGAATTTGATGGATGTTTTTATGTCAAAAACATTTCAAAGTTTTGAAGTGCCACAATGGCTGCACGACATTAGATACACTTCAAGTAGACCATTCCATTGATCGATTCCTATCATATTGATTGGGGCACAATTAAACTAACTATTATTTTACTCACGTGCATATTTTGCGCATATTTCTTATTACACCAGCCTCAATGCCAAGAGATTATCAATACGTTTTCTTTCAACCTTCTAAAACATGAAATTTGCAACGACAAGCATTTTCTTGCGAGATTTTATTGAAAACGTGATAATTAAGTGTTTTCTAATCAATTTTTTTTTGTAAACTAAATTCACATGACTTTTTCAAGAGATAATCTCAATTTGCCACAAGTGACAAATTGAAAAACAAAATCATTCGAATTAAATTGAACATTTTGAATTTTTGAGAGTAAATTTTACTCAGTAAAAGCAAAAACACTAGAAAATATTTTGTTTATTGTGTCGATTGAAAACATGTCCTGTAAATTTAGATTGATTTACTAAAAAGATTGATACTCACATCCATTTTCAACAAAAAAAAAAGAGTAAAAAAGGATTTCGTCATTGTTGTCGATTGATTTGTTTTCTTTTCTTCAAGCACTTGAATTTTATCGTAAACTCTTTAAACGAAGGGGCACATTTTTTAATAACCAATTACAGCTCATTCGCAACAACGCGTACAGTATGTGAATCATTACATTTTAAGTCTAACGACTATTCTATCACATTTTAAATAATTCCAATCATTACCAATTTTTCGTTTCAGTTGAGTACTAGGCGAGGCAAACTTACTTGAAAACATAACATTACTCTATAATTCCCGATCCATTCCTTCGATTCTTTTTCCATCCTGTCCAATGCGTTAGGTTTCAGATGAGACTATTTTACATACAGATGTCTAGTTCCCTTTAATTTTGTTTCCATCCAGTATATATTATAATTTTCACCAGTTGTGTCATTCTAATTTTCGATTTGTTTGTCTGTTTATTCTATTTTTCGTTTGATGGGCGTTTTTCATTTTCATTACTGATTTATCTACATGTTTTACAATGTACATTGTAAATAAAAAAAAGACATGATCTATCGACATCATTGTACGATCACTCGTATTACCATTGTTTGAAATTGTGATTCTTTTTGAAATACAATTCAATCGTTATAAATATATTTCCACCAAATCATTCGGTTTACAGCTGACATTCATAAACATTTATTCATCTCTTGGTAAACAAAGATACCAATTATTACCGTAATCGACTTTATTTTAGTATTACAATCGTCTTGGTTACATGAACGTAATATACTCCGTGACAAAAATCTTAATTTTTTTACTGGCCATATTTTTACATATATTAGTAAATAATCTAAAAAAAATCTGTTCTTTTTGCTTTTGTGGATTCAGGATGATTTTCCGCTTTGACTGTTGATCAACAATGACATATTAATGTGAAGCATTTTGAGATACCTTAAACAGATAACTGTACATTTGTTATTGCAAAAAACACACCAGAAATACATGTTTTCTTTTTTTTTATAACTCAATTGAGTGTCTCTTACGAATGAATTGAGATTTACATCGATTTTCGGGTTGTAATTTAATGGAATCCGATTAAAAAATTCGAAAAGATGTTTTGTGAAATCAGTTCTTTGTCAAGTTAAAAAAAAAGTCTAATTTTTATTTTTTTGTATTGCAGATTGGTATGAGTTTCGTAATTCGTGTTGCCTCCACGTAACCATTTGATTTTGCTTCCCCTATTTGATTAAAGCATTGTTTATATCTCAGAAATCCTTCAATACGAACTCGATCCAATCGATTCAATTGATTCTTAAGTGTGTTTCGTAGTTTTTCGTCATATGCGAAAATTGGTATGAAATCAAATACGCTTTGAATGCATCCTTCATCGTTCCTGAAATGAAATGATTATCTTTGTTGTGTTAAAATTATCGAGTATGATCAAAAATTTACTGTTCATACAATTTTGAACGTCCATTAGCCACGGAAAAAAAGCTAAATTTATCTTCATTTTGTATTTTCGTCCAAATGATCGACTCGAGAATGACTCGATTTTGATCGTTGACTTCAAATGTCCGCTCTGTATCAACATTATTTTGACAATCGATATCATCTACATCTTCCACTTCGCCATTGTCGATTTGGTTAATGTGTAGCCCGAGAACTTTAAAAATGGTCCCTTTCTTACCGTTATCTCGAATGAAGTCGATCAGTGTTAGTTTGCCGTTAATGAAAAGTTTTTGGTCTTTTTCGATAGAAATCGGACAATTTTTCATCACAAATGAAGGCACCACAACTTTATGTGTGGCACTAAAAACAGAAAAAAAGAGCACAGATTCATTTAACAATCAAATTGAAAATTGCATGGCATTTTTTTAACATACTGAAAATTATCCTTGTCGTAAGTTCTGAAGTTAAATTTTACGTTGCTACTTGAAGATTTCACTTCGGATACCACATTACCAATCAACCTAACAATGTTTAAATCTATGCGAGAAATAGAATTGATGAAAAATTAAATTGAGGACCAGAATATTTGTTGTTGAATTTTATGACTCACGTTTTGATCTGATTTTTTCGGTCAACAAACGCATTGTATTCTTTTTCTAAGAAAAACACATTCAAATTTTATTACAATATTTCTAGGTTTAACTCGAACTGTCAAAATGTTAAATGTCATAACAATCACACACACTCACATTCACATTTAAAATTGACAGTTATGTGATATTGTGTGATATGAATGATGGAACTTCTCTGAATTATTATGATAGATATCTTCATCGTCCAATATATCTTCCAATATGTATAAATTGAGTGTTTCATAAAAATAAATTGAATCGAAATTAAAATCGATTCTTGAGCTGAAATTTAATGCTTTTAATCGAAAATCGATCTTTTGGCGAATGTTTTAATTAATTCAATTAAAAACACCACAAGAACCCAAAATAAAATTCGAAATTCAAAAAAAATCATCTATTTATTTTATTACGTAGGTTGCTCCATATTTTTTTTTAAAATGGTACTTATAGTGTTGCCCGATGTAAACCATTGTCATATTCGTAAAGTTTGACGTTTTGGTATGTATTCGTGCCCTGAACCTTTTGTCGTACGAACGCTATTTGTATTGTTTACAGTGACTGGTAAACTGCGACTCAACAAAAAAATGAATTTTACACGTGAAGATTTTCGTAAAATGATTTACTACGATTTTCGAAGTAAATTATCTCAACAACAGTGTTTCGATCGACTTCATTTGGCCTTTGGCAATGAAGCACCAACCCTTCAGACAATTTATAACTGGTACCGAGAATTCCGTTGCGGTCGTAGTTCGCTCAAAGACGAGTTTCATACAGGTCGTCCAAAATCGGCTGTTGTGCCACAAAACATCGATGCTGTCAGAAAACTGATTATGGAAGATCGTCATGTGACCTACCGTGAGATTGAGGCATCTTTGGGCATTTCATCCCACAGCATACATACAATTTTGCATGAACATTTAGCCGTAAAAAAGATTTGCTCTCGTTGGATCCCACATAAATTGACCGATGAACAAAAAATGGCTCGTGTGAGTTGGTGTAAAGAAATGCTCAAGAAATTCAATCGTGGTGATTCAAAATCCGAGTATTTTATCGTCACTGGTGGCGAATTATGGATCTACGCGTATGAGCCCGAAACTAAACAGCAGTCGACTGTATGGGTCTTTCAAAGTGAAGATAACCCAACAAAAGTTGTTCGAGCTCGAAGTGTTGCGAAGCAAATGGTCGCCTGTTTTTTCGCGATAAGTGGTCATGTGGCAACCGTTCCACTAGAGGATCGTAAGACCGTCAATTCTGATTGGTATACCACCATTTGTTTGCCCGAAGTGTTTGGTGAAATAAGAAAAAACAACCACCGTCGCAAAATAATTCTTCATCACGATAATGCGAGCTCTCACACATCTTTTCAAACTACTCGATTTTTGACCGGTCAAAACATCGAACTGATGGGTCATCCACCGTACAGTCCTGACCTGGCACCCAATGACTTTTTTTTGTTCCCAAGCGTGAAGAAAAAACTACGTGGTCAACGATTTTCGACACCAGAAGAAGCAGTTGAAGCGTTCAAAACACACGTTTTGGAGATATCAGTTTCGGAGTGGCACGAATGCTATGACAAATGGTTTCATCGAATGCAAAAGTGTATCGATCATCTCGGGGAATATTTTGAAAAACAATAAAACCATTTTCGACAAAAAACAACTGTGTTATATATGTTTTTAAAAAAAATTATGGAGCAACCCTCGTATCTATATTATAAAAACGATTTAATCAAATATCTTTTGTGATTTACAATTTGTTTGCCGCTTTTTTCTTTTCAATGTCATTAAATGTAATTAGTTTTATTATTCGTTCAGCTTTTATGTATCCTTTGTATTTCTTTTTTCCTTGACTATCAATGCATGGCTTATACTTTAGAATGCCTTCAACACGGACCCGATCTAATCGATTCAATTGCCGTTTAAGTATATTTCGTAGTACATCATTGTATGCAAAAATCGATATCAAATCAGTTTTGTCGACAATATTCATAGTTGAATCTCTAAAATGCAATAAAAATATAAATATTTATTTGTCTGTTATCGCATTTATAAAATATAATCTTTACTTCGAGCTATATCGCATGGCTAAGAAGAAGGCGCTGTATTTATCTGCATGTTCTATTGGTGACCAAATGAATGATTCGAGTTGCACACGATTCTCATCTTTTATATCAAATTGATAATTTTTATTTGTGGTCCCTAATTCACTATAATCATCATTCACATCCAATGCGCCGGTATCAATGATGTGCAGTTGTTGAGCCACAATTCGATGTGCTGTATAACTTTTACCATCATTCCGAGCGTACTGTTTTGCATTTAATTTACCAACAATTAAAAGTTTATTGTTAGTCTGTATAACTTCGTCGGAAAGTATTTCCAATACATTTGGAGGCACCAAAATTTTGTGTACGTCACTATTAAAAAAAGAGCCACAAATTAATCATTCATTTTTCAAAAGTTAATGACTTCAATTAATAACGTACTAAAATGAATTTTCGTCAAAAGTTCTTAGATTAAATAAAATTCTGGTATTTTCATTGTAGACTTCGGCAACAGATCCAATCAACTTAATGCGATTTAGATCTGAAAGAAAAAATAGCAGTTGGTCATAAGCATACCGAATTTGTTCTTAAATAAATCGCTCACTTGTTGGTTTATGCTGTTGTACGGCCAATGTACTCGCAAACCTTGTACAACGAAACGAATTCCATGAAAATCTCAACAAAACGCTCATTTTTATGGAAATAAATATAGTGCGATGGTTAATTCAAAGTATAGGAGTATTCAACGATCGAAAGAAAAAAATATTTTATTTCGAATTAATTTTCGCTGTAAACACATTTCTAGGTTACACTTGAACTGTCAAAAATGTTAAATGTCAAAAAAATCGCACATACAATTATTGATAGAGTATACGACATGCAGTTGGCATTTTAAGACATCCATATATGTTATGGTCCGTTGTGATCACTAAAATTATGATAAAAATTCAATGATGAAACTTGTTTGAATTTCATTTTAATTCAAGCCAAATCAAAGACGACAAAAATGTTATGACAAACACATTTTTTTTATTTTATGACATCTACTGTTCGTGTCAAATCTTCATTTAATCCTTTATTCCGAAAAAATCCTATGAACATTGTAACAATTAGTTTAAAATGATTTGCTCTTTTTCTTTGATAACTTTTGTGATGGTTAACAATTTTGAGACTCTATTTGCCACTATAATCGTTTTAAATTGAGTTTTGCCAGTGTCATCAGTGCATCGTGAGTTTTTTAGCGAACCTTCAACTCGCACTTTGTCCAATCTATTCAAGCTACTATCAAATACTGATTTTCGTAATATTTCATCGTATATCATAACCGGCATGAAATTATTCACTTCATCAAATTGTCCATTATTTATTCGATTTTTCTTCAAATATCGTAAGTCTGCATGAAAATGAGTGAGATTCTCTTTATGCTTTACATCGGTCCATATATATGATTCGATTTCTACATGATTTTGATCATCCAATTTATTATTATCGTTATTATTTTCACACTGAAAAACATTGTGTGCCACAATCTGTACCGATGTTCCGCGTTTGCCATTTTCATCATTGAATTCCTTAGCCCGTAATTGACCAGTAATGAAGAGTTTTTGCTTCTCTTCTATAGAACCCGGAAACTTTTCTAATGTAAATACAGGTATTACAACTTTGTGTATAGAACTAAAAATAAAAAAACAAATTATATCAAATATTTTGCGTCCAATTCTAATAAGATCTCATCTATCACTTACTATGATTTATAGTTTTCATAAGTGGATAAATAAAGAAATGTGTCGTTATTCTTATTGGTGTGCACATTAGATACAGAACCAATCAACTTGACTTCATTTAAATCTATGATGAAAAAAAAAAAAACGAACGTAGCTCATTAGTAAGAATGGATAGATTTTATACAACCAAAATTACTCACTCCTTGGAAATTGCTTATTGAATGGCTTAGTAGTCATCAAACGGACAGAATTAACAGCATGACGCGTGAGACCCCTAAAAACGCTCATGTTTGCTTTAATTATGACGGGTGGTTTGATGTTCCAAACAATAAACAAACTAAGATACTTCGCTTAGTGCAAATATTAATTGAAAATAATAACCAATTTCAAATACGATAAAATCTCTCTTGCAGCAAACACATGAGCAATGTTTCATCTGTCAAATGTTCCAAACGTCAAAATTCATGCAATCAAAAATGACAGTAACTCACTCAACATTTCAATGACATTATATTTCAAATATGAATATTTGAATGTGAAATTGAAAATAATAACAATTATTATTTTGTTGCAAGACAATTTTACAGCTTTAAGTAATTTACGAGTGACTGATGTTCGACATTTTGTCAGATGAAAGAATTTTATTTTTTCATTCGGATTTTCAAAATAATACATAATCAAATTCATTTGCATAAAAGAAACCTTACCTCAAAATTGAGTTGTAACAGTGCTTGAGCAATGAGCACACTTTGTAGTTGAAAAAAAAGAGTTTTAATAAAAATCAGCGTTTTCGTTTTTCATTAAATTATTTATTGGCAATTTACATGATATCGGTTTTTCATTTTAATTTCACTTAGAAAAAGAGGAGAAAAGAACACTGAAATTAGATGCAAATGAAAAAAGAACGTTATTGTTTTGCACAATTCACATTATAATGTCCAATAATAACAGAGTTGAGCATTCAATTCAAAAGAACAGAAATTCTTGAATCGCATCAATTTTGTGAGGGAGAGAAAAATGAAAATAAATTTACTTTCATTGTTCATGAAATGCTTTGGCATAAAACCTAGATGAAAAACTATGTTTGATTTCCTTGTTCATCAACTGTTTACAGTTTTACTTTTCAAACGTTATCTTCTACTACCTCGTCAATTTTTACATTCATTCACTGCTTTTCCGGCAAAATAAATTGGCATTCAAGTTCATTTTAGTCCCATTCCTAAGCTAACTGATGAATATTGATGGACAAATGTTAAGAAAAAACAACATTTCTTACCCCCGCAGCATAAAAAGAAACAAAAATTAAGGCCAAAACTAATCGGGTAAAATGAATTAATGATTTTAAGTTAAAATGAAAAACAAAAAAAACGGTAATTTATTTATATTTTACTTCTATGAGCTAATAAATTAAATCTAAATTTGTATGTTCGTAAAATGTTAAAAATCTGTATTTTCTGAATCGCTCTGCAACAAAAAAAATTGCTCCTCTTTTTATTTTGAAATTTAATGTGATTTGGCCCAATAAAACACCATTGAAGAATGAAACAAACAGTTGTTGGTTTTCATCTGTCAATACATATAATATTGTGTAATTTACTTGGATGTTTTCGGTTTTGCGTTCTCTGTACCATTTCATCACCATCGTTTGTTACATATTTTTCTCTTTCTCTCTTTTTCCATTTGCCTTTCACTATGCTAAAAATTAATTTAGTGATTTGTTTTGTTTTCTTTAAAGTTTAGATTCTCTTAGTTTCTTATTCATATCAATTTTCTTGTTTTTCTCCATTTTTGTTTTTAATTAATTTTATCATTATCATTAGATAGCTGAAATTATTACTGTGTCTGTGTTACGACACTTTACCATATGCAAAGATTTTACATGATGCGCAAAGGCGTACAAGAGAATACAATTGTGTTTATGTGTATGTCTGTGATTTTGTTGTTGTTTTTGTTGTTGTTTGTTTTAAATATTTACTATAATGGGCGCACAAATGATGAAAATATCGTCACACAGATTTCATGTAGGCTACACTTTGTTTGTTTGTTTTTCTTTTTATCAAAAATCCGGTCTACACACACATTTTTCCGTGTTTCACATTATCTTCTTTAGTTAATGGTCATTTCAATGGTTGAAATGAAAGTGTTTCGATTTCATGGCGCTCCGCTCATTTAGCTATATAAATGTGCGAATAAAAATGATGTGTGTATGTGTATGTGTATGTATGTGTCTGTGTTCATTTTCTTTGTATGTGTAAATATTTCCTATTTTAAAAAAAATAATTAAATTTTCATTGCCTATTTTTTTTTTTGTTTCTTTTTTGATATTCGAAAAAATGTACAATGCTCATTTTCTTTTAAGATTACATAGACTTATGCAAATTTTTGTATGTATTTTACTCTTTCTCTCTCTCACACACGCATTCTCATCTCTGTTTATATAAAGATTATATTTAAACTTCATTTATTAATATTCTTTTAATTTTCGCGGATTCGTTCACTTCATTAACATCTACGATTGTAATGTCAAAAAAGAAATCATATATATATATATAAAAAAAAAAGAAAAACCATTTGTGGCCTTATATAAATTTGCTTTTCCTACAAATGTCATTTTCACTCAATGCTTTGTGTTTCATTGTTTTTTTTTTTATTCATCTTGATAAGAATTCAATCGAATCGGTTCTATTCGATTGCATATTTTATTTTTCGTTTGATAATAACATTTTAAACAAATGACAGAGTGAAAAAAAAACCGTCAAACAAACAGAAATCTTATGTGAGCGAACACCATCATATGCGTTTGTTTCTTTCATTCGTTCATTTGTCAAGTGGATTTGATTTGCTTCTCAATTTATATCTATACAACAATAGTATATAATGTCTCTCTGTTCATTGTTTTCTAGTTTTTAGCGTCAGTTAGTGTGCAATTGTTATTAATCGGATGCTTATGTATTTTGTCAAAGAAGTTGTTCTAGCAAACTTTTGAACTATCAACATGCAATACATAATGTAAAATGTCAATAGCCAAACATTTTTCGAACTTATTTCCATAACACACAGCTTGGCGATTTATTCGTGTAGAACGTGCTTTTTAGTAACGGTTGTTTTAGCTCGTTTTATTGGACTTGGAACATGCGTTTTGTCGAAACCACGTTTTGCGGCTGCATTTGGTGTTGACGATGCTGGTGTTGTTGTGGAAGTTTTGCCACTTTGTGGATCTGAAATATTTACAATTTTGTATAAGATGTTGATTTTTTCATGTTTTTTTTTCTAAATGCAAAATTAAATTTTCTCATTTTTGAAGAAATGAAGTTTGCTTCTTTTTTGAAGAAAAAAAAAAAAAAAAAAAAATTGCTCACCTTGTAACCACCTAACTTGTGTGGCTGGTCCATATCCTTTATCATTTCGAGCTGCAATGCGGAATATAATAGCAGGTTTGGATGTGTAATCAACATGAGATGTTGCCAACGACGTATTTGGTACGGTACATTGATTGTTTGGTCCGCAATACACACGAACAAATGCTAATTGGGTTGGTGGTGATTTTTCTTTGTTTGGCGATTTCACTGCTAAATATACGGAATATTCAAAGATTTCGCCTTGAATTGATGGTGGCGGTTCCCATGATAAATGTGCACCTTCCGGTGATTTGGATATTTTTATCGCTGATGGAGCGCCCGGAAAACCAGGAAGACATGTTTTAAACGATGAGCACTGAAATAAATACAAAAATGCTCAGAATTAATTTCAAAAAAAAAAAAAAAAAAAAAAAAAATACTGTTGTGAGTGAGCGCACGACGAAAGTAACAATGAATGATAAGTTTTAATTCAATTTGTTAACTTACTTCACCAAAGTCACCAAGTCCGCAACCGTTGAGAGCGGCCAACCGGAATCGATATGGCGTGCCTGGTTCAAGTGGAATTCTCTTGAATGCCGATAGATCGGGTAAATTTTCGGATGTTAATGTGCCACTTAACATTGAACTATTCCATTCATCATGGTTTATGTAACCGGTAATTATTTGTGTTAAGTCTTTGAAAATACCAACCGTATGCCATTTATTTCCATTGTCAGCATTCGATTTCTGTGCAACACAAGCAAAATATTTAAAAGAAAAAACACGAAAACAGAAAAAAAATTAATGATCTAGCCAATTTTGTACAATTTGTTGGACGTTAAATTATTTTATTACTTACATCGTCACCAACTGATTCGTTGCCTATCGAATTCAGTCGATTTTTATTGGTGCCAATTTTATTTACTCTGTCATTTCCTATGAACGGAACTTTTATTAATGATATCATTTTGTTAGTTCATTTTTCATAGCGAATAAAGTAAATGGTTCAATTAAAATTGGTTGGATTAAATATTTACCTGAAGAGGCTTGTAGTGCGGCCGAGGCAAGTGCATCCAAATCTCCGGTGTTTGAATTTGCGTATGTAACAGCGCCAGCTGTTGATTTTTGTACAGTTTTGATTGCAACATTTCCAGTGTTTTTGGCTGGCTCACTGCTGAATAGAATTTTCACGTTTTCCTGCACGCTTTGGCCCGATGCTGATGTTGGTGATGCCAACGTTGTCATTGCAATTGTTGTTGTGGCCGAATTTTCTGGTTTACTATCGTTGTTTCGTAATAAATCACCACTTTTAATCGTTGTTAAAATGTTTGCGGCTTCCGTATCCGATGGTGTTGGTTCGGTATGACGATTTCCACTTTCGGTTTGTGGTTTTTGTTCAGCTTCATTATTTATATACTGTTCACCGGTGCCTACTTCACTACCGCTTGCGTTCAAATAATCAGCGTCTACACGGAATTTTTTTTTGTTATTCATTTGTTTGTTCGGTCATTTTTGTTTTTAATATCTCAATTGAATGTTTTTGCTTTTAAAAGATTAAATAAAATGTTTAACTCACCGCTCGTTGTGACCGCATCATTTTTCTGTTCGTCGGCGGTCGTTTGATTTTCATCGTCTGTGCTTTGCTGTACGGTATTTCCATCGGCTTCTGCTACTGAGGTATCAACTTGTGCATCTCCCAATTCTTGATCTTCATTGCTGACATTTGCTTCGTTTTGTCTATTATCTGAATCTTGTTCCGTGGTGCTCTCGGGTTGTTCGTCTGGATCGGTGCTAAACGCCATCGGTGAACCACCAAACAGACCCATTTTCACGTATTTTGGTACAATTTTTTTAAGCGCACGATTGTCCAATGTATTTCGACACGATTTATGAATACCAGACCCACTTGCTATGCTAAGTTTTCGATTTTTTTGTTGTTGATATTTACCACGTTTTCGACTTGTTTTGCGCTTCATTTCAACATCGGAAATGTCCGTTTCCACAGCTGTCGTTCGACTTGTTTCATCGTCTTCGCTATCCATGTCAAAGGCACCATCCAATTGGTCAAGCACTTCTAAATGACTATTATCGCCCTGATCATTTCCAGTGTCAGCCATTTGAGCGACTGACATTGGAATTGCTTTTTGTGTTGTGATGACGTTTGCTACACGTTTCGATGGCATCATTACGATTTTATGACCGCCCGCTTGAAGATCGGCCGCATTTATTGTTTTTTGAATACCGCCACTGGCTGATGATACAATGGTTACCGTTTTTTGATTACCGGGCGCTAATTGAACTGTAACTGCTTTGCCGCCAATTGTTAAGCCCTTTTGTTGCATCGATATCAATTGCGGTGAACCGGTTTTATTTCCTTGTAAATTACTAACTGGCAACGTGAATGTGATTGGCTTTCCTTGTTGTCCAACGCCACGAATCATTTTCACGGTGCCGGGTGTCGTTTGAACCGAATTTGCACCACTTGCAATTGCTGATGTTATTGTATTCACTTGTGGTGACGATACCAATGACACAAAATTATTTGTCGACGATGTGACTATTGAACCAGTTTGCACGGTTCGAATACCGCTTGCTGTTGTCACAAAAATAATTTGCTGATTTGTTCGGATCGGTTGTCCTTGTTTGTTTGTGATAACAAACGCTGGTTTACCAGCCCCTCCTCCGACTTTACCAACTGTTTTTTTAAGGGATAATAATTTCAAGACCATTTAGTAACCGTTTTCCACTTTTTTGTTTATTTTTTTTTTTTTTTTATTGGTAGCTACTAAAAGTGTCTGAATATAAATTAAAAAAAAAATAAACAGTAAACAACTTACCTTGAACTTGATTGGTTGCGCCGCCAGTTTTAACAATCTGTGCACCACTAACAATCTGAATTTTATTACCGCCAACAGCTGTTGGTGAAACCAATTTAACGACATTTGTACCGATCAATGCCGTCTTTGCACCTTGGTTCGCTGTACCGCCAGCAGTCACAATTTGAGCGCCACCCATGATTTGCTGTTGAATATTTGCATTTATCGATGTTCCAGCCTTTTGCATAACATTGACTTTTGGTAGAGATTGTACCGCCATTCCTTGACTAGTTTTAACTAATTGCAGTACATTCTGTCCCGACAAACTGATTGGTTTCTGCAATAAAATCTGTTTGCCACCAATTGTCGTTGCCGAAGTACTTCCAGCCAATACAGTACCTAAAAATTGGATCATTTGTAAAGGTCAAACGAAATTGCCAAACGTTTCTTCATAAAATTGTATACGCGTTTTTGATACTTGATTTCTTACTTGAAAACTTACCAGCCGATACGATTGGGGATGCGGTCGAATTGAGAACTGTTGGTTGTTGTCGCAAAATAGTGGTGCTGATTGGTGATCCAACTTGTGCTGTACCCGGTTGAGATGATGCAATGCGAACAGTTTGACCACTTTGTAAGACGCGAACATTTGATGTTTGTGCATTAACAATACGAACACCTTGTTGTTGTTGAATTTGTGTGGGTTGAACGGACACACTTGAGACGATATTTTTGAATTGCTGTGTCTTCGGTTGAGCGATCGTTGACGATACCAACGTTGGTATCGGTGCCGATGTTGTAAGAATAATTTGTCCTTGTTGATTGTTAATCGATGTTGCGACCGAGTTCTGCGATAAAATTGATTGAGCTGCACTAACACCATACGAAATTGGTGTTGCAGTTGTTTGTGCGGCACGAATTGGAGTCTTTGGCGATGAAAGAACTTGTCCTGTTAACGAAAAATTTGTATATTTTAGGTAAAGGATTTATTCAATGAAACCGTTAAGGCTGAAGACTGGACTCATTCAAAGAAGATTGAAAGTTTAAGTGAAAATTAGACCGAACCATACCTTCATTGGCGCTAGCTGTAATTGCTGAAACCGGTTGATGTTGTTGTTTCTTAACGGTGACCGGAATTGGTTGTGGTTGTGGTGGCTGCTCAATTTTCTGTACTTCTAGCAAATATGCTTGAGCGGTTGGTGTTGTACTCCAGCAAACTTCAAGTGTTGTTGTTGATGCACGAACCAAAGAGACGCGCGATGCAGTTGGTGGCACCTCAACCTCCAAATACCATAAATCTTTGCAGCAAACCTTTTTATTTTCGCGCAACAAAGAAAAACAACAACAATTAAAATCGAAGAAGATAATTAAAATGCGGCCAATACTTGGTCAAAATCGTATTAGTACTAGTGATACCGATAAAATTAAATCTCCAGACAATTAATAATTCGGACTATTTATAGTCTAAAAAAAAATAAAAGGATCGAAACGCTGTTCTTAGCCAAACTTGTGATCGATGTGCGAATCGATGGCAACACAGTTTCCATGTGTCAAATATCCTTAACTTATCAAATCAACAAAAATTATGTAAAAAGTAAAGGATATGTTTGCAATTGTATGAGGAAAAAGTGCTAATCCAACTAGTTCACTCAACGAAAACTTGTTTTGACAAAAAAAAACAGAGCTCACCCTTACTTGATTATTCCATGCTTTACGATAACCATCGCGACCGGACCAAACGTATAAGCGTGTATGAATACCGACAGCACAATGGCCGGCTCGAGCACGTGGCGAATCATCATCATTTGTTTCCATTATGAGCTCTTGCCATCGCATATTTTCTAAATCGAGTAAAAAAAATTCCAATTACATTTGAATTCAATTCATTTCACATTGTTGAAAATTTTAATTTACCTAAATCCAAGCATGCAAGTGTATTGGTACATTTCCATTCTTTTTCGTGTTGGGCTAATTTCACTTCGTCGACAACCAATGGAACCCATCCACCGAACACAAACATTCGATGACCGATCAACGTTGAACTGTGCAATGATCGAGGTAATGGTGTTGGTCCATTTGTGATTGGTCTCGTCCACATCATTGTTTCCGTATCCAAAAGCCACAAATCACCGAGACGGCATCCACTCATGCCACCATAAATGACAAGACTGGATTTGCCTGTTTTTTTGCATGTATATGCAACGCCCGTATGTGATTCACGCGGAGGCGGTTGATCTCCATATGTTGTTGGTAAATCCCATATTTGTTGATTGCCAACAATTTCCAATGTGTATAAATCGTTTAGATATCGTGGAATATTATTTTTTGGATCATCACTTTCGTTGGCCAAACCGCCAAATAGATAGATTTTATTGGCGACTTTTGTAAAACTGTGACCTAACCGAGGACATGGTGGTGGCCCATTTTCCGGAGCTTTCGGTGATAATTTTCGCCATTCCCATTTGGTTGCTTGCAATTCATACAATTCATTAGAATACTTTCCATACTCAACCATTCCACCAAATACATAAATTCGGGTTCCGTCAACGACAAAACCATAGGCTGCACATCCTGGTGGCACTTCGCCTTTCGTCGCTGGCACGCACCATTGGTTTGTGGCTATAATAAAAAATAATTAAATAATATGTGCATATATACATAGGCAGGCACAAAGGCGACATAAAAAAATAAAGAAAGAAAGAAGAAGAAGAAGGAGAAGAAAAGAAACAATCGAATTAAATTAAACAATAGGGAAATCTCGTTGCATTTATATACAAATGAAATACACAATACAAAATAGCGAAAAAGAGGCGCATTCAATTTTATATAAATATGTGTAATGAAAAATGACCCGCATCGTATGTGAAAGCGCGGGCACGCGCATGATCACGATCGCGTTCGTGGTCGCTCTGTGTGTGATTCTTCAATTGTTTCATCGAAAATAATTAATCATGAAAAAATTAACTGTGCGCTTGATTCAAGGTGAAGGGGGATTTAGATATGGTAATTTAAAATACATTCAATACTCTTTGACTGTGGCTTGTTTGCTCATTTATTCGCTCGCTTATTCACTCGCTAACACTCTTCATCGGTAGTAAACGAACGGCGTAAAATACAAGGAAAAAGCGCACATCAGATTAAAATTAAGCGAGAGAACTGCATTGCAACCAACGGAATGCAGAAAACGAATCAAATACAAAAGCCATAGCAACAATAATATCTCCACATAGACAATTCATTGAGTTACGAGCATTGGTTATTGGTGGTATTGTGTGTTGCAATAGTAGTAGGTCCCGTACAGAGAGCAAACAATACCCATACACCTATATGGTACACATCGGTTCAAGTCAACTCTGATTCAAGTCAAATTCGAAAACGAAACGACAAACAACATGGAATGAAAGAATGCAAAATAGGGTGAAAGAGCGAGAGAAAATGAAAAATGGCGACCGAAATCGTTTATAAACAAAATTTCCTTATATAATCCGCCTGCTGTCATAAGTTCGAATTGTAACTTATAGCGGCAGCACTGGCAGGCCACAGAATACCGACAATATCTCTCGCTCTTTCATCGCATTCAACCAAGATTACGTATCGTCGAAATAGAGAAGTACGAAATGTAATGAACATTTTTTTTTTTTGAACTCACACACAACACCGAAAACGAACGAGAAGACAGCAAACGCTGTCAACGTCAATGTGTATGGGCAAATTGAGCATGCGCTAGTATGAGTGCGGTTCAGCGGCTAAGAGAAAACGAGAAAGGAACGACGAGGAAAGCGTGTGTGTAAAAATGAAATGCAAAGATTAATCGGACTGGTTGCGCCACCAAACGACTAATCCTACAACTGAAATGCAAGCGACGCCATTATTAAATTTTTTGATTAATTTTTTTTTTGAAATATACATATTTTGTGTATTTGGAAACTGTACAAAAATGACTGAAAATACACATACAATGATGATGAACGATCTTCTCTCCATGCATGCATATACAAAACGATTTGAATATTGAATTGCATTTTCCTGTACAGTTTTTCATTGATACGGAAATTCGGCGCTAAAAAAAAATCACATTCAAAGAAACTTGAACTGTCTCTGTGCTTAAAACTTTTGTTATATACGATCTTGACAACCAGAATTTATTTATTGGCCTCATAAGAATATGAATGGCAATTATGCACCATATAAAATCGAATCACTGATCGAGCGCCGCTCATTCACTATCATTATCAGTATTTTGAATTATAGTCTTTCTGCCCTCGAGAGAGAGGGAGAGAGAGAGAGAGAGAAAGAAATAGAGAAAAAAAACATTCTTTGGTTACGACGAAACAATATCGCAATTTATATTCAAATCATATTTGCTTGAAATCAATACAACATTGAAGTAATATAGAGAAAAGAAAAATGAAGACATAGTCCCCACAATGAAATCAAATCGCGACAGAGGAAAAAAAAACGGCCAATCCATTGGCCACTGGGTGAAGAGATAGAAAAAAATTGGAAGCAGATCAATCAGCCACACTTACCCGTATTGTAAACATGAAGCTCATCCACAATTCCCTCATTTCCACCACCAAAAACAACCATTAATTCCTTGATCGCAACGGCACGATGACCATGACGAGGTCTTGGCTGTGGTCCTGTTGGATTAAGCACTCTTTTCCACTTGAGCACTGATCCTTCCATTGCAACATATCACACACAACACCAACAATTTGCTGTCAAAAATCTTTTCTTTTTTTGTATTTATTTTCTTTTATTATTATCTATCTCTCTTCACCACACACTCTTTCTCTTTTCGATTCTTCAATTACTGTTCCGTTTCAATTTTTGTGTGTTCTGTTACACTAGATATATATATATTTTTTTTAAAAATTCGTTCTTTCTCTGTCTCTCACTTTGTACGAAAACCAAGTCTCAATTGTGTGCCAAAATTAAAATCAAACACAACGCTAAAATATTATTTTAAAAATATATACGTACATACACATACGTATATGATACATATGTATTTATATATATTTTAATTATTTTTTTTTTGTCAATTCGAAAGATTTTCACGATTTGAATTTGTTTAATTTAGTTTAGATTTATTATTTAAAAAGTTTTTCTTCTATAGCCGTCCATTTGGCTCGATCGCTCACTCTCTTGCTGTGTGCACTTCTTTAGCTGTGCTTTACTTTACATTAACTTCAACTTCAATTTTAATATTTTTCTTTTTGTGCTTATTCTACTTCTTCTTCTTATTGCATTTCGTACACTGAAACACTGGTACATTATAATTTTCTGACGGTCGCCATTACAAGCCGATATCGCGCCGCTCTACACAAATACATGCATACATGCACACACAAACACAGTGACACACACTTTTTATAGTTGGACAGAGCACAAGCAGTCCTGACAGTATGCACGTACATGAAACCGACACAGACGCGCGCTCGTTTGCTATTGCGATAAACGTACGGCTGTGGCTCGTCAATCGAATCGGCTGCTCTGTTTTATGTGTATATGTTTTGTGTTGGTTCGATACTAGCGGCTTTGTTTTTGAATGGAAATTCTCTCTTTAAAACACTGTTGACTTTCTATTACTGCTGAGAAAGTGTAAACACCAATACCGATCAATATTGGCAATAGACGGTCGATTCGATTTATTAAAAAATGATCACTTTTACTTTACACATCAAACCATTGTCTCGAAAATAATCTGGCTATTGATTAATTTGAGCATAATCAATGCACATCGCCGTTGTTTTGCATCAAAACGAAAGTTTGATTTTTACCGCCAGAAATATGGATGCTTAGTCAACACTAATGAGAGGAAAAATTCTATTTAATTTTTATTTGCACATCGAAAAGAACATTTATTTATTGAAGAAACCAAATTTATTACGGCACACATTAAATTTTAAGTAAAAAAAATCATCATTAAAATATAGTTTTATCTCATTGTATCTAAAATAAAATGTTTGTTTAGTTCAACGTCTAATATTTTCGGTATGAATCGAAAAATTTTAGACGAAATTTTTTTTAAATCCAATTGACCGAAAATGCATTTCGTAATCAATGTTGGCCAGTGTTCGATTTGATGCAATTCAAAAACAAACGAAATTACGAAAAATACGTTTTACCTGACTGTGATTGGCGTTGTATTGTGAAACAGGCAAATATTATACATACAATTGACACATAGAAACCATTCACTTCAACTTCACTTTGCTATGGATACGAATTTGTCTATTTTCATCGGCGTCTTTTTGCATCGGCTTTATATTGTTGTTTCCATCGAATCGGCTCCAAACACACACATGCACACACACTCAACTCATCTTGGTTGCTATCAATAAACCAATGTACAGTCTGATATTGGTAGAAAAGGCGCGCGCCCAATGTGTGCAACATAATATCGCTAAAAAAACATACCGATCAATGTGCACAACATAGCCACACAAAAATTAATATCTTTTTTCAAACATTTCCAATTTGAAATTGAAAATAAAATATGTTTACTTTTTTTTTTTTCGTTATTTGCAAATGAAATATATATTTGTCAACCTTTTTCAGTATTTCAAATATTTATATATTTATTTTTTCAAAAGTTTTTTTTTTTTTGAAAATTTTGTTTTGTTTTTCGTTTGTAAATAGAAAAAGGTCGATTTCGACGTTTTTTTACATTTTCGTTCAGTGTGAAGTTGCAGCAAATTGTGATTGGTTGAAGACGAAAAAAATTATAGCCGGCACCGTTTTGTTGTTCTTCATTCGAATTTACCGGTTTTGTATGTATGCGTACATTAATTCAAATCGACGGCAACGGCTACGTGAATAAGCCCAATGAATGTTGATTTTGAAAACTTCACTTTTTACTTCACGGTTATATTTTGCATTTACAACCAATGGATTCTAAGTTAAATGTAGTTATGTGAAAATACGCCTTAGCTGCTTCCAATTTATCTGGAAATGCACAGGATACAGGGTGATCGAAATTTAAACCATATTCAAATTTTATATTTGTCAGGAGAAAAATAATAACATACCAAGCAGCTGATATTGACATGATTTTTTTTCACAGATGTATGTGATATCGAATAAAATTTTAAAATTATAATGTGATTATAATATGACATTTGATCAGAGTTTGCCAAAAAAATTACTATGAGGGATTTTTTTATGTTGTTAATTCTATTAAAATTCAAAACTTCAATTAATTTCAGGTTATAATATCCTTTTCAGTATATTTTTTGATCTATTTCCATTTAATTTTCAAATCAGCATTACAAAATCCAGAAAAAAATAATTTAATCAAAAATTGTTCAAAGTGGAGGCATTCAACGATATCATTAAACATCTAGTGCATACTAAAAGTGTTCTTTTTATTGAATATGATTGTTGAAATTATGAGAATGAATGAGGACATGCTGATGTTGATTGTACTACCGATTTAAGTAGCCAAATGTTTGGACTATTTATTATAAGAAGAGAAAAACGACAATGGTATTTTTCTAAGTCAGTTTTTTTTAGTTGAACGGGATGCAGTAAAAAGAATAATTTAAAGTCAATACTGTGCTCATTTTTTTCTTTCGATTTAGCATCAAATGGCTGAACTGTACACAAAACATAGCTATTGACTTTAATGATTATGACTTTTGGTAATAATCTTATGGCTAAATGTATCGCTTAAAATAGTTACACTCCCCATCTAAAATAGATGTTGTTTCATTATTTGACCTTGACGGTATTCTTAAATGCAGATGATGCATCTTCGTCTTTCGTTATGATAGCTCTTCTCTCAATCATTCTTGTGCAAAAAAAGATCGGCATAAGTTAATAAATGAAATAGTATAAGAAAGCTCATTTTTATCTTTTAAAAAAATCATTTGTTCAATGATTCGAATCATCATTTTGGAATTGTTCAAAATAAATTCTTAATTCGGTACATACCGAGATGCATGTTTGATAAAAAAAAAACAATCTAAATAAATTGTATTTATTGCAAAACTAAACTGATGATGATAAATGATCAAGTAAAAACGATTTGTTTATTCTTTTTTTTAGTTAGGTTTTTTTTACATAAATATCACAAGAATTCATCAAGATAATTTTCATCCAACTCGAATACATCTAACATTGTTTTTTTGTCATATTATAGATAAAGATTATTATTTACAACTCAATAATTTTTTTAATGGAATTTGTTTCGTTTTCATTTGTTGCTTAAAATGTTTGTTTATTATTTTAGTATTTGTTCTCGTTGCATATATATTATATATATATTGACGGCAAACTGTGTTCAGCTCCAAATATCTCTTGTTGAGTATTTATAGATACAGCTTTGCTATTTTACGAAGATCGGGTTTTGACTGTAACGGGATCCGATTTACTAGGTGTTGTTGATGTTGTTCTTGGCTTTGGTGTTGCTGCATTTGTTAACGGTGCTGTTTGTTTGCTATCATTTGGTGTTCGTCTTGATGGTGACGATGCACTCATTTGTCGCATACTCATATTTGATGACTGTAGATAACGAAAGAATAGAACAAAAATTATAGAAATTATTAAAATTGATGGCAACAATTTATAATTTCGATGGAAAAAATGATGCGGGAAATATGAATAGAAAAGTAAAATACTTCGTTGCCTTTAGATTTTCCAACCGAGTGAATGACAAATTGAAAATTGTTGATATTGATCTCGAGACAAATGAATGATCATGTAAATGAAACGGTTAGAATATTCGTGAGCTCAGGAAATTTTGTTAAAGTAAAAGAGCAACATGTTCATATAAAGAAATGTATGGGCAAGTTGCAGTTTTATTTCGACAAATTTCTTGAGGTCACGAATATTGTAGCCGCTTCAAATAAGAGTGTAATAGAAAAATGAATTAAAATGTTTGCACATCCACAGCAAAAAAAAACGTAATATTTACCAATTCAAATAAATAAATTTGTGATGTTGTGTGTTTGGTAAACGAATTTTTGTTTGAGTTCGAATTGGGCATAAAAATCAATAAAAATAAAACTTTGTTCCATCAAATGTCATAACGTTCGCATGTATTTTTAGCGACTTTTGTCTTTTTTTCAAATTTTTTTTTTGTATTCTCGGGATCAGCAATGGTATTGAAATTTGAAGTTGTTGATTGTTGACTGATTAGTTGACATTGGCCTGGGCTTCTGTGCTTTTTTTCAGATCGGTGCCATTTTTGTTGGTGTTGTTGGTATTGTTGTTGTTGTTTGTATGAGAATGGTGATGTTTTTTGTATTTTACCTGATTTGACCAATCGCCCGTTGGCACTGTTGCTTTATAAAATCGTGTACTGGTCTTGTTGAAAATGGGCAAAAGTTCATTTGCCTCGTCAGAGAAAGCCTATTTGCGGAAGCACAACCAAAAAATAGAATAAAAATAAAATTTGGAATGAATAAAAAGAGGTGGTTAAAATAATGCGAAAAACTTACTTTCATGTAAACAAGTGCGTCAGTGCCGTAACCTTCACACGAGTATAAAACTAAATCACCCTGAAAATATCTGGCGTAAAGGCGTGATATTGGTAAACCGTAACCGTAACCAGCCAATGGAACTGTATGCATTTGTGATGGTGATGGTTTTGGTGCGGTACTATACAAATATTTGAATAGATGATCAACTTGTGATCGTGGAATACCACCGCCACGATCCGATAATTTTACCGATATATCTTCACGTCCATTAACAATGGTCACCTCAATTGGTGGAATATTATCGCAATCTTCACCATGATGTTCCATTACCGCACGCATTGAATTTTTGAACAATTCAAATAGCATGTGATACAAATGCGATGGCACATAGACAATTCGAATTGGCGCATTTGCGTCAACACCATTTTGCTGTGTCAATTTCAATTCGGGACTAGCTAAATAGTATTGATCACAGAGATAACGGGCATTTTCATAGGCGTCCAATACAACCGAACCTGGATCACACAATGGATCAATACAACCAATATGCCGTCCTTGTTGTGGTATCTCACCAAATAGAATTGCTGAAAATTTTATAGCAAAAATAACGTGCAATAATTACGTGTTCACTCAATTCCATCTAATAATATATAAATATATAAATTGCGCATTTTAATTTTGCACGTTGACTTACTGTGTTGATTGATCAACATACGAATACTGATGCGAGACATGTACAAACGATCCAGAAAATATTGTATCGATAGTTCCATTGATGGTTCAACGGTACCGCCACGTTGGTCTTTCATTTCAATGACTCCTTGGGCCATAGTTTGAACCACATCCGAATGACGGTCACGAATCTTAACCAAATCACGCCAAAATCTAATGATATACGATGAATAAATGCGAAATTACATTTTCTTTTCCATATTCAAATGTGAAAAGGACATACTTTTCCATATTTTCGGTGGTCGGTTCAAGTTGTTCGTAACGTAATACCTCTTCAAAACTGCGTGCATACCATGAACTAACCATTCCAACTGATGGAGTACGTGACAAACTGTCCGGAAGCAATGCAATTTCTTTCATAATATTTGCCAATCGAACGGGTAACTCCTTGCGCAAAAATACATATGATTTTTTTTCGCATGCATTAAGACCTAGAATATGACAAAAAATACATCAGACAAAATATAACTAAATGTGTTTTATATATAAATATTTTCTTTTTTAAATTGCATACAGAAATGAAAGCAATAAATGTCTGACAACAGACGACGATGACGACATCAATAACAACGACATGGGTGTATTTCAATTTGATCTCTCAAATGTGGCATTTGTTGTGCATATATTTTTAAAATACGTCCTGAATCGAATACATTAGGAAGCAGGCGAATGTAAAGAATTCAACATTTGTAATGAAAATCCATACAATAGTCGTTTACCATTCGCATAGTGAAAAAAATTGAAATTTCAATTGTGCTAAATTGTATTATCCGCCCGTCTTTCGTCACTTTCAATGTGGGCTATTCAAAACAATGATTTTAATCGCAATAAAAATGCACACCGCTTGAATCGTATGAAATGTGAGAGAAAAAAACGTAGCTATTCTGAATTAAAAGCCATTTAAAATCAAGGTAAATGAACACAATTCACGTAATAGTATATTTATGCGATTGTACACATTCGCGTAGAAATTTCATTTCCATTTTAACCATCTGATATATTTATAAATACAATTTTGATGTCACAAGTCAAATGTCGTACATGTTGAACTGTGCCCATAATGGGGAAATACCATAAAGAAAATTGCGTCAATTTAAAATCATTTACCCGCTTCAATTGCATTTCGCTTTGATGGAATTCGTTCAATGAATATTCCAATCAGTCAATATACACATTTGAGGCACCGCCTCAATTTTTTCGTTTTCCTCAAATAGAACGGAGTAAAAGTGCTTTCATGTCAATCTTATGTTCGGTAATTTTTGGAGCATGGAAAATGCGCTTATCGCGCAAATGAACTCTGATGATAACAACCAGCTATGACATGAAACAAATATTATTTTCTAAATATCTCTGTCAGAGATATGGACCGTAAATGTTTCTAAGTATTTTACGGCGCTGTGCTTTATTTTTAATAATTTTTATTCTGTGCTAATTTTATGCTTGCAATATAATTGCAATCTAATATTTCCGGTCGAAATATAAAATTTTGCGTTAAACGTTTGGGTTTGTCGAACGCGCTTCTTTTTTTATTATAAAGGTCGTTGAGACTATTGTCAAAAGACTCGAACATAATGAAAAAAAAAACCCGCGTCAAAGATACACGTGTTTATCTAGTTTTTGTTTCTGTGCGATTGTTTTTTTTTTTTTAAATTCATTTTGATTTTGAAAAGATGACGCAAAAAGCACGTCAAAACAGATAATTTATACGAATATATTTACAGACTGATTATGCCAAATACAAAAATACAAAACATCTGATGCGATTGGTCAGCGCGCAGTAAGCTAATGGGACGAGCCTATTTTTTCAAAAAATTGTTGTTTTTTTTGCACTTCACATCACACAATGTGTGAGTGTGTATATGTGTACGGTCCGAAAAAAAAATTCCGTTCGCAAACGATGATGATGAACGATCGTCATCGGATATATCGATGAGAAACAACAACATAGAATCAGCTGGTTTAACGACTTTGAACTTTGCATGCACCAAATGTTTATATGTATCTTATGACGATCCATCATCAGTTTCACTTGCCCCCCACTCACGTTTTCACTTGTTTACTTGGAATTTGGAATTGTTTAAAACTTTACCCAATTCCGAATCTATCTATCTTTGAACAAATCGCAAAGAACCGTCGATATTTTTTTCACTCTTTGTCACACACTCACCCACTCACACACACTCATATAGAGATACACAAACATATGATTGCCCGAGAATGAAAGCGATACTTCTATTCACAGCTTATTGAAATGTAACACCACCATACAAAATTGTCAGGACTTTTTGTATGGCGGTGTTACATTTCAATAGGTTGTGAATAGAAGTCTCGCTTTCATTTTCGGACATTCATATGTTGAGCAATTGTAAATATTTTCGTATAATTGTGTGATAAGTTCATCGTCATTTGTATTTATAATTGTTATTGTTGTGCAAATGATGGTAAATGGCTATCGACTATACAATAACACTTTCATACAGTACAGCAATAAAATGGATAATAAAACTTTATAATAAAAGAAACGTTGTTGTGAATCAATTTTCGATACTAACAGTCGACATTCACATTGTTAGATGCAGTTGTATATAAATCAATTGAACGAAGTGAAAAGAATCGATCGAAATAAAGACACCAACATTGAATGTTCATTTTTATCACTTAAACACGTAGGCGATTCTAGGAACTTTTCCATTTCGGCATTACATTTAATTAAATGAACTTATGAATGCTTGATGCCAATTAATGAAATTCAATTACGTTGGTTTTGTTTTCGACCACGTAATTGCTTTCACCTCCGCTTATCCTTCTGTCCTTGTTTCGAATTGCCGTTGTTTGTTTTTACTCTTCTTGAATATCAGTTGATTGAATGCTCAATGCACCACATCAAAAATGATCATGATTGCAAGAATGAATTGCAAATGGTGATAATCTCTTATTTCTGCATTGAATTTTCAATTAATTTCTCGAGATACTTATTCACCGCACTCAAATCATAAACAATCAACTACTGCCATAAAATGGCTAGTGAAAAAAATTCTACAAAATTGTTTTTCTCATTCTGTGTGGCAGTTAAGTTTGATATGATATGAAAAAAAAAATGTGCAAATTGCGCATCATATACTAGTGTACGCCAGTTAAAAGACAATAGTTCTGGAAATACGATGACATGTAATTAATACTACATTTGTTTGGCATTTATTCCAGCCAGAAAATGTCATTTAAGCTAAAGAAGAAAAAAAACGTGATCCACTGCTATTGACAAGTTTCTCCATTTGTCGGTACAAAACAAAGTTGAATTTTTTTGCTCTATTTGTGGTAAATGTGGTAAACGTGGTGACGCAATTTATTCCAACTTCGTTTTTCTCACATTCTTGAAAACAATTCTCATCACATCTGGGCACATTTAAGCATTCTGTCATGTGTTATCGCATGTTTCAATCGGAAAAATAAAATGAAACGGATCGAATTAAATTTACTGCAAATAAAATTGTTTGATAATAATAAAAAAAACTTTATCAAAGGCTACCAACACAATAGATTCGAAATGAGTTCATGGTGCATTCAATTCTCAAGTGCATTTTGAATCCAAATTATGCAAATAAAAACTCTCATTCTCTGAATTTATATCAAATGTTCGAAATTGTACTTGAGACTCTTATCTAAATGATGATAAAACAAGTTCTTGAAGCACACACAACAACAAAAAAGGAAATAAAATAAAAAAAGCATCATTCGCGCCAAGAAATTTATTTCTGTAAAATGCCAAAAAAGAACGAAAAGGATTCACGAAATAAGGATAAAGTCCAAGTCCAAAAGTCAAGCCTAAAATTAATTTCAAAATTCGAAACAACGTCACTGTCTGCTTACTCATTTGGACTTTGATTTGTATATGGAAAAATGCTCTTTCATTCTCATCGCTTTGGGAACGGTGTATATAGGCGAAACACCTATATATATCTATTTAAAACATTCAAAATTGATTCACGCTGAAGGCGGTCTGAAAACATGGGAGAAACAAACAAGCAAAAATCTTTGCTTAAAATAGTGCTTTAAAATATGAATGCACAATGCACACAAAGCAAAGTATCGCCGATTACCGATTTGCTGTTATTAAAATACAGAAGGTGAAAAAGAGACGGTTGTCGCGTCCTTCGTGCGTTTTTCATTTTTAGTGCATTTGTACGAATATGTTTCACAAATACCGATGCACATGCACCGGCGGCGCTCATTCAATTTGTTGAAAACCTTGACTTTGTTTCAACAACTAAAAATTGATTTTTTTTTTCGTACTGCTTTCGGGCTTCTCTAGCTTTTTCGTTTCCGCCTTACAATTAGATTTTGGTTCATATTTTCTCCGGCTTTCCGGGACAATAAATTTATCATATATTAAATATTTTTCTTTGCTTATGCTTTCATTTTTGCTGTAATTTGGACGGTATTGAATTTATTTTACTTTGAAATTAATAATGAATAACTAGGCATTATATTAACAAGAAATAGTGGTTAAATAATTGTGCCTGGTCGCAAATTGAATACTTTACATAAAAATCGATATAATGACAATAACGATTAAATGTCTTGATAATATTTGTTTGATAGCTTTGAATTGGATGAAATTTTTGGTTTTTCGATGGCAACTGTGGAATTTTCATATATTTCTATTGAAATTGATGTATCAACTGACACATTAATATATTTGCACCCAAAAGACGACCAATCAAATTAGATATGTGTGTATGATTTAATGAAGTTTATGCTCGAAATCGATAAAGTAAATATGAATAATTAGACACGTAAAGAAAATATAATTCTTGTGACGAACAACAATTTATCGAATAAGGCTTACCAGTTAGTAACAAAGGTCAAAAGATTTTCATATTGTCACAAATCAAACTATTTCAGCGAAGCATTCAGCTGAAGAGATATTGACATTTTTGTGTGCTCATTGAATGCCATAAATTGTGACCGTAGTTGAACTTCAAGAACCAAGCTATAAATTCTGACGCACATTGAAAGTGTGTTGCCAATGCCGGCACTACTAAAAGTCAGTAATCTTCATTGTAATAAAAATAAACTGGGGTAATTCAATGGAAAATTGGATGGATTATAGCAACAAGTGCGATTGGTGTGGTTTTATACTTTCCGCAACCCTTGACTTTGGATGTTTTTATGAAAAAAAGGGTTTCATACATAGTGTTGACGCATTTCGGAAGCATATGTATTATTTTCGTACATGTTTATCCAATTTGGGACAGATTTTTAGTGTCTCCAAAAAAACATGGTGCTATATTGATAATTTTAATCGACATCTGTTACTACTCATTGATGTGAGGAAAAAATGGTGCTAAAAAGCTCTTCAACAAATTTTTACACTTGTCAAATTTGTGAAATTGACGTCAAATTCGTGCACATGTTTCAATAATTTTTCACAGAATTTTCTCATTTCCGACATAATATGAAATAATATAAAAAAATAGATAATATTTCATGAAATTTATCTTCTTGTGCATTATTCGCACAGACGCAAACAGGAAGTTTCACAGTCCATTGTTCAAGAAATGCATCAACGCGCTAAAGAAAGAAAAACCGATGAATATAAGGAAAAAGGAGATCATACACGGAGTATTACTTTCATTTGCTATTATAAAGATTATCATAAATATCTTGAATGCGCGAGTTCTTGTCAATTTGTTTAAATTTATTTTCATAATATCGCGCGTCAATGCGATTTTGTATGTGCATAAAACGAGTTATTTCGGATTTGATTGCTATATGGTATGTATATTGGTATGATTGGTAGAAGACAGTGAGTGATCGACGTTTTCTGGTTGATTTCATAGTAACAATCGTGAGAATTGAAGCGTTTCTGATTAGAATTTATTTGAAATGTATGCAATTTCATATCGATGTAATAAAAATAGCAAGACAGCAAACAATGTTTGTATTTAATATTGGCGATTGCAATGAAATATTCAAAATTAGTATTCGATTTCATTTATGTGTTAGATTATATACACATATTATGCACTTAATCGGCACGAACATCACTTTTCATGCAAATTGTTGGTGGTTGTGACGTTTTTGTGTGTCTATGTGTGTTATTTTTGCGAAAGTAAAACATGTAGCACTGTGGACAAGTCGTGCGAATTCACATGACACTAATTTTTATATGGAAATTTCAAATGGATTTATTACTTTGATAGAGAACAATTCGCACAACGATTTTTTTCTCTTCTAAATACAATGATAAATTGATAGGTGACCTTTGATTGTCCGATGATAAATTGCGCAATAAAAACGATGTATTCGCGAAAAACAATCACAATATTTCATTAATTTATCGTTGAAAGTGTATCTAAATGGTTTTCGAATTTTGTTATTGTAAAACATTTTCAATGAAAAATCATTTTGAATATGACTTCACATAGATCTTTCTTCAATGAATTGCATAATATCTGTGTAATTGTTTGCCCTTAAAAAATGTTTATATTGTTATTACTTTTTGGTTAGACATGTTTATTTCTTTTTATATTTTATAATATCACGTGACACATGTCATTCGCCATCGTATCACGAGCGATAATACGAAAGAAGAGTGTCAAGTGATAATATATAGTGATAGCTAAGCACATTTGATATCGCTTAACAAACATCGGCGTATTCCAGAAATGTTGTTGTTTCTATTTTCAAACTTTTATATGATCCATATCATATAATGAAAACATAATGACAATCAAACCACCGCTTGAATGAGGTTGATTTTTCGCTGCTTTTTTAAGCTCATCGCCTTTGAATATCAACCGAAAACAAAACGTGTGCTGACCAAACATTTGCTTATTAAGATTTATTGGGTCAAGTGGTATTCGCATTAATATCAGCGCACACTCAATTTTATATTCTGGTTGCTTCCGACGAAACAATGTTTACATTGCTAATTGAAACCAATTTTACTACATGTATACTGACATCACTGACACATCATTCTCTTCAGCCATTTATACACTGGTTTCTTCGCATACTTGGATTGTAGGAGACTATGGCTTTAATTTATTTACTCTCATTCCCGCTTCTTTCTCATATTCTGGGTGGATTTTCACTATTAAATTGCAAAATGTTGTGAAAATTAATTTCATTTCATTTAAAATGTGCTTCAAATTTTAATGGATTTTTTTTTATCAAATCATCTCAACAGTTGCACGAAAAATTAAGAGTCTATTTGATGAATACCTTATCATTTTTTCTCTTCAACTTATATAGAACTGAATTGTTGCAAATAATAACGAAAATCAATGTTCATTGAGATTCTTGAAATTGTTCCTTGAGATAAAAGGTGTTTTTGTTTATTATTTGTGTGAAACTTATCATCAAAAGCATATAAAATTGAATGTTCGTTGGTTTAATGTTTATATTAAACGATTAGTTTGGAAAATTGTAATAGCTATTGATTTTAATGATCAAAACAACGGATGAGAGATGAAATAAAAAAAGCAACATCGATAAAAATGTATGTATGTGTTCGATCAAATTGAAACATATGATGAGGTGAATGATCGAGCTAATATGAACTACTTAAAAAGAATTAACATAAACAAAGCGTATGAGTGCGTGTATGTATATGTATATCTATGTTTATGACTGTGTGTTTTCCAGCGTTTTTTTTTTTCTATTAGCGAACGTGATCCAGCTAATGTACAACAATTAACGCACACAAAATAAAAAACAAACTCAAAAATAAACAACAACATTTTGTTTTGTTGAACAAAACTAGCGTATAATTGAAGAGGAAGGAAAGAAAGAGAAAAATAGATTAGCACGCTGTCAATGACAGTGTGTCATAGAAGCACTCACACAAAGGCGAAGATCAACTATTTAGATTGATTTGTTTACTGCCTTATAAAAGCAAACTCAAACAATGACAACTAGCGATAAACAGAGCAATAGAGAGAGTGGGATAGAGAGAAGTCCAAACACATTCTGAAATTTACATAATTCTTGTATTGCAAACGTTGATTCTGTTTTGCGACTGCAATTATATCTAACATGATTGTTATTATTGTTATTTAAGTTGCTGATTCTATCCAGCAGCTCGTTATTTGTATTACTATGTATCAGCCATGATGCAGCCGTGTTGTATGATTATTCTTTTACAACGAACGAATCATATTCGCTAATCAAGTGCCGATGGACTTTGAACTGTGTTCAATTGCCATGAAACGTTTCTGTAAACTTAACTATACTTATATCAATCTAAAGATATACAGACGATGTAGTCGTTGTTGTCGTTTAATTATTGCTCTTGCCTTTCAGCTGCAGACAATTTGTACGAATTTTCGCAGAAAAATAAATTATTATTCGTCTCTTTTGCATCAGATGGGCTTTTAATTTTCGTTAAATTGTTTTGCCAATGTAAAGCAACCGCGACGACAGTAACAATCAATTTACTGACTGAGTTCAAAAATAAAATAAAAAATAAAAACGGATAAATTTATGCTATACATGAGACGTTCATCTTTTTTTGCTTCACAAATGTGAAGAAGATTGCAATTTATCACAACGATTTCATCATGTCTACATGCTACATAATGATTATTATATGGTTTGCTTTCATTTCGTGTTCTTCCATATGCACATGATATGTGGTACATTCCCTTGAAGCACTTGCTTCGTCGGAAAATGGCAAGAAATCATTGCATGACATATTGTCACTCTCTCGCTCTCGTTTTTGTTCAAATTGAGAGGACCACTTTCGAGTCAAGTGATAATTTAAAATAAAACAAATAAGAGTAAGATAAGTAATTTCTTGTATGCAAATATGGAAAACATTGTGTGTGTGTCTACTTACCAAAATCGATAAATTGTTTGATTGACAACGGCGATGGATTGAATTGTGAATAAAAGTCGAGCATTTTATTCGCCGAAGCGGCGAATCTTGGTGTGAATAGCCTCATTTTGATTTGTCTTCAGCAATCTAGTTGTCTCTGTACTGATGATTTTTGGTCTCGGTTTTTATTCTCGCGAATGAAAATTGCAGTCACCGCTGTGTGTGATGCTTTCACCTATGTATCGTTCAAGAAGAACTTTTCGTGGGATTATATACGTTTAATATTTATATCGATTTATATACTTGTTTGTGCTATTGAATTTGAGCGCTTTTCTTGTCAATAAGGTGGAGAAAAAATTCGGAACAATTTCAGCTGATCGACACTCTTTATTCTATATACACTTTATGTCTAGTGCAATTCCTTCAACACACATAAACAATTTCAATTTTATTCGAAGTACAAAAAAAAAAAAATGTTTTCGTCTACTTTTGATTCCACGAAATCGGCAGTTTCAGTCAAAAAAGTAATGATTTAATATTTCTTTTTCGTTTGGTCATTCACACGATAAATGAATTTGTATTTTGCGGCAAAAGATTACTTTGAAGCAGCAAATACAAATGTTTCTTCACCAATCGAAAACTCAAATGTAAATATCAAAATTGAAACTGAAGGTGATAAGAAAAACCATATAATCTCCGCGATGGCCAAAGTCAATTTTTTGGCTTAATTTCAATGTTTTATCATATTTATCGAAAATAATGGATATTGCCTTATTGGAAAACTCATCAATATCAATGTGACCACATCATTTGGTATTCTAATTTTACAATTGTAAAATATGCATAATTTTTCTTTAAATAATTTTCATAATTTAAGCAAAAAAAATATTTATAAATTTTCCGCACACAAATTAAAAAAAAACACACCCGCAATTCAAAACACCAGTTTGAAAACTGAACGGATTTGGTCTGTTTCTGTCTTTCTTCGGTTTCAAAACAAAATCAGCAAAAACCGATTTTTTTAGCGAATATAACAAAATTAAATGGTTGATGAATTTTTTCTCATACTTTCTCGTTTAGCGGCTAAATAATATTTATGTTAGTTTGATTGATGGCGTTGGTTGACTGTGTTGTGTTACGAGACCGATGAGAACTAAACCGCATTCAAACTGATATACATTTTTTTTAACATTCAGATGAACACCTATTTTCTTTCTCTATCATATATGTATCAAATGTATATGTATATTTTCTTCTTCAATAAAAGTCACACAATACTCTGGTAGTAAAACACGCGCGGCAGCTTGTGAGCGACCTGATGAAATGACAACAACTGACAGCAGTGTTATGGTATTGGAGAGAGAAGAGACCGTTTTTGTTATGATTCTCATTCAAACTCACATTTTTTCTGCTTTCAATTTTTATAAAAACCATTGCTTCTTTCTTATTTTCAATTGATAATTACATTGGTTCAGTATACGTATGATACAATTCATCACACACAATATCTGTGTTGGTGAGTCTTTACATAAAAAATTCGTTTTATTTTGCCTCTTTGGATTGTCAATATGAGTGTATGTGTGCGTCTTTCAATCAATGCTTTTGTTGCTTTTGTTGCTTTTGTTGCTGCTGTTATTGCATGTGTGCGTGTACGCTAGGCTCTAGATTTAACAACAAATCGACTGTGTACTACTGAAAATACGATCCCCATTGTAAAACGAGTAATGAATAATCCGCAAGGCAAAAAGTTTGCAAGAAAGAGAAAGACCGGGAAAAAAAGGGAGACATACAGTCATTGAATATAGAATATGATCGGCTGTTTTTGACATTTCTATGCCTGTGTAATATCAAATGAGGGCATTGAATCTTGGATTTTGCGCAATTGAAAATCATATGGACAACTTTGACTTGAAACAATCTGACATCAAGTGACAACTCAACACAATTTGCTAATATAAGAATGAAGAATAATTTATGCGACTATTTTAGTTTGTTTTTTCCTATTTTTTACACATTCAGGGAAACTTTTCTTTTCAAATTGTGAATTATACTTAAGCTGTTTTGCCGCGTATGCTTCAACCCTGAGACTAAATACAAATGTCAAACACACAATACGTCATTGAAAAAACCGCGAATTCTAGTTTTAGCATTTACTTGTTGTTGATTTTTTTTTTCGTTTTCAAATTCAATCTGAGATCAGTTTCTAGACGATTCAAATGCGAACGCATGCAACTATGGTACATCAAAAATTCAATTTAATTGTTGCGGCCTGTGAAAATTCAGGCATTGGAATTAAAGGCAATTTACCGTGGCGTTTAAAGTATGTATTGAATATTTATGCTTTGGATATTGAATGTTAACGATTAATAATGGTTTCTTTTTCTCTCTCAGAAATGAATTGAAATATTTCAACAAAATGACAAAATCAACGGTGGATCCAACGAAAAAGAATGCGGTCATTATGGGTCGTTTGACATATTTTGGTATTCCGGCGAGTAAACGTCCGTTGCCCGACCGATTGAATATTGTTTTGTCGACAAAATCAGTGGCCGACGATTACCCAGACGATGTGGTTCTTTGCTCCAGTTTAAATGAAGCGATGAAAAAACTTTCGGAAACTGACTTGTGTTCGAATATTGAATCGATTTGGATTTGTGGTGGTAACAGTGTTTACAAGGAAGCAATGGCATCCGATTATTGTCATCGCATCTATTATACGGAAATCAAAGCAAAATTCGATTGTGATGCATTCTTTCCGGATATTCCGAGTTCATTCCAAATTGTACCGAATGATGAAGATGTTCCGAGCGATGAACAAGAAGAAAATGGACTGAAATACCAATACAAAATCTACGAAAAGCAAAAACCATAAACAATACTAAAACATTCCGGAACTTAAACCGAATCTTCACATTGAATCTTAATTGCTCGAATTTATTTTGAAAAATTACCTACAATTTACTTTATCTTTTTAAATAAATAAATAATTTGCTATATTTTTTCAAACAAATTGCTGTTGTTGTTGTGTTTGGTGTTTTATTTCAATCATGACTTTTTGCCAGATGAATCGTCGTCATCGTTTTGTGTGGCCGCCTTCATCAGTTCATACAATTGAACGACTTGATCTTCTTTGAATTTATCTAAGTCGTCTTCTTTCAAATGTTCACCGATGTCATGTTGTGGCTTACCATGCACACCCAATCCCATCTGTTTGGACAAGTTCACTGCATAATTTGTCCATTCAACCATAAATATTTTCGCTTCGGTTTCATTACAATTTTTATGTCGTTTAAATTCGTCGCGTGCATAGCTATTGCCCAATGGTTGTAAATCAGCCGGCAGACCTGAAACACAATCCAATTTTTATTGTGGAATTCTGAATTTGATGTTCATTTTTGTAAACTAACCTCTATGTAGTCGCAAAATTGTTTTATATAATAAACGAACTCGTGATGTATGCGTTGAATACATTTTATTTTTGAAAGATTTGAACACAATGAACGTCCGAAAGTTAAATAAATCACATTTTTTTTGAAGCAAACACAATTAATTATTCTATTTATTTTTATGAAACAAATTTCAGCAAACTCTATTATCGAGTTAAGTTTGGTTTTGTTATGTTTAACATCTGGCGCCATCTCTGGGCATGTCCATTCACCTGAATGACAAACAATTCGAATCAAATGACAATTATTTTTAAATCGCAATTCTTATTTATTTTTCTTTAAACGTAAATAAAATCCAGTGTTTTTTGTGTTGCATTCAATAGATGACTTTTAATATAAGGAATTAGAATACATGAAAAGAGGATTACAATTTATATGAAATAATTTTTTAATGTCGAATGGCGCTATCTTAACTTCTTGTATCCATTTGAGTTTCCCGATATCTATTGTGATGAGTGATCGATTCTCGAAGATTGACTCATACGACAATGGAACGATGAAAGCCAGTGTATCAGTTTTTCCAACATGACGGCAAATTAATGCTATTAAAATCGATACACTGGCATTTCTTTGCTCAAATCTGTAACCATAACAATAATTTCAAAGACGAAAATGTATTAGTTTGATATTCAACCAAAAACAAATATCATATTTAAGGTTATGTTATGTTTGGTTGGTTAAAAGGCAATTAGTACATTTGTTTACATTTTACATTGTATTTGATTCTATGTTTCTCGTTAAATTTATTTTATCATTTTGTTACGATTTAAGATTGCTTTCACCGCAGTAAACAGTGCAATAACTGTTGCAATGGCTGTTCTTAATGAATTTATTTTCAGCCCTTTTTTGGCTTTAATTTATTGAATAAAATATTTTATCAAAGTCAATATATAAACTTAAAAATCGATACTATTTCTCCATCTGTTGGAATGGAAAAAAAACAGCTCCAATGTCAATCGTTATCACACAAACGAAGTGTTTGTGCGCTACGTTGTCGCTGACGGTAATATATTAAGTGTATTGATAAGCACTATAAAACAGCAAAACAACAGCAAGTGACAGCCGTTAAAACTATATATTTTAAAATGTCAAAACTGGGTTTTTGTGCGCTTTCGAACATTAGAAATCGGTAATTTTATTGAAAATCTTTAAATTTAATTTCAAACTAATTGCTAAACGTTTTGTTTAGGTTGGGCTCTCGTAGTTTGCTGTATCGCCCAATTTCTACGGATCAATCCAATAAAATTCAGCATGAATCAACATTTCGACGGACGTTTGCAACCAGCGATTTAACTGTTCCAAATAATGAATATAACAAGAAATATTTTCCATTAATTGGTTGTGTATTGGCATGTGGAATCGGTGGTGCAATTGCATATTATCTGTGTATGTTGTAAATTCATTGAATTGATATTATTCTGCTTTTATGATGTTGTTGATATTTTGAATCAAATTTTGATAATGATACAGATAAGAACAACAATGTTGTCCATTCGCTAAAAGATACGGAAGTTGTTGGTTCAATACAAAGTCATAAAGTGGTTCGCAAGGACTTACCCACTTATTCGATGGCCGATGTTGGCAAGCATGCATCGATGTAAGTATTTGTGTCGATTGTTTACATGAATTGATGATATGATATCGAATTGATCGTGATCAGGGAAACTGGTGTTTGGGTGACATTTGGAATTGGTGTTTATGACATTACCAAATTTATTCCTGAGCATCCGGGTAGCGATAAAATCATGATTGGTGCTGGCAGTTCAATCGATCCCTTTTGGCACATTTACCAACAACACAATACTCCCGAAATATTAAAACTATTGGAAACATTTCGTATTGGTAATTTAACGCCGGAAGATGAATTAGGCACAAAAGATCTATCTGATCCATGGTCAAATGAGCCTAAACGACATTCAGCATTGAAACCAACATCACTCAAACCATTTAACGCTGAACCGCCGTCCACTTTGCTTGTCGAACATTTCATCACACCAAAGTAAGTTGGCCATAAAAAAATGATATAGATGAAGCGCGATAACCGGCAATTAAATGTTTTTATGATTTCAGTGATTTTTTTTATGTGCGCAATCATTTGCCGGTACCAGACATTGACGCAGATAGCTACGAGCTTGAAATCGAAATTGAGGGCACTGATAAGACAAAAATACTCACATTAAAAGATGTTGAATCTCTACCCAAACATCATGTTACAGCAGCTATTATGTGTGGTGGAAATAGACGGTCGGAAATGACTGTTGTGAAACCAGTGAAAGGATTGTCATGGGGAAAAGCTGCTGTGGGAAATGCGCGATGGTCAGGTGATAAGTTATCACTGATAACAAACATTTTCAGAGCAATACCGTTTTTTTAAACTCTAATACGTTGTTTTTGTTTACATTGATTAGGACCAAAATTGTGTGATGTCTTGAGGGAAATGGGAGTCGAAAGTGATGAAACACGACATGTTCATGTATGTGCTCCACATTTTTATTTTGAATATATTTCAAAATTTAAAATTTCAACTTTTTCCAGTTTGAAGGTTTTGACATGGATCCAATGTCAACACATTATGCCGCATCGATACCGCTCTCCAAAGCAATGGATCCACGTGGTGATGTTATTTTGGCGTATGAAATGAATGGTCAACCTTTACCTCGCGATCATGGTTTCCCACTGAGAGTTGTATGTCCCGGTGTGGTCGGAGCCAGAAATGTCAAGTGGCTTAGCAAAATAACTGTATCAGATGTTGAATCTGACTCACATTGGCAACAAAATGATTATAAAGGTTTTAGCCCATCGACCGATTGGGCGAATGTGGATTTTTCTAAATCGCCTGCGATCCAAAATATGCCAGTAACTTCAGCAATTTGCTGTCCCGAACCAAATGAAAAAGTGTCGATAAACGAAAATGGATGCATAACTGTTAAAGGGTATGCATGGTCAGGCGGTGGCAATAAAATTGTACGCGTTGATTTAACTGCGGATGGTGGCAAGAACTGGAGCACTGCTCAACTAAAACATGGATCAAATGAAAATGATGATCAATCGAATTTAAATGGTCGTAACTGGGCATGGACGCTATTTACAGCCGAAATCAAAGTACCGAAAGGAACGAAAAATGTGGAAATATGGTCAAAAGCCGTCGATTCAAACTATAATGTTCAACCCGAATCATTTGAAAACACTTGGAATCTGAGGGGTGTGCTAAGCCACGCATATAGCCGCATCAAAGTTAATATTGAATAGAAAAATGTAAGCAATTGTTGGACATGTTTATTCTATAAAATGAAAAAGAAAAGAACTGAACAGACCTAGTCTATTCAATAAAAAAATGAAAATTTTAAACGAAATAGATTTTATTTGTTTTTTACAACTTTTATCAAACGGTCAATGTTGAAAATAAGACATTAAAATAAACTTTCAATGGATGCAATATGGAATCCTTTTGACACCAAATCTAATTGTGTGCACCAGGGTAAAAGTTCAAGACATGTTCGCTTTCGAGACACATAAATTTTCAATGTAAGAATATCCGTAGATCCGAATTTTTTCTATTCACATCCCATCGCCGATACACACATAATATTTTTCACTCTAATTTCATTTTTATTTGACTAAGCGTGGCACACAATTGATGAGTGTTTGAGATTTAAACGAGAGACATAGAAAGGTAGAGAGAGAGAGATCCATTTATGTTGGAGAATATTGATTACAACTGAATTTCAAAATATTTGGTCAGCGACCGATTAATCAGAATCATATCACAGAAGGTGAATAGAATTCGAGGCTCGTTTCTAATGTTTTATATAAAATGGTTTTTCAAAATTTCATGGGATTTTTTATTTATCAAACACATTTACGTTGTGCTCATTTTCGTAAATAAAAATCGATGAAAATAAAGGGATTCAGTATGGAATTTTAAATCAAAATTCAATAGCCAAAACAAAAATGTATTTTAATTTGGCGCGTTCAAACCCAATGGAAAAACTGCTCATAAATAGCGAACGCACCCCAACGTTGATGCATGAGTTATTTTACTTTTTCATTTTTATTGTTATATATCTATTCGCATATGACCGACGTGTAAGCAAGTATTGAGATACAGAGATATGTCAAACAAACACACAGTAGAGAAGCGATGACAACTGTCTCTCAACCTATATGAACTGTGCAAAATCAACATAAAAAAACAACAACAATACGAATTAAAATCGAAAAAGATAACACAAGAAGATGAAATTATAAACGACGTCTGTTTGTGCATAAAAAGTACAGAAAAAGCAATTATCAGAGCAGATTAAAAAAACACACACACACAGGACACTGGAGTTGATGTTCCTATTTGCTATCGAAATCGCATTCACACAAATTATTAACATAAAAACTCGCTCAGTGTAGTAAACATATAAATAAAAAACAATATTTTTTCTTTCTTTCTTTTGTTTCGACGTAAAAAATTGAATGTGTTTTATTTTGTTTGGTTTATAGTGCATTGTTTTGATTTAGTTTCGTCGTTCGAGTGAAATTCAACAAAAAGTAAATCAGTACAGTATAGTTTTTTTTTGTTTGTTCTTTTGTGTTTCACATTCTTCACGTATGTGTTGAGATTTAGTTTGTACTTAGCAGTAGCATTTCGAATTTAAATGAATCAGATTGAATAAAAATCAGCGACGTCAACAAGTGTTTATTTTTCTCGCGTCAATGCCAGAAAAAGTGTTATCATTTCGATTTTTATAAATAAATTGTGGGGCAAAGATGCCAGCCTCAAGAGAGAATCGATCCGGATCTGCAAATGATGGATATTCATCATGGGTAAATATTGTTATTTCCAAAACAATTTTCATACGTTTCCATATTGTTGCACAAAAATCTTAGTGAGGTTTTTTAATAAAATTAATTTGCGTGCGATTTCATTCCATTCATTCAACACGGCAGATTGGTTTGGTGTTTTTATTCAATTTAATTGTTGGAACGGGTGCACTGACGCTTCCATCGGCCTTCGCCAAAACGGGATGGCTATTGGGTTTGGTGCTTATAACAATATTGGCATTCATTAGCTATATGACGGTTACATTTGTAATTGAAACGATGGCCTGTGCAAATGCCATTTACTATTGGGGACGATTGGAGCAATTGAAACGAGAACGAGAACGTGAAGGCGTAAGTTGAAATCAATATATTGATAAAGATTTGATTGTTTAATATTTTTTACATATGATTTTTGTTTTCTCAATTGACTCAATTTTTTCAATGTTTTCTTCAATAATGAAATACATTTAGTATAATGCTCAAGATGCGGATTCAACAACCGAAGAAGATAACGATTCAGCGATTGTCAATGACTTTGAACCGAATCGTCTCATCCAAAATGACAGTGTGAATCATACGATTGAGCATATGCCATTGTTTTCGCAACGAACACGATACTATGAAATCGAAACCAAAATTGAATTGGTCGATATGGCACGCATTTTTTTCAATGATACGGGTCGTGTGCTGTTTTTTCTATGCTTTGCCATTTACTTGTACGGTGACTTGAGTATTTACGCAGCTGCTGTTGCAAAAACACTTCGAGATGTCATTTGGTGAGTATAAATATTGGCTGTTGCTGTTCAATTCCAATCCATACTATTTGTGTATTTATCGTTTCATTTCGTACATATTTTTTTTTTCATTTCTTGTGCGTATGTCGCCTTATTTGCGTGCACAGTACACGAATTAGCGTCAATGCAACAGATGATGAACTGGATGCAAAACCATGTTGGACAAATATCGAAGCAGGTCAATGGTCAACATTTACACGACTCGATTGTTATCGATTATCTCTGATCGGTTTCATCGTTCTATTGGGCCCATTCACATTTTTCAACGTACAAAAAACCAAATACATTCAAATGTGCACAATCTTGCTGCGATGGATGGCATTTTCAATAATGATTAGTATAGCTGTACGACGCCTTATGGTTTATGGTCAACAGGCTTATCCACCAATGGCAAATCCATATGGAATACCATCATTGTTTGGCACCTGCGTTTATTCGTTCATGTGTCATCATTCACTTCCATCGTTGGTCGCACCAATTCGCGATAAAAGCGGTTTGCATAAAATGTTATCCGCTGATTATATGCTCATTGCCGGTTTTTATCTATTTCTTGCATTAACTGGATCATTTGCGTTTGCTGTTCTCGAAGATTTGTATACGCTGAACTTTATTCCGACGCAAAAACAATCAAATATCTTCCTTGTAGTCATTGAATATTTTCTGGCATTGTTTCCAGTTTTTACATTATCCACCAGTTTTCCGATCATTGCAATTACGCTACGAAACAATTTAGAGGCATTGTTCATGGGATCAACATCAACACAAACGAATGCAACCAATGTCGATTCGGCGTATTCGAGTTTTTGTCAATTTTTATTGCGTCGCTGTACATTTCCATTGATGGCAATATTGCCGCCAATTGCTGTCACATATTTTACCGATTCATTGGCAAGTTTAGTTAGTTTCACGGGCTCATATGCTGGCACTGGTATTCAATATATTATTCCGATTGCATTGGTGTGGCGAGCAAGAAAAACATGTCGTACAATTTTGGGACAAGGAATTGTCAACGATTACTCAAGCCCATTTCAAAGTGTGGCCTGGTTGATTTTCGTACTCGTGTGGAGTGTGACATCCGTTGTATTTGTTACAGTTAACTTCCTAACCAACTCACTTCGTCAGCCAAATCATCTTGGTATTCATTTTACACATTAGTTCATTTTCAATCGATGGCTAAATTCAAAAAAATCAAGATTGTATGTTTTTTTTCTAATTCATCATTCGATAGATGAAGTTTGCTCTTCTTCTGAACTTACTTTTAGATACATTTTTTTCCTCACAAATTAATCAAAACTTCATGAATCGAATGATGCAACAAAAAGTAGGTTGCATTTGAAACCAAAACAAAATAGTAAATTAATATAATGTCTTATTTGACACATATTTAGCAGCTCAAACATCATCTACCTGAACAATGTTGATGATTGAATGCATCAGAGTAGGATTTAAATGATTCTCAATCAAATCATAAGATAGATACAAATGCATGTTGAACATCTTCTCTTTACCAAAACATTCTTACAGACGTGAACACATCCACTCATTAACCGTGATACAACATTCATATAAAATTAGTGGTTAATTTTTAATGTAAATATTCAAATGATGAGAGAAATTGAATAATATTTTGAATTTTACTTTTTAAAAGTTATATGAATAGATAAGGACCTTACCAAAACAATAACAAAAAAAAACAAAAAACAAAATTTAAATAGAAAAATATGAGAAAATAAAACCAATTATTGTATAAATTTACTTAGATTAACGAATGGTGCATCGACTGTATTCATGGTCTTACAAATGTGGAACATCTATTTTATTGTAAATGATATTGTTGACATAAAAAAAAGAACGAAATGAAAATTATTTTACAAATGTTTAACTTTATTCAAGCGCAAGATGGAAATATGTGGCTATATTCAAACACAGAATGAGAAAGAAAAACTATTCAATAAATATATTTTTTTTATCATCTATGTATATATATAAAATTAAGTGATGTTGTGGTTTATATTTTTTTCAAAGAAAAATTTGAAAAAATACAAAAAAAAATTATTTAAAAAAAAGATGTTTTTTCGAAGGTTTTTTTAAGTGAGAAAGAACAAAACAACAAATGTTTGTTTTGTTCTTTCTCACTTAAACCCTTCTTTCTCACTTACACAATATATATTTATTGTACCCTGTACAATAGTTCGTCTCTTCACACTCATAGCGCTCTCAATGCTTTGTGTGTATTGAATGCATTTACGTTGGACGCGTTCACTCACAATACACATAAAGCATTGAGAGCGCTGTGAGTGTGAAGAGATGAACTATCTGTATGAATTGTACAATAGTTTAACACACAAATCATTGAGAGCGCCCTGAGTGTGAGGAGACGAGCTATTGTATTCTGTACAATATATTCACTTTGTTTACACACGACGTGCTGTGTTGTGACATTTCTGTGTTTTCTTCGTTCTTTTCGTTTGGGATTTTGAGAGTGTCGGACGCCATTGTGAGTATTTTTCTGTGCAGTTCAATATTTTCAGTGCTATTTAAGTTCAATTGCATTTATAGATGTGCCAAATCCAATATGTTAATACATTTTGTATTATGATAGTATTTTATTAGGATGCTATTAACTATTAACAACCAATTCAAAAAAAAATTGTCAAAATTATATTCTTCACTTCATCGTCATTCGAAGTATGTCTTCATAATGAGATTAAAATAGTTGAAATAATTTTGTTTTATGTTTTTTTTTCTTCAAAAAACATAGCGCCATTATGGAGGAAATGCAATGTATTGTTTGCGGTATCAAATTCGTATCTCATACCACCTTCCTCTATCATGCCAATTTGCACAGTCTAGAATCATTTTCGAATGCAGCTAGAGATCTGCATTTGGACTTTGCTATATTAGAACAAAAGAGATTTTATTATAGATACATTCAGTATCTATATGACAAGCATCCAATACAAATTAAAATTGTACTTATATCGATGAATTTACTGGACATATTCAATGATCTTTGTTACCGATTCCGGGTGCAGATTACAAAAATCTTCAAATTTATTTGATTGGGAATGAAAACGATGAATTGAGTCAGCAGTGTACGATAGCGAATAGTAGAAGAAGAGAAATAATTGGCGAGCTATAGAAAATGTTCCATGAGCACAACGAATTGATTAGACGATTTGAAATTGCACTTGATCGTATGCCCACTGATAATCACAGGATTGTTATTCGTGCGGATAAAAGACCTGTTGGTGACGACGCCAGAAGATTTAATGCACCGGCATTTGATAGTAATGATGTGGCCATTGTTATTGTTGGTGCTCAATTTGAACCACGTGACATTGTTCTTAAACGTCGTAACGATATATTGCACCGTATATCTGAAACTCATCGTTCATATGATGCCTTGCAGTATCCAATATTATTTCCATATGGAGAAGATGGTTATCATTTTAATATCAAAATGAAAAATCCTACAACAGGTGAGTTCAATATCAGGTTTTGGTATTGTATTAAAAATCAGCTAATAAATGTTGTTAATCATTTTTAGGTGTGGATGTAATTAAAAAGGTCAGCGCAATGAATTACTATGGCAATCGATTAATGCTTCGAGAAAATGAAGACAATTACATTGTGAAAGGCCGTCATTTATTTCATCAATTTGTTGTTGACATGTATGCCAAAATCGAAACCGAACGTTTAAATTACATTAGATTTAATCAGCAAAAATTGCGTTGTGATGAATACATACTGAAATCAAAGTTTTGCGAATGATTTCAGGAGTATCGCGAAGAGACCAATGGGAATATCGTATAAGAAACGAGAGAATTTGAGATGAAGTTGTAAGAATGTCGAGACTGAGATGGTTTGGACATGTCCAGCGTATGGGTGATTTGCGTTTACCAAAGAAGATTTTGTATGCCGAAGCAGATGGACCGAGAAACAGAGGAAGACCCCGTAGACGTTGTGATTTGAATGTTAGAGGGTATGATTGGTGTAGAGAAACTCAAGACCTGGCTCTCAATAGGGAAGTTTGGAGAGGAATTGTTAGAGGAATTTGAGTCTAGTCGTTTCGTAAAAAACCACACACCGAAAGGTACAATCGGTCTATAAATGATTGTTGTTGTTTGTTGTTGATGAATACATACATTTACGTGATGCTATAATTAATGATGGTTACACCAATGGTTATATTGCCATCATCGTGAACAGATAGTCCACGGCATATGCAAGAATATTCGCAGGATGGAATGGCATACGTATGGCGTGATGGTCGACCGGATTTATTTACTACTTTCACTTGCAATCCGAAATGGACCGAAATAAGTGATCATCTATTGCCCGGCCAATCACCAATAGATCGGCATGATATTACAGCACGTGTATTTGGACAAAAACTGAGGTCTTTCGTGGATTTTATTGTGAAATATAAAGTTTTTGGTGAAGTTCGCTGTTGGATGTATTCCGTGGAGTGGCAAAAGAGAGGTTTGCCTCATGCGCACATTTTAATTTGGTTAGTCAATAAAATAACATCAGAACAAATTGATAATATCATATCAGCAGAAATACCTGATAGAACAATTGATCCAGAATTATTTGAAATTGTCACAAAAAATATGATTCATGGTCCGTGTGGTGATATGAATCGAAATTCTCCGTGTATATTCCAAACGTTACCCAAGGTTATCCATTATATCGTCGTCGCGCTATCGAAAACGGTGGAAAAACGGTTGTTATAAAAATGAATAATCAAGACATTGAAATGGATAATCGCTGGATCGTACCATATTCGCCATTGTTATCAAAAACTTTTAAAGCCCATATAAACGTTGAATACTGCAATTCTGTCAAATCAATAAAATATATTTGCAAACACATAAACAAAGGAATCGATATGGCCGTTTTTGGTGTTGTAAATGAAAATAGAAATGATGAAATTCCTCAATATCAACTATCAACAATCGGCATTATTCATTTATACAGATGATGGTAAAACCAAAAATATTTTTTTTTTCTTTTTATTTGGAAATGTATGGTATATGACTACAATCAACAGAACCAAAGCCCTCTTACAGATCATAATCACGAGATAATAATTTTGGGTTTTTAATATTAATAAATAATTGATTTAAAATAATAATGGTGAAAGAATGGTAGAATAATATGAGAGTAAACTGTTTTAAGTTGATAATGATAAAAGAAAAAAGAAATATAGTATATAAATGAGGAAATGTAATTTAGTTGCATTAGGAAGTCATAACCTATCTGAAATTAGGCCATAGTTCATTTGGTAACGATGAATTGATAGCATGTTTAGAACGAGTCAACGAATTCTCCAGTAGGTCAATGTCAGAAAAATGATCATTATGTTATCTTTTTAATCTTAGAGCGCGGGAGAAATACTCAATATTCGTTGTGACTGCCGGTACATAGAAAATAGATGTGAATCTGGTTACTCTAGCAGGAACATTTATATATTATTATATATTGTATATGAAAGAGCACTTGAATAATAAAACTGATTTTGAAATGACGTTTTTTTTGTTTCTTTTCTTATTATTTTGCCCAGCGAAGTGGGCAGGGTTCAGCTAGTACTATACTATTTTTTTTATTTTGAAAGTATGTAAAGATTTTGATTTTCTGTAGAACGATTAAATATCTCTTTTGATGGAAACTAAAATGACCAATGTTTGTTTTTTTTTTGTAATAATTACTAATAATAATGATAAATGTTGTTTATGCAATTGATTTTGATTTTAATACGTAAGTACATAAGTATGCAATGGAAAGAGAGCAAGAGAGTAGAGTATATGCTCTAGAGAATTTATGCGATATTATTTGCTATGTTCAATTCATCAACAATGAGCGCGTCAATAATGTAACAAATTGTCATCTAGCGCAAACTTTCAGCTCTAGAAAGTAAGAGGTCGATGATTCTTGACATTTTTTTTAAACTGAAAAATTGTGTTATCTATGGCAAATGTTGCACAGTTGAATTGCGATTTCGCGCAAGGTATTTATGAAATCGAGTACGATTAATTAGAATTTATTATCAAATATATCGTCGGTTCTTTTTATATTAATAAATCGTTGGTTATAATAAATCTGTGGAGGTCGATTTATATGGAAAATCGATCATTTTTCATATAGAAAAATATCGATATTTCAATGAGCTATTAAAAGATTGCACTTCTTTAAAAGTGATTACAAACGCCCGGAATGCTGACGGAAACCCATGAACTTCACGAGATCGAATGACTGATGAAGTAAGTGATTTGATTTTTTATTGCCCAAGGATTTGGACGAAAATAAAATTCTGAATATATCTGAGAGCGTCTAGGATGTACCGAGTTTATCTCAAAAAATTTTTGAAGCAAGATCATATATGAAATACGAGTCAAAACTGCAAACAATAAAGCACATAAGTTCATTGCACAAAAAAGCTTATTTCATTAGAAAAAAATTGTCATTTTTGTTTAAAAAGAAAAAAGTAAAAGTTGGAATAGCAAATCAAATAAACTAGTGTTACAGACAGTGATCTTTCATACACATTGTTCACGTAAATCAACAAAGTTATGCCTTGTTTGCTTAAATATCTCAACAGATAATCATGAAAAGACATCTCGATTTTGTATTTTGTTTCACAATAAATTGAAATATGACACCGTGAATTTGTTGCAAAATCAAGTTCAAACAAACGACATCTGTAAACCACATACAAAAAGAAAAGGCGTTCATTTCGTTGAAACCGATTATATTTCAAACAAAGTATTAAATTATTTTGCAAAACTAATATTGAATAAAAACTTGTCGAATTTGAATAAAAATTTAGATTTTTTAACTGCCAAAATTGAGCAAATTCGCTATGTTTAAACCTTTAAAAACAGTTAATGAAAATGATCGAAAACAACCATTCAATTTAGTGATGCTCGTTTACAAATTGCACCAGTAACGGGTGTGATACATAAAAAAACGGCACTGTCGACATACACTATATAGTAGGGTGGGTCAATTTGTAGGGGGCCGAAAAAACCTTCAAGTTCACATCGCGATTCTGGTTCTATGGGTCATAACAAGCATTTTTGCCCAAGGAACCATATGTCTAAAATGAATTTTGAGCCTGCGGATTTTTCTACGTAGATATTTTCCAAAATATTTAAAAATCGACTGAGATATTCAGTTTTCACAAAAAGTAAGATCCCTCCATTAGGGGTCAAATACTATGAGACTATGGGGTATTTTGTGAAAATTGGCTCGGAGGGCATCTGGAAAAAACACTTTCTAAAGGTTTTTTGGCTAGGGGAAAATGACTCGTTGTAAGTTCATAAGTATCTGTAAGTTTCACAAGTTCGCGTAAGTTCTCTTGAGTTCTATATACATTTTTGTAAGTTCGTCCAAGTTTTACGTAAGTTCCTATAGATTACTAGTAAGTTTTTCAACGTCAATTGTTGTCATGTTGTAAATGGTAATAAATGTTAGTCATGTTGAATCAGATAGAAAATAATTTGTATAAATATGTCGAGCAGGTTTTCGGTAAAAAAATACCAAGAAATATAAATTCGTCTAATTAGACGTCACTTTTGAAAGAGTCGGTTTTGATAGTGAATAATCAGTAATAAGTATGAGTGTTGAGAGCGATGCTTCAATATCAAAATCAGGTCTTTCAAGGATGATATCCAATTTTCTAATTGGATTGGTATTTTATTTTAAAATACGTTCTACTTTTTTATATAAATTATTTGCAGCGTGAGATGTAATTAAAAAAAGTTGACCAGTATTGTGTCATTTGACTACTACATGTGCGACTGTTTCTGCGTGTTGACGCTTATCGAATTTACAGCAGTGTGTTAATGTATATGGACAAAGCGTTAGTTCGTAAAAGTTCTCATAAGAAGCGTGCGATTTCATAAGTTCGTCTAAGTTTTGGTAAGTTTTTCGTACAATTCTATAGGTTTCGTCGAACTTATAAGTAGTCATTTTCCCCTAGTTTTTTGGCATGCTGAAGCCGAATTTTTGGGTTTCAGGTCAAAAAAATCAGGTTAAGGGGTTATGACCCCCGACCCCCTAGGGGGTGGGGGGAGTTGGAGGGCAGCTGACCCAAAAAATTTCTCTCATCATTCTGAACAACTTTGTAGAACATAATTTTTTGATCCGATGATAAAATCGACATCAACAAAAAAAATTTGGAAAAAAAAAGAAGTAAATGACCATTTTTGCCAGTTTTTGTATGGAAACCGTATCAAAACGTTATTATATCGCAAAATAAATGTCAAAAATGGACTCTTCGACCCCAAAAACCCCGCATACACATTTGGCTAGAGAAAAAAATAATGTTTTTTTTCCTTTTTAATGCAATATCTCAGTCGATTTTTAAATATTTTGGAAAATATCTACGTAGAAAAATCCGCAGGCTCGAAATTCATTTTAGACATATGGTTCCTTGGTCAAAAATGCTTGTTATGACCCATAAAACCAGAATCGCGATGTGGACTTGATGCAAAAAAAATTGGTCCACCCTACTATATGGATATAAAGAATCTTGTGTTTATAAATAACATTAAGACACACAATCGGCAGAAGGCACACATATTTATGTGTTGTGCACAACATACGTAATGTTCATTATGTGACTGTGCATGTGGTTGCTGACGGACACACGGTAAAATAAGTAAGATAGTGCGTGTTGTAAGTTTCGTTTTTATTTTAGCAGGCCTTTAAGGTTTTTATGCTTGTTTGTACTCGGGCATCGATTTGGTTGTTGTCGACGACGACAACAACAACAACAATAACAACGAAAACGACGGTGACGCTTCTGTGTATATGTTGAATTTTCCATTTTCATTTTGTTCTTTTCTTTTTGCTTTGATTTGCGACAACGGGCGAACGTCGTTTTGTTTTGTAAAACTTTGGTTTGTACTGCCGCCGAATGCGAGAAGGGCATTTTCGGAAAATTGCACATACATAATAATCCAATATATAGAGGAGCTGGTTCCAAACCGGATCTCTTCTTGAATAAACTTGACCATTAAAGGTTTTCTTAATTGATCATATAAAGTCAAATAGCCACTCAAAAAATGCATTTTGTCAATCAAATCTCTTGAAAACTTAAACATATTTTGTCAGTGGAATCATAAAAAGAATATTTCGAAAAATCTTGTTCGGAAAAGGGGATCCACTTTGAAGCGTTTTCCCCTACATATATATTGAATTTGCAATTTTTTGTTTCATCTCTCTTTTACTCTCTCGCATTATTCACACAGTTTTGTCGGTCTCGATTTTCGCGTGTTGTCTGCCCTATGTATGAGTCGGCAACTAACGGAAAATGCTTCACCATATGTATATCCATCCGTACTAAATAGATATATATTATACAACGAATAGCGAACATTTGAAAAAAAGAGAACGAGAAATGAATTTAGTATATTCGAGGCTGCAATAGAAAGCGTGTCAGACCACCGTCTCATATTGTAAGGAGAGCGATTTTTTGTTGTTTATCTCGTCATTCACATTTTTTTCATTTTGAATGTATCCGTTCGGTTTTACACTCGAATTTTTCGATTATTTTTTCTTCTTGTTGGTTCGGTTCAGTTAATTCGTCGCTGTCTCGTTTTGTTCTATCACCAATAACAGTTTTTTTTCTTCCTTTTTTGTAAATTCGGGCCGATGAATACACATCGACCGATAAAACGCGAAACTATTTGCCAATTAATTGATTTTCCAGTGAGATTTGGTCGATTTATGTTACGTGTGTTGGGTCATTTAATTGTTGCCATTGTTATTAGAAATTGTGTAAAATTCAAAATAAATTACGCGCGGCAGAGTTAACGGTATGCTCTGAATTGTGTATGAATTGTGAGAATTTTTGTGATGTTTTTTATTGTGGTGCGTGTGCTCAGCGATTTGATATTGAAATAGTGCGGTTCTCACAGGACTGAATTTGCCAAATGCAATTTCAATATAAATTTTATTTAGCTCATTCGAAAATTTGATTTGTGCGCGCTGGTGGTTTATGACAAAAATGTTTGCGTACGCATTTGTGCGTGTATTTGTCAGTGAACAATGATGATGATGATGATGATGATTCCGAGTAGTGACTAAATATTGCATCGAATCCCAAAACTGACTTAAGAGAGACAGAGAGAGAAAGAGGACGGAAAAAGAGATGTATACATTATAATGTTGCAATCAAATTAAACGGGTGACTCTCTCACACTTCGCACGGATTTTTATTAACTCAATTTTATTGATATATCGTCGTAGTTCGAATTACGGTTGGAATATTCATGCGAAAACATGCGATCTCGTGTGTTTGCATCATTTTCGATCTCTCTTTGTGCGATATTCACGATTTGTCTTGTGTTGAATTAGAACTGTGTTGGCACAAATGGGTTGAGAAATTTTTGCTTTAAATATACAGTAAAATTGTTGTTTAAATAATTTTCAAAGCGCTACCAATTACCCAACCAAATGAAAATGAGTGAAAATGTGACGAAATGTGAATTGATATTTGCCGTTGAAATGTCATACTTAAATATCCGCTGAATTTACGGAACAAAATAAAAACCGAATAGCAGTAGAAAAAAAAACTATTCAGAACAGAGAGACAGTGAAAGAGTGAGAGAGAGAAAGAGCGAAAGAAATTCGGCATCGGGCTGATGATGATGATGATTTCACCGGGGCCTCGAATATTATTTTCGACGTTTAGCTCAATGCCAAAAATATCTTGTAAAACTCACTCTCTATCTCATTCTGATTGTGTCTTATGATTCGTTTTTCCGTTACTCGGTATACGCAGCTCCTTCTCATTCACACCAAGCTCGGTGGCTAGTTTTATTCTTCCTTTCTTCGTTTTTTTGTTGTTGTTGTTGCCGCTTTTTTTTATAGCGATCATTGCGAATATAGTCCGTGTGTGCGATTTACTTATGTGGCTATGCGGCACACACAAGCCAATCTATGCGTTACACTTACTTTCGTTGAATATGATTATGTTTGCGAACGCGCAAACACCGAACTAAAACTGTCTGTACCGACACGTGCGTCCGACACTGTTGACTCTGTGCTGTGTGTATATTTATTTGCGATGAGCTTTTAGCACGTATTGACTTCAACTAAACACACATACACAAATAGAAAAGAGACAAAAATCTAAGCGAAACTCGGAAAGAATGGCATGATCAATTTTTTTATGTCGAGAAGTGAAATATTACCTCATATGTAATCCATGTATTATTTAATAAGTTTGCGATTATATTTCAAGCAAGAAATTAACACCAACCCATTTTGAAGAAACATCAAACACATTACGCCATACATATGTAGAACAGATGACCGAGTTCACAATGAACTGACATGCTTTTTCATTACATTTTAACCAGATCCAAGGCCAAGTTTGAAACCATTACATACCAGTACATATGGAAGCTGAAGATTAATTATAACTATACAGCATACATATGATAAAAGCTCATAAACTCTTGAAGACGGAGAAAGAGCTCCAGAAGAAAGAGAGTCAGAGGAGAAAAAAGGATATATTGTGTTAAAACTGTGAAATAGATGACAATATGATTGTATACCAGTTGACCTTTGCCATTGGTTTTATCCGAGTTCAAGTTCGTGTCGTAGTGTATGTATGTACAAAAGTACATAGCTGTTTCTTTTTTCATGAAGTTTCCAAGTTTATAGTGTCAAGGAAGTGTATGTCATTGCAACTGAGTCTGAATGCTACATTAATTGTTGTTTATGAGTGTAATGTTATCCGCTATGTTGAACCGATGTATGATTTTACACACCCTCCCCCCACAATTATGTGTGCGTATTATTAAAACTGTAAATGAAATACAGTAAAATGGAAGAGAGCGAAAAGTGTGTTTTTTTCTGTGCTAAACACTATTTGTAAATTCAAAACACATAAATGTATCATTTTTGATTCTATCTCATTTCAGCAAGTCTGATAAGAGTTCTATGTGGCGTATTTAATGAAATTTGAGAGCGACACACAAAGAGAAAAAGAGAGAGAGAAAGATAAACGCGAAACGAATTAAAGCTGACATAAAAGTTTGAAATAAAACTACCTGAATTGGAGTACTCCGAAACTATATTGCGTCGATTGTAAAAAAAGGGTAGCTTGAATTAATTTAAGTCATGCCTTGTAATTTTACGACGTTAAATAATAATTAGCCCGAAAGAAGAACAAAAAAGGAAACTACCTGTCGACGAGTGCAAACCCAACCAAATAAATGTAAAACTTCAAACGAATCGCCACTCATTTAGTTTAAATACTTCGGAAAAGAAGAAAATATCGATAAATTGACAACAGAACGAACAAAAATAATAAGTTAAATTAAAGTGTCTTACGTTCAGCTGAAAAATGGCTGAAGCGGAAGGAGGATCGGAGCAGGATGATGTTTCGTTCTTACGGACGGTGAGTCCTTATTATTTACATTTAAGTCGAAGTGTTCACTCGAAAAAAGAAGGCATCGCATGATTGAATTTTGTTTTTGGCCAAGGTCATTTCATATCTTAATTATAATAAAACTGTAGGAAGACATGGTGTGCTTATCATGCAACGCCACCGGAGAACGTGTCATGCTAGCGGCCGAAGGATTTGGTAATCGTCATTGTTTCCTTGAAAATATTGCCGATAAAAATGTGCCACCCGACCTGTCGCAGTGCGTGTTTGTCATCGAACAAGCGTTATCAGTTCGTGCTTTACAGGAATTAGTCACAGCTACTGGCAACGAATCGGTATGTAAAATTGTTTTCACCTATCCATCTATATATCCATACCACTCGGAATCGATCGAACTCCATTTTCATCGATAGCTCTGGTGATGATGGACAAAAGATGTGTCGTTGTAATTGTTTTTTTTTTTTGTAATTTCATTCGAATCATATCTCATAAGAGAGAATTTTTTTAAATTTTTGATCTTGTTACTCTATATGGTATGTTCACAACATACTCTCTTCAACTTTTGCGAGCTATATTCATTCGAAATTGCGAAAATTGTATGAACGGTGAAATGTATTCAATAATACCAGATTTGTGGTGCTTTTTACATCGAAAACAACTAAAAAAACTTTCTTCGCTCGCAGTTTATGCTCTCTTACACGCACACACATTGGCTATATACATGATAGACTATATATGTACAATTATTATGATGAACTTAATTTTCTACTAAATGAATAAAATGAACGAAATGAAAAGCATATTATAATAGTGGGCTTATGAACAAAAAGCTTTTATAAGCCGTTTGCAAAAACTATCGAAATGAGGAAATGTTTCGTAGATGATAGAAAGAGGATCACTCCAATTTTGCACATAAATCAAATTTTAAAACAACGTGTTTTATTCATGGAGCACTCAATTATTAATTTGCGTTCTCACTGTATAGCTGTATAAACATAATTGCATTGTAGACGATTTTTTTTTATAGATATACAATTGCACACTTGTTCATTTTTTTTCTTTCACTTTTAAAAGAGAAAAACAAATTATTCTTTTAAATTAAAACACAAAAACTAAACAAACAAATAAAAATGATATGTATAACTCTTTGTCTATCACATTGTGATCGTGTTACAGGAGGGAGATTCTCTAGTGAGTATTTCGACATATATATTCTCGTAGATTTGACACTGACCTCCACTTCCACATTGCTTATGATGGCTTTTGATCAAGTATTTTACCACCCAATCCATCCATTTTAGTTCCAATCATTTTTTTCGCATTGCAATAAAAAGAACACACCGATTTTGATTTATAGTTATTTGGCTTTTATGCACCGATTTCTAATGAGCTCAGTTCGTGAGAGCATTATAACGAACACGTCGTCTTTAGAACTCACATACATAGTAGACATGCGGTTATATTCTAGGTGTGCTCGGAGGCGCTATTTAATCAAACAATCAAATCGTCAAAATCTCGGAACATTTACTTTTTTCGGACCATTTACTGTTTTCATCAATTCAAATTTCCAAATTATATACACGAAATTCGATTGTTTGAATATTTAGTGTATTGTAGAAATAGCTGTTTTAGACTGCATGGTAAAACTAATGTTTTGTAGAACACCTTTATACGTAGACTGAGAAAAGAGTTGAAAATCACAAAATATCTGTATAAAAAATGCGTATGTAAATGACTTCCCAACCTCTATATCTATCTTTTGATGCCACTTTCCAATATATTTTTATCGTCGATACTTTTTACTAATGTTTGTGGATTTTCAATAGGGTAAAGGTACTGGATCCGGTCATAGAACTCTACTTTATGGCAATGCAATCCTATTGCGTCACCACAACAGCGACATGGTAAAATAAATGCTTTTTTTCTTATGAAATCATATTAGTCTTGCAAACTTTTCTAATCATTTAACCCAGGTCAATATCAATTGAATAAAATGTTTAAATGTCTTTTTTTCGATAGTATTTAGCATGTTTATCAACGTCTTCTTCCAACGATAAGCTATCCTTTGATGTTGGTTTGCAAGAGCACAGCCAGGGTGAAGCGTGTTGGTGGACTGTTCATCCAGCCAGCAAACAACGTTCTGAAGGTGAAAAAGTTCGTGTTGGTGATGATTTGATTTTGGTATCAGTTGCCACCGAACGTTATTTGGTACGATTTTTTTTCTCTATTCAAATTTTAAGTTATTACACACATGTGTATATCCCAAGTTCAGACGAATCATAAATTTCTGTCTGAATGTAAAGAATTGAAAATTTATACGTTATATATGGTTTTGTAGCACACAACGAAAGAAAACGATCAATCAATTGTAAATGCTAGTTTTCATGTAACACATTGGTCTGTTCAGCCTTATGGGACTGGAATTTCACGAATGAAATATGTTGGTTATGTATTTGGAGGTGATGTACTGCGATTCTTACATGGCGGCGATGAATGCTTGACGATACCAGGAACATGGTCAAGGGAACCCGAACAGAAGTAAATTCAATTTTTTCTAATTTTAAACTTTAATTTTTTTTAACTAAAAAAATTGCATAATTTTCCAGCATCGTGATATATGAAGGTGGTTCAGTGATGTCACAGGCTAGATCTCTATGGCGTCTGGAATTGGCACGAACAAAATGGTCTGGTGGCTTTATCAATTGGTGTCATCCGATGCGAATCAGGCATATCACAACTGGACGATATTTGGGTGTGAATGACAATCAGGAATTAATATTGGTAATTAAAATAAAATGCCATATGACATGTATAAGACGTTTAATTCATTTTTTTTAAATATTTTCATAAATAGTTAAAACAACAAGAAGCTGATATTAATAAGACATCATTTCGTTTGCGACAATCGAAAGATGAAGCAATCAAAGACAAACTCGAAGACAAAGATTTGGAAGTGATTGGTGCACCGATTATAAGATATGGTGACACAACCGTCATTTTACAACATTGTCAAACCGAATTGTGGCTCAGTTACAAAAGTTACGAAACGAAAAAGAAAGGCGTCGGCAAAGTCGAAGAGAAACAAGCCATTTTACATGTTGAAGGTAAAATGGATGATTTTCTTGATTTCTCACGATCACAAGAAGAAGAATCGAAAACAGCTAGAGTTATACGTAAATGTAGCAGTTTATTCACCAAATTCATTAAGTAAGTAAATGAAAGAGAGCGAACAATGTTTCAGTCAGATTTTTTTTACAAACATTTTCACATTTTCAGTTCATTGGAAACATTGCAACAAAATCGTCGTCATTCAATGTTTTTTCAGTCGGTAAATTTGGCCGAAATGGTAATGTGTTTAGAGGATTTAATCAATTATTTTGCACAACCCGAAGATGATATGGGTAAGTTTAAGTTTATTTTTGATAAAATGGTAAATAATTTGTCATTTTCTGTAATTTATAACATTTCTACAGAACACGAAGAAAAGCAAAATCGTTTTCGTGCCTTACGTAATCGTCAAGATTTATTCCAAGAAGAAGGTGTTCTCAATTTGATTCTCGAAGCCATTGATAAAATAAATGTGATTACATCACAAGGTTTTTTGGCTGCATTTTTTGGTGATGAAAGCGGCACTCATTGGGAACTCATTTCTGGTTATCTTTATCAATTGTTGGCCGCCATAATCAAAGGCAATCACACAAATTGTGCACAATTTGCAAATTCAAATCGATTGAATTGGCTTTTCTCCCGTTTGGGATCGCAAGCGTCCAGCGAAGGATCCGGTATGCTTGATGTATTGCATTGTGTATTGATTGATTCGCCAGAAGCGTTGAATATGATGCGAGATGAACATATTAAAGTGATCATTAGTTTGTTGGAAAAACACGGTCGTGATCCAAAAGTATTGGATGTTTTATGTTCACTTTGTGTGGGTAATGGTGTTGCGGTGCGTTCGTCACAAAATAATATCTGCGATTATTTATTGCCCGGCAAAAATCTTCTACTTCAAACACAATTAGTTGATCATGTTGCAAGGTAATTTAGTTCATTTTCTATATTATTTTGATAATTTTTGATTGTTTCATTTTCATAATTTTTTTTTAATTTCGTGTGCAGCATTCGGCCAAATATTTTTGTTGGTCGTGTAGATGGTTCGGCTACGTATCAAAAATGGTATTTTGAAATAACAATGGATCATATCGAGCAGAAAACGCACATGACACCGCATTTAAGAATTGGCTGGGCCAATACAACCGGCTATGTGCCTTATCCAGGCGGTGGTAAAAAGTGGGGCGGCAATGGTGTCGGTGATGATTTGTATTCGTTCGGTTTTGATGGTGCATTTCTTTGGACGGGCGGTAAAAATACGCCAGTTCTTCAAGATATACCACTCGAACCATATATACGAAAAGGTGATGTTATCGGTGTTGCACTTGATTTGAATGTTCCCATAATTTATTTCACATTCAATGGTCAAAAGGTCAAGGGAACTTTTCGCAATTTCAATCTTGATGGAATGTTCTTTCCGGTCATGAGTTGCTCATCGAAATTAAGGTAAACTTTTTGCAAAAATAAAAATCCATATAATTTCAACTTTAACAATTTTGAATTAATTTTCAGTTGTCGCTTTTTGCTCGGTGGTGATCATGGTCGTTTAAAATACGCGCCGCCATTTGGATTTTCACCATTGGTTCAATGTCTGATGCCACATCAAATATTGAGTTTGGATCCTTGTTTTTATTTCGGCAATTTGAATAAAAATGTCATAGCGGGTCCATGGTTAATTGAAGACGATACAGCTTTCGTTCCGAATCCAGTAGATACATCAACAGTCACATTGCCATCATCAGTTGATCAAATCAAGGATAAATTGGCCGAAAATATCCATGAAATGTGGGCATTAAATAAAATTGAAAGCGGTTGGATGTGGGGAGAGCGTCGTGACGACTTGCATCGTATTCATCCGTGTTTGACACATTTCGATAAATTACCAGCGGCCGAAAAGCGTTACGATTGCCAATTAGCCGTACAAACATTAAAGTGAGTCTTCTATCGTCCATCTTAAATTTGGATTTTTGGAGTCAACTTTTAGTTCATAAATGTCAAATTGAATCTTTTCTCGTTTTTTTTTTTCTCTCGTCAGAACAATAATTGCCATTGGCTACTACATAATAATGGACAAACCACCGGCTCGAATTCGTCCAATTCGATTACCAAATGAGCCGTTCATGCAGGGAAATGGTTATAAACCAGCACCACTTGATTTGAGTGCCGTTACTTTAACGCCAAAACTCGAAGAGTTGGTCGATCAATTGGCCGAAAATACGCACAATTTATGGGCAAAGGAGCGCATTCAACAAGGTTGGACCTATGGATTGAATGAAGATTCCGATACATTGCGCAGTCCACATTTAGTTCCGTACAGTAAAGTCGACGACGCAATTAAAAAAGCCAATCGAGATACAGCGTCGGAAACGGTTCGAACACTTTTGGTGTACGGTTACAATTTGGATCCACCGACCGGTGAAGGAAACGAAGCACTACTTGCAGAAGCGCTACGCCAAAAATACGCCGCATTTCGAACATATCGTGTCGAACGAAATTATGCGGTTACATCGGGGAAATGGTACTTTGAATTCGAAGTTCTTACTGCTGGTCCGATGAGGGTATGTAAATTTAAAATTAATTTAAAAATGAAAAAAATAGCAACTAGATATGGTCATTGATTTCACAGGTCGGTTGGTGTCGTACGGATTGTAAACCAGGTGTTATGCTTGGTGCCGACGATGGTTCAGGATGGGCATTTGATGGTTACAATGTAAGTATTTGCTTCATTTGAAATTCAGACACAAAAAGAAGAAGAAGAAGAGGAAAAATATAAAGAGGAAGTGATTTTTCACGAAAATTAAAATCAAAGAAAGGAAATAGCATATTCAACTATTTGTTTTGGGTTGTATACACATTTATCCATGATATGTATATTATTGACATATATAACACGAAATATTTAGCTGAAATACGAAAAATAGGTCAGCAAGTTTTGTGACTTGATTCGAGAAAAAAAAAACTGAACACATGAACGAGCGAGAGAGAGAAAGAGAGAGTGAAATAAAACAGACATTTCAATATTCCTTGGGTTAGTACGTGATGAATATTATTAGTTGTTATAGACGAGCGTCTCTCAGGCAGTCATAGTGAACAATACGAACAACGTATAGAGGAAAAAAGAAAACAACCATTGAATGCGTATATTTTTAGATGGTACGCGCAGCATTAGAAACGCGCACACAAGACGTCTAGAAAGCAGAAAACCAAATGAAACGAAACCAAATAGCACTCATTATAGTAAAACGACGACAACAACGTCTCCCATAATATAAATGATTTGTTTAGAAACAATGAAATGTGTTCAGCCGAAGGTGAATTCATATGTTCCCAATTTTTTTTTACTCACTTTGTGATCGAGGATTTTTTTATACAGACTTTTATGTATACGAGAATGTACGCTTCGGAATAAAAATCGTTTCCAAAAATAAGATTTTATTTCATAAAGAAATAGGAAAATCAAACTATTTATAATTTATATAAAAATGAAAAATAAAATAAAATTGAACCAATTGCTTATCATATGTAGGAAGAAAAAGTGTATGCCGGCTCAACTGAGTCATTTGGCAGACAATGGGTACCTGGCGATGTGGTTGGCGTCTTCCTTGATTTGGTTGATCATACTATCAGTAAGCCAGTAAAAAAAAAAAAATTAATGCAAATGAAATCAACCAGTGTGTCCATAACATATAGAAATAGCACTAAATAGTGTCGATATCTATACTATATTGGTCCACTATATATGTAAGATATTCCGCAAGACACCGTAGCTCACGATAGAAGTGAGTGCGGACGGCAAACATGTTGACGCATACACACAGTTCTTTCTACTGCCGCATGGCAATTTGTGATTTTTTCCGTCTACACTGGCTTCGATCGTGCGATACGGTGCCGTGCGACAATATCTTTCATATATAGTGGACCGATATAGTATAGATATCGACACTATTTAGTGATATTTCTATATATTATGGACACACTGAAATCAACAAAATAATATAAGCAATAGGAAAGCATCTGAATTGTGAACATGTCTAATAATTTGCGCATTGAATCCAAATTAAACTCTTTACACGATTAAAATCTCATAAATCCATTTTCATTCAAGATTTCATTGTGAATGCACACAAATTATGTACCGAATTTTAGCATTTAAATGAATCACGGCTAGACTTTATTCGCTTATTTTCACATCTACGAACAATTCACACACACGCAGAATAGTTATTGGTAATCGCTATTGTGCAATGCAAAGATGTACACATTGAATCTGTATGTTGTTTGTACATATTTGATTTGAATACAAAAGTTTTCTACGAAATTTTGATACATCTATTATTGGAAAAAAGTTTCATATGTGAACGATATGTGTATATTCAAAATTATAACACTGTTTCGAAGTCAGCCAATTTGTCATAATTAGTCAGTCATTTTTATGCACACAAGTGTGCATGAGTTTTGAATCTTGTAAAGTGTTTACTTGGATTGCTTAATCAAATAATATTTGTATGCTATGAATTCATGTTGAGAAATATTTTTCACTTCAATAACACCTTAAAAATCAGAAATGTGCGCAAGGCGTTACCTCCTCTGTTATAAGAAATTTTCAATTTTACACTAGATGCCGATGTTTTTTTGTTTGCTTTCCATTTGTGAAATCTGGCTGCCCGGAAAATGAGTTCGCGCATTACTGTTGCAAATAGATAAAGGTGGCAAGAAATGTCCACGTTCACGGAAAGGGGCAATTTTATCTGCCTGTCTAAAAAAGTTGGCCATTGGACACCCTTTTTCTCCGAACTACATTGATGTCCACCGTTTTGTCCGAAACGTGTTTGACAGGGTGTTTTATCGGACACACTTTTTTCTGTTGCCACCTTTACACAATTTTACTTTTTAATTGAATTTTTAACTTTTGAAATGGTTTGCGAATTTCAAATTAATTGCTCGCAGAATTTTGGTATTTTAGAACTTTGTATCGAAGAAATTTCGCTGAAATAATAATCTGTTCAAAAAGAACGTATGTTGTCTCAATTTTAACGGTCTTAGATTTTTGTCTATTAAAGTTAAGCTATTAGACAAGTCTTCTCCTTCCTAAAAATAAAAAATAACCAAGACATTTTTTGCTCTTCAATTTTTTACCAATTACATTGAACAATTTTTTTTAAAGATGACCAAAATTGAAGAGAACATAAGTTTCTTTTAAATAATGGAAGATTTTTTCAGCAACACGCAAATTCAATGTTTATTTTGCTCTCATAAATTGTGTGACTTTTTTTTAGCTTATGCTTGAATAAAAAATAAAACTAACACAAAATAATCAAATTCGATTAAAAATTATATATCTGTTTGTACAAATATTGTTGAAAATCGAATGAAAAGCAGACTAATTTTTGATAATTACAAGCTAGCTTACAAGCATGTCGTTTTCACACACTTTCTGTATTTATATAGTGCGCTTTATTGGTATGCCTTTTTTTTCATTCGAGTGTATTAATGTTTTGATATTTAACTCGAAATAAATTTGAAGCTTCGAAAATGCAAACAAAATAAAACCATAAAATGTGTCATTTTATTTGATTGAATAAAGGTTTTTCGTTGAATGGTGAACTATTGATGGATACACTTGGTGGCGAAACGACATTTGCTGATGTTACAGCTGCTGAAGGTGTTGGATTTGTGCCATCTTTTACGCTAGGTGTTGGACAAAAAGCCCGACTTGTCTATGGTCAAAATGTTGATTCACTGAAATATTTCACCACTTGTGGTTTGCAAGAAGGTTACGAACCATTTTGTGTGTAAGTAAATTACGATATGAGATTTTCACCAAATGAAAACGACATTTCAATTAAACAAAATCACTTTATAGAAACATGAGACGACCGGTTACACATTGGTATACAAAAGATCAACCAATTTTTGAAAATACCGAAGATATGATTGATTGTCGAATTGATGTGACCCGTATACCGGGCGGTGCTGATTCACCACCATGCTTGAAAATTTCACACAACACATTTGAAACGATGGAAAAAGCAAATTGGGAATTTTTGCGCCTGTCACTGCCAGTTACATGTCACTCTGAATTCATTTCCGAACAAGAGAAAGCCAGACGATGGGAGGAAATAAAATTACGGTATGCTTGCGTGAATGTGATAAATTATGTAAAGTTTGTGTTTGAATATTAATTAATTTCAAAATTATGATAAAATGTAGACAACATCGTTTAGCCGAAGAAGTACAAAGACAAGATGTGCAGAATCCATCGCATATGGATCACATTATGCAAAGTGGTTTTACAATGAACGACATCAAAGGTTTGCATCGTTTCGGTGAAGAAGGAGTTGAGGCCGATGAACAGATGGCATCTCATCTTAATCCGTCACGACCACCGCGCAAAGGATCGGTGAGCCGTGGTAGTCCAAATTATGATATGGCACGATCAACAAGTGCCTTAGATATTGACACCTTTCAAATGGAGGGCGACGACAAAGGCGACAAGAAACGCGGACGCAGTCCATTTAAATTCTTTAAAAGAGGTCAAAGCAAAGACAAACATAAATCGAAATCACCACCGGATCGTAAACGTGGAACATGTAGGCCTTTCTGATATTCAATTTACTCATTTAAATCTGAATTGAAAATCTAACAAAAAAATGTATATTTATTTCACAGCTGTTGGCCGAAGCACATCTCCACAGCAAAGAGCTCCGACGGTTCGTATCTCTGATGTATGTTTTTATCCTTCTCCCCATTTTTCTTAACTTATTGTAATCATCATTCAATTTTTCAACTTTTGTGCAGGCCGATTTGCGTGCAGGTCAACCACCTCCACAGCTTCAACTCGATCGATCAGCAAATAAAACGATGACAGTGAATGCGCTAAATGCGCAGGGCATTGAATCGATTGGAAACGAAGTGTATGATGCGGAATGCCTTAAAATGATCAACGAATATTTCTATGGTGTACGAATTTATCCGGGTCAAGATCCAACACATGTGTACGTTGGATGGGTGACAACACAATATCATTTGCATAGCAGAGAATTCAATCGTGATAAGGTTCGTCGCGTCTCTGTTTTTATGGAAGACGAATATGAGCAGCCAATCGATCGTGTTGATCGTCAAAGTTGTTATATGGTACGTGCCGATGAATTATTTAACGAGGTATCACAAGATGCATCCGGAAAAGGTGCAACACAGGGAATGTTTGTCGGTTGTTTTGTTGATACGGCAACCGGTACGATAAAATTCACATGCGAAGGTAAAGTAACATCGCATCGATGGCAAATGGAACCGGACACCAAACTATTTCCAGCCATTTTTGTTGAAGCAACGAGCAAAGAAATTTTACAAATTGAATTGGGACGTACACCAACCACATTGCCACTGTCGGCAGCCGTTTTACCAACAAGCGATAAACATGTGAATCCACAATTTCCACCACGTCTTAAAATTCAGTGCTTGAAACCACATCAATGGGCACGTGTACCAAATGTAACCCTACAAGTACATGCATTGAAATTGTCCGATATTCGTGGTTGGTCAATGCTTTGTGAAGATCCGATTTCGATGCTTGCATTGCATATTCCAGAAGAAGATCGATGCATTGATATTCTTGAATTGATCGAAATGGATAAATTGTTAGCGTTCCATTCATATACATTAACATTGTATGCAGCACTTTGTTTTCAATCAAACTATAGAGCCGCCCATGCGCTGTGTTTGCATGTTGATCAAAAACAATTACTTTATGCCATCAAAGCAGAATACATGAGCGGACAACTTAGACAAGGATTTTATGACTTATTGATTGCTATGCATTTGGAATCGCATGCAAATACAATGTAAGTACAATATTTCTTCTCTTTATAATGAATTTTCAAGAAAAAATAAGAGAAAAAAAAACACCATTCTCTTTGAACAATAGGGAAGTGTGCAAAAATGAATTTATCATCCCACTTGGACCCGAACTTATAGAATTGTATAACGATGAAGAAATGAGACACTCACTAAGATCATTGCAAACAGAATCAGTGCGACCACAGCTTCGAATGACGGAAATAGTGTATGTATATTGGACGGCAGTACTTATTTCATTCCAAAAAACGATAAATTAAGGAATAAATAAAAACTAAATCAAACATTTTTCAAACTGATCGCGAATAATCGAATATTTCTCGAATATATGTAATAACTCCCTCACAACAATTGGGCATAAATGTCATTTAATCTCAATGAATCAACCTTTCACAAGCGAAACCAATGACTAAAAAAAATCTTTGCACGAACATCGTAAACAATATATCGGTCAATTTAAACGGAAGTTTTTTGAAGAAAAAAAAAAACTTAAAATTTCTTTAATTTTATTTATTAGTTTGATAATAGTTTTCAGTTCTTAAGAATGTATCCATTAAGATTATACTTTTTGACAAGTGGTCCGATTATCCTGGGTTTTTAATACCTTTTTGAATCTTTAATTTTTTAAATTGGCTTTTTAAGTTTTCTGAGATCACCCATCTCGCTTATAACAAATTCTCCTTAATCCCTTTTAATTCTTGAATTTCAGAAAGTATGATCAAGTTGGTGAAAAAGTTCAAATTCCATCGATTTCCATTAAAAATCTCAGGTCTTTGTTACTTGAACATCTTCGGTGCAAAATTAAACTTTTGTGGAACAATTTTTGTCCGTTATCTCTTAATTTGCGAAAACAACCATTAATTTGTTAAAAACTTTTTTTCTTATACTTTTTTATTTTTATGTATTGATCGTGTTTGCATGATGTTCTCTTTATGTGCCTATCTCTGTGTGTATAATACTGCCTACTTATCATAACTGAAACTACCAAAAAACATAAAATAACCTCACCTCAACCAACCGACAATACAACCAACCAACCAACCAACCAAAAAAAAAAAAATCAACACCAATCAACGGTCAACCAAAATAATTCATACATAAATATAAAAAAATATATACATAAAAAAACCAAATCTCTGTATAGAGATATATATAACCCACATCAAATGATACCTTCGGCAAATGATGTTTTCAGTGAACCGATACCAACCATTGATGCACTGTATTCGCCCAAATTTCCATTGGAAGAGGTACGTGATTTCGTAATGGAAGCACTGCATGAGGCTGTTGATGTGAATCAAGTACATAACCGTGATCCAATTGGATGGTCGAATGAAAATCTGTTTTTGTAAGTAGCTAGAGATCATTTTACATTTAAATGAAATATTTAGAGAATAAATAAAATAGCAAATATTCTATTGTGTTGCCATAGGCCATTGTTGAAGCTTATCGATCGTTTGTTGCTTGTGGGAATCGTAACGGACAATGATGTGCAAAAGTTGTTAATCATGATTGATCCGGAGACATGGGATCATGAATTTGATCGTGAAGGAAAAGATGAACATCGCAAAGGATTGTTAACAATGAAAATGGCTGAAGGTGCAAAATTGCAAATGTGCTATTTATTGCATCATTTTACTGACCTTCAATTGCGACATCGTGTTGAAAGTATTATTTCATTTTCACATGATTTTATCGGTGTTTTACAAGATGATCAATTGCGTCGTTACATTGAAATCAAGCAATGCGATTTACCAAGCGCCATTGTAGCAAAGAAAACACGTGAATACCGTTGTCCACCGCGTGAACAAATGAACTCAATTTTAAGTTTCAAAGATTTGGATCCAGACGATATTGAAAATTGTCCATGCGGCGTTGATGTGAGGGACAGTTTCCTCGCATTCCATGAGAATTTCTTGGGTAAAGTGTCATTGACAGCCTTACAAGAGCCCGAAGTTGAAGATGAAACGGTCGATACAAAACCATCGGCATTGACAAAACTATATAATTTTATAAATGCCGTTAAAGATGCCGAAGAAAGTGTCGAAGAACAAACAGTCGAACCGGAAAAGAAAACGCCAGAAGAAGTGTTCCGTAAAGTATTGATTAAGACAATTGTCGGATGGGCGGAAGAATCACAAATTGAAAATCCAAAATTGGTTCGTGAAATGTTTGGTTTATTGGTGCGTCAATACGATACGGTTGGCGAATTGATTCGTGCATTGGAAAAAACCTATGTAATAAATAGCAAAACGAAAGTTGATGTGGCTACGATGTGGATTGGACTTAGTCAAATTCGTGCCTTATTACCTGTACAAATGAGTCAAGAAGAGGAAGAATTAATGCGTACACGTTTATGGAAATTGGTGAATAATCATACATTTTTCCAGCATCCAGATTTAATTCGAATTTTACGTGTTCACGAAAACGTGATGGCCGTTATGATGAATACATTGGGTCGTCGGGCTCAAGCACAAAGCGACGCACCGGCCATTAGCGAAGGTGGTGAAATGCCGGTCAAAGAAAAGGATACATCACACGAAATGGTTGTGGCATGTTGTCGTTTTCTTTGCTATTTCTGTCGCACCAGTCGACAAAATCAAAAGGCAATGTTCGATCACTTTGATTTTCTGTTGGAAAATTCAAACATTCTATTGTCACGGCCTAGTTTACGCGGTTCAACGCCACTTGATGTTGCCTATTCTAGTTTGATGGAAAACACTGAATTGGCACTTGCGTTACGTGAACATTATTTGGAAAAAATTGCAATTTATCTATCACGTTGTGGATTACAAAGTAATTCGGAATTAGTTGAAAAGGGTTATCCGGATTTGGGTTGGGATCCAGTAGAAGGTGAACGTTATTTGGACTTTTTACGATTTTGTGTTTGGGTGAATGGTGAATCGGTTGAAGAGAACGCGAATTTGGTAATTCGTTTGCTGATTCGACGGCCAGAATGTTTGGGTCCAGCATTGCGTGGTGAAGGTGAAGGTTTATTGCGTGCCATTGTTGATGCAAATAAAATGTCCGAAAAAATTGCCGAACGTCGTAAGTTGCACGATGAAGCCGAAGGCACAATGAGCGGTTTGAATTTCGTGCATCCATTGCCAGAGGGTGACGACGATGAAGATTATATTGATACGGGTGCAGCTATATTAGGTTTTTATTGTACACTTGTTGATTTATTGGGACGTTGTGCACCCGAACCATCTGTCATTGATCAAGGTAAAAATGAATCAACTCGTGCTCGTGCCATTTTACGTTCACTAGTGCCATTAGAGGATTTACAAGGTGTGTTGAGTTTGAAATTTACATTACACCAACCGGTGCCCGGCGAAGAAAAACCAAAATCTGACATGCCTTCTGGATTAAGGCCTGGACATAAAGAAAATATTGTTCTTTTCTTGGAACGAGTTTATGGCATTGAAACACATGATTTATTCTATCGCATTCTTGAAGATGCATTTTTGCCAGATTTAAGAGTGGCCACAATGCTTGATAAGGTACGTCCACATATTTTGAACGGTATATTTTAATTATATTTATTTTATATTTATTTTTCTGTTTCTTTCAATTTTATTGTAGAATGACGGAAGTGAAAGTAATATGGAGTTGTCAATGAATCGCTACATTGGAATCTCCATATTGCCGCTGTTGATCAAACATGCAAAATTCTATAATGAAGCTGAAAACTATGCCAGTTTATTAGATGCTACATTGCACACCGTATATCGTTTGTCAAAGAATCGAATGCTTACAAAAGGACAACGTGAAGCCGTTTCGGATTTCTTGGTGGCATTGACATCCTCAATGCAGCCGGCTATGTTATTGAAACTATTACGCAAACTCACTGTCGACGTATCCAAATTATCAGAATATACAACGGTTGCGTTGCGAGTAAGTTCAATCATAACGTGTTTATTTGTTGGTTTATTCTTTAATATTGTTTCAACTTTTAGCTATTGACATTGCACTATGAGCGTTGTGCTAAATATTATGGTTCAAGTCAAGGTCAAGCTACCTATGGTGCTGCATCCGATGAAGAGAAACGACTAACCATGATGTTATTCTCAAACATTTTCGATTCACTCAGCAATATGGATTATGATCCCGAATTGTTTGGAAAGGCATTGCCATGTTTGATTGCGATCGGTTGTGCATTGCCACCAGACTATTCATTACCACAAAAATCGGATGATGATTTCTATGGTAAAAGTTCGGGTAATCCAGATCAACCGCAATACAATCCACAACCAATCAATACATCGATGATAACACTCGACAACGATTTGAATTCAATTGTACAGAAATTCAGTGAACACTATCACGATGCATGGGCCAGTCGTAAAATGGAAACCGGATGGACATACGAGGAAGTGTGGTCGGATGCAAATAAAACGCATCCACGCCTTAAACCATATAACATGTTGAACGATTATGTATGTACAAGTACATTGTCTCCCTTAAATCGACTAAATTAGAGTAACGTTTAGCACATTTTTCATTTTATTCGCCCCATCAATTCATAGGAACGAGAACGTTACAAAGAGCCAGTTAGAGAAAGTCTCAAAGCTTTGCTTGCATTGAACTGGACAGTTGAACATGCTGATGTTGATGCACCACTTTCACATCGCGGATCGGCCAGACGTCAATCAAAACCAAATCTTGTAAGCCAAACTGTTCAATATTGTATACATATATTTGTATTTTGCAATTATTCAATTCCAAAAACGAAAAGATTTTCCAACTTCACATTGTAAAAACAACACAAACCTTTTTCGTCTCTAATCAAATTCATTTTCTATCTCTCCAATCAAAACCTATGCTTCCTCTGTGAAACCCGAAAAAAAAACCAATCTCTGATCCAAACACAACTCCAACTAAACAAATCACAAAACCAATTGTTCCCTGTTCTTCTGTTGCACATAAATCAAAATAAAATTGTGCAAAAAACGTATCACAAATTAAAAAGCATGAGGATTTCCAGAGTGATGGCAATGCATTTAACTACAATCCACATCCGGTTGATATGACAAATTTGACATTGAATCGTGAAATGCAAAATATGGCCGAGCGATTGGCAGAAAATTCACATGACATTTGGGCAAAGAAGAAACGCGAAGAAATTGATACATGTGGAGGTGCAATTCATCCACAATTGGTACCATATGATTTGTTAACCGACAAAGAAAAGCGTAAAGATCGTGAACGATCACAAGAATTTTTAAAATACATGCAATACCAAGGATTGAAACTTCACAAGTAAGTGACACACATCACATTTCGATTTAAAATTTAGAGAAAAAAACGATTCATTTGTGATTTTTGTATTTTCTCCCATAGGCCATCTCGAGCAGACACAATGGTCGACGGTGAACAGGCTGCAACACAAGCTGCAATTGAACTACGTTTCTCTTATTCATTACTCGAGAAGCTCATTGCATATTTGGATCGTGCAACAATTAACATGAAACTACTGAAACCTTCGTCCACATTCAGTCGCCGTACATCGTTTAGAACGGCATCACGCGATATAAAATTCTTCTCAAAAGTTGTATTGCCATTGATTGAAAAATACTTTTCAACGCATCGCAGTTATTTTATAGCGGTTGCAACAGCAACCAATAATATTGGTGCTGCATCATTAAAAGAAAAAGAAATGGTTGCAGCGATATTCTGTAAATTGTCCAATTTATTGCGTCAACGTTTATCGGCATTTGGTCCGGATGTTCGAATCACGGTGCGATGCTTACAGGTACTGGTAAAAGGTATCGATGCAAAATCATTGGTAAAAAATTGTCCCGAATTTATTCGGACATCGATGTTAACATTTTTCAATAATACGGCCGACGATTTGGGACAGACAATAACAAATTTACAAGATGGAAAATACAGTCATTTACGCGGTACACATTTAAAAACATCCACATCATTGGCATATGTGAATCAAGTTATTTTACCGGTATTAACAGCAATGTTTGATCATTTGGCGTCATGCGATTATGGCAGTGATTTATTGTTGGACGAAATTCAAGTTGCATCATATAAAATTTTGGCCGCATTATACACACTTGGCATCGATGGTACGCTTACCAATGATCGAAAATATTTGAAAACCGAAATTGAACGTAGTCGACCGAGTTTGGGTTCGTGCTTAGGTGCATTTAGCTCAACGTTTCCGGTTGCATTCTTGGAACCGCATCTTAACAAACATAATCTATTTTCGTTACTTAATCGCATTGCCGATCATTCGTTAGAAGCTCAAGATATTATGGTTCGCATGGAAAGTTCAATGCCAAATTTGGAATCGATTTTATCCGAAGTTGATCAATTTGTTGAATCGGATAAAACATATGGCGATGCACCGCATATAATTGATGTTATTTTACCATTGTTATGCTCATATCTACCATTTTGGTGGTCACAAGGTCCGGACAATGTATCGCCAACCAGTGGTAATCATGTTACAATGGTGACCGCCGATCACATGAACGTTTTGCTGAAAAATGTTTTAAAAATGATTAAAAAGAATATCGGAAATGAAAATGCACCGTGGATGACACGAATTGCCGCATATACACAACAAATCATTATCAATAGTTCAGAAGAATTGTTGATTGATCCATTCTTACCGTTGGCCGAACGTGTCCGAAAGCGAACCGATAACATGTTCCATAAAGAAGAAAGTATGCGCGGTTTTATTAAATCGGCAAACGATGATACATCACAAATTGAAACACAAATTCAAGAAGATTGGCAACTTTTGGTGCGTGATATTTATTCATTCTATCCGTTGCTCATTAAATACGTTGATTTGCAACGTAATCATTGGCTGAAAAATAACATTCATGAAGCTGAAGAGTTGTACAATTATGTGGCCGAAATATTTAATATTTGGTCAAAGAGTCAATACTTTTTGAAAGAAGAGCAAAACTTTATATCGGCCAATGAAATTGATAATATGACACTGATTATGCCAACGGCAACACGACGAACAACAACCGTAAATGATGGTGCATCAGCCGGTGGCAAAGTGAAAAAGAAGAAGAAACATCGTGACAAGAAACGTGACAAAGATAAAGAGGTGCAAGCCAGTTTAATGGTGGCTGCCTTGAAACGTCTTTTGCCCGTCGGTTTGAATTTGTTTGCCGGCCGAGAACAAGAACTTGTTCAACACTGTAAAGATCGTTATCTCAAGGTAAGAAGGGACTCACATTTTGTACATCACATTTTAATAATTCATATTTTGTGATTTTAATCGAATAGAAAATGCCAGAAAGTGAGGTCATTGAATTTGCGCGCACACAACTCACATTGCCAGATAAACTTGATCCAGCTGATGAAATGTCGTGGCAACATTATTTGTACTCAAAATTGGGGAAGAATCAAACATCCGAAGAGATTATTGAAAAACCACCAACAGGCGTGCCAGCCGAAAAGACAAAAACCAAAGAACAAATCATTCAAGAAACTGTTGAACGCATTGTTGCAATGGCCAAAGTTTTATATGGACTTCACATGGTGAGTCAGTTTATTATTCAATTTGTTTGTTCTTATTGGAGATTGAAATTCAAAATTGAAAGTTTTTTTTTTATTTAATCGGCACCAAGTAAAATTGAGATTTTCACGAGGTGTAGAATTTGATTTTCATTATTTTTACCCCAAAATAAGTCCTTCATTTTTTTTTGATTTTTTCTTGATTTTTACCAACCAAATTTACTGCTTTAGATTGATCATCCACAACAACAAAGTAAAAACGTTTATCGAAGTGTCGTTTCGATACAAAGAAAACGAGCTGTTATCGCTTGTTTCCGTCAACTTTCATTACATTCACTGCCAAGGTTAAATTTTAGTGGTGTTTTCTATGTATTTTGTCATTTCTTTTCTTTGTGGAACTTATAAATCGATAACAAATTGGTTTTGAAAAATTAACAGTTTTTTTGTGTTTTAACCACTAACCACGATTACTTTCCTGTTTTTTTTTTGTTACAAAGGAAGAGTAAGGATTTGAGCTGAAGAGTGTAAAAATGAGAGAAAAGGTCTTTCAATCAGAGTGAGTTGGATTACATGGAAATGAACAATTGTCGACTTCAAATATTCCCTCTAGACTCCAAATCACTCTGATGGACCAAATTGAAGATCTTATTTTTACACATCTAGTAACGCAACATTTGGTTTTTAATGATTTTATTTACACTCTAAAGAAAACGTCCATTTGACCAACGTCCTAATGTTATTATTTTTGGTAGAACTCGTAGTATAGCGTGCACAATATGTACTAATGGTTTTTTTTTCTGAAGCAGAGTTTCTGAAGAAGATAAACATCTACACAGTATGAAATTATGCCGGATGCTATAGCTTTTATTCACTCCTTCATAATATGGAGTTTTGTATGGTAGATGAAATAAAAGCTGAAAAAACTACTGGTTTTATACTATCCGGTGTAAATTTATTACTGTGTTTCTGAGAAAATTCAACAGTAAGCAATGATCTATACACGAAAACCTGCTTGAGTAATTCAAGTCCGTTGGCCAATTATTTGATGAAATGAGGTCCAATTTCTGTCCAGAGATTTCTTTTCCAAAACGGAATGGTTTAGTATGATTAATCCCCTATATATAACAAATTACCTCAATTTTCTGCTTCAGAAACTCTGATCATATTTGCGATAGAATGAATTATGAATAAACATAAATTACAAATCTCTTGATTAAAAATTCATACGATTGGTTATCTGATTTATCCCCTTACCCAGGCATGTCGTCCATATAGTTCTAGAGACAATTGGAAACGCATTTTGTCGTTAGCAAGGAAAAATGCTGCTATTGCATGCTTAAGAGTAAAACATCTCTATAAAATGAGCAGGTTGCTTTGTAACAAATACTTGTAAACATTTTTACCACAAAAACAATTAATTTTCTTTTGCGATTTACAATTTTATTGTTGATTATCTGTTTAATTTGTGTTTTTATTCCATGACAAAGTGTCTTAGTTTAGCTGCCAAATTACTTTGTCAATTTATTTCTAATGCTAGTTACGGCATGAGCTTTATTATTCAATAATTGATTGTGTGGTAAAAAAAAAAAACAAACTCAATTCAGAAATAATGATAATTTATGAATTGGTCATAATTGCAGACATCGAGCATGCAACATCTTTGCCAGAACATATTACGAATTATGGTTGCAGGAAGAAAACGTTGGCCAAGAAATTATGATCGAAGATTTAACGGTAAACATATGCTTATTAGATAAAGTGAATCATTCAAATGCGTATTCCAATTTGTAGCAATCGTTTGAAGATGCGGAAAAGAAAAAGAAAGAAGATGAAGAAGAAGAGGGTAAACCAGATCCATTGACACAATTGGTAACGACATTCTGTCGTGGTGCAATGACTGAACGCAGCGGTGCACTACAGGAAGATCCATTGTATATGTCATATGCACACATCGTGGCCAAATCATGTGGCGAAGAAGCAGAGGATGAAGGTGGTAGCGAGGGCGATGAAGTGGCCAGTATTCATGTAAATATTTACTCGTTTTTAGAGACAATTTTTCGATCAAACATTTTATTATTTTATGACTAACCCGATATTTGCAAATTCATTTGCAAACCAGTCCATGGCAAAAGTAATTGTAAGTTTACTAACATTAACCAAATGTGATTTCCAGTTTATTTTTCATTGCAATTAACTTGATGAGGTCAATAAATATGTAATGTGTGTAATTATAATTGTTTTGAACATAACTTTAGGAACAAGAAATGGAAAAACAAAAACTCTTGTTTGCCCAAGCTCGGCTAAACAATCGTGGTGTTGCCGAAATGGTGTTGCTTCATATATCCGCTTCAAAGGGTGTTCCAAGTGATATGGTTATGATAACATTGGAATTGGGTATTGCCATTTTGCGCGGCGGTAATATTGACATTCAAATGGGAATGTTGAATCATTTGAAGGAAAAGAAAGATGTTGGCTTCTTCACATCGATTGCTGGCCTAATGAACTCATGCAGCGTTTTGGATTTGGATGCATTTGAACGTAACACAAAAGCTGAAGGTATGATCATTCCATTTTATTCCATTCATTTATTGCATTTTACTTTCATTTCAATTTTATTACATTTTATCATTTTGGATACAATATTGATTATTGAAATTAATAAAATTGTAATTAACGTTACTTCAAATCATTCGTTTACGCATTTGAAACAAAGAATCATTATTTTTTTTCTCATTCAAACTGTTCGAAATGTTGGTAGGTTTCAAATGATATTTCATCTTTGAAAGGTCGAATGGGGCGAGACCGAATTTCGATTGAAAATGTGTGGCTACGTTGATGGTCAAATTAACGACGAAAATGTCCATTTTGAATTTTGTCCAATGAATTGAACGGCAACGTGGTGACAATTTATTGAAATTCGATCACGTTTAACGGTTCGACTTTTTGAAGTGAAAATGACATACCCAGTTGTACTAGTGACAGTACCAACCGATATCTATTACCGAGACAAATTTTGCCACCAAGTCCATAAACATTTGACATTTTGTTCCCAAATTTGCACACTAATTCATCTCTTGCTTTAACTTTTCGGTTTGATCTAATATAGAGTTGTCAACGAACACCAACGAACGACCGGCTTTTTTATTTAATTTTTTTTTTCGCTCGTTGAATTGTATTGCGTTCGTTCGTAGAAAGTCAAATGTTCGTAGCATTCGTTGTTCGTTAGGTGTTCGTACGGTCGTTGTTTGTAGAAAAATATAAAAATGATATACAACATAAAATGACATTTAAAGTTGATTGTATTTTTGTAAATGCAACGCCTTAGAATAAATGAATGGGTGAGGATTTCAGGTCACTTCAATTATCACCCATTCAAATGACGAACTTTACTTTGTTGCGTGAAAAAATCGTATAACGAAAACGTTCTATATAAGCTGGCATAATCGATAGAACGTTTTTTTCGAATGACAAAATTCATTTTTTTAGGTGCCAAAATTAATTTCGCCATATATATAATCTACGTTAAAATTCACTTAAAAAGTTGATTCCTTATTTTATATGATTTTTATATTTTTTTTTACGAACAAACGAATTGACAATGAATGAACGCTACGAACATTTGACTTTCTACAAACGAACGAACGCAATACAATTCAACGAACGAACAAACAAAATAAGAATATTATCCTCTCATGAAAAAATGAAGGAACGAACATTCGTTGGTAGCTCTCTAGTCTAAACAATGTTCTAATTCAAACTTTCATTTTTGAATTGGCAATTTGGATTTAAAGCAAATTACTTTGTTTGGCTTACTTTTGGTTTTACCATACAACGAAGAAAGTTTATATGTTTCATCAATTTTTTTTTCCAAATTCACCTCTGTTTTTCACGTAATCTTTTCTTATTTTCCACATTTGGTTTTCTGTAACCGTTCCATCCTTAAACAAACATACATCACACTCTGTCTGTTGTTCTGTGATCTCACTTCCCATCATCTGCCAAAAACCCAAAAAAAAAAAACAAAAAAAAACATGTATATAAAACCAATAAATATGCATAAAATGAAACCACAACCACCTTCTTGCACGTACTATACTTTTTCGTATCCATCATGGTACCATTTAAATATAAAACATGAAAATCTGTAAAACATGAAAAACAAAAGAGTATATTCCGGCTGCTAAAGGTCTAGGTGTTGGCTCGGAAGGTGCAGCGGGCGAGAAAAATATGCACGATGCTGAATTTACATGTGCCCTTTTCCGGTTTATTCAACTCACTTGCGAAGGTCACAATCTGGGTAAGTTTTTGTGTGTTCTATTTTAAATGGTCTCGCTTGAAATTAATCATTTTTCATTTTTTTTTCTAGAATGGCAAAATTATTTGCGTACACAAGCTGGTAATACGACAACAGTGAATGTGGTCATTTGTACGGTCGATTATTTGTTGCGATTGCAAGAATCGATAATGGATTTCTATTGGCATTATTCGAGCAAAGAGGTCATTGATCAGGCTGGAAAATTAAACTTTTTCAAAGCGATCGGAGTAGCCAGTCAAGTGTTCAACACACTGACTGAAGTAATTCAAGGGCCATGCATTCTGAATCAACAGGCGTTGGCTCATTCACGTCTTTGGGATGCTGTCGGTGGATTTTTATTCTTATTCTCACACATGCAAGACAAATTATCGAGACATTCAAGATCTGATGATTTGCTAACCGAATTAAATAATTTGCAAAAAGACATGATCACAATGATGTTATCGATGCTGGAAGGAAACGTTGTAAATGGCACCATTGGCAAACAAATGGTTGACACATTAGTCGAGTCGGCAGCAAATGTTGAATTGATTTTAAAATACTTTGATATGTTTTTGAAATTGAAAGATTTAACATCATCAGCCAGTTTCACTGAAATCGATCCAAACCACGACGGTTGGGTGGAGCCAAAAGATTTTAAAGAGAAAATGGAGCAAACCAAAAATTATACAATGTAAGTTCGATGATAGTTTAAATGATTTCCATTTCGATAATAAATCTGTTTGTACTTTTTTCAACGAAACAGCGAAGAAATCGATTTTCTTTTCGCATGTATGGAGGTCAATCACGATGGAAAGGTTGATTATGAAGCATTTACCGATCGTTTCCATGAACCAGCCACCGAAATCGGCTTCAATTTGGCGGTTTTGCTAACAAATCTCTCCGAACATATGCCAAATGAACCGAGATTGTCACGTTTCCTGGAGACCGCCGGTTCGGTATTGAATTACTTTGAACGCTTTTTGGGACGCATTGAAATTATGGGCAGTTCAAAGCGAATTGAACGTGTCTATTTTGAAATTAAAGAATCAAACATTGAACAATGGGAAAAGCCACAAATTAAAGAATCAAAACGTGCATTTTTCCATTCGATTGTAACGGAAGGTGGCGACAAAGAAAAACTCGAAGCATTCGTTAATTTTTGCGAAGATGCTATATTTGAAATGACACACGCTTCAAATCTCATGGCAACCGATGACACTAGTGATAACACGAAAAAAGAAGCAAAATACAGTACGTACATTAGTGAAGAGGATGAAGAAAGGTATGATTTTTTTTGTTGAAGAAAACATGGTTGAAAAAATGAAAATCAATGGTTTTATTTGCGTTCGTGTTTTCACAGAGCGGCCAGAGATCCACTTCGGCGAAGTGTGCAAGGAGCAAAGAATGCATTTGCGTACACCGTACATCTATTCAGTCCATCGAATATCAAACATCAATTGGGCGTGATTCAAACAATGTCAATACCCGAATTGATTGTTGGTTTCTTCAAGGTCATTTTCTATGCATTCTATTATTCGGGCTATGGTGTAACTTCGATTGTCAAATATTTGCTAATCAATGTGCTAATGTCGTTAATGCGAGGACCAGCCGAAGAAGTTGTTGAAGAGGCACCAGTTGAAGAGGAACGATTCACAATGAAAGCATTACCACCACTACCAACCGAAGACACATCAAAAACAATGCAGGCATTCGGTCTGGATATTAGCAAAGAGGAAAATGGACAATTTAAAATGGCACCGCACGAATCAACGCAACCGAGTCCAACAGCTTCGGAAGACACTGGTGAAAGTACGCCCGAAGATGGTGTAGCCGAAGGTGCCGAACCAACTGGCGAAGTTGAACAGCCAATGACTTTGGTAAGTCACCAAATAATATTTTTCCAACAAATTTTCACGATTATTGATTTTGGCATTTTGTCAGGTCGATTTATTGGGTGGTGAAGCTGCCAAACGTGCCGATATCGAACGATCAGAAGCGCAAAAAGTTCAAGAAGCAGCAATGGCAACAATCGAAGCTGAATCAAAGAAAACATCACAACAAACCACCGAAACGCCGGCAGTCAATCAAATCGATTTCTCAAAATATGCACATCGTGTGGTTAGCTTTTTGGCGCGAAATTTTTACAATCTCAAATACATTGCATTGGTTTTGGCATTCGGTATCAATTTTATGCTGCTATTCTATAAAGTTACAACATTTGGCGAAGATGCAGACGACGACGAAGATGACTTACTTGGTTTTGGATCTGGTTCGGGTATGTTAGATGGATCCGGTGGTTCGGGCAGTGGAGATGGTGATGCTGAAGATGAGGATCCACTCGAAGCGGTACATGTTGATGAAGACTTTTTCTATATGGAACACGTTTTACGTGTGGCTGCACTTTTGCACAGTTTATGTTCACTTGCAATGTTAATCGCTTACTATCATCTAAAAGTGCCATTGGCGATATTCAAACGTGAAAAAGACGTTGCCCGACGATTGGAATTCGATGGATTATATATTGCCGAACAGCCAGAAGATGATGCAATTGCAGCGCATTGGGATAAATTAGTAATTTCATCAAAAAGTTTTCCGGTCAATTATTGGGATAAATTCGTGAAGAAAAAAGTGCGACAAAAATACAGTGAAACATATGATTTTGATTCGATATCGAATTTATTGGGCATGGAAAAAAGTACGTTTGCTGCACAGGAAACAGAAGAAGGCGGTCTTATTCATTATATACTGACCATCGATTGGCGATATCAAGTGTGGAAAGCTGGTGTTACCATAACGGACAGTGCTTTTATTTATGCACTTTGGTATTTCACGTTTTCGGTGTTCGGTAATTTTAATAATTTCTTCTTTGCCGCACATTTGCTCGATGTTGCTGTTGGTTTTAAGACGCTTCGCACCATTTTGCAATCGGTAACACACAACGGAAAACAATTGGTGTTGACGGTGATGCTTTTAACAATTATCGTTTACATTTATACGGTGATTGCGTTCAATTTCTTCCGCAAATTTTATATACAAGAAGAAGATGAAGAGATTGATAAAAAGTGCCATGACATGTTAACGTGTTTCGTGTTCCATTTGTATAAGGGTGTACGAGCCGGTGGTGGTATCGGTGATGAAATCGGCGATCCGGTCGGTGACGATTATGAAGTGTATCGTATCATTTTCGATATAACATTTTTCTTCTTTGTCATCGTTATTCTGTTGGCCATCATTCAAGGTTTGATCATTGATGCATTCGGTGAGCTTCGTGATCAACTTGAATCGGTGAAAGAAGACATGGAATCGAATTGTTTCATTTGTACGATGGAAAAGAGTTTCTTTGATGCGGTGCCGCATGGTTTTGATACGCACGTTCAGCAAGAGCACAATTTAGCCAATTACATGTTCTTCCTGATGCATTTAATCAATAAACCAGACACCGAATACACCGGCCAGGAAACGTACGTTTGGAATATGTATCAACAACGTTCGTGGGACTTTTTCCCGGTCGGTGACTGTTTCCGGAAGCAGAACGAAGACAAAAAAGCTGGCGGCGACGAATGAGGAAATCATTTGTCTTTTGTTTGTATTTGGGTTTTTTTTTAATTTCGAAACACCATTTTACGTATTATTGTTCATTTTTCGTGTTTTCTTCATTGTCTTCTCGCTCTCACTTATGTTTTGCACATTGCTCCAATGACGACACACACACACAAACCAGCGAAATAAAACGACGACGGTTCACACAAGAAATAGGAAACAATTATTGCAAATTATCATCTTTTTTATATGTATTTTTCGTATTTTAAGCAATCATTTTATTTTTAAATTATCTGCTTAAATCTCTTTAGATACAGTTATGTTATCAATATTCTTTTTTCTCACTTTCTCTCTCACACACACATACAAATAAAATTGAACGAAAACAAACAACCACTTTGGACCAAAAATTAGATTTTTTTTTCTTCGATAAAAAAAATGTTAATTAGTTAGGTTTAAGTGCAATTCAGACAATCGATTTACTAGCCATATTTCACTGTTAGGCATATATGAACATATCACAATTCTAGCAGTATCATACTATTTCGGAATGTTTATCTGCTTTGGATGAAATGAACAAAAAGGATCATATTGCCATAAAATTAGAACTGAAATTGATTCCATTTTGGAAACAGTTGAGATCACCAAAGAATTTAAAATAAGACAAGCACAAACCATTAAACAACCATCCAAACAAATTAGTCTGATTGAATGAATGACGAAATGCTATTTTTTAATACAATACTTAAATGTTTTGATTCAATACGTATTTTCATACAAGAATTGTACTTTCTGTTTTTTTTCTCTCTCTTATCGATACTAAAGATATATTTAATAAAATGAGAAAAAAATAATACAAATTTCGTGATTGCGTTTTAATTTTAATTTAATAATGTTAACCAATAAAATATACAATAGCCATCCGAATACAATATTTAACCATAAATCGATCTTTTGGCAAGCCCATTCTTGAATTCTAAATCTAACAGGGCTTCGTAATGTTACAATGGAAATTGCGTTTCTAAAAACGTATACTCACAAGAGCGATGCTATGCATAATTTTTCACAGAAGATGTGTAGATGCGTTACATTTTAGATGCCAAGTATATTTTTGACAGATTCAATTGAAAAAAACCAAAAAAATTCTAGTAAAAAAAACTTTTTTCTTTGTTGCAAGCGTAATAATTTCAAATAATAGTTCCGTTCTTCTCAAAGCGGGAAAATTATTACAATATTCGAAAATATGAAACTTTAGTAGAATTTGACAATTGTACTTTCGCATATAGATGGCGTATCGCTTTTTTTTATTCACAAAGTTCATCTTTTGTTGATACATTTTGAAAAAATTCGAATGTCATCACTTCATTATAAATTAAAGAAATGTCGCAACTAAACTCTCGATATTTTTCAAAACTTCAAAATTGGAAGTAGAACAGTGGTTTATTTTTGGGCATATCATCATTGAGCAGTTCTACTGAACTCATCTACTATTCCATGCTTCGTCTCTTCGTTTGGTAATGCATCCGAAAATGTACAAAACCCAATTCAACGCACGCCGATCAAAAGAAAAAAATTATCACTCTGCTGTTCGATTTTAATTAACCTTTTCCTTCTTCCACTTTCTGTCAGTTGAAATCGATTTAAATTAAATGTGTTAGACTGATGTTGATCAGTATCATTTGGATTAAATGGGACGAGAATTTAGTTATTAAAATCACCACATCAGATTTCCATTTCTACAATACATCATTTGTTCGGGAATTAAAACTAAAAAAAAACTGACATATCCTTAACACTCCATTCGGTGTTCCGTTTATCTGACATTGAATGATTGTCATTTTCATAATTTGAATTCATTTTTCACACAAAATAATTTAACGTATTTTTTTCGCAATTTAATGTAGTTTCATCTTTTATCAAAAATCAAATGATTCATGTTATAAACATGATGTTTATTACATTTTAATTTTTCAATTTGAGAAAGGCGTTTTTAATATTTTTTAAATAAAAAAATGCGTTTGAATGTAATGCTTTTTCTCATTACGCCAGTAGATTATTAAAAAAAAAACTAAAACTTTAATAGTGTAGTCCATGAATCAAATTTCAAATGATGTCTATACAATTGTTTTGGAGAATAGCATTTCAAAATGCAAATAAACAAATTAACTTTGTGATGTTGTTGAAATTTTTATTGCGATTATTATTCGAACATGTGGTGACCCATATTTGAAACAGAGCGTTTTTTCCAAACCATCAACCTATTTTAACTGGCATGCTCGCACTACCCGCACATTATTTGCCCCTGCGTGTGTTTCTAGTATCCATGTCAGCATGTGCTTGCGCTTGTGATGCCACATTGCCTGAAATAGAAAGAAATGTGATAAATTAGCAAACCATCGCATAAATGCTGTCAGTCACATTGTCAATGAATTATTGAATTTGTTGGGAACCCTGAGGATAGAATTCAGACAGAAAATCGTGTGAACACCGAAGGTATGGTTCTCATAAATTTGATACCTTTTAAGATTACTATACCTTTTAATTTGAATTCATGCCCCGCAATTTATGCACGATGGCATGCCAAAGAAAAAGGATAAGATTCTCAACATGGAATCTTGTTTTTTTTTATAAATCTGAATTGACTCTATAATCTAATCAATTATACCTGAGTTGGTTCCATTGGGTTCCATTTCGCGGGTGACTTCAAACCACGATTTATCGATTCATATCGCTCATTCTACCATTGCATCGTTTCGCATTATTCCAGCCTGTAAAAAACATATTTCATTAAAAATTATGCAAACTAAGAAGACAGGAACAAAAACAATTTTTTAAACATATTTAGTTGTTGAAAACCCTGAGGATAGAATTCAGACAGAAAATCGTGTGAACACCGAAGGTATGGTTTCCATATATTTGATACCTTTAAAAGATTGCTATACCTTTCGTTATAATTATTCATGCCCCGCAATTTATGCACGATGGCATGCCAAAGTGAAAGGATATACACACACACCCGCCATCAACACCAACCATGTGCATTTTTTTATCAACATTGTATAAGAGCCCAAAGGGGTTAACATGTTTTAAACGTGAATTTCAATTTATGATTTCCAAACGCGGTTTAATTCAAAAGAACATTGAAAACATTTTTTTTTTTCAGAATGACACGTGAACGAAAAAGAAGGCCAAAATAACTCTTTCGAGGTTATGTTTTGCCAAAGTTGATAGAATTCTTGTTTCATGTGTTTCTTCCTCAAAAAAAAAAATATATACGTTTAATAATTACTGTATGAAAATATACTTACTTGAATGTGTAGCTGTTAATGAGCACAGAAAATTCAAGGAAAATGCCTGATTTTAAAATTGGAATGTGAAAATCCAATGAAAATGCCCACGCACCGAAATTTCATGTTGTATCGCTGCTGTAGTCGAATTGTGAAAGAAATGAACGACGAACCAAATTGTAAGTGTCTATCTTGCTGCACGCGGACAACCATTTAAATACATATATGTCAATATGGATTGAACGTCTTCGATGTGAATTACACTTTAACCATACTTTAGAACAAAATATTTACTTTAGAACGTTCGTTGTTGGAACCGTTTCGTTTGGATAAAAGCAATGAAAATTAAGAAAAAAAATATTGTCAATATTTTCTATTTATCAAAAATACATACTAATTCTCCATCAAAAATGTTCAACATCAAATGGCTGTGAATATTCTAAAACATTTAAATATTTTTCTCTGCAGCAAAGAACGATTGAATTAAGTACGATTCAAAAATGATTTAAATACGATATGTGTTAATCTGTGATGTTTGACTCATGCATACAACTGTTGAAAGTGACTTTTCATTCTGTCAGATTTGCTTTTACTTGTCTGTTTCTCTTTCGTTCTCCATATTTGAATAATAAAGTGCCGGTGTGTACTTAATATCACTCTCTCACATAAACATTTGTCGTATGTGTAATATAGTTCACACTATTCGATCGGTTTCTTTGTAATCGATTTCAATGTGTATGTATCTCACGCGCGCTCTAACACTCAACACGGGCGAACTTTTGTTGTGAAGGAATTCCAACAAAAACAAACAAATAAAAATTAAGAAATGAACAAAAAAAAAATATACATATATACGCACACAGATGCACGATACAATGAATAAAGACGAAACAGCGGCGTGCGACAGAGCTACTTCGCAAGCAAACAAATCTTGTGATGACTAGTTGTGTTGTGTTGTTAAGACACGAATAGTCGTTTTTGTGACGAATGCGTGCGCTTGGCTACGGGATTTAATTTTTTTTTGTTCACACGCATCTCTTATTATTTCTCTTCTTTGTTATCGTTAATTTTCGGTATATTGACCATATATTTTATTCTCTCTAACCACTTCATCGTATGACTCATAATCGAGGCTCATTTCAATTTTTGAGTCTTAAACACATTTCGGGTCATTTGAATTTAATATCATAAACAAATACAAAACAAAAAAAAGGTTTCTACTGCGCGTTGAATTCGTGACATTTAAGTATTTAAGTGAGATGAAGAATAAGAAGAAAAAACGGAGAAAATTCTTTTGCAAATTAAAAACAATGGCAACAGCGAATGATTAAACGAATCACCCGATGTGGTGCAAATCAAATCGGTGCATATCGGACTGTATTGTTGAGATCAAGCAAAATTCAATCAATAGCGCGAGAACAGAAATCCGATTACGCATGAACGACAGTGTGTTTACCTCTTTTTTTTAGCACGGCTCAAATGATGAATAATTTGAAAGATGAAATTTGTCAATAAAATAATTTGAAAGATGAAGATGAGAGCAAAGAAAAAAACAACAAATTAATATAGATTTAATGAAGGAATCGATAACGTTGTTTCATTTCAAAGACATTGTGAATGCAAATTTCGAGTTTTTTTTCTACATTTTACATTTGTCAATTGTTGTAGCTGTGGAATCGTCCTATCCTTCGTACAAAGTTATTTGAAGACAAAAGTTCTCAGATTCAGTTCTCACTTTACGTCTGTTCTTCGCCTGTTTCCCTCTCTATTTCGGTTGCTTCTCTTAATTTTCAGTGATCATCGTTTAGTGAATCAGTTGGGTGATACGCCAGCATCTATGTGGAATTTTAATTGTTCTTAATGGTGCTACAGCGCAACTACTGTAACTTGGAATATTCTCATGTACGATACGCTCAAAATGAGAAATAATCTCCATGAAATATTAAATTTCAACACAGCCAATCGAACAAAAACACGTTTCTCGAACAATTCTTAATATACTTGGTGTCCATCTGATCGCCAGTTATCGTTTTGTTTATTTGTTGCTGTTATTATTCAATTTTGCTTAAGCAATAACTAAAAATAGAAGTATCAAACGTTTCAATTTTATTTATATTTGTTGTTTTCTTGTTTCAGTTCTACAGTTGATACAGAAAAAAAAGAGTCATCAATCACTTGGTGTGTGTAGCTGAGTGTGTATATTTGTAGAGAAATTATTAGATTCATTTTTTTTATGAATTTGGTTTGTGCCGGGTTTAACACGCGTATTAAGTGCTAAGCAGTTGCATACTGCTAACCAAAACACGTAATTGAAACGAGAGTAAAATAGTCGATTTGAAGGTTTTAAAATTATCAACATTTGTAAGGCACCCACACACACACGTAAAAATGCCAGTTTTTCATACAAAAACAATCGAAAGCATTTTGGAACCTGTTGCCTCACAGGTAAGTTCTTTGTCATACTCTCTTATTTTTATACTTCTTCTTTCATTTAATTTAGTTCTTTGTTTTGTGAAAAAGTTCATTCAAGCAAACATGTATACGTATTCATTTCATGTACTTTGATCCCATTACCGAGTCAAACGTATGCAAGTCCAACAAGAATTGGATTAATGTTGTTGTTGTCTCTTTTGTTTAGCATTGATTTCTACTTTTGTTCATGGCTTAAGAGATGTTCAATAATTGCAGATTAGCTTTGATTCGTTGAAATGTGTCGCTATTCCGTTTCACTTTTTCTAAGAATGATTCGACTATTTTTAACATGTATACATAAACATACGCACTAATGTACAACAAATAAGTACAAATGTGGGCACTAATATGGCATGAAAAGTCATCCAACATCATCAGAAAAAGCCATCGTTTGTGCGATAGATGTGACGTGGTGCAATAAATTAACGGTGAAAAATACGACAAAGAATTAATAAACGACGTAGTCTGGTCAAAATCGCCATCCTTGAAGAAAACCATTTTTCTTTCATTTCGGAAAGAACACTTTTTTTTAGTGTGAAACACACAATATACAAACAAATAAACAACTTTTACAACGTCTTCTCAAAACTATCGAAATAACTATTTTTAAATTACACGGACATTCGCAAAAAAAAATTTGGTTAGTTCGACGGTGTTTGTCGTATTTTCATATTCTACAACATTTGTCATTGCCGGCGCACAAATCAAGCAACACTTGACGTGTGTTGCTCAGAGTGTGTATCAATGACAAAGTGCGCCACATTTTTGCTCATCATGATAGATACATTTCAATCATACATCTCTTTGGGATCGCAGGCGATCACTTCATTTCTAACGTCGCCTTTTACAATGTGAACATCAATGAACTTTCTATTTTTATCAACAACCAACACAATACCATCAATCGATCTAATCATATTTTTTGCCATCAACAAAATTTATGGCCTCATGACCCTTTTGGCTTTGATGACGGCTTTAAAATTATATTCGTTCAAAGTGGAAATTCATTTCATTTATATCGATCGAAACTCATTTCCTTCGTATGCTTTTAGGGTATTTCCTTTCGTCTTCATAAATCGAATATTTTTATGCCACGCCATACTGATGCAATGAATCACCGGCAAACCCATTCATTTCACATTTATTCTCCAGCTAGTTTGTTTTTATGATATATTTATTAACCATTTTGAATCACGCCTTTCCCGGTGGCAAAATGATTAAATATGTCCGATAATAACTGTTCTTATCAAATATATATACTTTCATCGTCGTCATCATTTTTTTCTTTCGTATTTCTATTCGCTATTCGATATCAGATTTACTGAACAAAATAAATAAATAAATAAAGCGACGCTCACGCACATAAAGAAGAAAATTAAATGTTTTTTTTTCTTCAAAACGCCCGCCGGCGCCAAAAATATATTTTCCACTTTGTTAAGCGTGCCCTCACCTATGATTTGAAGGAAATATGAAATCGCTTCATTTCTATTCAATTGTGGTTTGTTTTCACCACAACTGTTCTAGTAAAATCACGAAAAAAACACAAACAAAAGTTTGTTTGTCTGTTTTGGGCCCCGTTTGAGCGGTTTTCTTTCAATAAAAAAAAAATATATGTCTCATTGTTTTTATTGGTTTCAATTAAGCGTCAATGAGTTTGACACTGTTCCAAATGGACTTGATATACAAATATACTATTTCAAGACAAGTATCGGCTGGTGGCGGTGCTGCTGCTGTTTCACAGTTGCCAATAAAATGTTCGAATAAGCGTGAATACCATCAAAAATCACTGATGCATTTTGATTACTCAAATATGAGTGACCATGTCACAACAAATGTATATCATAATTTGATGAAAATGAATGCGAATAGAAGCACAAATTCATCGATCGAATTTCAAGTCCAATAAGTAAATTGCTTGTTTCTATACATAAATATTTGTTCTATTTGGAAACCGTTCAAAATGATGTGATGAAATAATGAATAAAATTTGGTTCGATTATGCAGCCAGTTGTTGATGGTTTTGTGAAATTGCAAAATGTTTCGGGCAAAATGTGGGTAAAATCCATTCTTGAAGAACGATCAAAGACCTATGAAACCTATTTCTAGAAAACGACCGAAGAAAAATCGGTAAAAAATGATCGTTTTAAACTTGACCTATTTAAGTGACGCCCGTGACACCCGCTCACAAACATACTCTCAAATTTAATACGGCATTTTAAGAAGCAAAATTGAATCGCGTTAACGAAATCGTTTATTTATTTAATGGTTGTGTCGTCTTTTAATGAATCGCTCCACAATTCAATGTGAATGACATAAAAAAAAAATACCACGACAATTTAAAGGAATGCAAAGGGAGTGTCTAATGTAAGAAATTCAGATTTTTGACAATCACATAGCACATTAGCACCGAAACGAATTTCATGTAAAAAAACAATTCTGGAAGAAAACCACAATTGGCTACATTAAGACACCACAATGCCCAATATTCGAAACAAATCGGAATATCTCGGGGCCGGAATACAACACCACAGGAAGTTTTTGGTACTTACGAAATAGTGAAATAGTTTCGTGGCCAAAAGAGCTGAAAAATCATTTGTGAGCGAAAGAGTGAGAGAGAAAAATCACGTAAATAAAATAAGAAAAGTTTGGGCGTCGATGTATTTGCCATGCATAAATCTCAAATGCTGCTGCCGAACGAAACATAGTAAGCTATATAGTATGACTGTCTATGGGGGATATTTGTATTGGTTGGTATCGACTCGATTGAAATGAGTGAGTCGCCATGTGTAACTGTAACGGTGATTTGGATCAAACAAATCGTTATTCTTAGGCGATTACTCATTCACCGTCTCTACATTTGTGTATTTTTTTTTTCTTTTTTTTTTTGCTTCTCCTTCTTTTTTTTGTGTGTGCAAAATGGGTGGACTATACGGTCTTATTGTAGTATTATTTCTTGTCCTTTGCGTCGAATTAGATTGCGTTTATGCTTTCATGTGGGCTTCTGAGAAACGAAATTTTCATATTGAAAAAACGATGTGTGTAACACAAAACGTATAGAATTTGTGTGAATTTTTGTTTTCTTCTGAAATTTTATTTGAAAAGAATCACAGCAAAAACAGCACACACTTTTACTTCTCATTTTACACATTTTTGTCGTTGTTTTGAGTATACTTTATGCTGTTCCCGTTTTCTCTTCAACAGAAGAGAAAAAAAAAAATAAAAAAAAATGTTTCATTTCTCGTTAATGAAATCATTTATGATTGCGATATGAACACACAAAAAATAACTTGTTTACATGACCGTGAGTTGAAAAAACCAAAACACCAATATACTACGTCTGTACTCGACGCAATATTAATGAAAATTTCGACAACGAAAAGCAAAATGAAAAACGATCAAGAATAAATAACTCAAAGTGAGTGTTTTCCGATCCATTTTAATATTTCACATATACCACAGTTCACAATTTATAGCTAATAAAATTGGCTTTTATGTCATAGTGTCAATCATTTTCCAAGCAAAATGCGTTAAAAAATGTAATGTTTACAGTATTTTGACGGAGAATTGTTAGATTAATATCAAATATGCAAAGCATATGGGCGAAATTCCAATAGATTTTTCAAATGAAAAGAAAAAAATATCAATTTTCGGCAGACAAATTAAAGTCATTTGAATACATTGTAAAACGATTTAGAATATTTCATTTAGAAAAATCGATCAGTTTTTTGCATTTGATGCGTCTGATTTCATTTGGGCGTCAGTGCACTTTTGTCACTTTCGATGGATTTTGTGCATATAGAGAAATTTCGCTTCACTCATTCACGTGTTTTATAAATAGAAAATGCTCTCAATCGAGATAGAAATAGAGATTACTTCTTTCTATTTTATTCGATCTATTACCGTTTCATACAGATACTCTATGGAACAGTACATCGAACTAAGCAGATGTTTATAATTGAATTCGTTTTTCACTCTTTCGGCTGGTTTTGTTGTTTTCGCTGTTTTTTCTTCTTTTTGGTCAAGAGACGTTTACATTTTTGTATGCAGTTTTTATGAATGGAAATCGAAAACATACACACATTTATATGTTGGAATGTTCTAACGGTGTGACATTTATTTTAATTGTGAATGAGACAAAAAAAGAGCATACCAAATATAAATAGTCGATTTTTCAGCGATTGCTGGAAATAAAATGACACATCCAATTAGAGAGAAAATTTAAAGCGTGAAAAAAATGCGGCGACTTGTTAAAAAGAAGAAAAATTGGTTTGCCAGTGAAAATAAATCTATCATCATTTGTATTTTATATGAAACCGGAAGATAGACATTTATTTTATACGAATGTTTGTAATTATTTTCATTTCAATCAGTGGAATTGCATATCGCAAACAAGACGAAAAAAAAAATTGAAAACAAAAACAAGGAAAATGAAAACAAAAATTGCATACACGGAATACGACAACGACATCGACCAAAGGCAAAACAAAAGACCATTGAAAATGAAAAGAGCAAAAGTCCAATTGAAAATTGCAAACGAAAATAGTCTTGGCGCATATTCCGCAGTCAAAGATGAATTACACATAGGCCCAATTGTACATAAGTATATTTAATTCCACCGTCAGTTCACAGACACTGACAACCATTTATATGCCATGAAAACTAGTTTGGGTTTCGTTCTCATTGTGCTGTATCATGAATATTTTTCGCTAGCGCCTGCACAGTGCACACATAACAAAGCCGACCAAACATAATTAAGGTCTTTAAATGCATTACATAATTGCCAACAAGACTGTACAAGACAAGAAAACAAAAACATCATTGAAGCACAGTCAAACCGAAGTGTAATAAGCAGTTTTTTTTAATTCTCTCTCGTCGGTGATTTTTTTCGCACACACACAAGTAGTACGCAAAATAACCGAGAGATAAAGAAGAAAAAAGAACTGACATAGCGTTTATATTATAAAATAGACAATATTATAAGAAAAAGAGCAACAGATTATCGTGCACTAAATCATGTACAAATAAAGATAAATAGTAACGCGGTAAAGATTAAAACAAAACTATGAAAGTTAAAATAATTGTATCTCAGCTCTTTCTCCATGTGTTCGCATTAGTTCCATTATATATATATTGTCAGACATTGACATATTAGAGCTAAAACGAACATTCAAGGAAGGTCATTCGACCGCGAAATATATTCCTATATATATGTACGTATCAATTTGCAATTTCTCGACGATTTTTTTTCATGTATATTCAAGTTTTCCATTTTCATACCGACATAATGTAATTATGGGAAATTCGATTGCGCTCATATTACCAATTTCTATGCAATATTAGATTTTGTTTGAGTGTTTGTCATAGACGCCAATACGGCAGCAAGCAACAGCAAAAACATTACACACAATTCAATTGAGTGAAGATTGTGAGACAAGAGCGAACGCGATTTCATTAGACACCCAAATATGGTAATGATTCTGATTTTGTGTAACGCTTGTGTCGTCGTGTAAACTCTTCAATAGCGCTCATCGAACATGCACACATACACCCATATTCATTCATCTTAATTCACTATAACGAAGTTTAAAGTGTCGTTTGCTGCTTGTGGTTTCTGTTTCTATTACGAATTTGTGCTGGTAATTCTCTGATTGGTTTTAATTTGAATCCAATAAATTTGAAACGAAGCAAAAAAAAAAAAAAAAAACAACAACAACATGAGCATATCGACGCACAGATATTTGTAAAATGTCAATATAATTGGTGCCCATATGAGGCAAATACGTTAGCGAATATAGACGTCATCACATTCACTGTATGCTATGTCGGAAATTTGTCATTTTTGGTCATTGCCTTGCTGAAAATGTTGCATGCCTCATTTTTGTGCAAAAATAATAATAATACTGTATTCGGTAGTGTCACATCTTCATTTTCATGAATTTTTGCCGCATTTCATTCATTTCGCGATGACGCCTCAAATACCTACATATTGACTTGTACATAACATTTCGCCCATGCTTTTTTTTTCTTCTTCGTTCAATTCATTCATCTTTGCCACAATTCTTTAATGCATTTGATTTTCTCTAGGTTTCCCGTTTGGTGATTTTGCACGAAGAAGCCGAAGATGGAAATGCAATGCCAGATCTTAGCCGACCCGTTCAAGCGGTATCGTCGGCTGTTGCAAATTTAATTAAAGTCGGCCGTGAAACAATCACCGGTTCCGATGATGAAATCTTAAAACGTGAAATGCCTGCATCATTGACCCGAGTCGAAACTGCATCGCATTTATTGGAAGATGCGGCTGCAATGTTACGCCCCGATCCGTACTCAGGACCAGCCCGAAAAAAGTTGATCGAAGGTTCACGTGGTATTTTGCAAGGTACATCATCATTGTTACTGTGCTTCGACGAATCGGAAGTACGAAAAATAATCCGTGAATGTAAACGTGTATTGGATTACTTGGCCGTATCCGAAGTCATTGACACCATGGAAGATTTGGTGCAATTCTTAAAAGATCTCAGTCCATGTTTGAGCAAAGTATCGCGTGAAGTGAGCGCTCGTGAAAAAGAACTAACACATCAAGTGCACAGCGAAATTTTGGTACGCTGTTTGGAGCAAGTGAAAATTTTGGCGCCAATTTTAATTTGCAGCATGAAAGTCTACATTCACATTGTTGAACAAGGTGGAAAAGGTGCCGAAGAAGCATCGGAGAATCGTAATTATTTGGCATCACGCATGAGCGAAGAAATTCAAGAGATTATTCGTGTACTACAATTGACCACATATGATGAAGACACCAGCGAATTGGACAATTTGACCGTGTTGAAGAAGATCCAAAACAGCATCATCAATAAAATGGGACCGGCTCTCGATTGGTTGGCCGTAAGTTGTTTAGCTTGACTCACCTTTTTATACAGACAGCAAATTAAAAACATGAATCAACTAATTAATGTGTCTAGTATATTGGTGATGGCATCACTGGAAAAAAAATTGTAGTTTGTTGTTTTTGTTTGTTCTTGTCTGTGTTTTTCCTGGAAATATTTTATTTTCTTGATGTGTACAAATTTACTTACGAATTTTATCTTTATTCAAACAGAATCCATACGCCCTACGTGGTGGAGTTGGTGAAAAGGCTTTGCGTCAAATTCTCGATAATGCGTATCGCGTTGCCGATCGTTGTTTGCCACAAGATGCTGCTGTTATTCGTAAATTGGCTGATGATATCTCAAGAGCCACGAATGAATTGTGCGATTTGCGTCAAGCCGGCAAAGGCAATACCCCACAAGCTGAACAATTGGCTCGTGAAATTCGTGATAAACTTGGTAATCTCGAACGTGCCGTCACAAAAGCAGTTATTGGCGTTGATAAGGCCGGGCATCAAGCTGCACATACCGTGAGTTATCTCAATTTTTATTATACTAGATCATTGTTGTAATTTTCCCATGTGAAATTATTCGATGTTTCATATCTCTATTGTTTGATTAACAACATTATCTCAACTCAATTACTAATATGAAATATATCATACGCCCAACAAAAAACTAGGTACAAGGTCGTCTTGAACAAGCTTGTCGTTGGCTACAAAATCCAAATATTGACGACAAAGGTGTCGGAAAACGTGCAATCGATTTAATCATTGACGAAGGCAAGAAGGTGGCAGAAGGTTTGCCCGGCCATCAAAAAGTCGAAATTTTACAATTGTGTGACGAAGTTGATCAATTGGCAAATCAATTTGCAAAATTGTGCGCTCAAGGTTTGGGAAATACACCAGAAGCACAAGAAATCGCCCGTAAATTGAACGCAAAATTGCATGAGCTCAAAGGTAAAATTCAACAAGCGTTGGTGAATCGTGTGGTCGAAGATTTCATGGATGTATCAACGCCATTGAAACAATTCTCCGATGCTGTCAATGTGCCAGAAGGTACACCGGGCCGTGAGCAAAATTTCAATCAAAAAGCCAACAATTTGCAAGCATTCAGCGATCGTGCATCGAAAACAAGTCGTATGGTCGCCGCTGGTGGTTCGGGTGGTAATAAGAGAATCGCCGAAGAGCTATTAGGTTCGGCCGCTCAAATCGATAGTCTCACACCACAACTGGTATCGGCCGGCCGCATCAAAATGAATTATCCAGCAAGCAAAGCGGCCGACGAACATTTGAACAATTTAAAACAACAATATGCCGACACCATTTTACGCATGCGTACATTGTGCGATCAAGCAACCGATCCAGCCGAATTCATCAAAGCATCCGAAGAACAAATGCAAAAATATACGTTCTTATGTGAAGAGGCAATTCGCAATAAACAACCACAAAAAATGGTCGACAATACATCGAACATTGCACGCTTGGTTAACCGTGTTCTGTTGGTCGCCAAACAAGAGGCCGACAACTCCGAAGATCCAGAATTCATTGCTAAAGTAAATGCAGCTACCAATAGATTAGAGCAAAGTTTACCGTTGATGGTGCAAAATGCTAAAGCCGTTGCAGCCAATATTAACGATCCAGTTGCCGCATCACATTGGCGCGAAGCAAACAAAAACCTTTTGAATGCCGTACGTGGAGTTCGTGGTGCCATTGTTACACCGCCAGAAGTGCCAATCTTGCCTGATTTAGCCGCTCTTAACTTAAGACATCAAGGTAATCACACTTTCTTCTCTCTCGCCTTTCTTAAAAGCTAAATTTTTCTTCTTGTTTCTTTTTTTTTTTAATTGCAGAACAAATTCCACCACGTCCACCACTTCCAAGTGAAAATCGTTATGTGAGTAATATTCCACCAGTGCGTCCACCATTACCAACCGAAACCGATGATGAAGCGGCCGTTTTCCGACGTGCACCATTGCCAAATCAACCAATTCTTCTTGCCGCCCACGGTTTGCATCAAGAGGTTCGTCAATGGGATTCTCAGGACAACGAATTGATTGCGGCTGCTAAACGTATGGCCATACTTATGGCACGTCTATCCGAATTGGTGCATTCAGATTCAAAGAGCAGCAAACGCGAATTGATTGCCACCGCCAAAATGATTGCCGAAGCATCTGAAGATGTAACACGTCTTGCCAAACAATTAGCTCGCGAATGTACTGACAAACGTATTCGCACGGTAATTTCAACCTTACACATTTCATTCGATTTGATTTTGAATTGCACTTACAATTTATTTCTTTTTTCTGACATCCTATATAGAACTTGCTTCAAGTTTGTGAACGAATTCCAACCATTGGTACACAATTGAAAATTTTGTCAACGGTCAAAGCGACTATGCTTGGTGCACAAGGTAACAAAGAAAAAAAACGCTTGAAATTGTGTGTAAAATAATTAATTTTTCCATAATTTTTGCCACGAATGGTTTAGGTTCGGACGAAGATCGTGAGGCCACCGAAATGTTGGTTGGAAATGCACAAAACTTGATGCAAAGTGTAAAAGAAACCGTACGTGCTGCAGAAGGTGCAAGTATCAAAATTCGTTCGGATCAAACAAATCAACGATTGCGTTGGGTTCGACGTCAACCATGGTATCAATATGCATAAGAAGTAGACAATTTGGCGCCAAGAAGTGCATTACTTTCAAACATCGAAACGCGATACCTAACATCATCATAAGAAAAATCAACAAAAACAACGAATGTAACCGAATTGAGAGAACAAGAAGGCCAGAGCCTAACATAACACAAAAAATAGAAATGCGTGCTTGTGGTTTTTATGATTAACAGAACAAAAAAAAAATAATTTATGCCAAAATGACTCAAGTGCCTAATTTATATTTACTATACACACATTTAAAATTAATGATAGTAGATTATTTTAACGATATATTTACAATGAACACGAAAAAAAAGAAGAAAGAAACACATATGCCGAATTTGGATGATCAATTGTATTTATTTATTCGTCGATCGCGAGCGACACAGAAAGGTCCCAATGAAAATGCAAAATCAATTAATTTTGTTCAGAAATTAACACCTAATATTTTATATGAAAAAAAAAAAAACACAAATCCAGAAAAGAATATATACAACAAATATTGTTCATTTTTCAAACAAAAATTCATTATCGGTGAGCTATTTTTAGAATAGAGATTGTGCAGCTATAGATTAACTGTATCATTTCATTTTGTATTATCAACTGCGAGCAAGAGCTTTTTTCCTCTATTTCTTATTTATAATCCAAGTGCAACTTATAAACGTCCATTTTCTTCATTTTAATTTTACAAAAACAAATATTTTGTTTGCAATTGCCGTTCTCGTTCTTTTTTCTTTAAATAATTTTCTTTTTGATTTATTGTAGGAATATATACATATGTCTTACAATTTTGCATTTAACAAATCTTCAAGTGGCAATAGTCATACAGAACAATGAATTTAAAAAAAAGAAATATATTTTTAGTGTTTAGCACAATACAAGGCGACTATTATTAACAAAAATGTTACATTTTAACAAAACCGTTGTGTGAAAACTGTTGAATGAATACAAAATCAGAGGAAACTAAATAATACAATTTATTTAAAACTAGAAGAAAACACTGTTTATATAACTTTTTTTTGTTAAACTTACTTACCATGGTAAAGTGAAAGAAGAAAAAGAAAAATCGCAAACTGAATCCGAGATGAAAGTATTGAATAAAAAAAATTAAAACAAATAAATGGTAGCTTTGAAAAGGATAAAAGAGATAACACCATACCGAATATATAAAAGTTATGTGCACAGTACAACTTGACATCGATGTCGAATGAAAGTCAAAGTAAACATTTAACCTCCAAAGATGTCTACTGATTGCTCGATGATGAGGTTTGTTTGCATATTCATTGTAATACGATTTTAACGAATTTATAAAGAGCATTGACCATTTTTTTATATTTTTATTTTTAACCGAATTTATTGGTATATACATACAAAATACTAACAGCAAGAGAAAAATCCGGCCATACCATGAAAATGGCCAATGAGAAGAGGAACATACAAATTCATATTAGTAACCAAGTTTGAAATGGTTTGTATAATAGTTTTAATGTTTGGAATGGGTTTTTTTCATGGTTTTTGTTTAATATTTCACGTACGCTTCATCAGTTAAAAAAAAGTCGGAAGTTCAAAAAAATGTGAAAACATATGAAAATAATTGGAAAATTCTGTACAATGAAATTTGTTCAAAAATTGTTCTGAAAAATGTCGAATCACATATTTTTTATGATTTCAACAGCGCCAAAATCATAGCTTATTTTTCTACAATTTGATAATTGTATCTTATCAATTGGGCGCAATCAACGACCGAAATGTTTGATAGAACTTGTTAATGGAATTGCGGTATATGAAACTTTTCAAATTATTGTTAACATGTTAGTGTAATGTGAGCATTTTTACGATTATAATGCTTGGTGTTATCATTTGTTTTAATAAATCGACTAAATTTAGCATTTCATTTAGCAAAAATTTAATGAGGCCTTTAATCTTTATATAATAACGAAACGTATTTTTGCTACTACAAACTACATACATCGTTTTTTCTGGCTGATGCCATTCAATACCATAACTGAATGGAAAGTGCACACAATACCCAAATTAATTATTCGTATAAAATTTGCTAAATTCTTATGGAGAAAATGTTTTAAAAAATATCTGCATATATGAGTATGGTATGGATGTGGCGGAATTATTTAAAATGGTAAACGTGTGTAATGAAAGCATAAAGAAGAGCCACATGTGTTATATGTGTTGTTTGCAGTGTTTTTGTAAATTAATTATTAAGGCAATAAATAGTGGAATACAATGTATTATTATTAATGTGTAATTATGTGTGTTATTAATTCATTCAACATTTTTTTACATACCCAAGAGAAAGAGAGGGGAGCGAGAATTATTTTTAAGTTTATGCTTTGTTTTGAAGTTTTGTGTTTACCGTTAAAATATTTAATAAATTTATCGTCAACAAATAGCGAGATTGGTTTAGTTAGTGTTGCGACAACGATGCTTTTTTCAATTAAAATTTCATTGGGTTGTATTTAATTAAAATGTCATTGTCATTATATGAAAAACACGATCATCTATTCTCAATTATCCAGCGAAATTATATTTTGTATACAGTCGAACCTCGATTTTTCGACACATAGATGCTTCTCAATTTTTCAAAATCAATTGCTTTCAAACATTTTATAATAGCTCAATGTAGTTTTTCCGAATATATTTGAGAAACACATTGGAATTGACTGTAAAAAAGCGATGAGAAAGAAATGTCACATGGGTTTTCTCTCTCCGAAATTGTTTTAAGGCATTTTCGTCGAAATTGTTTTATAATTCATTTTATTTCGCCAAAAACAAAAAGTGATGGAAGAAAACTGTGACACATTTCGTTAAGTACATGTACATTTATGACGGTATGCACTGTGTACTATATGTATGCGGTATTTGTTTTCAGTACGTAGAAAGTAGTTCAAAATCATTTACTGAGATCAATCTTAAGTAAGTTTCAACTAGTCATCCATCTGCAATGCTTGTGATAAGAAAACTTTTTTTTCAACTTAAAACTAAACATAGAAACTATTCGGGGAATGTTGGAATGTGTTACTGTATATGTAAGCATGTATTTGTGTTGCCACATGGAGTTTACAAATCAAAGAAACAAAACATAAAGTTCTCTTCCCGCTGTTTATAGACAACAACAACAAAAAAAAAGCTCAACTGCACAGTGTGTCAGAATATAACTGCATCATGCATATCAAATGGTGTATACAAATTAACTGAGTTTCTTTTTGTCTCTGGGCGAGCAACGCTCTTCAGCGTTGTATTGTAATGTCTATTTGTAGAAAGCAGTGGGTTACATTTAAAAATAAATAATTCCAAAGTTATGGAACATGTACACAGGCATCTTTTTATCGTTGGTGAACGCACACATTTTCTCTCATCTATTTTTTACTCTTTTCTTCCCTTTTTTTCTGCCGCGTATAATTGCCAAGTGGATTCCATAATAACAGATGATAAGTATAAATACGGTTTTAAGATTGCGTGTATTATGCTTGTAAATATTTACAGTACAGAAATGAAACTTTCTCAGCATGATTTTATTGTTGCATGCTGTTTTTCGAATTTAATGCATTTTTTGTCGGTTTTCCACTCTCTTTTATCTCTTTGGCTGTCTTGCGTTTCGGTGGTATTTTTATTTTTGTTGGTCTGCCTTTTGATTTTCAAGCGAATACTGAATGAACGTGCTTTTTTGTTTACCTTCAGACCGATAAAAACTCATGCTATTTATATTGACGATTTCTTCGAACGCAAAATGCTATCGACCATTTACCCTTAAATGATGGAAAAAAAGATATACTTGCAAAGCATAAAGTTTATTAAACTCAAATTGTACATTGCAAAAGAATTTTTTTTCGTGCTTGGCAATTCAAACATTTTTTTTAACAATCATATCAACTCCGAATTTTTCTTGTTTGGCTGAGAGTTTTAAAGAGAAAGCGTTAAGTGTTGTTGCACAATCGAGTGAAAATAGACTTTTTTCTTTACTTTTTGTTTAAAAAAAAAGAAAACTGATTTCTTTCAACGCTCTGTATTCAAAGTATTTAACTTTTCATCAAAAAGTGATAAAAATCCACTTCGGTATGGCTTGATTCACAGATTCTCAGTTCGTTGTTTCTACACAAAATGACAATAATTCAAATGAGAAGAAAAGAATAATTTGATTTATGGCATGTATTTACCTAGATCCGTAAAGTTTTTCTCTGAAAGCTTTATGCTCATCGTCAATGAAAAAAATGGTGCTTCACAATGCCGCAAAAGCGTAAAGTTGAGAAGGTCCAGAAAAAGAGAAAACCGATGCGTCTTCGACGAAAGAAAAATAAAACAAAAAGGTGAACAAAAGTGAGATTGTTGCCATCACACGAAAAATATTTGGCACTCACATAATCTATGCAAACACCTGTGTCTTTCCTCATTTTCACTCGAACATTATGTTACTTCCGTGCACGACAATTACACTGCATTTTGTTTGAAACTCTCATTCGCTTCTTGCTCTCTCGTCTATTATTCAAGATGCTCTTCGTTGATGATGATGATGATGCCATTTTACACAATGTCACTCCTAAGTCATCGCCAACAAAATGAAGGGAGCGAACGAACTGGGGACGCATTCAATTGACATCGAAGAAATTATAAAATAATGTTGTTTTCTGTACACGGTACACGGGGGAACACAACAAACTAATATTACACATCGTAATCGTAATATTGTGGCTGATTCATTATTTTTGCTGCAAGAGTGCGCCGCAAAGATGCACACATACAATGTGACGCACAGTGAGTACACCAATTTGAGGCCAAGCTTACACATAATTTTGCAACGTTAAAACAAGGATTGATACACTCAACAGTGCAAAATGCACACACACACACACCCCTTGCATACACAATACAAATTAGCTGATTCGCACATCCACACGCACACTCTCTATTTATGGCACAACAAAATCATAATAAATAAATTAAACAAATGTCTAATATGTTTTGTGAAGTGCTGCAAGCTAAACAGATGCAAAACAGAATGAAATTCAATTCATGCAATACATACAACCGTCATAATTGATGTTGAGAAAAGTTTTTATCTGTGCTAATTAACTGAAATTCGCCAGCTTTGCAATGATTCACTCGAATTAAATACAAATCTTCTTATAATAAAATTAGCCAATTAAGACTCCTTTTTTGTCGCTTTTGCTCGCTTTGCTTTTCTCTCTGAGCTTTTTTGTGCAGCCATTTTGTCAATTCTCTTTAAATTGTATTATCGTGCACTTTTTTATATTGTCTATTATGAATAGCACTCAATATACAATTCAATTTTTATCTACATTTATTAGGTTAAGTCGACTTGTGCGCAATTGTTAATGAGTAAATAAATATTATTTGAAATTTAAAAAAAAAATAAATCAGAAAAAAGAGATAAGACAATCATTGTCTTCCTGAATTGAATACAACTCCATACAAAAAAAATTATATAACGTTCTTCAGATTCCGTTTTTGTATTGCCATATTTATTCTTACGGACACGTATATATTTGGATATATTTGGAATTTGCATTTATCATCTGACCTAATTACAGTAGTGATTTTTGATAAAATGGACAAAACTAATTTATCACATATCTGTAATACATCTTTTGGGACAACTAACACAAAATTGATAATTATTTCAAGCATTTCAACAATACACGTGTCCCGATGATAACCGTTACTGTGACTGTATAATCAAACCAATTAAAATCAAAACCAAATTGAATCATATTCGAATTGATGTATTGTTGTGGTTAAACAACAAACTTTGTTATTCTATTTACCATTCAATCATAATACAACAACAGTAAAACCTTCCAGCAGTGGAATGTTGAAGGTGTGAAATTTATGTTCAATGAATAGTGCATATATTTTTCAGCCTATAGACTATATATAGACAGTGTAGAGTTCGTAAACCGATATCGAATTTTCAGCAATGTCTGTTTCATCTGTGTCGACTCCGGTGGTTGCTTTCAGAATGGCTCTGCATATTAATAAAAACATTTGGTGTCAAGAAGTATTTATTTGCAATTTATTTATAGATTTTTCAATCAATCAATGTCAATGAAACAAATTCCAAATCTTATTCGATCATTACGAATGATTCATATTTGATTAAAAATTCATAATTATAAAGAACAATAATAATACATTAGAAAGTGTGTGGTATTCAATTTCAATTTCGTAGTGTGAGTTGATTGAAAAATCCTTCGACTGGTTCCAGTGCGTTGGTGCCACCCTTCAATTTTATTGTGGTTGGTGTTTTCGGAGATACTTCAATTTTAAAGTCCGACAGAATGTGATAACAAATCGCTTTTAATTCGAGCAATGCCAATCGCGAAGCAATGCACGCTCTCGGACCATTTCCAAATGGCAAATAGGTATTTGGTTGAATGTTTCTTTTGTTTTCATCCGAAAATCGTTCTGGATCAAATCGTTCTGGATTTGGGAAATATTTTGCATCTAAATGAATACCGTAAACGGGGATCCAGATACGATCGTTTGGCTGTAACAACACTTTTGTCCCATCACCATCTTCTAGTAAATATTGTTTGGTGACACAACGATCCATTTGCACGCCAATCGGCCACTTTCGCAAAACCTCCGATATACACATATCCATGTATTGCATCTTTTGTAATGCTTCAAATGTCAGTGGTTTGCCATTGAGTTGGTCCTTTGTTTCCAAAATTTCCTCATAAAGACGCTGTTGAATTTCCAAATTCAACGACAATTCGTAGCACAAAAAGTTTAATGTTGTTGAAACGCCCGTAAATCCGGCTAAGAAAAATACAATACCTTGAGCGACTAGGTCATCATCAGTCCAATCTATTTGAAAAATGTTTTGAATTCAATTAGAAAAGTGGAAAAAAAAGGGATGAACTAATCAAAATCGTTACTTTTCAATTTTTCCGATGTTTTTGATTGGATAACCTCGGCAATGGTTGCAAATCCAGTATCTTGATCAACTTCATTTTCCTTAATTTGTTCATGTAATTTACCTTCTTTGGCCAATAACAATAAATGCAACATGTCATTGCGTACAATTTTCTTTTTCTGTCGTTCGTCAACGGCACTATGTATGACCGAGCGGAAAAATGTCGTGTGCTGATCGCTTAAAACCTGCAACCGAAGCCATGATGCAAGTGTTGGAAATGAAATCGTTACTAATGCTTTCAATCCCATCAAAGCATATGCCATTTCTTTTCCCATTTTGAAAAATTGATTATCTGGTTCACGTAATGAATTACATTGAATGCCAAATGCAACGGTTCCAATGATATCGTTTGCTAATCGCATCATCAAATCTTTCATATCAAATTCCAGGCTATTTGTCTTTGATTTTGATGAAATTTCGGTTCGAATAATCGAATTAAAGTCGATTACGCATTCGTTCATTAACGATAGCATATGCCTCATTTTACTGCCAGTGAATAATGGACTGAGTGTACTTCTCATTTCACGCCAAGGTTGATTTGACATTCCTTAAAAATAAGAAAATATATTGAGCTGATAATGAGTTTAAAATGAATACATGATTTTCCATACCGAACAGTGCACGACCCAAGAGCGGATCGAGCTCCTTATCCAATTGGAAAAAATGATTTACAAAATAATCGAAATCCTTAATTGTAATGTCACGAATTAAATTGGGGTCCATGACCATGTATGATGGCCTTCCACCCATTTCATACATTCCAACAAATTTTCGATGTTGCGAATGTTTTTGATAAATAGCTTGCGATGATAATGCCATTGGTAATTTTCCCAAAAATATTTGGTACATAGTACCAAGTATTGGTAAACCTCTTTCGAATTTCACATTGCGTTCCGTAAAATAGCTCCAATTCTTTATTATCAACACATAAGTAATGCGTACAATGAACAGAATTATCAGGAAATATGCCAAGAAACTGGTTACACCACTAAAACCGAACATTGTTTTCACTGTGCAAACGCGGTACCGTTTGAACACTACCTTTTCACGAGTGACACTAATATAAATTGAATTTCACACTTGATTCTTATATATACTTTTTGCACACTCATCCAATTATTCTTTAAATTCATATCAATTGATTTGCCACTTGAATGATAATGTCGCGCAAATAGAGGACCATGCAGTCTATGTCCGATGCTAGGGGGTAGACACGAATTATAAAACTTTGAATCATGTGAATCACAGTGAATCAAATGAATCATTCAAATGTCAAATAAGCATCACTTTTGGTTTTACTAACATGATCGTTCAACAAATTCTAAATATTATTTTTTCATCTATTTCGTGTTTTTCTAGTAAATTCCAAATAAAATCAACCATAATGAGATAATACATTTAAAAAAACGTCAAGAAATCATTTTTTCGAAGACAAATAATTTTAATTGTTCAATAAATATTTCTTGTATGACACATAAATGACATTTCAAATGTCATCTAAACAATGTGAATCTTTTGAATGACAGTGAATCAAATGAATCATGTCTACCCCCTAGGTCCGATGTGTATGTAACTGAGTTCTATTATTGGTAAATCGCGCAATAATATTGAAATTTTCAATGTTAATCAATATTTTTGCATCGTCACACCAAAGTGCTTTGTAATATTTTTATTGTTTTTGTTGGTTTGATAAGTTTATCTTTTATTTAGAATGATTTTGAATGATCGTTTTTGAACGCATTTTTCGGAAATGATTATTTGGCCAGTCATTACACATGTTATTTTTCGGCTTTTAATATATATTCAAAAATCGAAACAACCATATCAGTTTAAAAGAGATTTTTGTTTATTAAAAAAAAATACGCATGCTCAAGGGCAAATTCGGATGAGAATAACGAATAAGAATAAATATATTATACAATGAGTCGCATTAGGTTGATCTAGTCACAGTGTATCTCATTATTGTAATAAACACACTAACGTTGTACTGGTTTCAGTGTAATTCTACAATCATACTATTTACGTATAATATTGTCGGCAATTGTACGGACAGTTTTATCAGTGAAGAGGTGAAATTGATTGGCTTACAGTGCACATAATTGGAATAAATATAAGAACGGTGCTCTATCCGATTTTTCATATGAATTTATTACCCATGCATGCTTTGTTCCTCACCGTTCGTTTCACCCTTTCTATATATTCTAAAATCCGCCTATTTACTATAAGTAAATACGTAAAATTCGCTAATTTTGTGTGAATTCAACAAATTCCATTTAACTCCCCTTCTCACGTCCCATAGAAAAATTCCAATGAAATATTTATAGATTCCACGTTTTCGATCATGCCATCAAAATACTTGTAATATCCAAACGAAACCAGAAGTGAAAAATGAATGAATAAAAAAAACGGTGGACTTTTGAGTGTAAGAGCTACGTGAAAGATTAAAAGCTTTTGAAAAGATGCTCACGGAGTGCATTGTATGTGCGGGTTGAATAGAATGTTCGGTCGCGTGTGCACACTTGTCACCAAAATAAACGGCACTCAAAATACGACAGATGATCATTGACTCGTTGTCGAGTGAGTTGAACATTGCACACGCCATTGAACAAATTGCACACGATTGAACCACTGCAAAATGGAGAATATAAACCAAATACAATATTTTATGTTCATATAGATACAATTATGTGAGCTCGACACTTTGAACGATTGATGAATGTGTTTTTTTTTTCTTTCTTTATTTAAATTGATCAATAATGTTAGTTGACTAAATGGTAATCATGAGATTCAAAACGTAGAATAAAAAATAGAATCGTTTCCATTACTATTTGTATTTCTATTTCGCTTAATTTATAATTTAAAGTTCACTTTTGGTGCTGATTAAATAGCTTGATTTCTTTTTTTATATCGAATAAGTGCATTTGATAATAAAGATAAAAAAATATAACTAAACGGAAGTAAAAATTGAAAGAGCTCTTCATAAGAGCGATATAAGTGCTGTCGATTGCACGGTTTTATATATCATTCGTTTTGAATCGATAAATATTTGGTCAAATCAACAAGCCATTAAAAACGTGTCAAATACGAAATCCTGCTTCGAGTCAAAATCAAGAGATACGAACAAAAAAAAACGAGAAGGAAAAAAAAGTGTTTTGATTTGCTTCCGTTTTTGGTCTTGTTCTTCTTTCCGGCAAAATCAACATCATCATCGTCATTGCCGTTCTATAGCTTCGTCGTCGCCGTTGTCATTGAATATTTCTCCTGTCGCATGCATCGTGTGAGCATGCGCCATACTCGCATACGACAATCGCATTTTATTAGCATAAAAGTGGAATACACGCGACAGAACTCATGTCAGAATAAAGAGGAAATGTGTGCGTGATGCTGTTTTTGTTGTTGTTTTTGCCATCATTATAATCGCATTGAAAGTGCAGATATAAACAAAAATAAACGAAGTTATTGTAACTGTTGGCAACGAGCGAACATTGCTGTCGTTCAAGGGATATTTCCAAACAATTTGATTCAGTAAAAATTCCCTTAATTAGCCTTTAAAAAAAAAGTCATTGGCTTATGCCATGTAATGGAAATGTTTTTTATTAAATTTTTTTTTGGAGGGGAATACAGATTCTAGAGAGAGGCTATTGAATGAGTTATTCATGTTAAATTGAAGTGCTGATGCTAAATGAATGTAACATTGAAATTGAATTGTGTGTTCTGAGAAACTTTTTGACGACTTAATTTTACCACTTAAGTGAAGCTGATTCAGGCATACTTAATCTTTCTTTTCTCGCCCACTAAATACGTTTCAGCCAAGACAGAAAAGAAAATCCATTTTAAAGCTCAGAAATTAATTTATTTTTATTTCTAGTTTAAAAGTGTCAACATTAACTGGCGAGAGGACAACAAAAATCGGGATAATAATTTCGATTTCTATCCGAAGTGGTACAATGCATTTCGTTTGCAGTGATGCGATTTCTATATTTTATCATCGAATAAGTTAAAGTGGAATTCATATGTCAGTATCAGGCACTCATATGCATGTTTCACTATTACGTTTGTTAGTCGGGTCGGTTGGTCGGGAGCCGAGAGACGAGAAGCGCATTTCGAAGAGTTAATCAGTTCTTCCAACTGTCATTGGCATGCGACACAAACACTAAAATTATTTGAAAAATATTCGCATTTCAATGATTCTTCTTTTTTTTAAATGCAGAGAATATGACACTGGTGTGTGTATAGTGTCAAGGCATGGACAATTATGGTGACTGTTAAAAGGATTTGCGTTGTTGAGACAACGAGGCCGTGCCGCGTAAGAAGTGTGTACATTTAAGCATACTTCTCTCTCTCTCTCTCTCTCTCTCTCTCTCTCTCTCTTTCGTTTGGTATGTGCAGTGTGCACACTGCACACAATCAGCGAAAGAATGGAACAAAAAACACACCATCATCAATAACAATAATAACAACAACAGTGATATTTGGTTTGGTAGACTTTCATCGTAAATGCCGCGCGTAAATGTAACTGGTGTAGTTTCTCCTTCACTGTTGAAATTTGTTTTATATGAGGCAAGCACACAGCACATACACATACTGGCATACATCTACAGAGCCAGTGCAGAGCACATTCTCTAAGCTAATGTCATCTTAGGATAAAGTAGAGGATTTTAGGCTCGCGAAAATGAAAACAGAGATTATGCCATGGTCTCTCAACGCACAATGCGAATAATGAGCGTCAAGACTTTGGCTCTCTATTTCAACTCTAAATAGATCCATTTCACATTGCTTTTCTTTGCATATAACACAAACGTATAAAATGGCAATTGAAAAAGCTTTCGCCATTTGTTGTTTCAACATTGAAACATTATGTTTCACTCTGCACACAAATATACAATATCAGCATCAGCAGCATCAGCAGCATCAGCATCAACATCACCGCACAAGCACATGCTTAATCCAAATACACCAGTCGAAACAACACCAATACAAATGAGCTACATACTTTACATCACAATTTTGACGGATAATATGCACACGTGATTGTTTAAACAAAACGCGCGCATTGCCATTGCCAATGGTGAATGATTCTTTCCACTTGCCGTAGTTTAAGATTTCGCATGCATGCGAGAGAGAGAGTGAGTGTGTATGTGTATTTCGTATATGGATTTACGGAACAACAAACCCATATTTGTTACCATAGAACTGTTTGTTCAACACACAAAATAGGGGGAACATTATCCATATTCGCATTGGCGAAAATATAACAACAATGCTGTACACGGTTCGTGTCGGTGTTGGTGTGTCTGTACATTGGTGAGGTACAAGCAGACAGCCGAGCATATGGAAAAACAGGACGCCGAAAGACATAGTCATTGCGTCGATGGTCGTCTATCTATCCCCCGTTGTGTGTGCAAAAGTACGCCAATGTAGTATCTACTTTAGAGTCGAAATTGAATGCTGTGTTTTATTTTTACCGTTTTCTATTTCAGTACCAATTCAAACGTTGTACGGTACGGGTTAAATATTTACCACTTGCCGCACACACTTGATTCGTCTCACATTCTCATTTGAGAGCTCTGAATCACATTCGATTCGCTCAATTAACGAGTTAAAAATCGTATTAAAATCGTGAATTGAATTTTGAAGATTTGAATGATGACATTCCATGTCACTTTTATTTGATTTGTGTGACGATGCATTGAAATTTTCGAACAATCAGTGATCGGTGAAAAGGCCATTGAAAATTGAAAACTTAAAGCAGACAAAACAAAAGACAAATATCAAATCAAATGAAACAGACTAATGCTGGGTGCGTGAGTGTGTGTTTGAGTGCAAATCGAAATGGTTTTATTAAAACAAGAAATAGAAAGTTGTGTTTGAATTCTCAAGTTTTCGTACTAATCAAATAAGTCGCAGAAACTATCGTGCTGCAAGCAAAGTTGTTATGTTTGCACCAAACAACAATAACTTAAATTTCAGAGACGACACAACGTGTGTATATATATGTTTCATCCAAATTCAATAAGTGAGTAAAAGCTAAATCGTCAAATTTTCCATTTTCATTGACTCATTTTCAGTTTCGAAAACTTTTAAACCTTTTGTTGTTTTTCAATGTGAAATTGAACAAAACAATGTTCGTATTTAATTATGAATTCGACGTGCACACAACCATTTCAACTTCAAAATGTTTTTCGGGATATATATGTCGTTTTTCGTTCCATATCAGTCACTTGAATTTCAAGGAAAAAAGAGAGAGACGTGCACACATAAAGTGTGTAAATAAACGGTTATTTTGTCGAAGTTTCAATATCTATTGAAATTGAATTGTGCTCTGACGTCATGAATCGAAATGCAAATGCCGTTCAACCGAAGATTGAATGACGGAATTGAAAAGTAGTGTAACAACGATGTAAGATGGAATGTTTGAGATTATGTTAAAAACATAAACACACATGAACGTGAGCGGCTTCGTAATAACTGCAACTTCACCATTGCTGCCGCCACCGCTACCGTCTTCGAGTACAAACAGCAAAACATTAACCTTCATTAATAAATGTTCTCCAACAGCAAATGTACATATATATATGAATGTATTCATTTGCACAAGAATCTATATACATTTTCGATGTTTTTCTACCGATTAAAGATTTATCAGTCGTTCATGTCAAAATCTTAATTGACGTAACGTCTATGTTTCCTTAACGTAAATAAGCGAAGGAAAGCAGTAAGTATGTGCTCTTTTGCGTTTCGATTGTTAAAAAAAATTGTATCTACTTGCAATTTTATAGGAAATGCTTAAAGACAAGACATCGAAATAAAATCGAAAATATCTCGAGTTATATTTATCGAAAAAAAGAAGCAAGTCACAACCAAACTGACTTCATAGTATTCTGTTGTTTTTTTTCTCTTTGTCTCTCTCATTCATGTATATTGTTGTCCGTACCATTGTCTGTGTAGATCGAACGCACACTCAGCCAATTTATTTTCGTTCTAACGATGCGGCGACGAACATTAGAAAAGGAAAGAACGAGCGCGGCGCGTGAATTGACAACATTTCCGAGTGAGTATATCATATTGGCCCATCAATGGTACAGCAATAGAAATTGGGAGATAAAAGGCGTTCGCGAACGAAACGTTTGATATGGAACAGGAACAAAAAATTAGCAAAGGAAAAAGAGAAGAAGAAAAAGAAATAGTCTCGACAAAGAAAAAGGATCGAAAAGAAAACACTCAAATGGAAGAGCAGAGTGCAAAAATGGTGTGTGTGTTTTTTTTTTTTTGTAATGACGACCACAAAGCACAGAAGAGAATGAATAAAAGATAGCAACACGAAAATGAATACGAAAGAAGAAAAAAAAACTTAAAATATTAGAGAAAGTATCGCCTGTGGCAGCATGTATACGCATCGATACTAAAAATATGAGCGTTGGCAATGGAATGGAATGACAGTGACAATGGGAGCTCAACTTCCATTTCAACCATCGATTCAAGTGTATCCTGTTCCCTTTTTTCCACTCTCACTCGCACTCTTGCTTTGACTCTGTCAGTTTTTCTATTTTTCTCTCACTTTCGCCGTTACGTTCCATTTATCTCTCGTCAGAATAAAATCAGAACACAAAACGAGAAATTCGAGAACACACCAAATAAAAATAATAATCATAAAAAAAACTACCGAAAGCTATCAAACTGTACACACATAAAATTTGACATAACAACCAAAAGTCGCTCCAAGTCAAGTGCTGATGTGACATAGCAGTAACAACAACAACAACAACAACAATAATCTCCATTCGGATATGTAAACATAAACGCACACATTTATCACAAACGCAAAAGAGAAATGAAACGTTGAACAAAAGAGAGATGATGGAGCAACATGGCGGTTTAACATGGTCAAGTTGGGCACACAAAACACAAACATTTCCGAACAGTTTGACTAAAAGGCAATAAGCAACGGTTATTTAACCATTAATTTATACAATACACTTTTTTCTCTTCCCCTCTCTCCTCTGCATCTCCATCTCTCTGGCAATTCGGCTCCCTCTTTTCTCGTGCCCATTTGCGATATGTCTTGTTGTTGGTTTTAGCTCTTCATCATCCCGTATACGATGTGTGCGTGTGTGGGGGAGGCTGAATGAGCTGACATATAAATATAAAGTGACACATATTTATTATTTAACATATTACCTCAATTCAACCAATCATCAAATAATGTCGTTTGTTATCCTGTACATTCCTGTGCACAACATTGTGTCACTTTAATGTTTTACATGATGTACAGCGGTGACTATGGTTGCTGCACCGATCCTTTTCTACTAATGTGCTTTCGAACTTTTAATTTTAAATATAATATACTCGACTATCTTTTCGTTCGCTTTTGCAAAAAAATTCATTCATTTTCGTTATTTCTCTGTACTAGTGCTTTTAAAACCATTTCGGTCTCTTCACCAATTATGGGTTCCCATCCGCCACTTTGCCCTTTATTAATTTCATTTTTGTCACGTATCACTCGACATAGTTCGAAAAAACAACATAAAAAAAACACACACAAAAAATAAGCAGTAATTAAATACAGAAAAGTTCAATCAATATTTGTGCGGTAAGATCAACTACACTATACAACAATATAAAAAGCAATACATAGTGAGACAAGAGAAGTTTCGGGTCTGATAAATAAAATGGAGTTAAAATATCTATATATAAATGGAGAAAAGTATAAATTTGAAAAAAAAAAGAAAAAAAAATATAAGAGGATGTGATTTCTACCACACTGTGAACAAAGCGATTCGTTCGACAAACAAACTTTTCAAACAATAGCAGTACTGTAGCTGCATTTTTTCGGCACACAATGAATCAGTGCGGCCATTTTTCAAGCGTTCAAAATAGCCAGAAATATGTGGACGACGACGACGAAAGATGAGAAAAACGTACAAGAGGGGTAAATGGAAAAAGAATGAACTAAAATAATAGTTTCAATAGAAATACAATCGATTTTACTATCGATTTAATGCTAGATAAATTAAAAAACGGCTCGCTTTTTCCTATTTCAAATGATATATAACATTTCTTTTGTGTGGCCAATTGAAATATCTCACTGCAGCTAATCGACGAATAAAAGCATGCTTTCATTCACATTCGCGCAGAAACCAACATTTTGATTTGCCACTTTTGTTATATTTATTCTTTAAAAAAAAACACACACACAAATACAAACTGTGTTTGTTGAACTGCTATTAATAATTTATTTTATTGAATTTATGCATTTGAGGTAGAAATAGAAACGGAGGGAGACGGACAAAAAATAACTTTGTTTAATTTTCAAATGGAAAATGGCATTCATTTTCATTATTTTTTTTCGCTCTCTCTCTGAAAGTAGAGTTTTATTTGTTTGGCATTTTTGCGCACATGTGAATATGCCTTGCCACTCTCTGTGTTTCCCTCTTTAAATTGCAGAGGACGAAATCGTTACTATAAATTCGCGTTTTGTGTATGTATTTATTTGGAAAATTTGACCTCATTATGAAAAATTGACGTCACCAATGGCGAAAGAGTATTTTCATGCCATACTTCTTAAGATGATGATCATTTTTAATTTCTAATATGACCAGTTGGTGGCGAATGGTGCGATTTTTTAAGCGCCACCTGAAATTCATAGAGAAGCGACGCCAGAAGAGGTAGCGCATCTGAGGTAAATCGCTTACAAAAGTGCATTCATAACAAGTGGCGATTTCATGCTCTGGTGCATTGGCTGGCACAAACAATATAAAATTTTGTCGTCGTCATCGTTGTTGTTGTTGTTTTTTCGTTCATATCCGTTTGCCGCTTTTGTTTTATGCTGTCATCGTTTTTCTGTGTGTGTGCTTTGTATCGCTCTTCCACTTTATTTATTGTCCATTGGCTCTAATTGGCATTCCATGCACAATCTGTATGACTGGTGCACGAAACGCTTTTTAAAAATTCATAAATGGAAAATCTAACCAATTTCATTTCGATATCTACAATTCTACAAATATGAATACACAGAAAGAGAGAGAGAGAGAGAGAGAGAGAGAGAGAGAGAGAGAGAGAGAAGGAGAGAGAGAAGGAGAGAGAGACTGAATCGAAAACGAAGAATTATAAATGGTGTGTATAACAAGGCAATACTGGCGAATAAGTTGTTGGTCGCCGGCGACAATTTTGTATATGTTTAGCGAATGAGATCATCATAGCCGCAGTGGAATTCTGAACAATTTAAAGTGTGTTGAGCGTGTTTGGTGCAAAATGAAATTTTTCTAAAGATGAATTTTTAACCAATTCGACACGGTTAGAGGAGCTTTTTTTGTGGTATGTTCTCTTCGTCTGCATATTGATCACGATGTGTGTGTAAGTGTGGCAGCAAGTGTGCCAAGACACAAAGCACAATGAGTGTCAATACAATAAACTCAACAAGCATACACACAATTACCGTAACAAGAGCCGTAAATAATGTTATACAGAGACACAAAATAACAATAACTAGTGAATTGAACTATTTCATAAATTATGAATTTTATTCACACAATACCTCCTTTATCATGGATTTTCCACTTCGTGAAAGTGATATTCATTTGACCTAGTGTAATGGAAATATCATCTCATCATAAAGTGGCTAGAATTTTTCTTTTTTTTTATTCGCTGCCATTGCCTCTGTTAAGAACGATACTGTATTTTACGTTTTGCTGTAAGAGAGAGAGAGAGAGAGTCATGCAATAAATGACAGAGTAAAATACTAACAAAAACTGTAGAGAGTGGAGATAACGGGACAAAAAGGAAAATTACATCCGTTCCATATTTCGGTAGCATCTGATGATTTGCATCATCATTGCTCCGGTGTATGTATATATATTACTTGTGCAAATGAAACCTCTGCGTTTGAATGTTGATTTTTGGCAAATTTGTGTGCGCGCACATGAAATTGTGAAAGTGAGCAATTTTATACAAATCCCCATCAACATCATCATCATTATTATTATATCATAATATCGTACGTCATATTTGATTGGCACC